GGATGCCCCTCGGCGCATCATTTTCGAGTAAGTGACGGAAAGGACTAGACTTATATGGAAAGGGCTAGCAGATCCCTGGTAAGCTAATGCAAGGCGGCACGACTGGACCCGCATTCGAGGCGGGGGTCGTGCCATGGAAAATTTCTTTCGATCCCACCCACCCACCCGGTGCGCTGTTTCCTCGCGCCCACGCGGCTTTCGTGGTGACAGAGGATTCATTTTGGGAGGGGCCTTGAGGCATCCCAGTAGGCTGTCTCAGCGGTGAGGGACCGAGACGCCCTTGCCCTCTCTCCTCCGATCACGCCATAGGGCGTGTCGGGTGGTTGGTTCAGATTGATAGGACGATAGGAACGGAGCGAAATCGAACTTAAAACCCGGACCGTAATCAAAATTTTCACAGGAAAATAGTACTTAACTGCCGCGCGTCGGAGGAGGGCGTAGTGCCGAGCCGGGCTCGAAAGCATCAGCGTCATCACTACTTTGCTTTATTTACGACGACCAAAATTGTTGACTCTGATACCACTTCTCTCACCATTGATTATTCATTTTTCAAATCGATTTTCAATACCACTCACACTTTTATTTTCTTTTGTAGCTGAAAAGGAACATTTCCGTCTTCGATTTTACGGGCATTCTTTCATTTTACACTAGCGAATATAAGCAAGTATCCACACACGCGCTGCGCCCATTTCTAGCTAGGGACTAAAGTAGTCGTCTTCTTCTTCATTTTCAACCCGCACGTGCTTGCAGAATTATTCTCAGTCCGCTATGTTACAGTGCTAAGTTTCAAACTTCCCTTTGTGATTTTAGTTTTTTTATTTTTAATACTCAAACAGGCTTCCTGAGTATGCTGAAACAGATGAAAAGCTTCCTAGTCGCCTGCGGGCGAAAGTTTTTCATCTTTTTCGAAAAGGACAAAAGCGAAACGGTCTTCTATCAGCAGAATTTCCAAGACGATCCGCAAGAAGCGGGAAGATCTCTAGGGTTCCTCTTTGACGGCACTTGGTCACATGAGGCAATGTCGAAGAAGATAGTGCAGGACATGACAAGAGAAGCAAATGTTTGCTTAGGCTTGAAAACGTTGCGCACTACCAAGAAGGTAGACGTGTTCGAGAGCCTCTGCTATTCCGCCCTTTCCAGTACGGGCTCGCCGCAGTACCCGTACTTTTCCAAAAAAGCAAAAGTCAAAATAGAACATACGATAGCTGACAAGCTCAAGATCTTGCTAGGACTTCCAAAACGCGCGCCCTCAACAGCTTTGTTCGAATCCACGGGGTTACTACGACCGCACTTGATGTTTTTGCGGGAATGTCTGATGATTTTTTATAAAGGTCTAGCTAAGAACTTGTGGGAAGAAGAAGGGGAAATTCTGGAGCAAGAAGAATATGGACTAGCATCACAAGTAATGTTCAATCCCCTAGCGGGGGAGCCAATACGGGAAAAATGGACTTCAATTATGCGAACTATCAGTCAAAAAAGACTACCAGATTTGCATAAAGCATTGGTGGAGAAACCAATGAAAATAACACGGAGATGCTGGAGAGGGGTGCGAATGACGGTAGCTACAATGGACGACGTTGGGCGACAGTGGGGCTATGACAGCCTCACAAAAATAACAAGCGAGGACGAGATCAACAGGACAAGGCGGAGGATTTCCTGGAGACAGGACAAGGAAATACGGGCGAAGCTGCAGGACGCCAGCCAGCTAGTCATCGCAACAGATGGCAGCGCCAAAGCAGGAGAAGGGCAACGAGGAGGATGCGGGGGCGCTACTTGGTGGGCAAGCAATCTGCATTGCGACCATGAGATCAACGAGGACTTTGCGGACTGGTACCCAGTGGAGCCGATCTGCACCAGCACGGCGGTGGTCGAAACACCAATAAAAGACGCACAAGTAGATAGTTTTGATGCTGAAACATTCGCCCTGATAAATCAGATAAAAAGCACAGAAGAGCACCTGAAAAAGCACAACACACAGCACCTTATTAAGAAAGTTTCCTTCTATCTAGATCCTAACAGTGTGCTAGAAGGGCTGGCTAACATGCATGAAAAATCGAACATTATGTTTTTCCGCATAATGAATGCCCTTGAGAGTCTGCGCGACACATGCATGAAACCGCACTGCAAATTTGGTCACGACGATGCCAACATGCCTGCAATAGCTCCTGAGTCCGAAATTGAGTTTGAATTTATATGGAATGCAGGACATAGTGGGCTCTTTTTCAACGACATGGTTGACAGCCTCGCGAATGAGGCAGAAAATAGGCATGAGAAAGCAAAGGCATTAGGGGCGCACACAGAAGTATACTGCAAGGAGATCACGGCATCAATTCTACGACGGGTACTGACAAAACGCATACAGTACTGGATCGGCGTTACGGAACTTGAGCCAACAAGTGCGCCGCAGCTGGTGGAGAGAGCACGGGAATTCGGGGCTTTCCGACCAAAAGCAGGAACTTTTCCTACGCGATACCTCGAGCTGTTGCACTTTTATTTGTACTCGGGTGTAGTGCCAAGTGGCATACTAGCAGCGGGAGAAGCTAGACACGAGGATGATGATGATAATCCAGAAGTGAAGAAATACTTCCAAAAGTGCTTGCTTTGTGATGAAGAAACGGAAGGACATGCCACGCATCTGGTCATGGAGTGTCAGTGTCCTGTTGCCGTGGAAGCTAGGCATGAAATTTTTGGCAGTGGGGAATTAGCGCTCGATATGCAAAATCAGAAAGACATCTTCAACAAACCACAAAAGATTTTTAAATTTCTACACATAACAAAGAAGAAAAAAAGATTCCTCAAAAGCTTTGCATGTGAACAAATTGAAACACACCTGGAAAGCATACGACCCAGCATGCAGGGAGACACAAAAACGAAGGCGAAAGTGGACAACACATATGAGGAACTAGGGTGGAAGTATAGAAGTATTTGTAAGGAAATGCTAGAAGAAACAAACAACAACACTGATACACCAGTAGAAGACGAAATAGATGTACGATACAGATTATGTCTAGAAGCTGCAGCTGCAATACATAACAAAAACTAAATGCATAGATACAGAGCTTCACATAGAGACTTTCAATAAAAATTTATTTTTTCTTGCGCGGATAACAATCAACACAGGTGCTCACCAAGTCTGCAGCAACAATACAGAGTTGCGTTTTAATTAAAAAGAACGACCCAGCTGCAAGATGAATATGTTTAAATGATTAAACCGACGCACTTCGATAATGTGCAAAATAGCATGACAGATTTCATGACCACATCAAAAATTAATCACAGAAAGCGCACTTTTATCCCTATTGCAGTACTGACGCTGTTACTTCTCCTGTCTGTTGTGCAACTGAACTTTGCGCAAGGCCGGAAGGAAAGCAAGATCAGAAGGATGGGCCGAGACATCCACGCTAAGCTTGAACGGACACAAGCTAACAGCGAGCAGATACGCTAGTACGGATGGTACGCAAAAAGGACTGGAGTACACGGCAGGGGAGATAGCGAGTGCCTGGAATGCGATAGGAGAGCAGCTGCAGCAAAATGAATATCACGAAGCAGCATCTTCTTAGCTTTTTGAAGGAAAATAACAAATCGTATATTGTAATGCTGTTGGTTCTCTTTATGATCTCTTTCTCTTTCTCATGATACTGATATGAGTAGTTCTGTCATGCAGCTCGCTGTTTTCAGTTTCCTTTATTTTCGGAATAACATTCTTATGGTGCTCGGGCTATGAGCTTGCGGTAGTTTCATGTATAATTGCGCTATCACTCGAAAATAAGATATAGCTGACTCACATTGGCATTTTTTCCATACTCGACGGCTAACATGAATCAAACAAAGAAAGAAAAAACAAGTCAAAAATAAAAACTAAGAGGGTGCTTTTCTGTGTTGGAATACAAGGAGCCGGAGAGGAGAAAAAGATCACCGCCAGATCATCAACAAGGTGGAGACAGATCCGGGGGGCAACAAGATCAAACTAACAACGCCAGCTGTAGCAGTATGATCAAGACTTCTTTTTCAAAATAAGAACAGTCTTCTTTAAAGCAACTCTACAACAATAAAAAGCTTTTTATTTTAAAATAACTACTTGAAGGCTCTCTCAAAGGATCAAAAGTTGAATTCCGCACGCAAAGCAGGACTTTGAGTCCAACAATTTTGCATGACAGCTCTCGAGCAGAGCATTTTCTGAGACGAGTTTTTGTCTGCACTTTGTTTTTGGCTTAGCACTAAAGAAGGACATCAAAACCATGCGCCAAGACCTGGATGTGGTTGTGCGTATGGCATCTGCGCATAACCGAACAGGATGGAATGGAGTGCGTAGTTTCCTTTTTTTTTAAAGTATCGAAGGAAGGAGGTAGAACAGTGAAGGCTAAACAGTGGAAAAGGTAGAGCGACATTGCCGAAAAACTTCAACCAGCACCGATGGTCTTAACGAGCTGACTGTTGGCGCTGATTTGCTGTCTCCAATCCCCGTTGCAGTGGGGGGCGGAGTCAGCAGGCAGTGTCATCCCGGGCGTCCGTTCCCCCGCAGGCGTGAATGTGAGGGACGGTGTAAGGAGAAATACACATCCACACGAAGACCTGGGGGCTGTTTCTCCAGCTGCAACCATGCAACCCAGCGAGTACGGATAAGCGGACGCGTGCTAAACGAAAACAAGAGGAGGAACGAAGTCCGAGACGGCAAGAACAGCAGCAGCCACAGCACCAGATCTATGCCGTTTTATGACTTCTGCATGCCTTTTGTAAGTAATTTCTATAAAAAAAAAAAAAAAAAATTTTAGTTTTCAATATGTCACTTTACTCCTCTACACGCTTGAAGCGCTTACGCTCTCAGCGGATACATCAAAAAATCGAAGTAAGTACACCGATTTTCTTTTTGGCTTTGAAAGTATAGCACTGCGTCAGCACATCTGAACAAGAAAAATATCTGTTTTTTTTTGTGAAGCAGAATTGAAATGTTTTTTCACATGAGAATTTTTTGCGCGGTCGCCACTGGTTTTTTCAGTTTTTTTTGTGCGGCCGCGACTGTTGGCAGTTCCGGGGTTAGAACCGCACGATCTCGGTCGCGTTCTCCGCATTTCGGACCTGTCGAGCTTGGCGCCGTTCGTGCTCGTGCCCCTGGTGACGAGGCTGAAATCCCACTGCCGTTCGCTGCAACGTCGGCGACTCTTGCCCGCGGCACGTTCTCCCCGAGCCAGGACCAGAGCACGCGATGTGGCGTTCGTTCCGACGTGGTGGTCGGGGACGATCCTCGCCCTCAGCCGTACATCTTCCGCATCCGTGTGTCGCCTATGGGCGACTGGATTGAGCGGGACAATCACAAGCGCGTGTGGGATCTGCAGGCAGCGTTTCACGAATTAACATGCGTGTGCACCTTGTCGCCTTGTGCTGCTTCGTCCGGAAGAGCAGGGGACACCACCCCGGGGGGCCGTTCCGTTGCGCCGCCTCAGCCGGGAGGACACCAAGATCCCCCGGCGCGCATGTACAAGCTGTGCTCCAGCCCGCTGGTGATTGACTGCAAACTGCGGAAGCCCCAAGACGAGTTCATTCCTCCTCCCGGGGATGTGTCGAACCTTGGTTGGAATTGCACTAAAATGTCCCAGTTGCGGCTGAATAGCACGAGCTCGTCAATTTTCCCCGGCGTTACGCTGGACCGCGTCGCCAAGCTCGGTGTGGACGAGGGAAAGAAGGTGTACACGCTACCGCCACGACGTGAAGGTGAGGACACGGATAATGACTCGGAGCCGGCGTCTAGCCCCCAGACGCCCGATCGGGACGAGGAACAAGTAGATTCGGATGATGACCGATCAGGTTCAGGCGGGCGGCCTAGGTCCGAGCACGCGACGAGCCTGGCCCGCGCCGCAAGGAGAGCCCTGAAGCCAACGCAGGTGGCTTTTCCGCTGTTCTGTTTCAGTGACAAGTTTTTGAAGCAGAAGCCGTTCCTGGTTTCCGGGCAGCATGGGACGCGACGGATTTATCACGACCAGTTGCGGATATACAAGGAGGCACGGTTCTACGAGAAGCACATAAAATTTGAACCTGACTGGATCAACATCAACTTCGTTTCCCGTCTGCGGTTTCCGGATACAACTACAAGCACCAGTGGACGACAAGTGCCGTCTAGTACGACGCAAGAGCCCTGCGTGGAAACGTTTGTCGTTTGTGACGGAGATTTTCAACTGCAACGCTACCATCCGGTGGTGTCGCTCGGAGACCCACAAAGGGCACTACTTAGTACTTCGAGCCAACAAGGCGCCAGTTGTCCGGAGGAGCCGCAAGACGACGGTGCCGACATGGAGCAGCTGATTCTGCGCTGGCGGCGGTTCACCGTAGACCCGGAGGAGAAAAACGACGAACTCCGGTGGATTAAGGCGGACCTGAGGGTCTTTCTGGAGGATCTGCGTCAGCACCAGAATGGGGAACAGAACGGCGGTGCTCCCCCCGTCGACTGCGTCCATCCCGACGCGTGCTTTTTGCACTGCAAGACCGAAACGGTCGTGTATGCCATGGACGGCTGGAAGGACCTGTACCAGTTGAAGAGCTCCGACAGCGTGGTGGGGCGAACGATCAAAAGCATCTGCCAGGAACAACGGCTAGCTTGTTCCGATGAAGAATCTGGGTCGAGGACCACGACGGCTGGGGGTTCCACTTCCTCTTCCTCGGGGATGGAGCAATCTACTTGTGAACAACAACAACGACCTGCCGCACCAGCACGCCCATCGAAGCGCCTGCGCCGTTTCCGGCCCCGGAACAATCGGCTGCACCGCATTCAGACGGAGCCGCCGAGTCCGATCATTTGGAAGAGCTGCAAGTTTTGCGAGGGGCGGTCGAAGCCCCGTACGAAGACCGCGCGGCGCAGCGCGTTGCACTGGAACGACCCCGAGTTCGTTTCAACGCGGTTTCGGGAAGAAGCCGCGATCACCGCCCAAGCCACCGCCCGGTTCGATAGTCAAAACATCCGAATGCCGCTCTTGAGGGGCGCGGCTAGTAGAAGCGTGGTGCCCCGTACAAACGGTGGAGAAAGTGCCACTTCGTCGCCAGTGCCTGCTGCAGCTGCCCCAAGAACTGCAACTACCGACGGATTATTTGCTGGGTCCGCCGAGCTTGGGGGCGAAAGGAGCATCAGCAGCGCACCATCAAGAAGTACAACGACCTCCAATAATCGGGACCTGGCACAGCGTCTCTGTAGTATCGACGTGGCTATTATCCCTGTCGCGTGCGGGACGAGGACGGGAGAGGACCCCGTCCTGGTTTGCCTCATCCCGCTACGGAACACCCTCACGGAGGACGCGCGCGCCTGATGTACTGCAGGCGCTACGTCGATTGAAGAACCACTTCAGCAGTTCGCGGACCAGGGGACTGCCACAAGGACCGTTTGAGGTTGCTCCACCAAGATATTTGCGGAATCATTTATTGCAGTTCTTGTCAAAACAGTTTTTTTTGCATGCCAAATGAGATAAAAAAAGGTTGCAATCAAAGAAAAAAGTCGGAGGAAAGAGGAACTTGTGCAAAACCATGATCTAGATGGCACATGTTTTTCGCAAAAGACAAGGAGCTGAGTTCACCTCGAAAAACAGACCTCGTGCTCATCTTTAGTTTTGATTATACCATGTCAAAGAATAAAGAATTTGCATATTTTATCAATCACGCCTACTCGCAGAACTGATGTATTTGTGGCCTAGAATTCCTATTGAAAATATTCCCACAATTTTCAGATATTTCGGGCAGCATGCACGTCGCAACGACGCACGTGGCTGAACCGCTACTATGGATGCCCTCAACGATGTCGGTGCCACGATGAAAAATCGAAAAAACAAAAATGTAAAAAACGGGAAAAAAAATGTTGCGGTCTTATTTTCGCGCTCGAAGGCATACCGTTGTACCTATGTATGATGTTCTGAGATTCAAACGGTGCGTATATTTTCTGCAGCTTATTATATACCACCTCGACTCGTTTCGCTTTATCTTTTTCCAGTGGCGTGTGACTCTGCTGCCAGAAGTCAATAACCAGATTTCCTTTTGAAGTGAATAACCAGAGCTATAATTGTAATATCATATTCCAGTAGAACCAGATCCATTTTTAGCATTAGAAAAATAAACCATGAGGTTCAAGGCTACCTTCGATTACAAGTGCGCCGATTACGTCGGTACCCTGATTGAGAAAACCTTTTGCGACTCCGCTGGCGCAGCGGGGCCCTCGCGGGGGGCCAACAATAAAAGAAGAAATAACAATGCAGTGGGAGGCAACATCTTCGGCAACAACGATAACACTCCCGCGGTGCAGCAGACGATCATCGTGACGTTTGATCTCCAGCGGATGATCATCGTCCTCAGCGAGCGCACTGCCAACGACATGTGGAACGTGGAGATGAAGACAGACACGCTTTTTCAAGCCTTCGGGCCGCGGGGGCAAAAGTTGTATCACTGCGAATCCATGCAGGAAAACACTATCCACCTGTCGATGCCCGTATGCATTGCAAATATTTGTCTGGGTCTGGAAGTAGACTGCCATATTGTTTGTCATACCTGTCTGACGTGACAGACTAGACGAGACTCTGTGATGGGTGGTGCGCACGAGAAAATCTTGCAGCTTGTCATGCAAAAACGTAGTTTCCGCATGCCGTGCGGACGAGTACACAACTCAAAGCAGCCCAAAAGCTTATCATGATGCTTGGCTTCGTATCATTGCAACGCGTCGTCCATCATGCGCTTTCTACCAGTACAGCTTTCGCTTTCCAGAGCCACACATGTCTGCATTTTGGATAGCCCGCAGCGCAGTTCGCGGACGCCCTCAAAAAGCCGAGCAAAGAGGACGAGATGCAGGTCGTGGAGCTGAAATTGACCAAAGACCCGGATCGGGGCAACAGCCCGGCCCTACTCGTGAAGAAAAAAACGCAGACGTGCGGGGTCGTAAACACGATGATCCCCTGTTTTGTCGTCCAGGATATCGACCGAGTGCCCACCATTCCCGACGTGGACAACGACGAACTCGTGAAGGTCCACTTTGAGGCGGTGAAGGAGCTGAACCAGTCGCTGTCCGTGTACCAGAAACTACTTACGAAGTGCGACAAAATCGATTTCTTCGTCGAGAAGGAGCGAAGTTACCAACAATTGATCGTCACCGCAATGTATCAAATGCAAAAGTGTCTGGCTCTGGAAGGTTGCAACTTGTCATGCTAAATCTGAATCATGCAAAAGATCTGTGCTGCATGATTACCAACAGCCGTCCCTTTTATACCAAGTCGAGCGGGAATTTCTCATGCAGGATAGGCACGATAGACATCTCACAAAATTTGTCATGCTAGGTGCTGCACTCCAGACCTCATGGGTCATAGAAAACCTGCATGACAAATCTGGCATCCTTCCAGACCCAGACACTTTTGCATTTGATACAATGACGCCGCCCGACAGCGATGTGGAAGTGAAGTCGTATTTCAAATTTCCGGTGGTAAACAGCGAAAACCTCGAGTCCGCGCGGGCGGTCTTGTCTTTGAAACGATTCGTGCCGATATCCTGAGTAAAAACGTACCCACACCAGAGTTGTAATGCAAATCTGCATGCCAAAAAAGTTTCTCATGCTGAGCCCCATGAAAGGCATTTTCTAATCGTGTTTTGCGATTTGTGATGCTATAATCAGCATGATATGCTAGACCTGTGATGCTGCTGAACTACCTAAACAGGATTACATTACAAAGACAAACTTGTCATGCGAAACAGCCAAAGCTGGTTGATTTGTCTAGCAGATTTCCCATCTTGACTCTGGTGTGGGTACGTTTTTGCTCAGGATAGCCGAACCTGAAGAAACTCGCCCGGGTCAGCGAGGGCTACGGCCTGGAATATTGTAAGGAAAAATCCCCCCTCCCCATATCGAGAAGGTATGTTTCCGAAAATTTGTGTTGCTGATTTGAGACCACAAATCACGTCTGTCTTGCAAGAAGGCAAGTGTAGAGGCTTCCGCGCCATTATGGAAGCGCTTTGGCATGCTGTTGCGCCTAGGGGGCAGCCGTTTGTAATGCTAAGCAACTAGACCCAAACGCCCCGACCTAGGCCGAAGATCTGGCTGCGCTGCCTTACTGCAAGACAAATCGGATTTGTGTACGCAAATCCAGCATCCGAAGTTTCGTTTTGATATGGGGAGGGGGGATTTTTCCTGTTGATATGGAAAGCATTCTGTTCGCGGTCTGCAACCGGTTTGTCGTGGTGTATGTCATGCTTGCCGACAATATAGGGGTGCTCACCTGCTTCAATTTAGGCTGTGCGGACGAGATGATCGGAGGGGCTGCGGGGGGATGATGCTGGAAGCACGGGGGCGTTTCGGGCCAAGAATAAAGGCTGTTGTGCTACCGACACAGTGTCCTTTGCCAGGAAAGCATAAAGTTAAAGTTATAAGGAGTTCTCGTTGCACTCGCTGCTCGATTCCGACAACTGTTGGCAAATCTTTCTTCATTCCGTTCGCATCTCACGAACGAGAAGCGAATATAGCATCGTCAGGAGGATCAGTATTTTTGAAGCAGAAAAAGCGTGTTCGATTGTGCTGTCCCCAGCGGAAGCTGCTGGTAGAGAGTCTGTTGCATGTCAACATGTGCAGGAGCCAGCTTCAATCTCTTAGATCGAAAATGTGGAGTGAGCGAGTCAGTATTCGTTTTATAAATATATTGCATTGCGCGACCAGGAGCACGACAGGTAGACCTCAAGCTGAAGGAAATGAGTGCCACGTGCCTCGTTGTTTTCTTCTATCGATCGAGCGTTGCCTTTGTTTTGATGGTGTCGAGCAGTAGGTGTGCCTGCGTTGCGTCGATGAGATTCTCTTTTTGAGTGGCTCTGTCAACACATCAGTCGCAAATCGACAAAAAGTTCGTCCAGCAAGGCATTGTAGAAGTAGATCGTAGCAGGACGAGATACGATTACAACCCACTGCGTAAGTAGTTTCTTTTCTCCAAATCAAAGCCATATTCGTTGACCATGCTCTTCCGTGCCACGCATCATTATCTGGATCCGGGGGCAGACAGGGCGCACGCCGCTTCCCTCGACGCCCTGTTCGATTCTTTTCTGCCCCGGCGTGCAACCTCCACGACGTCGTTTCCATCACACAAGAGCTGTCACAGCATGAAATTTCCGACCTCAAGAACGGTTTTCGCTGCAGCTTCTGAAAAACCACAAGGCATCGACTACGATGACGACGCCGATGACGACGAGACGCTGCCTTCAAACGAATCGCTCGACGGGGTCGTTGCCACAGGGGACAAAGACCAAGGTGAACAAAAAAGTGGTGGCATGATAAACAGCCTCGAATCCACCCTGCAGATGAAGCAGCTGTCTATGGAGGAGGTGAAAGAGCTGATCGCGAGGGAGCACAGCTCCTCGGAGAAAATCGCGAGGATACGGGAAGAAGCGATAACGGGGGACGGTGGATCTCCGCTGGCACAGAAATTGGAGAAGATCCAGCGCATGTTTCCGTCCGGCTCCGGGATGATGGACATTTTCCCCAACATCGTGAAGGAGGGCAAACGGCAGGTCAGCAAGGCGGCGAGCGGGATGAAGAACCTGATGTCTACGGACGGGCTGGCGGAAATGCTGAACTACGTGCAACTGTTTCAAATGAAAACGCAGCAACCGGAGACGGTGAAGACAAAGATGGACTTGCTTTTGAACCCCTCCATGCAAGAAAACGATGACCGCGGCCCGCAGGACAAGCACATCCGGCCGCCGGTGCACGTCACGATGGCCCCGGCGTACGAGGACATGTCGTTCGGGGGGCAATTTGCCCGACCGCCGTCGACAGACGAGATCTACGATCTGCCTCCAGTGCAGTGGGACGTGCCGGTCTACCACTTCAACCCACTGTTGGGCCCATCCTCGACGAGCAACACGCACCCAAGACTCTCCGCAACGCGTGGCTGGCCGGGCACATCCGGCGGGCCGAAGGGGACGTTGATGCCACTACCCGTGGGTTTAAACACGCAAGTGGTGCAGGCGACGGACTACGAGTTGGAACGCCCGGACCCGTTTATCCATCGGACGAACCCAAATTACCAGCTCCCGGTCCCGTGGATCGACGCCAGCATGGGGAACCGCAAGCCGGACACCTCCGCGAAGCAAATGCTGGGAGACCAGGGCATCGCGGTGGACGGGATTTCCCAGGCGCGGAGCTTGCAAAACCGGAAAATTTACGACCCGGACTACTTTGCCACATCGTTGCTGCGGGAGGCGCCAGCACCGGAAAGGGCGGCGGAGGCGTAGACTGTGGATACTATCGCAGTTTTGTAGTAAGGCTCTCTGATTATAGCAGAAACAACGGACGGAGATTTTGTTGGTGGAGAGCCTGTCCATTGTGTCGTATTAAATGGTTTCATTACATGTTTCAACGAGTTTCAACAATTTCAAGAAGTGCAAACGAATGAACCCACGCTGGCATGAGGTGGTCATATGAAAAAGTATCCTGGTGCCCAGGGCACAACTGTAGCTGAGCTCCGTTTCGTTTTCGGGCGGTGCTGCGCTAATTCGGACTCGATCGATTGTTTTTTCGCCGCTCTGCACCAGCTCCGTCAATCCGATTGTCTACGTGGCCTAGTTATTTTCCAGTGCAGCTATTGAGAGGATCGGTAGAAAAGCTCTGGCGCTCGGAGCTCGTCGGCGCGGCTTCGCTTCGATCGTGTTGTCATTTTCGTGTCCATCGATAATCGATCGACGATACGACCTGAAGTCAAATCTTGTTCCTGTCGTGTCCTCTAACGGTCAACATCGTTCTGACAGCAGCAGTTGTTGTCTATTACTTCGCAAACGTATCCTTCTGCGGGTCAAAAATAAAAAACCTTGAACATGCCAACCTACTCGGATCGCGAAATACTCGGGCGCTTAGCGTACTTACGGTCGCTATTTGGAAATGGGATCGATTCGGGAGCGGGCTTAGAGTTGGTTGCCGTGAATGACAAGTTCCCCCCGGCCGCGCAGGAGACCAAAGGAGAACCTCAAACCAGCCCTGAAGCTGCATCAGTAGATGCTGTTACCACAACATCAGGAGCAGTACCACAGCAGGGCGAGGCCCGTGAAGACGATACTTTTCACGAAAAGAAAGCAGCTGACGCGAGGAAAGTCGGCAAACAAGCTAGTACAGCGAGAAGTTCAACATCCCGAGCGAATTTCATAGCGCCACCGCTCTTTCACAATGACCGTCCCTGTTCCGTCGTAGACTTTCGCAAGAGCCTGGAAACCAACCTGGAGCGACTTCGTTCTCTACCTCCCTGTCCGATCCTCGATGCGGCCGAGAAGGCGTTCGGGCCTTTTGCTGGAGAAGCGAACATCAAGGGGAAGAACAGAAGTCAGCAGACGTTGCAAATTCCTGTAGTAGACCATGCAGAAGATTATAACCCTCCCACGACCTCCGGCACGGCCGACTGCATGGATGTGGATTTTGAGGAGGCAAGCGATAATTGTGCCCAGGATCATCTCGAGGAAAACGCCAACGCGGCCGCACCTGCAGGCCAGACGGATGAAGATGAGGCCGACGTCCGGCGACAAGCACTAGCGGACGCTCGCGCTCTGTTTTTTCAACAAGAAGACGAGGATGTCGACGAGCGCAAAGAATTCGAACGTATTCAGAACGAACGGAAGATTCAGGGGAACGCGAGGGGTACCAGGAAGGAGTTTGCAGCGGCGCCGAAGACGCGAGAGAACAACTACAACCTGGGAAACAAGAAGTTGTTCTCACATCAGCAAGGTCGTCAACATGAGCACACAGCGCTGCAAATAGCAGTTTCCCGGCAAGAACAGTCGAAAGCGAAGGCAGACGTCGCTCTGGCGCACCTGATGGCGTTTCAGATGGCGGAGCTCACCGGGAAAAAGTTTGAGATGCCGATGAAAAAGATGAAACCACTGTCGAAGAAAGAACAGGAATGTCTCATGCAGATGAACAGCAAAAAGGACGAAGAATTATCGGAGTCATCGTTCGAAGACGAATGGGAACTGCATCTGGAGAACAAGAAGCAAAAAGCGGAAGAGGAGGAGCTAGGACAGTTAGGTAAAGACGAGCGGAAAAAACGGAAGAAGGCAAAAAAGGAAGAGAAAAAAATGGAGAAAAAACGGCTGAAGGAAGAGAAAAAGCGGCTGAAAAAGGAGCGAAAAGAGAAGGAACGAGAGGAGAAGAGAAGAAAAAAAGAGGAAACCTACAAAAGCAACTACGAGATAAATCACGAAAACGCCACTACGGGCGAAGTTTACAACTACGAAGAAGGCGGCAAAACCGTTCTCGGCGACGTCTGTGTCGACCTTGGGCCGGAGCGGGCTCTGTTCCGAAAACAGGTCAGCGCGGACAAAATTGCAGAGTTGTTTGCCGACAATCATCTTCTGGAAAATAAAGCCGACAACCATGATCTGCAGCAAGACCACGGCGGTGGCAGCAAGACTCCCGTTGAGTGGGCCCGGTACGGAAACAGTGTGATGCTGAATATGACCATGACCGGGACGGTACATGGGCAAGACCAAACCGCATCGGCGTTTGAGGAAGATTACAGCAAAACTCCCGTGGCCTTCGACCACGCACCGCCCGCGAAAACGAGGGAGGAAGTGGCGGAGCAGCTGCTGGAGGAGGAGGACGAAAAAGCGGCAAAAGAAAGGGGCGAGGAACCCTTCAAGGTAGAGAGTTGGGAGGAACTGCAGAAAATGGAATTTCTACCATTCGACATAGACGACTACTTCGATGACTGATTTGCTGCAGCAACAGGTATCTACTATGTACCGCGAACCAGAAGTTGTACCGTAGACGCAGTAAGAGAAGGTAAGTAGTTGGTAGAGATGCAGTTCAAGAAGAGATGACTTTGCTCCTCTGGCTTATCTCGGAGCATGCAGACGTGGCTGCTCGTCTGCCGGTGACCTTCTCCATTCGTTTCCATGACGGTGTTGGTCGTGTGCATAAAATCGATCTCGTCTGTCATCGCTTTTTCTTTGTGTGGATGATCTGAAACTGTAACTTTTTTTATCCCTATCGACCCATCGTTTCTACCACTGAGGGCACAGTGATGTTCGTTTTGTCGCAATAACTCGTCGCTCTCGTCGTCGTCGCCGTTTTTTGTTCGCCGTTCAGATCCAAAAAAAATCAACATGCCTTTTTCCAAAGCATAAATTAAAGTGATATTGACTACGCTTCAAAGGGAAAAAAGTTCCAACGACAAGGCAGAGAAACATCCGCACCGACCCAGTGCATAGAATTGATCACCGTCATGACGGATACGCCACTTCTGCGCAACGAGAACCACCTCTCTCTTCCGCAATAGGCCAAGGAGAAACAACTTTTGCGCGGCGACCCTTGACCGGCCACTGCTCCGACCGCGAGCGCAACAGTATCGACAGATGGTTGCCTCCCTAATTGAGCGCCGGGCGAAGGATGTGGAGCGGTTTCTGCGTGTTCCCCACGCGAAGGACTGCAGCAGTCGGTTGCAGCGAAGCGGGGACATTTTGCTCTCCAAGGAGGACCGAAAGGAGATCGGAAGATGGGCGTACCCGAGAATAGACATCGCAAGATACGTCCTGCTGGAGGACTTTCAAGAGAAAAACAGAAGAAGAAAAGAGCTCCTGCAAACGGTCGAGAGGAAATTAAAGAGAAGACAGGAAATACAAAAGGAAAGGTACAAGTAGAGATTAATCTGGTTCTTTACTTAGATAGAAGTACACCTGCGCCTGCCTACCTAGTTGGTTACTACTGCGTCACCGTTTTGTGCAGTTCTTTTTGTAGATAAACCCTCCAAGAATAAAAAAATATGCAACCCCATCTTCACCCAGGTCTCGGCAGCGTGTCCGCGGTCTGGGCGTGGAGCCGAAGCGGAACCCGCCCGAGCCGTGGGAGCCGTACTACGACATCAGCAAGCGCGACGCCTGGCTCTACGACCGAAAATTTGCGGCCATGGCTAGCACGAGGTCGCCACGAAAGCCGCAGCCGACGGTGGACTTGGATTTTCGGAAAGGCATACGGCCAAGGACGACCCCCGCGCCGAATTTACCGAGGTACACGGACTTGTCTCTCGACTGGGGTCCGGGTAGGTCAGTGTTGGAACGGATATCGCGGTCCTCTTCGCCGGACAGGTGGCAACAGAGTCCACGATACGACCACATTCCGGAGCCAAAGAAGGAGTACGAACGGGAACCGATTCCGCGGAAATTTCTGTGGACCAAGGAGCAAGCGCTGGTCGGGAGATTAGCCTCCTGGACCGCGGATGAGGCGAGAGAGTATAGACTAGCTTGTTGAGTAGAGTTCGCTGATGTTTTTCTTTTTTGATTGCTTTTCTACGGTTCCTACGTATGTTTTTTGCGTTTGCATTTGATTCCATAAGTGTAAAACATCAGCTTCTGGCGATCTTGGGTAGACCAAAGTGCAATGGCGAAGGAAGGCGTGAGCAAGGCCGGGAAGAAAGATGCGCTTGCGCGGGCGAAGGCGCAGCGGGAGAAGTACGGGGGATTGACGATAGAAAAAGCCCAGATCGTAGTGAAGTCCTTGAGTAGCAGACCAGAGGAGAAACTAAGTTCCCAGGAGATCGAGTTGCTGGGACGAGGTACAGGACATCGATTGATGTCGTGGTGGCTTGCTTTTTTTTGCTTCATTTACGCGATGAATTCACTACAGATTCAATTCCTCTGTCGACTGGAGCTGCATGGCAACAAGTTGAAAAAACGCGAATACAATACAGCGAAACAATTCCTGTCCGACCAGAAGGGCGGTAGCTCGTTCGGGGAGGACATTGACGACGGGTTGCCGAAAGCCTGGGACGACCGGTGTTGCACGCGCGTCGCAAGTCTGGGGAACGCGGAGCGGCACAAGAGCAAACGGTCCCTGTTTCTGAACTACAGCGTCCAGCCGGAGAAATACATGGACAAGATGCTCGGGACGCTGATACGGGACGACTTGCGGTTGACGGAGGAGGAGCAGGCGGAAAAGAACGATTTTTTGAAGAAAACGGGCTTAGCAGCGGCGAAGAAAGCGGAACGGGAGGCAGCGAAGTCCGCGAATAAGGGCAAGTGAGGATGGTCGTGGTCAAAAACGAGCTAGGGTGCTGTAGACGACTTATCTTGATCAACAACTTACATCTGTAGAATCTGTAACCTAACGTAACCGATTTGCTTCAGAACAACTGGGTATAGAATCATATAAAATTGATGGCAGAACGCGGAGGTAGTTACTCTCGCGAAAATTTAGTTTGAGGATAATACCACCTGTAACAATTCCCACTCCCGCTTGTACGAACGAATGAACTTCCCTTAATTGATTCCAACTTGTAGATGCACTTGTGCTGAGCTGTCTCGAACTTGGTCGGACATGTACGATTCAGTTTCACGGGCGTAACCGTCGTAAAAGAGGTAGGTGCACAAGGGCGATTGGTACTTTTTGCCTATCCTGAAACGGGCTCACACTGTTCCGCTGCATCAATGCGGAGACGCAAATATTCAAGGTGGAAGAGGCAACGCAATCCGCAGCGATGAGTGACGAGAGGAGTGAGCATGAATGTCTCGAGGGCTGTTTTCCGAAAGATCTGCAAATTTTTGAACTACCTTTTTCATAGATCAGATCAAAATTCACATCCAACAAAACGATTCTGCAGTTGTTTCGCCGAACTGGGCACCGTTTCTGTCCTTTCGGTCTGTTATTTCTCGTGTTTCCAAAATTTTGTTTACATGTCTTTTTTCATCTGTTTCCGTTTCTTTTTCCAAACCAGAAATCACGGATGCTTCGCGACTTTTGGCGAACCCTGTGGCCGCGATTCACCAGCAGCTTTTCGCCGAGAAATTTGTTCCAGCCGCAGCAAACGTCTTCCGCGGCGAAAGTTCCAACCGCGTCCAAGACTTCGACGCCAGTGACATCTACTTCGGCAATGACCACGACCAGTCCGGAAGGATGTAACCACGCATCCGTGCTTTCCGCCGGAGCTGCCAAATCCTACAACGACAGGACAAGCTATTATCCAAGCAGACCTAGCGGTACACCTACTGGTGCAGCTGCTGGAGGTATTAGACACCAGCTCCCCACAGCGCGAGTCCAGTACTTTGATTTTGCCGCGTATGCAGACACCGGGAGCCAAGCCTGGAAGCAAACCTTCCTTCAGCGAACGGCGAAACTGCAGGCTGCGACGGGAGGCGAGGGTTCGTCCAGTACGACAACGTCGACTTCTTCAGGCACTTCCGCTAAAAAAACTGCCGCACCAAACGAGAAAAAGCGCGTCGCTCTGCTTGTCGACGGCGACCATGCCATGCCCGCGCAGCTCGACGGCATCATCCAGCACTTCAATAGCATCGGCGCCACGGTTCCCGTCCGACGGGCGTATTTTGGGAGGGCAGACATTGCGGAGGGCAGGAAATGGGGCGAATTCGGGCACAGACACCGCTTTGAGCTCATCGTTGTGAAAAAGTATTTCAGTCGTATAATTCATGCGTGATGTTGTAGGGACAGGAGGGAACATGTTTGTACATGACGAGGAAACAGTGAGAGCGTACAAAAATGCACCTATACAATATGCTTTTTCACTTACATTTTGCCTCGCAGGTTTGGCACGAGTAACGCGGAGCTGGTGGACAAGAAGCTGTCCATCGACGCTATACGATTTGGCCTCGTCGACCGCTATAATGTCGCCATTATGTCGCGCGATAAAGGGTTTGCAGAGGTATACATACATAGTCATGGTTAGACTCTTTACCATGCTGCAAAATAAGAATGTCCTGTATTAATGCCGTTTTAAAACTCAAAAAGAAAAAGAGTACGAATTCCTCCAATACATCATGCCCACAATGACCACAGGTTTTCGCCGAACTTTCCCGGAACGACGCCCCCGAGTACTACGCCGTTTCTCAGTGCGATAATACTCCGACAAGATCCCTCTTCGAGAAATACGGCGCAACTTTTGTCGCAGATCGGCCCCCCGACTACGTCGCGGGAATGACAAGCGCTTCGAGTAGTGGCCGGGTCGTGCGACGAGGGGCGGCTGGAGTTGGTTTCGGTTCTCGAGGGGGATGGTACGACAGCAATCCTAGCAGCCCAAGCTCTACAGCATCGAGCACGAGAGCGAGGAACAGCGTATCTTCAAGCACCTCGTCTACAAGTTACCGACGTTCACCAACGGAGAGAGCGACGCTAGCGGGGAATGCACAACTGCGGGGCGGGCTCCGTCCTTCACACACGGCGTTGAGAGCAGTGAGAAAACCTCCAGACGACCGGCGGCAGAGCGGGACTAGCTCGCTTCACTCCTACATCCAAGAGCGCATCGATGACGCACTGGACCGAAGACTCGGCAAGAGGAGGAACAACGGACACGAAGCGGAGAAAAGATCGCGGCCGGACCAGCGTGTTTACCGAAATTCGTATCCCTCGCGGCCGCGCCCGGACAGCAACTACCGGTCGCACCCTGCAGCTCCAGAACGCAGAACAAGGGATCAACCTCTAGTCGTCGTCCAGTCGCCTGGAGCAGAGAACTCCCTGCGGTTCCTCATGCGGCGGTACGCGCTGGACGCCGGTTGGATTGCGGGCACGCGTGACGAGCCACCGATTGTTGCCGCGAGGCAAGTCGACTTGTTGGGTGAAGACAGTGTGATGCCAACAACGTCCTGCCGCAGCAACGACGTTTTGGCGACGGAGAAACTACCGCCAGCAGAGGATGAGTTTCTCGCAAAGGAGGTCTGCCAAGGAGAACCGAGCAGCTCCTGCGTCAAAATGGCGCTACGGCAGCGCAAAAGAAGTTCGGGCAGATCCTTTCTCGGAGCGCATACAGTGAGTAGACATGCCGCGAATACGAAACTGCACCTCACCCGCTGGCTGCGACCTGCTCTTCGAAAATCAGCCCTGCGAACGCGGCTTCCGCGGAGGGAATACGTCGCGAGGCGCAACGTCTGGGCGGTCAAATACAGGTATCAACCGGAGCCGCCGGAACCGCGAATGCGGACCACAATTGTCGGGCAAAAAAGGGACAACGCGCCGCTGTTGGATCTCCTCGCGGGCGAACCCATGCGGAAGACGCAGGTTTGATTCGTGAGGAGGGGTCCGGGCTTTCCCAAAAGCAAGCTTTACCCGGTCCGCGTTGGAATGATGGTGAGTGACAGGCGGAACCGTGATCGTGACAAACCCAAACACAAGTAGAATAGCGCCACACATAGCTGTCATAGGTAGCCCACGATCGTGGGGGCTGCTCTCATTTGATGTTGTCTGTGTTTCTATAATTACTAACTTGAAGGTCGTGGGTCAGTATCTTCTGCTACACGTTTATTGTTATGGAGAAATTCAAAATCTGTTTCGCATTCGCTTTCGTTCTCTCTGTAAAATCGGCCGCTTATCAATCTACATCAGTTTTCCTCTTTGTGTTTGTGTAGGTAAGACGGAGGCCTGCAATCACAACACACATTTACTGGTTGCGTGAGTTTATGTGGCTTTGCGCTGACTGCCACAATGAAAATGAATAGTATGTGTTCATCCCTCGTTGGCCGCTCGCATTGGAAGCTAGCACAGCGGTCGCCCAACTTCATAAAGAATGCCGGGGAAAACGTCCCAGCAGTATGGGGCTTCCACAGCGCAGGCCCTCCGGTGGCCCCGGTAGGTTCCGGCGGAATACGACCCCGCGGGCCTTCGTGCTGCGGGCGCGCTGATGTTAGGCGCGGGACCACGTGCCGCCGGGGGCGCGGGAGGCCTCGCCGCGGGCTGCTTCTCGACGCCCTCAAGGATGCCCGCGCTGCGATTGCAATGACACACACCGCCGCGAACGCCGCCCGCCGAAGATAATCCGCGACACGTGTCGCGCGCGTTGCCGCCACCTGCTCGCGTTTTGGCGGGCCAACCCGGGGGCCCGGCCATCGCGTTGCCACCGGGCCCGCTGCCGAACGGCCGCGACGAAGTGCGGCACTTGTCTCCGGCGCGGATGGCCAGCGCCAAGAAGCGGGCGGAAACCGAACAAAATGAGGCGCGTCGCGATAGGCGCCCCCGCGCATTTGGAGGGGGCAGCGTAGTGCCCCCCGCCTGGTGGCAGGCTGCTGCGCGCGCTTCTGCATTGATAGCGGCCGGAGGTGCTCGGGCGGGTGGCGGCCCCGGTTGTCGTGGTGGCGACGGCCGGCACATTTGGCGCTTGCCCGCCCGCCTATTACCCCGCGGGGGGGGGCGGGGCGGCCGGGCGCGGGGTTTCCGTTGATTGCCATGAACGAGGACAAGTACCAAGCCCGACCCGCGAAGGCATCGCAAGGCAGCAAGCGGCTAATCCTCAACTTCCCCGAGCCTGCCGGGTGCGCGACACATAATACGGTGGAAAAGCACGAAGGCGGTGGACATACAGGAAAAAGCCGCGAAGAGCTTTCCTTTGGGAGGCGCCTTTCGCTTCTGGATATCTGAAAAAGCCGGCCGGCCGAAGGTGCCGGGCGTGCACTTCGCGACCAAGCCCAGCCCTTCCGGCGCGCTATCCCTGACCCGCGCCGCGCGTAGGGCGGCCCGCCCCACCGCAACAGGCCCAACCTCTACCGCAAGTGGTCAGCCGAACTCGTTCTCGGCTACAGGTTTTTTCTCCCACCCGGGAAAAGGCGGGCACGCCGCTCACGAGAAAGGAATGCACTCGCGCGGTGCGAAGGGCTACCACGACAAGGAAGACTTGCCGCGTGCAACGGATACCAACAACAACAGTGCTTCGGCATCCAAGGGCCAAGGTGTGCCGGTTGACGACGGTGCCGATAGCGCGGCGCGCGCGCTACGACCACCACGCTCCGCGGCGGCTTGTGCGCAATACATTCTGCTGCGGGTAAAAGTTCGGGACCAAGCCCAAGGAGGTGGGGTTGTGCCAGTCGGCCGCGGGTGTGTCGCTGGATGGTGCTCTTCGGCCGGCGCGCTCGCTATTTTGGCAGCCGGGGCCAATTTGTTGGCCGGCGAACTTGCCGGACGCCTTCTCGGCTGGTTTCCCCCCCGGCCGTTGGTGGCGCGGTAGCGACGCGCGCTTTTTGGCAGCTCTTGTGGCCGATTCGCGGGGACAAAATCCCCCTCGGAGCGAATTTGCGCGCCGGCCCCTCTACCGCGCCACATGGCGCGGCCGAGCGGTCTTTGGGCCAGCCGGCTGGCACCCCCGCCTACGGTGGGGCCCGGGCGGAGCAGCCGACTTCTTGTAGTTCAGCCGATGCAGCAATTTCCTCTTGTGCATATGCGCTTGGGGACGTGCCATCACATCGACCCGCCGTAGTTTGATGAAGTCGTCAGGCGAGGCCGGAGAAGTATCGTTCTTCGTTGGGCCCCGCCGTGTTCGAGTTCTCGCCGCATGACTCGGAGTGGGGCAGAGGGACTAGCAGCCACCGGGACGAGTGAGGAGTGCGTCGGTGGGCCGAGTAGCACACGCGTCTCAATGTCGTTTTTTTTGAGGGAATTCTCGTCAGTGCGTGTGTGTAAGTACTGTTTTTGCGCATCTCAACAGGTCATGAGTGTGCATTACCCGGCCAAGTTTACCAGTTTGCGCGCGTCCGGAAATGTAATTATGGCAAAGCACACGGCAGTCTCCTCTTCAGCATACTTTGCTGGTAGCGCTCGTTGCTCCACCTTGTGCCTCGCGGTCCCGGCAAAGCTTCGCGTGTTGGAAAGAACGTCATCTCTTTGTGTTTCGCATGATGCACCAGGACGACGCCAGATCACATCACAGACACGGATCCTCTCTTCAAGAACATTCTCGTCGGCAACAACCCCCCAACTCACTGAAGCGCTGTCGCACTTCGATCCGAATGAGCGGCAAAAAGCCCTCCTTGCACTCGGCTTCGACACGACTGCAACCTCGAGGAAAAACGCACCGCCCTCCTCCGCCGCCGACGACACCCTCCGCACCGACACAGATCTCCTCCTTACCAAGCTGGACAAGTGTAACGACTTGCTGCAGAAGAACAAAAAACGCCGCGTCTCTCTCCGCCATTCGCCCGTCTTCAAGCAGTACGGGTCGATGGGCACGCTGGCGACCTTTGGTGGCAGTCTCTTGTTCATCCCCGCGAGCTTTTTCAGCGGCGTTTTTCTCTTCCCGGCAGCCTACTGCTGGTACCAGAACTGGAAGCAATGGAAGAAAACTGACGAGAGAACGACGGTGACCACGACAGAAATGGAGGACTTGGAAGATTGGAGCAAAAAGTTGGAAGACCGGAAAAAGGACTTGATTAAAGCTGTAGCAGAGGAGCTGATGCAGGGAAAAAAAGCCGAGGCCGGAAAGTTTGCTGTCGATGACTCTGGTTCTGGTTCGTTTCACGACTCCTGCACCAAGAGAAGTACCCAAAGCACTGAGACCGAAAACTCCCCTGCTGCTGCTACTGCCATTGGGGCGCCTGCGACAGGCTGACTCTAGAGTTGCCTGCTTGCTTCTCCATCATCTACAACTTACTGATACCTCCTACTTTCAGCAGCTCTCCATGCACGTAGTACGTGTTCGGCTTTTCTTTTGATGCGCAAGCTTCAGAGTACCGGACGCACCGCCACTGTTGGCCGAGAGATCCAGATTGTGGATGTTTTCCTTGATGTAGTCGCTCGGACGCTCGAAGCAAGAGCAAAAGGAGTGGACTTGGTAAGTCATTACCATTAGGTTGGGAGAGACAGAGACGAGAGAAAAAAAAATGCTAGAAAAAGAGAGATCAAGATTGATTTCTCCGATGAAGCACTTATGTTTTCTTCCTGCCAGCAGATCCTCGATACTAAGAGTCAAAACCCATCCCAGATGCGTCACTTCGGTCCAAATTTCTATGCAAGACAGCCCTTCATGAGCGCGATGCTACCTAGTGTTTCTCCACTTGTGTTGGAATTATTGGCTCGGGCCACAAGGTGAAGAACTCTGTACCTGTAGCCACTTCGTCCTGCAGTTACATCTAATAACGCGACCATGGCGCTTCCCAAGCTGTCCATCGGCGTTCCGGCGGCGTCTTTGCCGCCCATGATTTATCGCCGGCAACTCACGCCGGCGGTGCCCGGGCAAAACAGTACCGCGGAAAGCACCTACTACGCCGGCTTCCTGTACGATTTCTTTACCGAGCTGGGAAGGCGGGCCCAGTTCGAGATCGAGTTTGTCCCGATGGGCGGAAATCCCTACGCCTCGGACTGGAACACGGTGGGAAAAGCAATGCTGCGCACCGGCCGCGTAAACTTGACCTGGACCAACATTCCGGACGAGGGGCACGAACCCAGTTTTGCCCAGATTCCCCCCATCTTCACCAACACCGCGAGAATACTGACCCGCAAAACGGTGCGGGAGACGGGCTTCATGCAGATTTTTGCGCCCTTCTCGAACGAACTGTGGATAGCGATTTCGCTTTCAATCGTTTTTGGTGCGGTGATCATGGTGGTAATCAACGTTTTGCAGTACCAAGGGACCAATGTTCCTTCTGATAGTGCAAGAGATGGGCCTTCATCCGAGCAGGTGGACAGTCGGGGCACCAAAGCAGAAATAAAAGACCTTGGCGATGGTGGAACATCGAAAAAGCAAAGTGCAACAGGATCACCGCTGAACAATACTACGGTCGAAAATTCTGATATTGATAAACCTTTCGACAGCCCAGTGGTGTCCCAGACGGGGGACAGAAGCCCTTCCGCGGAATCGTGCCCGGTTCGCGTGCGCGTCGTAGACCAGACGGAGGAAGTATCGCTTCGACCGCCCAACCGAAGTGCTTCACAGCTCTTCGAGCAATCCGAGGTGCTGAAACCCAGCGCAGTGGTCTCGATTGAAAGTTTGAAGGATACAGCGACCGCAACGGGCACGAACGACGGAAGAGAAAATAAAACAGCGGCATTTTTGCTTGATGAAACGAACCTCGCCGCGAAAGATGATCCAACCCCGCCGCAAGACGACGAAGAGTCCCCGTACCGGTTCTTCGTTTTTCTTTACCACACGCTTGCCGCGATGCTGGGTGGCGACGAGTACGATTTGTACCACCTCCCGCTCTATGGGCGCATTCACCGCATCGGATTACTGTTTTTCGTGCTGATTCTGACCAACACGTACGTTGCAAACCTGGCCGCCTTCCTGACCCGCCCGAAATACGTGATTCACGGGCCGCAGACGATCGCCGACATTCAGTCCGCGAATGTGTGTTGCCGGTGGCTGGGCTCCGCCGCGAACTTTCAATACAACTACGGGTTCACGGGGAAGTTCTTGACCCCGCCCTTGAGCTACTTTTTTCAACCGGCAAGGGCCGGCGTTTCGGAGGAAGAAAACGCCGAGCGGCTGCGGACCAATGTCGACACCTGGGCGCGGGAGCAGCTGTTCGCAGGCAACTGCGATGCTATCGTGGAGATGAACGACATGGCGCAAAGCGAGAGTTTGCGGTTTTGCGACACCTTGCATCTGAACCCGGATGTGCAGTTAGGCGCGTGGTACACGACGGCCTACTACCTGGACGAGTCCAATCAAAATGAGTGGGACCGCCTGATGGCCACGGCTGCCACGGCGCAAGGGACAAACTACACCTGCAACTCGAACGAGACCGCCGCTCTGGGCTTCGAAAAGAAACGCGAGTGCTTTCCGACCCACCCATGGTTGGAATTTCCCGGCATGCTTTCGGTTTTTGTGAATAGGGAAACGAAAAAAATTCTGAATAACCAAATGTACTTTGACATGTTGCAGCGGAACATGCGGTTAGGCGAGAGCTGCGGCAACAATGCCGACGCGGAGACCGATGACACGATCAAGCTCGCCCACCTCGCGGTTGCCTTCATTGTGTACGGCAGCTGCAGCTTCCTCGCCGTGCTGTTCACGTGGTTTGAACGATACCAACGTTCGAAACGAGGGGAAGGGACGCCCGAGCTGCAGACCGAGGTACAAAACGAGAAATTGGACAAGAAATTGAATCAGGTGCTGGAAAGAATGGAACGAATGGAAAAAAAGATCAAATAAAGATGCATTAGAGAACATCAACATATGAGTTGCCACCATTCCGTTGTCCATGATACACGAAATCAGAAGAAAAAACTAACTGAGATTTTTCCTTCGGACAATCGTTTCAAGAAAAAAGGAGATTTATTTTTTTCAGGAACCAGAATTTCGAGTCCATGACACAGACACTACCGATAAATTTTCTCGACGATATCGATGCTTCTTCTCAACAATCATACATAAAGACATCAGATTCGGATTCGGAGACAAAAACAAAATCTACTGAAAGAGGATCTAAATAATGAATCAATCAGAATTTAGGATAAAATGCAGAATTTTTCTAAATGAATATCAAGATGTGAATCTGAAAATTGAGGAAAAAATTTCTCCATCGATCTCTGATTCTTTCCGAGATTCGAAGAAAATTTGTTGATAATTGAGAGGATGGATCGATCGATAAAATGATATCAGATTTTTGATCAGATGATTTATCGGTTTGCAGGATATATCTGGATCGCCAGATTTTTCGATTGAAATTTTTTTTATTTTTAGGATGAATGAGGTTCGGTAATGATCATAAAGAAAGAAAATCTCGGAAAATCTTTTCTCGGGGAGAGAGAAAAAATCGAAGAAAATTTTTCAAAAATGAAAATTTATCAATTTCGGAATCAATATGATGAGAATCCGATTTCTATGAAGATTTTTTGAAAAATTTGCCGATGATTTTTATCATATGGAATTTCAAGAAATTTTTTCAAATTTAATAACGAAATTTTCCAATTAATTAAAAGAAATCCGATACATTAAATCCAAGAAATTAATCGATCGATCGATCCGATTATATATGATGTATATAGATAAAAGATATTCCAAATAATATTGAAGGATTCCATTGGAGAGATAAGACAGAAAATTCGAGATACATGCATCGATCGAGACAGATATTTTTTTCTCTTTCCTTCATAAAAAATTCATATGATCGATATCAGATCGAATCCATCTGAAGGATAAATATCGATATATTTTTTTTCATTTTTCAAATCAGATATCCCCATCGTTTTCATCAATGAGAATGCCATATGAAATGAGAACAATCTCGATTAAAAAAATTGATTGACACCTCATATTCAAAATTTGAAGGAATTTATTCGGGACGGCAGTGACCTGCTGCTCTATGAAACACTACGGGACGCCCTGGAGAAAGTAGGACCCGCGGGACACCTGTCGCTGGTGTTCACAAAGTCGCACAGGAAGGTCGTGGATGGCAACGAGGTCGCGGACAAGCTCGCGACCATGGCCAGGGAGCAAACCGACTACACCGAAGTCGGTGCGAGGGTCACGCACAGACAAGCCAAGCCAGCGGGAGGTCGCGAGGTCCCTGCGGCAGCAAAAAAAGAAGGAGCTGCAGGACAAGGGAAAACAGACAGGAGGGTCCAAGACCTGCACGACACTCCGCCAGGTGTGCAGCCAGCCCGGTCGACAGCGTGGCACACGCGACGAGGGCGGACGAAGTCGCCTACAACGCGGCAAGGATGGGCCTGCTGGTTTCGGACATAACCGGTAGAGACTACGCCTGCCCGTTTTGTCAAGGGCGGACACAAAACCCACCGGCAGCAACGACGGCGCACTTGGTACAGGAGTGCCCGGCCCTGCAACACCTCCGGGCGGTAGACCCGTCCAACCCGGGCGAATTCCGGTCCGCGGCGCTGCAGGAGGACCCGTTTTGGGGCATCGAGTTCATCAGGCTGTTGCGGCGCGCGCTACAGCCGGGTGGGGAGCTCGATGACGATGCAGACTGGGACAGCGACACCACCGAGGACGAGACGCAGCAATACAACACCGGGGCCGAACTTTTCAGCGCAAACAAAGCGCCACCAGGACTCCGCCCACCGCTTCCTCCCCCCCAAACATACTACCGCGGGCGCGGGGCGTCGGAGGGGGCGTGGGGGGGTCCTGACCGGTATTCTAATTGTTTTGGCTACGTTTCCTTGGGCTCCGGCGCATTGACTTCCGCTCCGTTTTCAAATGAGATTGCATTCCCACACCCAAAGTTAAAGTTTCCTGCTTGCGCCTCTCAACATCACCTCGCACAGGAGCCGGCAACCACCGCTGGAGTTTCACCGTACTGGCACCGCGACCCTCGACTTGCACCGGCTTCCACCTCACCTAGCCTGTCGCTACAAGTCGATCCGCGCGACGTAGTGCCCCCGCCCCTCAACACGCACTACCTGAGCAGGCCACATTCATTCCAAACACAGCAGAGCGGTCCACGTCCGCATGCAGACCCAGAGCACCTACGCGAGAAACCGACACGGGCACCCCGGGACGGGGGGTGCCCGAACAGGTATATAAATGAATATAGATTTTGTCGATCCTTTGGTGCTCATGGAATGCCTCCACACTCTGCTGCTCCCGTCGCTGCTCCCCCCTCAACATCCACCCAGGTGCACCCATCCGGCCCCGGGCGCAGCCACAACAGCCAGTGCGACGGCTCTTCGACACGGACTTGGTGGCCGCGCGCATCGAGGATTGCGAGCACTTGCGGCTGGCACCCCGGCGACATCCCAATGCGGGTGCCCCAGGGCGGGGGGCACCCCAACAGGTATAGTTCTACTCTTTATGCCTGTGGCGGTGCATGGCATGGAATGCAACAATATCATGCTGGTCCCGGTGCTCGTCCTCCTCATAATTCCCAGGTCAACCGGCACTGCACGACCAGCGGACGGACCTGGTGGCTTTGGGACGACCGAGACGGCGACCAGGCAGGGCGACAAGATGGAATTAAGGAAGCGACAATCCCCATCCAGGCCTGGCGATACCACGACGACTTCTACGCGCGGGGCATTGCTGCCGACTGCCGATGGCCGGAGATCCGAAATAACCGATTGCGCGCGATAGCGGGGCAAAGCGGTCTACACCTACGCGATCAGGGGGCGGGGGCTCCCGGGCGCGGGGGCTCCCAGAACAGGTATAATTCCATTTCGCATGGCTGTGGTTCTTTTTGGAATGCCGAAGTCCACCACCCTCATGCTGGCGCGTTTGCTTCCCTCCCCCACAACACCCAGGTCCATTCCAACCACACGACGGGACCTAAGTCCGGACGATGGAAGACCGGACACTGGAACACGACCAGGGAACCTTACCAGGAGGCGACGTGGCGCTGACCGAGCAAAAAACGGAAACGATACGAAGAGATTATTGATCGGAGAAAAGAGAAATAGATGTTGATCCAGGAGCTAGCATTTTGCTGGCTCCAGCTGCTTTTAATCGGAAAATATGTCTTGAAATCTAGATCCTTATTTTCGGTTGCAGGTGAAATTGAAGAACAGGAAGATGAAAATCAGAAAAAAATAATCTTGAAATCTAGATTTATTTTTGACAAGAACTACGACTGCAGGAGCTACGAATTATATTTTTTCAATTTTCTTATTCTGAAATTGTTGTTGTATTTGACCTTAAATCCAGATTGTCATTCTACGAACTTGTTGTTGGCTTTTCCATTATTATTTTCAGAATTAGATCTTTACTAAGCTTTTCAAATTGAGTCGGTTCTGACAGGAAAGATCACCAGAGGAAAAAATTGGGATTGCAACGGAACTTCTAGGGCCTTGAACATTTGACGCCATGCCCGGGCATGGAAAGAAAGAAAGAAAGAAAGAAGGAATTTATCAAATGGAAATCTTTCGATTCATCATGATTTTGATTGATATCTCTTTTTCCGGTTTCTCGATGGTATCGAATGTCTAGTGTGAAGGAATAGAAGGGTGTTTTTTTATGTCGAGGATGGTTTGTGTTCGTGCGTAACTTTTCTTTTTCATTGTTTCGACTTTCGGTTCGCAAACTATTTCCATTCATCGTCAACAAAGATCTAGGGCATGAGTATCTCACCATGTGGATGATTCCTCTTTCATCTCCCACATGTGGCGGGGCAAAAATTTCTCGTTGTGTTACGTTAATCAATCTTTTCTGTATGTAAGTAGAAACATAGGTTGTAGATCAATACATAGTCTAAATTGAAGGCAGGCACCAAAACGAACCAAAAATGCACTTGAAGGAATCTTCAGGGTGTTTGTTCATTTCTGAAAAACGATGTCAATTCACATCGGGAAAGAACCTTGCTTGTGGTGCATTTTTTCATTGCAAGAACGCAGCAAAAATTTGCCCGCACATTGTTCATTTGCTACACAGTACTACACGGCTTCTTCTGTTACAAAAAAGTACCTCCAGCTACGCAACAACTCATTGCAACTGCATCTGCCCGCCATGCTGTTGTTGGTTGCTCATGACGCCTCTGCGATTCGGGATGAAAGGAGCTCTGTTTCGCGCTGCCAGTACAGCAGCAGCCCTCCTCTCCTTTTTCCGTTGCTGTTTTTGTTCGAATTGTTATTACATCAATGAGAACTACCTCGCACGACAATGCCGGTATGGACTATGCAGAGAGAAGACGACGTAGACGAAGAAATTGTCAAAATTGGCCGATGAGATGAGCCTGATCATAGAAAACGCAGAAGAAAAAAATGAAAGTCACGTTGCTCTGTCATTACATTACCTTTTTCTCTCCAGGTGGGCACAGGTGGCAAAAAGGACAGTCGTCCCCGTTACTGCATTCCGCGCCTTGTTTGAAAAAAAACGCGCAGGGCTTGCACATCCGATTGGCGTGGAGTTCCGATTCGAGGTTGAGGCTTCTCCGTCCTTGTTGCGGCTGCACTCCCGCAGCGGAAGAAGCAATATGAGCCGCTTGATGCTGTTTTGCGTTGGTTTGCAGTTCCGCTTCCTCAGACGTATCTTCCTCGTAGCTGGTCGGCTCTTCCTCGTCGACCTCCATGTAGTCGTTCTTGCTCTGGGTGTGAGACGGCGCCTCTATTTCCGCGCTTGTGCCTTGATGTTCCTCGTTTATTTTCGTCTTCATCCCCTTTATTCGACGTTCCATCGCATTCCTCCGCCCCTCTTCGGTCAGGTAGTCGCCCTCCATCGGCGACACCACTCCCTGCGGCGACTCGTTTGGCGGCAGCGGTTTTTCAGGCGACAGGATTGCCGGGCCGGATTCTGGCGGTGGATCGACCACGGTCAGAAAGTGGCCCTGCTGTTCCAGTCTTCGATCAATTTCCGCCTTGTTTTCGTTCGCACTCGCACCCTTCGGGAAGACGGGCCTATTTGTTTTCTTCATCAGCCGGTTGGTGAAAACGGGGCGGTTATTCGGTTGATAGTGATATTGGAAATTATGCAGAACGCTGTACCTCCCGTCGTGTGCTGGCCCACGACCTTCTTGGTCGGGCCGAGGCTGCTGTTCCTGCAAAAAGCGGTTGTGACAATCGTGCATAGCGAGCGCAGCGTCGGTCAAAGGCATCATGGGGGCGTGACTGTTGTCCACTGTGTCAGTGCTGTAGGGTGCCGGCACGACCTGGTCCGCAAAGCCGGCGTACAGATAATTCGGATTGGTGTCGTGCTGCTGCCAGTACTCCGCTGTGCAGGAGATTGGGTCTGCGAAGAGCTGCCCTCCGTAGGACGGATCTGTTGGATCAAAAGTGTGATGTTGCTCTTGGTGCTGTTGCCGCATGTCGTATAGCTGCTGCACCGTCGTGAGGGCGGGGACGCTGTTTGCGTTGTCTGCAGCAAGAGTGCCGTTTTGTACCGGGCCTGCCGCGCCATTCCCGACAAATATGCCCGGCGGAGGTGGAACTCTGTCCACTGGGGCAGCGCCAGGGGCTCCAGCACTACTCTCCACGCCGTACATTTGTTGCATGTCGCTCAAATCCGCTTGCAAAGCTCGCCCACCGCTCGCTCCCGCCGCCGTGGGCCAGGCGGAAAAAGGGAAATCGCCCGACATTGCGAGATATCAAATGTAAAAATGTCTGGGTCTGGAAGAGTCATGCTGTTTTTGCATGACACAGAAGGTCTGGCATGGAAGCTCTAGCATCACAGGTTTATAGAGCCTTCCGCAATGCCGAATCCGCATGACAAGTCCCCTATTTTGCTGACAAAAAGTGGGAGCTTTTGCTACGTATGCATGAGAGACTTTTCTGTGTTCTGAAATACGCATTACAAGTTGCATTCTTCCAGACCCAGACACTTTTACATTTGATACGAGATTCTGCCCGGCGAGCTGCTTCGCCGCAGTCAGGTTCGTTTCCCGGATCGCTTCGGGAGCGAAGGGCAAACTGGTGAAGTCCAGCATCCCTTCATCGTTCATTGCGATAATACCGGGTTCGAAGTCGATGCAAGCGGAACTCCAGGTCGGGTCAAAGGGCACAGCGTCAGCAGACAGCTGGGTCGTACTTGTCGGTGGTTTATTGCCTGTAGTGACAAGTTCTCTCATCGAAGCGTTCTGGTTCGTAGCGGGTAGATGCGCAAATGTCGGTCTGCACTCCCGCACCTGCAATTGTGACGGGTTATCGATGGAGGTAGGATAGTTTAAGTTTTCCGCGTCCGTCGTGCTCATGGTGGTTGTGCCAAAAATGGAAGAAGAAGTGGCACCACCTCCCGGTTGGTCGTGCTCCGCGGATTTATTTTCAGGCACCGGAATTTTTGCGGGCGGCGAATTGTCGTCCGTGTGGTCCTTGTCTTCTAGCAGCACTTTACTCGCGGAACTGTTCGCACCTTCGGCTACTTTCTCATCTACAATCCCTGGCTGGTGCAAAAATTTACTCAACTCCAGGATTTTCCGCGGCAGTGCGGGTCCTCTGCTTGCAGCGCCTTGCTGGTTGTCGTCCTCTCTCTTCATGGCGTCTTCATCTTCCGCTTTTTCCGATGGTGTCGGGGAAAAAGCCACCGCCTTCGGGGACCAGGTCGGCGCGGGGGGCTGCCCGGGCTGAGTGTTGGTGTGCCAAAAAGATGGACTTGTGTTTGGCGGGGCTGGGAAGAAAGCAGCAGCTCCTCCTGCACTCGTATTCGGGTCGTAGTACTCGAAGCCAAGCGGTAGGGACAGCATTTGGTCGAAGGGCGACCGAGATCCGGCTTCCACCACGGTCGGATTGCATTGACTTCTCGTCGGCGAAGGGGAGGCCGATGACGCGAGACAGGGGTCGACCCGCTGCTCTTCATCTTGCGATTTGACCAGCTTATTTTCGGTCTGCCTTAGAGAGTTGAGAGTCGCCGCACCAGAGGTGGTTTTCGTTTTCTGAATCTTGTTCATAACCTTGCCTTTCCTCTTACTTGGGCTTTTCTCTGCCTCAGCAGCAGCGTTTCGTGCAGCACTTGCACTTCCACCAGGGACGATGATCCCTTTGCCGAGCAGCCCGAGGCGTTTCAAAGCGTTGTCGCCCTGCAGTCGCAGCTCGTGTCGCTTGAAGGAACCAGGAGCGATGACGTTCGACTGGTCCTGTTGGTTCTCCATGTTAGCCAGCCCGAAGTCGTCCGACGCCGTTGCGGAGGCTGAGGCCGAAGCTGCAAGGAGGTCCGCTGATTGGGATGGTTGGAAAGGTGGCGGAGGTGCAGCAGGGCTATCTTGCCAAAAATACACATACTGCTGTTTGGCAGGAGGAGGTGAAGCCGCCGGTTCATCTGGTACCGCAGCGTCTTTGCTCTCCGAAGCTTCAGCTTTCTGCTCGGCAACACTTTGCGGATGTGGATCAGTGGTGAGTGCAATTTCCGCGTCTTCAGCTGGTTCTTCTGCTGCCGCGGACGACGACTTTTTGACCCAAACACCAGAGACACACACGAGCGGAACGAAAAATGAGAGCAAAAAAAGTGCGTTTCTTGCCGGGCGGACAACAAGCAGCGTCATCTTGGCTTATTTTAGCAAAAAGTGTAAATGAATTGCTTTACATTGAAGATGAAGGATCAGAATTCAAAATTTAGTTTTCTATGTCACTCTCCACCGCGCACTAAAGTGTGGTATTTGTGAGTCGTATCAATTTCAAAAAGGGGCCAAAATAAGTTGACGAGTGGGCCGTAACTGGCGCTAGTAGTACTTGATGGAGCAAAGTGAGAGTTGTACTTTCAGTTCCTGTCGTAATCCATGGAAAAGTAGACGTAGAGGGCTCCCACTTGAACTTACGTACTTCTCGAGAAGAGCAGCACTTCTTCACGGGTACTAGTAGCGAACATCGTAGACGCGCATTATCGCTGCTGCTGCTTCGCATTTTTCGTAATGTGTATTTCATTCATCTCTGAGCGTTGCAAAGTTGCTTGTCGTATACATAGAAAGTAAGTACACAAAAAAGAACTCTGATGTGTACCGGAGAAGGAGATCGCGGCTTGACTCAATTATTACATGCCACGAGGCAAGTTGATTTTTCGCTTTTGTCAACTTTCTTGCACAAACCTTCGAAGTGGATGGAAGCTTCGAAGTAGGTTTTTTCACATCTTCTTCTGGTGTGTCTTGCCCACGTCTACGACCAGGTCATCGTCCGACTCGATTCCAGACGAGGCTGTTGGTTTTTCGACCTCCGGAGCAGCCCCAGCTCCTTTGCGCTTTTTTCCGCTGCCTTGTGCAGCATTGAAGGTCGGGGCGTCCAGCTGAAAATCCGCTTTGGTGGCATTTTCGTCGTCCCGGCGCTGGCGTTGCTCGTGCAGATGATCCAATATGATGCCGAGCCTTTTCCGACTGGCCGCATCAACTGCGAGTTTTCCCGTTCGATGCGGTCCCAGAGACATTGTGAGGTCTCTAGATCAGCCTCTCAAAACTCCAAAAGTCTGCGCGACGCGCAAACGGGGAACGGCTTTGCTTTTGCAGGTAGAGTTTTTCCGTTGGTCGTAAGAGATACCGACAGGCAACTCAACTTTGGCATTGCCGCAATGAATGAACGCACGCGCGCCGTCGCGTGTTTTTGGCTTAAAGCGGGTCTCGTGCTTGAGATGCAGCAGCCGCGTTTCCAGAGATTTGCTTCCGTCGGCCCACATTAGCGTGTAGCGATAATGCGACGGCTTCCTACGTTTCCTGACAGGCTTTACTCGCTCCGAGACTGCTGTGAGCATGGCTGTATACCACCCATCTGTTCCATCGACATGCGGCCACTTCACCCGGATTAAGGTCCCTGCGCGGTACGCGGCCTCGGGGTCGGCGACCGTTTTTTCGTAGCGCTTGACGACGACCATGATGATGATGATGGTGCTACTGAGTAAAGGGCTGAAATAGTGGGATTATCTCGTGCAGATGGAAATGAGGGACTAAAAAATAAACAGAAAAAAAGACCAGAGAGACGCAATGCAGCGATCGAAGGGGGCCTAAAGGCTCGCTAACGCGTTCATATGGAAATGACTTTTGTCGCTTCGGGGTTCGCTTGTCGATCAAAAAACCACACTGACTTATGGTGCCCATTCCATTTCACTGGAGGTGCTAGAATTCCGAGGGTATCTCAACAAGGACTAAGTTGTACTTTGCAGCACGAATTCAAAGACAGAAGACGAGGATCACGTTCGGAATCAATCGGTGAAGCGTTACCAGTCTTATCTTTTTTCTGCATTTCTTTTTTTTCAGATTCAGTGTGCGAAACATAGATAGAAACAAGAAAGTTTGTGCATTCGAAAGACAGCACATCTGATCATTTACATTGTATTTTGTCTGGCCGACGGCACGACTGGTGATTCACCACCTTTGCTGTATAGAAGCCTTCACGTCACCTTCTCATTTGATTGCTTTTTCTCCTCTGCCACGAGAAAAGGTTCGTCCGCCGTGCTCTGTATCGTATTCTCCGGCTTTTCGGTTTGTGGATTGTGATTCTTGTTTGCACCTCCACCAGTAGCAGCCACGACACTTGCCGTGCGCTCGCCCGCCTCGTCGCTGGCCGCTCCGATCTGCTGGTTCTCATGCTCTGGTATCTTCAGTTTCACATCTTCGGCTCCTGCGTCCTTCACCACATCCAGACTCAGCAACGCCACCGCTTTCTCGCTTTCCCGTCTTTTCTCCGCGAAGACGACACTACTCAACGCCGTTTGCAGCGCCGTGCCGGCGTTTCCGGTGTCCCACAACTCTTTCAACCGGATGGTTCGGGGTCGCTGATCCTTGGCGACCGTGTGGCCGACCTTGTTGAAGTAGTTCTGCTGCTTTTCCTCGGACGGGTAAAAGACGTTGGTCTGCAGCCAGGGGTTTTCGGAAAAGCCCTGCACGAAGGTCTTGATGTCCGCGACGTCCTTGCCCAGAACCTGCGCCACCTCTGCAATGCTGCTTTTTGCGGCCGCAAACTGCTCCGGGGTTTGCGCGTAGATGCCACTCCGCACCTTGTCCCCCCGGACATCGAACTGGCCGCCGCCGTCCAGGGGGTCGACGTTGGTCCAGAAAGCGTGGAGAATATCCGGGGTGAAGGGCAGGGAAGTGCGGAACTGAACAGCCTCGGTGTACCTGTTGTTCATTACGTTGAGAGAGCTTCGCTACTTCAGCGGATGAGTGCTTTCAGCGTTAGTGTAGTACATGAAACAACAGAATGCAGCAAAACAGAGATCAACGTAAAACAGATAGAGAGCTCGGTTAATATACAGCTCTGGATCGTGGATGTGGTAATGGACGTAGCGCTCCGGTCCCGCGGTTGGTCCTCCTCCGTACTGTGACCGGCCCGCCTGCAGTTGACCCCGCGTCGTAGCACCGGCGAACGGACCGACCAATCCGGACAAGATGGTTTTGTTCACGCAGGGGTCTTTGGGCGTCAGCAACTCCCGGAGAGCCTCCTCCGCGCACCAAAAACATCCCATTGCAAACATCACTTTGGGGTATTTTATGCATTCGAGCGAACTACCTTCCTGCTCACCGGGGGCCCAGGCGGGCTGGTGGTACTCGGTGGCAGTACTCGTTTGTTCCTTTGCCACCTCATTGAGAAACAGTTTCTTCTGGTTCTGTGTGTGTTCTTGCGTTGTACCCCTGTCGCTGGCTTTTGATGTGGAGGCACGACTTCTTGTCCTCTCCGCGGAAGTCGAGATCTTATGCCGGTGCAGGTTCTGGACCGCCAGCTCGGAGGCAGAGGCGAAGGGGAAGGGGGAAAGCGAGATCGCTAGCGCGGCATGCGAGAGCAACCTTTCCATACTTCTTTGCTGTAGCTTTTCTTGCGCAGTGACGAAATTATACGATTATTCCCCTCGGCCTCGCGCTCGCTCGGACTTGATGCTTTTAGAAGTCACATGTTGCTGTGAATACTCACTGTTTTCTTGGGGACAAAGACAAAAGACGGGAGAACCAATGAATACATGATCGAACAAGCTCCCGCTCATGCTCTGCTCCACTCAACTGTCAAATCTTATGCTTGCATTTTTTAATCCCCCTTGTTATTATGTTTATCTTCGTATAAGAATCTGGTTTGGGAATCAATCGCGCTTTTCTTTTGCCTCCTCTCAATATCGTCGCCTTTGACAACTGAGAAAACATCATTCTAGGGGGTAGTCCAGAATCGCGTCGAATTCTCACCCTTTGAGATAGAAGCAAAGCTTTCTATGTCTACTTACATCCAATGGCGGGGAGGTTCTTTTCATCTGTACAAGAATAGTGCCGTAGTTTCCTTTGGTTATCCTCGTGCCCCATCTAGTTTTCTGTACATTAATTTCGATTGTTGTTGTTCGGCTGGTGGCATCGGAGTCCGATATTTCCGATGCCCTCGCAATAAGGATACCGATGCCCTCCCCCTCGCAGCAAGTATACAATGGTTCAATTTATTAAGTCTACTACTTCGTATTCTGATGCTCTCTTCTCAAAGCATACATCAAACATAGGTGGCAGGGGGCTCCAGCATCCTGAAACTTGAACGTCAGACTTACGGTCAAACTACCGCGCAACATATATAAGGCGTGCTGCGTCAGCGTCCTGTCAATAACAACAGAAAAGGTCAGAATGAAGTCAATATCTGGCAACTGCTACTGAAACTGAGTTCAACACGAATTTGTCGAACAAATTTTTTTTCGTTTACTCCCTCTCTTTTCGTTCCGCGTCACAAATCCCCGAAAAACCTGCTTCACGACATCACCACGGTGTCGGCATGATTGGTCGAAGAGTGCTCATCTTTCGCCGCAGCTGCTGTCGCCGTCGCGGGTTTTTGTTCGGGCTTTTCCGCGCCGCTGCATCCCGGACAGGAGAGAAATGCGCTTTCCGGCGTCGCTTCCGCCACAGCATCCTCGGCCCCACGCGCCGCGCTGTCGATGTCCACAGTCGCTTCTAGTAGTGGACCACCACCGGTGGTCTTGTTTCCGCGCAACGCAACCCCTGCAGACGTAGTGGTCATTCCCATCGCCGACTTCAGTGCGTCCGTAACCCCCTGCGTCCACAGCTCGTTCAGCCTCATCGTCCGCGGCGCCTCCTGGCCGGGCTTCTGGTCCGGGTTCTGGCCGAAGTAGTTCTGCTGCGAGGCTTATCAAGTGCAAATATGTCTGGGTCTGGAACAAGGTTTTGCAAGTTTGTCATGCATCTTTTGGATCATACAGATGCTCTGGAATGCGCGCAAGAGCAATACAAGTTTTGTTCAGGTCTCCCGATGCCTATTCTGCATGAGAAACTTCCTATTTGCATAGCGAAAAGTGGACAGCTTTTGGCTTTCATGCAACACAAATTCTTGCGTAGTCCAGAATTTGCATGCCAAGTTTGGATTCTTCCAGACCCAGACATTTTTGCAGTGCATAAGGCTTCGACCGGGTGGAACTTGTCGGTCGAGGCCATCTCGACGATGAAGGTTTTGATGTCGGCGGGTTGCTTTGAAAGCGCGGTTATGGATTGCAAATATGTCTGGAAACTTGTAATGCTAAAAGTGAATGATAGACGCACTGCAATACGCAGCTATGCATGACAAATTGTATTTTGGCTACCATGTCTTACGTATTCCGCATGGCAAACTGCGTTTTTGCATGACAGATAAGAGGGCTTTTTCGTGCCTATGGAACACAGATTCTCGAGTCATGCCAGACAAGCATGACAAACTTGCACTCTTCCAGACCCAGGCATTTTTGCATTTGATAGCGGTCGCGACCTGGCCGAGCGAAGTTTCGGCCGCGGTTTTTTGTTCTGCTGACTGCGCGTACACGCCGCTGACGTAGGATTCGCCCTTGTTCTGGAACTGGCCGGAGCCGTCGAGGGGGTCGATGTTGGTCCAGAAAGCGTACAGGACGTCGGGCGTGTAAGGGGTGGAGGTGCGGAACTGGACCGCTTCGATGTACCTGTGATGGAAGGAGGAAACTCATCATGGCAGGGGGAGTCTTGCAGTAGGTGCGGGTGCGCTCGGATGTGACATTCAATCTTAGGCAACCCGTTATGCAACTCAAAGCATAGCTGCGAAAGCAAACACCAGCGAAAGCAAACACCAGCGAAAGCAAACACCAGTCAATATTCGCAAATAAATACTAAAATACTTTTCCGGCAGCGACAAATGGTTCGCGTACGTAACTTCGCCCCCGCCTGCCGGCGTTGGCCCCACCAGGCCCGATTTGATGGTGGAAGCGACACACGGATCGGAGCTGAAAACTTCCCGCATTGCCTCCTCCGCACACCAAAAGCAGCCCATGGCGAAAACAACTAGCGGATTCTGGTCGCAAGAAGTGGTTGAAGCTGCCGCGGTGACGGGTTTCGTTCGTTGCCCCGTTTGCTTTTCTGAAGATGACGCTGCAAGTGAACCGGTACTGGTTCCCGCCGCGGGTGCGGCCTTCACCCATTTTTCCCCAAAACCCGTGCCGCCAATGTCCATTTCGGCACTGCCGTCGTCCTTCAGCGTCACACTCAGATCCCCGTGGGCCTGCATGCTGTGCTGTTTCGTTTCATCGGTGGGGTCGCGCTGCAAGTCGCCGGTTTGACCTTGAGTGAAAGGAGAGATTTGGTTCGATAAGCTACTCATGCCATGAGTTTGCCGGGTAGTTCACATGGAAATGGAGAACCAACATGAGCGATTTTGTTCAATTTCTTCTATACCTTTCAGCAGCTTCCCGCCATTTTCGAACGAAATTCCGTAAATTGTGTCGTGAAGCGCCCAACTGCTCCCGCCCCCGGCTCCTAGCCACACCCACATATCCTTTGTGGAATCCAGCTCTCCTGCTTTTTCCGGAAACACCGTCTTATCCGTGTTTTCTTTGCTGTTCCCCTGGGTGTCCTTGTCTGCTGCGGTGACGTAGATCGCACCGCCGCCGCTACTGTAGATCCCGTAGTAGGGCGTGCGTGGGTCGTCGGCGGTAGCTGCGGCTGCGGACGCGTGTTTCTGCGCTCGACGCTGTTGAACGGTTTTCGCAACTGCAAAAGAGGTGGTGAATGATGATAGCGAAGGACCCGAAAAGATTGGCAGCAACGCAGAAGTAGCGAAGAGCCGGGTCCTTAAAGAGCTACCGGCAGAGTGGGCCTCGTGTCGGCGGGCGAAAAGGGCCGACATGGTTTCGACAGCACTGAGCGGAGTAAACGTAGTTGATTCAAAGAACAAACAGTGCTGTTGCGCACTGTCAAAGTCGGAAACTACCACGCTTCCTCCTTCTCACTGCAAGATGGAAAAAGCGTAAGCGTGACGAGGTTTTGGCACTCAGAATGCAATCATGTTTATTGCGAACAAGAAGAAAAAAGACGATGTAGACGCTGCCCACGAATAGTCCGACGACCCCGAGCCCAGTGCGACGTCAAAGCAATGTAAAATGACGAAGGTTTATTTCATCATGTATACTTACTTAGTCTTCCAACGAACAAGCGCAGCCCGATTGTATGCAAACGCCGCTGACGAGCCTGAGGCGCTGCATTTCTCATTTGAATATAATAGCGCGAGCGAAAGCGTAAGTACTTGAACGTGCGTTCCTGCTTGGGTCTCTTAGGAATTTCATTCTTGAGCTGAAGTTCTTGTATATTTGAAAGAGTCCTTTGCGTCAGACCTGAGATAATATTTCGTGGACTCTTCTTTCATTGGTATACTGCTCTGGACTCTGTCTCTTGCTGTTGTCCATGACAACTGCACCGAACTCTGCATTCCGGATCTCCTCAAGTGTTGGGAAACTCTGCTGCACCCCGGCTTTCGAGACTGAGAGACTTGCTGCTGCACAGGCTATGCGGAGTATCTCGGCGTCATCTTCTGGCATATCGCACCGGCAGAAAAGGAGAGCGAGAACGCCCAAGAAACAGTCTCCTGCCCCGACGGTGCTAACAAGGTTTTTAATCTTGCCGGGTACCGCACGCACCTCACCGAGGTCATCTTCTTTGCCTTCATTATTGTTACGTTTTTGCCGTACCATGAGAGCACCCTTTTCGCCCAGCGTAGCAACTACGCATGGCCACTCGGAATTTTCGAATTTCGGCTTCAATGCAGTAAGCAAACCCACACTGCAAGCTACCGGCCGGGCCTTCCATGTTTCCCCTATGGCTTTCTTTACCTTCTGCGGCACTACTGCTTCGAACAGCTCTTCGAGTTCTACCTCGTTTACGCAGATGCAGTGCGCCAGCTTGATCGCCTTCATGATTTTCGTGTGTATCGCACCACTGCGAGCGCCGTCCGGGACGGGGGCAACATTTAGGATCGTGCGTCCCTTGATCGCAGCTCGAACTGGAATTTTGCAGTGTTGTTTCCATACATCAAGAGCTCGGCAGAAAGATGACCATAAGATGAGGATCGTATAGAAATCAAATAATGTCTTCTACAACAATCACAACTTACATGCAGTACCAATTTCCATCGCACGAATGGTGACATCCAGCGGCGACTCGCACTGGCAAACCAGGACCTTGCAGCGAGATAGCAATTTCTTGCAGGATTCTGACTCGATGTCGGCAATAGTCAAATCGTCGTTTGCTCCGCCGGCGACGATGATGGAATTTGTGTTTTCTGCGATCGTGATCGACGCTATACCCGACGGCTTGTCATTCGATGTGAAAACCCATTTGTCAGACACGCCGTTTTTCCGCAGATTTTCCCTCGTCGCTCTCCCTATCTCGTCGTTGCCAAGCTTCGAAATCAATGCAACTTGTAGTTTTTTTGTCGTCGCCTCGCGATTTTCGTTCGCCTGTACTTGCTCCGTTTTCTGTTTCTTTGCTCGGGGGGAGGTGGGCGACGAGGAACTCTGCTTTGCTTTCTGTTCCGGTCCTATCGACAGCAAGAGCTTCCCGGCCGCAACCGCTTGATTCGCGCCTTTTCCGCCAAAGCACTCTTCATACTTGTGACCGAGGATTGTCTCCCCGGGCTTGGGGAATTTGTTCGCATGGACGATGAGATCCTTGTTGCAGTTTCCGAGAACAACGATCTCCGGGTAGTGCTCGTCGTGGTCAGCGGAACTGGAACTGGCTGCCATTTTGTCTAGAATTTACGACAGTCGTGTGCATTCAACAAAAATGCGATTTACCACGATAAGAAATAGGCTTTTGAAGATTGATCGTATAAGGAACGGCACACTACAACTGCATCACCACCCCGAGATCCTCTTATCTTATTCAGAATTGGTTTGCTTGTGGGACGAAAAAAGAGATCTGTGTATCATCTGCTTCCACCACAGCAAATCGCAACAACACCGGGACTCCTGCAACTGAAAAACTGCACAACTTTTCTTTTCCTGAATAGCTCTGTTTGTTGTTCAACATGATCGTGAAGATTCAAAGTAGATTCATCCAAACCGTTCATCTGCTTGTCCATTGCCTTGGCAAAAACTCTTTTCGCAATTTTGGTTTTCGCGTTCACGACAATTTCCTGGGTTCTTCGCATCCAACGTATCAGATAATCATCGGAGAGCTTCTTCGCCAAGTCCGTCATGTTGTGAAACTGCACGACATGCGGGCCCCAGCTGTAGAAGTCCAGCTTCGATGCCCAGTAGTAAAACGCCGGCTTGGATTCGAACATGCGGAACGGGCTGTATTTCGCGGTCCTTGGGCAGAAGCGGTTGCAGTTTTCCGCCGGTTCTCCTCGGAGCTGTTTCGCTTCGTTTTTCTTATGCGAGTGCACGACCTCCCCCTCATTTGTATGGCATGAACAGCAATACAAACACCAGTACAGGTGGACCCTATGCATGACAACTTCATGCGCGGCATTTAGTACTGTTTGGGATTCCGAAATTTGTCATGCACACAGTGGCACAGGGCAGCAACACAACTGGATTTGGGTTTTTGCATGACAAATGGGGGAGAGGGGAAGCTGTGCACTCTCATACTTCTGTGAAGTCGTTGTGAACACCCCGTCCTCGTCGTCGACAAACGGGACATCGAAGGGCAAAACCGTGTCTGCTTCTGTGGCTAGATGCTTCTCGTAGTTCTTGAAACCTTCTGGAACCGTTTGCTCAGCGGCGAGGATTGAGTCTTTCTCCGCTTCTGTCAGCCAGCCGAGCTCTTTGGCAGTGAGTAAGGAAGTTGTTCTTGACTCGGGCGCTTGATCGTCGGTGGCGTTCAGGAAGTCATGCGGGGAGAGTGTCGAGGTGCTTGCGTCTATTTCTGATCCCTCAGCACTGTTGTTTTTTTCTCCCTCCTCGTTATTTGCTGGAACGGAATACAGCAGCTTTCTCTTTCGCAAAATCTCTTCCATGGGTCGAAACGCCTTTCCGCTGTTGCCGTAATAGCTCGGGTGCCAGGAGTACAAGATCTCGTTTAGCATCACACTTCTCGAGTACGTGCCGAGGTACGGATCGTGGTCTTCTGGTGCTGAATTCGCTTCAGGTTCTCCTGCTCTTTCCCCAGAAGTCGCAGTACCGCCCTCCTCGGCCTTCGCCTTCCTCTCAAAAAACGCCTGTCTTTCCAACCGTCTCAGCACCACCCGCTGTAGGTGGAGGTGCCAGCGCCAGAGTAAGGCGACCGAGGGGGCGAACAACGGGATGCCCAAGGCGTGCGCCTCGTGCCAGAACATGGGGACGGTGGAGTAGGGCATAATGACCATGGCCTTCACATCCCTCAAGACGTCCGCCCATTCGTATTTCCGGTTCGCGAAGTGACGGCCCCAGCTGCTCAGGATCACGGGGGCGTGGGAAAATTCCTCTTGCTGCGTGTCTACTTGGTCGACGGTAGACCCGCTTATTCTTTCCGCCGTTCCCGGTGCATGAGTTGATTGTGATACAACAGCATGTTCCGTTTTGCCGTACAACAGACTCCCTTCCTTCCTGCTTTTCACCACCGCGTCCTCGTTGTAGTCTCGGCACAGCCGAAACGAATTCCGCAACCCCATCCGCTCGACGAGCAAAACTTCCCACCTGGTCGTTTTCTCCGCGCCCGTTTTCGCCGCCTCCTTCTGGATCCACTTCACAAACCGGGAGTACAGCGCGGAAAATTCCGGCCAAGGATACGGGGATTTTTCGGCGGACGCCATCATCCCGCGGTCCGGGTCCCAGAGCACGCGCCACAGGTCGGCCTGGTCGTATTTGCATAAATGTTCTGGGGGGATCGGGTCTACTGGTGGTGGAGATGATGGTGCGGGTGGTGGTGGTTGTATTGCGGTTTCCGTTTGTGCTTCCTCGCCTCCACCAGCGGCGTTTACTGCTCCATCCGAAGAAAGCCCCACATTGTCTACTTCGTGCTCCCTGTGCGTCTTCGCGTCCGACCCCACCGCGGACAAATACAGGTAGTCTTTCACCCTTCGCTTCGTCTTTTCGTCCGCACTGGCCGGTACGAAGGTCTCGTGCTGGATTTTCACGAAGTTGTCGAGCCGGTCCGCGGTGATCCTGGCTTTGTAGATCTGCCGGAGCAGCTCCTGCACCTCCAGAATCCAATCGCCGACCTCCGTCCGCACCCACTCAACCAGCCAGGCATCACCCGCGGACCCGCCGTGCGCACCGGGAAGCTTGCGGCCGCCGAACAGGACGTATTGGAGGTGGGGGTGGTGGTCTTCGGGCACATCGACTGCAGCTCCTTCAGGTGTCACAATTTCGCTGTCGCTGTTTGAAACTGGCGAAGTGGTAGTCATCGTCGAGGGAGCACTGCTCAATTTTACGAACCCCGATTCCTCCGCGTGGTACCTTTCCCAAGCGTCTCTCGTCGCCGGATCCGCCAGCAATGCGTCTCTCGTTGGGTAGACGATGGGGAAATCGACAAAATTTTTCCGCCCAGCTAGGTAATCCAGAAACGCCATGTCGAAGGTGCTGACGGCCACGGACACCAGATTCCGGTTTTGCAACACGTCGTCGAGAAAAAACGCTACATCTTGCTCCGTTTGCAGCCCTATCAAATGCAAAAATGTCTGGGTCTGGAAGAGTCTGAGATTTGTCATGCATGTTTTGCATGACTCGGGATGTCTGTAATGCACGACCGCTCATCACAGACTTTGAGAGGGCTTCCTGATGCCTACTCCGCATGACAAACGCCCTCCCCGCGTAGCACAAACTAGACTCCTCTTGCTGGTCATGCAATACAGATTTTTCTAGAGTCCAAAGCAAGCATCACAAGTTCCAATCTTCCAGACCCAGACATTTTTACAGTTGATAAGCCCCGCGAGATTCAAGTGCGGCACGTAGACGGTTTTCACGTCATTCAGGAGGCACACCGCGGGCGTCTGCCGGCCGCCGTACATCACGCAAAGTTTGTACTGGGCGAAGAAGTCCCTGTAGTCATTCCGCAGCGCGTGCTCCCTTTCCGACCACCTTCCCTGGCGCAGAGCACCAATGAGGGCACCTTCAAGCGTGTTGGGGACCGGGCAGAAATAGTTCTCGGAATCGATCCAATGAAGCTGGAGCTTGGCGAACTGCCGGTGTAATGCTCTTGTGGGGATTTGTGTCGTTCTTGGCGGAGAGTTTGTACTAGCTATGCCTGATTCACCATCCGCAGGCGGTGGTGGTATTTCGGTGCCTGTTGGACTGGCTCCCCGTTTAGTAGTTTCTTGCTGCTCGTCGTCGGTTGTAGCATGTCCAGATGAAGCAGTTCCAGTTTCCGTGCCATCCTCGTCCAGAGCAGGAGCGACAGGCTGAGGAGTGGCAAAACCTTGGTGGCAGTAGTCGGGGAAGTATTTGAATTCTGGCGTTCTTATCGCGTACAGGTCTTCCATGAACAGCGTGACTGTCGGCTTGTTTTCCGCCGGTCCGGGGAGTTGCTGGAGGTAGTTGCGAACCTGCTCAATGCCGATCTTCACCACATAGTGCCAGTCGAGGATCAGGATTTCAGGCTGTTTTGGTGCCACGGCGGCCCCAGTGACACCAAGTGGCGTCTGTTCGCTTGCGCAATGAACAACCGGCAATGAGGACAACAGAGAGTCCTGCACGAAGTAGAGAAAGAGGGAGAGCACAGACATGTTTGCAGCACCTCCAGAGCGCCCAAAAAAAAAAGACACACAGTAGTTCTTGCAGAGCGATGAGAAAGAGAATCACGATGAGACATGTTTGGATACTCTGTACAAAATGATGCGGCATGCGTCCTGGGAACGACCGTGACCGAAGCGAAGATCAGATGCCAGCGGAGTTGAATTACAACACAATTACAAGGTGACGACAAATCACGTTGAGCAGGAAAAAAATGCGCTGTTGTTCTTCCACTGCAACGCTCGCACTTTTTCATGAAGTTCAAGCTGCAAGCAACTCTACGAACAGCCTGGTAAAGTCTATTGTTCTTCTATTCGCAACCGAGCCCGACTGGGGGGCTTTGGGAACCCTTACAGGGTTTTTTGGAATTTCTCGCTCGCAACATTGCTTGTTTAGGGATGTAGTCTCATTTATTTCGTAGTTCTGTGATTTTGATTTATTGATATTGCATAATTACAGAGGCCGCAGCACTCGTTCGGAAGTAGCTCACAGGAACGGTTCATTTGATATTGTTTGTTAGTACATACTTTTTATTTAGTGGCAATAGCGCATCAGGAAAATCTACTGCCACTGCGACAGAAACTAGTTATATATTTGAAGCGGTTTTTGCTGTGGTCAGCAGTTGTCTCGTCCACGAGTGAAAATACTGGCGCATAAATCGTTTTGCATGTTGCCAACTTGTCTGATACACGTCGGCATCAAAAATGTATGAGGGGCTGTGTCCCGAACCATGCTCACTTTGCTCCATAATAAAACAGGTAGGGGCGCCGAATGGACTCAATTGAAAGCGATTATCAGACAAATCGTAGGTGTCGTACGAAATGTACTCACCGTCACTGGTGGGCGCAACGTTTCTCCTCGTTGCCTCGTTGTGTGCATCATCTGCCTGCGCGAACTTCTGGTCCAGCGCAAGTAGCAGCTCTGCCTTCTCGCCGTCAATGGTTGCGCGCATCTCCCGCGCTCCGCGCGATTCCCCGTGGGCGCCCAACATGTCAATCGCCATGAGCAGAAGCGCCTCGGGAACTCGGTCGTGAGCGTACTCGCGGATCGGTATATCGCTCGCCTTACAACTAGGAGCATTGACAACAGCCGCAATCACATCCCAGCGCTCGGAAGCGGTCCAGTCGTCGTATTCCCGCATGCACCAGAGAACCCAGAAGAAGAACTCGTAAACCTGTTTCGCCTTCAAGTCTCTCTGCGCTGCGTCTTCGTTGTCGGCGGGAACGAAAAGCGGCGTCTTAGCGCAACTTGTCACGGCCGCGAGGAGAAACCGGCGCAGCCAACGAGCCAGTGGCTTTGCACCGAATGGCGTGCGCAAGATGGTGATCCAGAAGTCATCAGTTGCGTACCGCCGGCTGTAGCGTTCCAACGTGATGTCTGTGAACGGAGGTACGCGGTTGTTAGCGTGACGACCTGCGCGGTTGTAGGTAGCGAAGCCCGCAAGAGTTTTTGCGAAATCGACACTATCATTACCCAATTTGTTCCAATCCGTAAGTACGTGGCACAGATCGTCTTCGTGCAGGTCGTCTTCAAGTTGCAGTTGGCATGATGCACCCTCTTCAATCATTTTCATCAGCTTCTGCCTCCGCAATGAGGACGCTGCGGGCTGGCGGCTGTGCGACGCCTTTCCGTTTCGGATAAAGAAGCGCCGCGGCTTTTCATAGTTCATTGTCAAGCCAAGCTGTGGGACCCCAAACAGCAAGACGACCGACCACCTCGGCTCCCGGCGCTGGAGGGCGCACTTGAGAAACTGCACCGGGTCGACGCCGCCCGCTTCATCTTTCTCGCAATTGTAGTAATACCAGCCCGCCCGTTCGTACTCGTCCAACGTGAAAAAGAGATCAGCGTTGGCGGCGGGAGTTTCGGCGGCGCAGAATCGCAACTCCGGGCCCTCGATTGCTACATGAAGCACATCGCCGTCCTGGAGATCATCCTCCGCAGAGAAGGCAAAACAGGGGAGAGACCCTTCTTTGCCCGGAGTGCTTTTTCCGCTGAGCTTCGAACTACCGGCGCTCCGTTGGGGTGACGGATTTTCTTTTTCCCCGTGCATCGGACTGTCATTCATTTTCTGCCGCGGCAGGGGCTCTACCTCCTGGTCAGTCTCGCCGGAACCGTCGCTCGCATCGCGCGGCTCTGCAGGATCGTTCTCCTGAACGACCGAGTCCGCACTCGCCACATCGGCCTGCTTCTCGTCATCCTCATCCTGCAAGAACCGGTAAAATTGAATCAGCACTGGGGGAATCTCATTGTCTTTGTCGTCGGTGGGGATTTTTGGCGCGACCTTGGTTTGCAGCTCGCGAAAGCGGTCCTTCTTGTTTTTCGACTTGTAGTTTTCGATGGAAACGGCGAAAGAGTCGTCTTCCGAGCCATCCAACGTCAACCGCCGGACGTTCACGGAAATGGTGGACATTATTCTAGGATTTGTAAAAAAACCTGTTGCTCTACTTCAGCCGTCTTGCATGAATTTTTCTCTGCTGTTGCAATAAATTATATTTGAAAGGTTTGAATAGCCGAGAATCACGAGGACGGACGTAGGGCAAACCAAAAGAAAATCAATTCTGAAGGACGAGGGTAAACGGATGTCGTTGCTATGTTGGTGTTTCATTTGCTTTGGAAGGATGGAAGACATCAGACGCACCAATCAATCTTTGCAAAAACTCTCATGGCTACGACCCTTTGATAGGTGCGACAACAAAACAATAACTACCGAAGAAACGAAGGACTTACGAATCTACGACGACGACGTTTTTTGCTCGTCTTGTCGATGCGAAGTTTCCGCCCAGCTACACTCTCTCGAGCAAGAACCCGGTAGTTTTCGGTCTCTCGCGCGAACGAAATATCGACCGAAAAGATGAAAAGGGTTGAACAAGAACACATCTGCTGCGAATTCTATTCATCCGACTCACAAGCAGGGTGTAGCTAAAGCCTATGACTTCGCAGGGCGGCAGCTACGGTCGAAACACATGCTTTTGATGGGGCTTGTGCTTGCGGAGTCGTCCGCGCTAAAAAGTGCTATGAATGAAAAACGTTTCTCACAGGTACACACAGCTGTTTCACAAGGTCCCACGGCAATTTGTCCTGCGGTAGACTAACGACTTTCACTTCGAAAAGAGTATTCCACAGCTTGCCCGTGACAAACAGCCGCCCGGACTTTTTATCATACGCGATTCCATTGAAGACTTCAGCTTTTTGTCCCAGCTCGTGGTCCATGCGCAGATCGTACCCTAGGACGAAGCCTTTCACTTTCCCCGTTTCCGGATTCAGACGCGCAATGCAGTCCTTGCCGTAAATGTTGGCCCAAAGTTCACCGGGCGTCGTGGGTTGGGATTTTTGTCTTGAGCTAAAATACGACGTCCCACCAGCATCGTCTGACGTAGCTCCACTTCGAAACAACGGTGCAGAAATGAATTCAAGTTCGTTCGCCATTTGAACAATTTTGTTGTGCTTGGCCTTGATTTTCATGCCCGTTACAGTGCGAACGCCCGTTATTCTTCGTGGCCGCCCAATGTCGGTTTGCAAACCTGCGGCAGCGTGGTCCTTCTCTACCTCAGTGCTAGAAGACGTGCGAGTCTCGTACTCGAGCTCCAGCTTGTACAGCCTGTCACCCGAATCAGTCGCGTAGAGAAAGTTCTCGTCGTTCGTCAGGCCCCAGCCATCCTTGTAATCGAAGTTTTTCAGCTCGAACGTCGCTATACGCCGGAAATTTTCGTCGTACTGGTGTATTTCAGCCTTCTGCCACACAAGTTGCCAGTAGAAGTTTCTGAAAAACGTCGCTCCCTCGCCGAACTCGTGTTGCGCCTGCTTGTATTCGAAAAAACTGGACGCGGCTGCTGCGGTCGCGGTGTCCACTTCATCTATTGCGTCGTCAGCAGAAGTAGTTGCTGTAGTGCTGCCCATGTCGATGCGTTTCAACAGTTTGCCGTCGGACAGCCGTCTTTTTTGCAACGCGCTTTCCCCGTAAATGCCAAGCGACTCGACAAAAACCAAATCATCGTCCGCGGGCCGGTCGGTGGGAGATGCTGGGCTCGCACCTGGTGCTGGTGATGTTCCGCTAATATTTTCGTCCACGAATAGCCCTTGCGTGAAACTGGTTTCCGCGTGCGGATAGGCTCTGATCACTTCCAGCTTGTGTACATAGTCTCGTTTCTTTGAAGAAGGGGCTCCTACCTTCCTCCTCGCAGTTCCCGATCGAGTTGCCGTGGCAAGTTCCTCTGCTTCCTCTTGGAAAAGGATATTTACATTCGACGGAACTTCCTCAAAGACGGGCGTTGCGGTCTTCGCGCCGAAAAACTGCTTGTTGAAAAAGTAAAAGTCCTCCAGTTTCTGTGGGTCGTGCCGGTACAGCATGTAGATAACGAAGGAAAGTAGGGAGAAAAAGAATCCGAAAAAGCTTTTCCAGGCGGTGATATGTCTGCTAAACCGGATGGAGCCGAAAGGGGTGCGCAGAATGGTGAAGGAGAAGTAACCCTGAAACCAATTCCATCTGCGACCGCGGTGTTGCGTGCGAAACCACCGGGAAAGCGTGCGCCGAACGTGCTGCCACATGATGAATGTCTTCTGTGTTGCATCTGCGTCGAGTACTTATGCGATTTCTCTACGCGACCGCGATCGGAGGCGAGGTGTAAAATTCTATTGGGAAAAATTACAAGCTCAAGCTTCTTACAGCGAGGAAACACACTGGACGAATATCTATCTTGGATCACGATATGACTAAAACTTCAGAATCAGAAGTACTGGAGACTAAACAGGGAGCTCGCTTTACTCTGAGTGATCAACGCGTTTTGTACCTCCATGTTGACAGATCTTGTGGTGACCTTGACCGCTTTTTTGATCGCGATAGCCAGCCTGGAACACTTGTAATTCCCATGTATGCAACAAGCGGGTTGACAGCAGCAGTGCACCAGTATTGTTTATGTTGGGTTTTTGTTTCGTCAGACCATGTGGTTTTGCAAAGCGCATGCGAATGCTAAACACTTTTCCGGTTGCATTTGACAAACATGAAAAATGTGAGGGAGGCAGATTCATCGAAGGACCCGGAGTGCCGCGGGCACCTACTTTTTCATTCATCTTACAGCCTTTTGCCCAAGAACTGTCATTGGTGTGCGCTGAAGCTCAAAGTCAAACAAGCACGTAGATCATACACAGAGCACGACTGGCAGCTATAATCACCACAACTATCGGTGTAAGTAGGTTCAAACCCTCGGCAAATCGTCCAGCGCTCGCTGTCGGATCCACGCCTCCAGCTCATCCTCTTCTTCCACCAACTCGGGGTGCTCGCGGAAAAACTGCCGAATCTCCTTCTGCAATTTCTGGTTCCGCCGCACCACCTGCCCCGGAACCACCGCATTCCAGAAGCAGCCAAAACAGCCGACAAAACACCCCTCCACGACCTTCGGCTGGTACGTGATCCGGGCGTGGTTGCCCGGAATCGGGGGCCGCCCCTCGTAGACGAACTCGTCGCCGTGGATCTTCCACTTGCCGTTCTTCCTTAAATGTTCCTTCAGTGCCCATCTTTCGTAGCTGTAGGTATCTCCGAGCGCGGCGACCGGCTCCTTCATGGGTACGAGGGTTATGGGGCAGCAGAACCGGTCCGGGATGCCAACGGGGAGAAGAGAGTTTTGTGAGTCGTAGAAGTCGTCGGAAGGACTTGCGTTGGGCGGTAATTCGAGTTGGGGTGTAGAACTGGAAGGCAATGAAGCGCTTTCCTGCCCTCGTGAGACTGCAGTCACGCTTCTATCAGCCTCCCAGCTGCTCGCAGGACTGGCATCTTCTACTTCCGACGTAGTGCTATTTCCAGCGGTGGTGGAGCTGGCTGTCGACAAAGGGGAGGAGTCGTCCTGATCGACTGTGCTAGCAATATCAGTAGTGCTTCTACCTGACCCCGAGCTGCTAGAGATGTTGTTGTTCATCCACGTTCTACTCTGCCGCCGCCCCTTGACCGGTGAGCAGATTTTGTCCATTAATTTTGCGCACGCCTGACCAGTGGAACTGTTTCTCCGAAGTAATCCTGGACTAGTCCTCGTGGACGAAGTACTTGGTTGACCAGCCGCGGTTCGCGCACTCTGCACGCTATCGAGCACGGCAAGCGGCAACGGGAATGGCGGCAGAACGCTGTGCTGGATTGCATTTGCGGGGAAACGGTGGTTTTCGGCAGTGGAGTCGTTTTGGAGAATTCGTTCTGGCTCTTCTTGCGCGGGGCTTGTGGACGACGGGCTTGTGTACGCAGGACTGGTGGAGGACGGACTGGTCGACGACGTCGTGGGCAATGAATTGTCTATCTCCATCGGAACAACAGTACTAGAAGAACTCCCGCCTTCGCCGAGAGCAGCAGCCGCAGTCGTGTCAATCCCCATCGACCGCGCAATGGCCAGGTCGCTCCCGCCGTCATGATATCGACGAGTCTCCCGCGTGCCTGCATTTTCGCTGTCTTCTACCGCGCTTAAAAAACTCGCGGGCGGCGGAGACGAAGCTCTGCTAGTCGGAAAGGTGGAGCTGGACATTGTACTTACGGACAGCGACGCGGAAGAGGAATCAAGATGCGTATTCGCTGCACCAGGGTTCGGATGATCGATTTGGCGAGCCAGCATTCGGATGTCGAGATCGGGGTTATTCGTTTCTGGTGGTCGTTGTGGCATAATTGTGCCATTATTACGTCGAACAGCAGCATTATGCAAGAAAGAGCGCTCCAATTCCTCAAGATTTCGATTGACCAAATTGTTCGCTGCTATCAAATCGGCCATCTCCTGCTCTACAGCTGTCAGATGCCGCGAGATCGGATTGCTTCGCGCAAGAGGAATGGTGCGCCGCGGGGTCGTCGAGGCGGTTCTTGCTGGTGGTTGGGTGTGTCTCGCTCTGGAACTACTGGTCGGTAGAGCTGCTGCAGCTGCCCCTGCTGTGCTTGATCCAGCAAAAGCAGCGGCACTGCGTGGCCTTTCTTGTAAAGGAAGAACTACGGGCGCGGGCGTAGGTGTGGTCGCCGTTAAAGGTTCGCGTACTGCTGGCACATCGTCACTTGTAGGAGCTCCTGCTCCGATGGTTGGAGGTGTACCTTCCGGGCCCCTAGCAGGCAAAGCGTTGTTCTCATCTGGCAGAATGTGCCCCCGAACCAAAAATTGATACATCCACCAGTCGCTATCTGCAAGGGCACGGAGGAGATTCGCTTCGTCAAACACTGCCCCAGTGGTGCTGTCGAAGACATCGTTTGCGGCGTTTTGGAGGCTCGTTGGAACAGGATCAACACGATTCGCAGCCGTTGCTACTTGGGACGATGGAGCAGAGGCTGCATCTGTATCTGGAACTGCGTCGAGATCAGAACTAGAAGAACCTGTTTCGACAACGCCGCTAGAGGCTGACGAGGACGGTACTGTGGTCGTAGTGGTCGCTGCAGAAGTTCTTGCAGTGCTACTCCTCGCCCCCCCAATAGCGGACGACAGTGGTCTCCAACCGTAAAGAGCTTCCAACTGTCGCAGTTGCAGCTGCCGGGAAAGCGCGGTCCGCCGGCGGAGGTAGGGCAACGCTGCTTCCGTTCCAGAGGGGAGAAAGAAGAAGTGGGGCAGGAACGATGAAAAGTGCAAAATTGAAAACAGTTGTTGTGAAACGAGAAAAAATATTTTATGGAAGTAACGCGAAGGCGAACATGGTTGACACTCAAGCATTTTGTAATTGATGAAATTGAAAAGCGGCAGCGGCAGGTGATCTTATGCGCGACGGCCACTTCAAAAAGAAAAGGGACAGGGCTAGTTACTACTAGTATTCTTCGGGTGTAATTACTGATCATGTTGGCAACAAAAAAGAAAAAGAAACAAGAAAAGAGGAATAGGAACTACTGTCCGAACACTTTGACTTTTGAGTTTGCGACGTTGCAAAAAAAACCAATTTCGCAAGCACGGGTCTGTGCGTCGGTCTTCGAAGTAAAGTAATAGTCTTAGTCGCTTTATTCAAACGCTATGATGAAATTGGATGTCGTTACACAGCTGCGAGTGAAAACACGTAAAGCACACGGCTCACGTTTCGGTGCAAATGTTCGCACACAAGATCTCTTTCGGTACCTACGGATAGTGGGTGTGACTGGAGCGGTTTCTTGACGACAAGAAAGCCGTGGTGTTTATCATGCAGGGCACTGCAAGACAGATCCGCTTTGTCTTGCGCAACCGCCAATTGAAAATCGTTTTCCAACACGTTATCGAAAACTTCGGTCATATCGTCCATCAAGTCTTCCCGGTCGGTGCTAAGGTAGAGGTAACTTGTACTGCTGGTGTACTCGCTTGATAGTTGCACGTCGACGTCTGCTGCATCTGTTCTGTCGCTGTGTTCGCCGCCTGTATTTTCCGGCGCTGCAGGGGAGGCAGAAATAATAGCCTTCCTCATGCGCCGGTGCAGCCACGAGTTCGAGTTCGAACTTCGTTTTCTTGCGCCACTTGCTGATGGACTAGAACGGCTTCGGTGCCGCTGCTCTTGTGCCACGAGTTCTTCTTGCTCCGCCGCGTCGTCACCTACTTCCGAAAGAACGGTGGAAGTGTCAGCAGCCGTGTCAGGCGTGAGGGTTGTTGCGGGGGAACGTAAGAACTCCCGTGTCGCGTCGTCCATCTTCGAGGAGCCTGACGATGGTGTTCTCGTTCTGAGCATCCTCTCCAGCAACAGCTTTGCGAACTCCGGATCCACCAACCTCCGTCGCAAGTGTCGCGCTTTCGCCCAGGGGTCGGGGAATTGAATCGCGACAAAAGGGATGTTGGTGTTCGGGTTGGCCTCAAAAAGCGTGTCCCAGTGCGCGGGGTTCTTGCAGTTCATGCTGCGGAAATGGACCTCGAGGTTGGTACCTGAGTGGCTGATGGTTTGTTCTTGTTCAGATGGCAGTACTAAGGCAGCATCAGTAGAAACATAGTTCGCTGCGTCTTCCCGCTGGTATCCCTTCGCTACTGCTTCTGCGTTCGCGGCTTGCACCAGGTCCGGCCGAAGTTCCAATCCTAGAAAACACGGGAAATTTTTTTTTGCGACTCTGTCCTTATCCCGTGTCGCGTGCTCGGCCAGGTCGAGAAGCCATCGTCCTCTGGCGCAGCCGATGTCGAGGAGGACGTCTTGCTGCGGTGTACTACTGCTTTTTTGCAAAACGAGTGGCTCCGGCGCATCCCGCACGCTGTCCGGATTTTGCATCCGCTTGCAGCTAGCGGAAATTCGCTTCGTCGCGTCGTGCTGTATCAAGACGTCCTCAGCTGGTCCCGACGGTGAAGAAACCAACGCGCTATGTCTGGAACAGAGCCCGTCGGCGGAGACCAGCGCCGCGTTTTTACATCTGCGTTGCCCGTGGATCACGTACTTGCACTGGTTTTGGAAGGTTTCTGTTGCCACTGAAGCTAGGTATTCAGCCTGCTTCGCTGGGTCGTGAAGGAACTTGCAACTGTCGCCAAATGTGCACCGCCCTTTCTGAAACCGCTTGCAATGCTCCGGTTTTGGCTGGACGGAGTCGGCGGAGAGGTGGCGTGCTGGCACTGGAATTTCTGCGCAGACAGCCATTTTGATGCCAAAGACGTTAATACTGGTGTAGAAGAATATCCCTATTTATACAGCTGATTGTTATTCGATAATGCGCTGTTGAACATAAAAATTTGAATTTCACATCCTCACCGGAACTACTGTAGATAAATAAACATACAAAGGAATCGACATACTCACGGTTCGCTTTGATCTCAAACTTACACCCAAGTATGATCGGAATGTTCACATTGATCAACTTCAGATCTTGTAGTTCGTGGAACGACTCGCCTTGCAAGTTCAATTTCCATAAAGATCGCCAGGACTGATTCCGGAAGACGAAGATCGTTGAAGTGTTTATCTGGTGAACCTGAGGAGCGTTTTTCTGGTGAACCTTGATCTATCGCTACTTTTCTCTTCTTTCTCCAACGCTCGAAATGAACACGTCCTGATTTTGCAAACGGAACACAGGCAAAGCGCCTCAGTCAAACTTAAAAAGGGTCAAACTTGACTTTGATATTACGTTTAGGTTTACGTGCCGCACAGAGAAGATAGATAAGTCGTCGCGTCGTTGTCGTCAAGTGAAGGACATCAAAGATTTGTAAGTAATTCAGGCGCCCGCTAACTTCGCACGCGAAGAAGTCGAGTCCGCTGTTGCAAGTGGCAATTTCTCGCTGCCTGATTGTGATTTCGCACTTGTCGTTCTCTTTGCTAGCATGATATCGTCCAGAAGGGATTTAGCATTTTCCAAACAACTGTTCTGCTTTTCCCCTTCGTCACCCTCGCGAAACATCACTTCCATTTCGAAAAACCGTTGCAACTCTGCCGCATTACCTGCCTGCACTAAAAGCACTCTTCTTTTCGGCAAATACCGGTATCCAACCTCCTTGTGCAAGTTCCCGTTCTGGATAAAGTTCGCTCGGGCTTTGACGCAGGCCTGCCAGGCGTGGTGCAGAGCTTTCTTTCCAAGGAGGATTGGTTTCTGGTTATTGATCAGCTCGAGCTTTGGAGCTCGGTGTCGGTTCTTCTGCACCGGAACTACTTCTGCATCGCAGGATGAAGATGCCGCCCCACTACTTCCCTGTGCGGCGTACATGGCTCGGGTGAAGAGAAACGGGCCAGCTGCGCCGGATGAATTGCCGTCGCTCTTTTGTGGTGCAATTCTCCTGGTTCCTTTACCATTGCCCCGCTGAGGACCAAAATCGCTACAATGGTGGCCTGGAATCGGCTGCAAAGCGGACTTGACCGCGGGGTTTACTTCAGTTGCGTACTTCTCCAGGATCGGGTTCCATTTGGATCGGAACTGTTCGATTTGTTCAACCACTTTCGTGAAATTTGCAGCCACCTCTTCCGCCAAGTCCATCAACTCTCCGAGATCGAGGGCGTAGATCGGTTTTTCTTTTGCCGCTTCTCGCTCATCAAGTTCATTTTTTTCGTCATCCTCATCATTTTGAGCATCAGCTGCATCTTCTATTCTCCTTATTGATTTCATTTTCCAATTCTTCACAGTTTCGTCCATCAAGACCCCCAACTCCGTCGAGTTGTCACCGAGGAGTTTCAGTTCCTCCTGCAAGTTTTCATTTTCCACATTCCAATCGAGTAATTGCCTGATACACCCTCGCCTGCTCCACTTTGGCGTGCTGTCCCGCATGTAGCAGAGCTGGAATTCCTTTGCGAAGTCGAAAAACTCCTGTTTCCGCCGCTCCAGCAATGGTCGACAGAGGAGCAAATTGTCGATTTTCACGAAGGTCTCGACCCCGTTGATGTGAACGACCGATCCTTTCAAAAGCTCCGCAATCCGGTTCTCGTCGACGTCGTCTTGGTGATGCCCGATTATGACGAAGTTGTTCTCGGTTTTCATCTCTTCGAAACAATTCTCGTACATCTTGAACCGAATTTTTTTCGTCACTTCCTCGTACCTTTCCCGACTCAGCCCGGTCTTCAGATCTCCGTGGGGGCGCTGGAGCTCTATCGTGTACGCGTAGAGGGGGATTCCGAGGCGGTTTGCGAGTTCTCTGACCCAGAACTCCTCGTGTTTCTGCTCCTGTCTGTTGCAGTGCCGCAGATGCAGAGCGGAGACTTTGCCCTTGAATTCCGGTTTGAGAATGGACAGAAGCGCCGCGTGCACGATGGAGTCAACGCCGCCGGAAAGGGACAAAACGATCCCGGTGTTGGCACTGTTGAAGATCGACGGATGGATTTTTGTTGCGGATGATTGTTCTGTGCGGAGAACTCGTTCCAAATCTTTGACTAGGGGGTAGTTGCGGAGAGAACTTCTGGTTTTTTCGTAGCACGATGCATTCCAAGCAGGCGCGAAGGGGAAAGGGTCGCTTGCAATTTCGTCGGGTTTCTTCATACTTTTGGCTTCAGGTACGCACTGCGGGTCGAGATATCGAAATTTGTCTCGAAGAGGACCTCCGCAGAAGTTCTTCGTGCTCGTCGCATCATTTTGCTGGTTCAATCGGGCTTCCACAACTGCCCTCTCCGCCTCGTCATCCTCGACCTCTTCGTCAGAGGACATCATGCCATCCCTTCTTGGCACGCAAACCCGCAACTTCGCCTCACTCAGAGCGTAGTCCACGTACCTTTCTGCCTCCAGCTCGAGTTCTACTTGTTCCGTTTTCTCAATGAAAGCGTCCAGGAGGGCCAGCTCCCGATCTTCGCTTTCACTTTTTCGCAGCGAAGATCTTTCAGCAACCACTTCTCGACACGCGGTCAGAATCGTTTTCGCGAGCGCAAACCCGTTTTCACTCCGCTGGTGCCGCGCGACGAGGCTCCAGAAGCAAACCTCAAAAATGTTGTGGATTTCAGGCAGGAGGGTTTTCAGTACGTCCTTGCTAGTAGAGCTTGGAATGTCTGGTCTCTGCGGTCCTCCTTCAGTTCTGTCCCCGAAAACCGACCGTAGCAAGGCAAAAGCGGTGTAATCGGCTTGAGCCTTTGCGTCCGCGTATGTGAGTCGCGTTATGCTTGTGGACCTTGTTGTGCCGGGCCCAGGCTCGGCCTCGACGGTGGATGTTGTACCTGCGAAGTCGCCTTCCCGAACCCTTTCCCAATAGGGTTCGATGTTTCTTACCGTCTGGTCAAGAAAGACCGCGGTTCTCAGGCGGAGCAGCAATCCAGTGGTTGAGGAACTTTGTTCCAATGGCGAAGATGAATTATCTGTCTCGGACGAGACGAGAGTCGATAGAAACCATCCCCCGAAACTCGCATGCAAGTCGTCAAACACCTTTTTCGCCGAGGGCTTCTGGGCACTGAAACGATACGGCTCGAACTCGGGGCTGAACCAGGTGCGCGTCCAAGCTTCGACAGCCTCGGCATCGGATCGGAATTCTGTCGTGGTCGTGATAGTCATGGTTAGGGTGTTTGTGTGTGTGTGAACGAGGACCAATATCAATATGGGGTATTGAAGGAAACAAAGAGTTTCACCTATAATAAAAATACGGAAGATCAAACGAACTCTGATACTAACGATGGGTTCGGGAGAATTCTTGTGCGCACTTCATGTCGTTGAAAGCTAGGTGTCGCTTACTGGGGTGTCCTGTGGGTTCGTAGTTGCATCGGATTCATTCATCTTTCTCAACTTGGCGACGGGGGACTTGATCTACTCGGGAAGAAAGTTTGATCCCATGTGCCCACTTCACGTCTTTAGTCGGATCGAAAATTGGATCGTGCCATTGTAGAAGCTGTTGATCATTTTCATTTTTCTTACACAAGAAGGGATCGACTCACTGCAATTCATCACCAACATCATATTTGAGGATCTCAGAGCTTTCGCCTCCTTTTTATGCCATCAAGATCAAGATCGGTCCGCGTTCTTTCTATGATTCGATATCGATCTCGAACAGAATGCTTGACCACCATTTGTCGTTTCTTTATTTAACAAAAGCAGAGAGTAGCGCTTGTTTGCCTCTTGATCGATTTTGTGCCAGAGGTGTCATACTATTAAACCAGAATGGGTCGCTCCACTAGTTGCTCGCGTTTGGGATTGATATAAATTGATATAAAAAGGTGAAGGTCAAGCGAAGACCCGCTTTTGGACATGGCTGTGCTCAATTTAATATAATTGACACTTGCACATGCAAACAACCGAAGATTTAGATTGCAGTCCACTTAAATCACGGGGACTGGCCAGTTGTAGTCCCTGATAACCCTTTCTGTGCTTTCCAGCTCCAGCCTCCGCAGTCTCGCCTTCTCCGCCGTGCGCGGGCTAAGGTCGGCATCCTCCTCCGCGTCGGCGTGCTTCAGGTCCCGCAACACTTTCACCGACCGTCGGTGCGTGAACCAAATCATGACAATGCGCACATGCTCCGCCCAGTTTTCGACCTTGCGGTTGAGAATCTCCTGTTCTTTCGTTTTCAGCGACGCGTGAACTTCCAAAGCATCGAAAGTGAACCAGTTGTGCCAAACATTTTGGACTCGCATGTGCATCTTCTCGTTTTTCTTCAATCCGTGTTTCTGACAGAGTCGGTTGCTCTTCGGATCGTCCGGAACGTACCGCACGACCATCTTCCGGTTTGCCGGGGTATCCTTCTTGACCTTCGGTTCGCGAATCCCAAGATCGCCGTCTGCCTCGACAAAGTCGAACCTAGAGCAGGTGCGGATTTATTTATTATTCAAAAGTACAACTAGAATTACAACTAGCAAATCCGCAGAGAACCCTTTCGTGAAGCTTAGCAAAGTAAGAGAAAGAATTGGAATTTTCCTGAGAAAATAGCAAAGAGTCGATACTTGCCGAAGGAGCAGATCGTGGACGGGGACGTATTCAATGCGTCAATGTGTTCGCGAGTTCGGACACCGAAATTGATAATCACATTGGTAGCTCCGCAGCCTTCCGGGCGGAAATACTTCGCGCAACACTTCACGAAGTTCGGCATCTGCATCATGGCCTTTGTTACGTGCGCCGCCCCCCCACGATTTTGGTGCAGTTGATGCCACAGTCCCAGCAGGATATTTTCGTTCGGGCTACGTGTTCTGGTGGTTCTCGCCGCACCGTTGTCGTCGTCGACGGTAATGCCGTCGCGGGTTGCGCCTTTGATATTTCCGGCGTTGAGCTCAAGAACTTTCGCAAGCACCTTGTGCGCCATGAGGTAATGCCTCGCGCTCCACTTAGCAGCTGGCAGCGGCTTCCCGTTGAAAAGTTCGTCGACCTGGTTTGTTTTGGTTTTTCGGAAACTGAGGAGATAAACATGAAGCATTCACATGATGTGTGTCTGAGATTGTAGGTGGCATTATCTATGATTATGAAGTTGAACAATGAATTACTACTTTCTACCACCTTTATGGCGACGTAGAGAGACAAATACCTCCAACAAAAGTTCTTCGTCAATATCAGTGTAGCGCTCCTCCTTTGCGCCGTCTGGTTTGTGTCGTTTCGATTCTGGTTCTTTGTCAGGGCATTCACCGTGTGCAGACTTTTCTGTCAAATCCAGCTTGAGAAAGGTTAAGAAATTCCGAAATCGTTCCGCAAGTAGAGTTTTGCTTCGCTTGACCGCACTGAGTATCCTTTTTCCGCCCGCCGCCTCCTCCTCTTCGGCGCCCGTCAGGTCGTCCACGAAAAGCTGAATCTCTTTGAAGAGCGCAGGCGCCTCGACGTCCTTGTCAACTTCGTCGTCTTTGATTTTCGCCCTCAGCTGCGCACAGTCATCATTCTCGCCTTCGGAGTGCCTATTGCGTCGCAGAAAATACCAACCCCCAAAACACAGGAGCGCCAGATCCAGTCGCGACAACTGGTCGTCGGTGGCGTTCTTGCACTTCTCCACAACTGCCTCGCAATACGTGTAGAGGCTTGCTTTGGCGATCTGCCACTCTCTTTCTCCATTTCCATCGGCGGCCACGAGGTTCCAGAGATCTTCGGTTTGGTTCCGGCGGTTCTTTAGCAATGCCCGCTTTCGTGGCCTCTTGATACTCGGGCAGAGGTACTCGAAGCAAGTGAAGAAATAGGTCGTGTGGATGTCCAACTTGAGGGTCTTGCTGCAGTCGTCGGTGTCTTGTCGCGCGGGGATGAGGAGTTCGCAAAGCGTCGTGAACTGTTTGAAGTCCATGGCCATCAGGTTGAGTTCTGCTTCTGTTGCGGCTTCCTCGACGATATCGAGCTTATTGTTGAGCTCCTTTTCTAGGTCCTCGTAAGTCTCCAACTTGTCTAATTTTTTCCGCTGGGAAGGGGTAAAAAATGAAGCATTCCACTCTTTCGCGCTTTTGTGCTTCTCTTTTGCATAGCGGAAGGGCCTGCCGTTGATCCGCGTTGCGATCGTATGGGCCACAGATTTCGCTATGTCCTTTCCGCCGCTAGTATGCTGCCTCGGCAGTTTCTTCACTGCCAGCTCCTTCGTTTCCAGGCGTCTCTCGGCTTCTGCTAGGATGGCCTCCGAGAAGTTGAACATCAGGGGAGCAACTTGGCGATTTTCCAATTCCTGGAACCCATATTCACTGGCGTGGGCGTCGTAGAAGGCCATCGCGTTGTCAAGCAAGTAGTCTTCTATCAAAGTGCAGAAATCTTCGTCGTACTTCAAGCGCGGGGAATTTTCGTCGTCTGCAGCGACCCCTTTCTGAATCTCGGTGATGAGCGGCGAGACAAAGCCTTTGATTGTTTCTTGCATGTTTTCAGGCAGCATCTTGCGGTCCGACACAACACACATGTCTCCGAGCTTCTTCTGCCATGGGCTTTGGTAGTCACGAGTTCCGGATGCGTCGTGCAAGCCTAGTTTGATCCAATCGGTGACGCGCTTGGTCTCCGGGCTGTCAGGCTGAAAGAGAGGGCGTGACTTCTTGTCCCTGGCAACCAAGTTTGCATCTTTGTAAACGGCGAAGACGAAGGTCATCCAGGGATTCACGATGCGCACGGTTGGGTTTTCCGGGTACAGGTGCTTTTCGGTGACGGCGTCCCCGCCCGCAGCACACTCCAACACAAACTTCTTGATGTCTTTTGTAACACTGGCCACAGCTTCTTGCTGCTGGAGGAAGGTTCGGTTGCAGGACTCCCAGGCGGAACTGATTTTCAGCACCTGCGCTTCCATGTTGCGTTTCTTATTGTAACTGTTTTCCGACCCGAAAACGTCATCGAACACTTCCCGCGTCTTAATTTTGCCTTCGAACTCCTGCAGCTGGGCAAGAGTCATCTTGTTTTCCGAGCCCAGAGTGGAGAACAAGTCCCAAAGAGCCTTGGCGGCGGTGGGAAACTTTCCGCTGTGAAACTGCCACACACGCAGATCCCTGCTTTTTCCGTCATTTCCGTTCTTGCCATTCTTAATGCCCTTCTCTGGTTCTGGCTTCTTACCATTTTTTCCAAACTCCTTGTCCTTCCCTTTGAAAACTATTTCCTTTCCATCCTTCTTTCCTTTCATTGCGCCCTTGAACTGCAAGTCCTGATCTTTTCCACCCTTCCCGTTTTTATCGTCCTTCCCGTTTTTCCCATCGCCTTTGCCGTTTTTCCCATCTCCCTTTTTCCCCTTACTGAAGCCCGGTATCAGAAAGTGACAAACGCCGTTTGTCCATTCCTCGGCAGCCTCGCGCTGCGCGTCTGACCCTTCGAAGTTGTAAAGGCAGGCCACTCGCAGCAACTCAACCAAAGCCGCGCCCGCTTCGCCGCTTGTCAGCTTTTCTCTGCCTGCTACGCCCGTGCAGTTTTCTATCTTTGTAAGAATCTTCTCAGCCGCTTCGCTCGCATCGCGCGGGTTCACGGGGTTTATCTTGGCGCCGTCCTTGTCGCTCCAGTCCCAGACGCAGTCCCTGAAAATCTTGCAAATCGGCGGGCTGTTCGGGTTTGGCTTTTTTGGCCCGATGAGCACGCTTCTATATGTGGAATGCTCCGCGTCGTCCTCGTAGTCAATTTTCTTGAAATAGACCAACGCCGCCGCCTTTAATGCTTCCTCCTCTGTGGGTGAAGACATGGCGTTTGCGTTTGAAAGAATGTATTTTCTGGAGTGTTGACGATTTGCATGAGCATGAAGTAAGTTAATTATGAAAAGAATCGAGCACTAAAACTAAGGCATTCTTCCTCAAATTACTGGCAGGAAAGTTTTTATTTTCACTGCTAGAATCGGTAACCGCAGCTGGATCTGGAGCCTGAGGTAGAAAGGCGACAATAGTGCTGATTTCTTCTAACACGGACAGCTATATCATGACCTCAACGACCTCATGGATGTGGATCCCAATAGTAGCAGCCACCGGAGAGAAGCCACGAGATCAGGATCCAATCTGTGTCGTGCTCCGCATGACAAAGATCCTTCCCGTCGTGTAGGCAACTTTGGATCAGGCGAACTACGTACTCGTTCATCCGAAACTGAGCGGGGACCTGTTGTGGAAGGTTTTCTTTCGCTTGTTTCTTTCCTTGGACCACTGAATAATTGCAGGGTCGTGGATTGAAAGCTGGAACGTAGGAGACTTCATCTTCGATCGCGACCATCTTCTCAATTATAATGAACTCCAGTGCCGTCGGCTTCAGGAGCAGATTCGAAAAAAACACCGAAATTCGAAACACGTCGAACACGTTAGAAAATCGTCGAGGTCGATAGATACTCTTAACTTGCTCGGAGATAATATCCGCAGTAAAGAACAACGTTGCACATTGCTTTTGCGCAATAGACTTTGGAGAGAAACTGTTCGGCTATTTTTGATGCGAAAGTTTGTAGTTTTCTTTCCACTCGCAACTCAAGTCACTTAATAAATACTTAGGTTTTAGTTTAAGAGAAAGAGTGGATGAAGGCCGCATGTAGATGTAATACTAAAAACTTATCATTCAACTCTTCACAACCATCTCTCCAGCATTTTTTCACTGCTTTCCCACAAATAATCCATCATTTCCTCGTCCTGCGCCAGCCTGCTCTGCGTCGCCAACTTACTGTCTCCCACGTAGTGCTTATCCAACGAAAAAAGTGCTACAGTTACACATTTGTTGGCAATTCAGCAACACAAATTTTATCTGCATGAGAGAGGAAATTTGCAATGCCGAGATCATAGGGGAAAACGAGTATGAAACGAGGATCACATGCCTTTCCGGCATGCGAAAGGTAATCACGCTTGCGCGTTCTGCAATACAAGATGTAACTGTAACACTTTTTTCTTTGCATAGTGCTCGCCGATGATCGGCCTGAGCTCGAACATCGCGTACAGGATCTGGTTCACTGCCGCTTCCTTCGCCGTGATCATCCCGATAAACCGCAGTGAATAGTGCTGGAAAACCCCAGCGGTGTTGTAGTAGCTCGCTTTGACGTTGTTTCTGCCCTTGTCGGAGAAGATCACGTCCATGAATAACCAGTTGGAAAGCGGTTGCACCACCTTCCCGAAGAAATTCCCGATCGCGTTCTCGGCAAGCGACCCGGTGTACACCATACCGGGGTGGACGGACACGCTGTGGACGTCGAGCTTGCGAACCAGGGAGTTGCTGAAGAGATTGTTCATCAACTTTGTGTTACTGTAGGTGTTCCAGTGGAAATCGAGACCAAGTTTGGTTATGTTCAGAGAAGTACTTGCGGTCTTGTTGGTTGGCTTCTTTTTCGCAAGAATTTGCTGTTCCTGCGTACTATCCGTGCTGTTCTTCTTGTTTTTCACCATTTTACCCGACAGCCCGTCCTCCAGTGCTGTGGCGAGGGCGGATTTCTTTTTCGATTTGAAGCCGGGTAGCCTTTATCCAAGAAAAAAAGTGGCACCGTTACACATTTGTTGTCAATTCACCAACACAAATTTTCTCTGTCTGATAGAGAAATCATGTGCAGCGCTGAGATCATAAGGGAATAAAACACGTATGAAACGAGGCTGTCATGCATATCCGGCATGACAGAGCTTGCTTGTATTGCTTGGCCTCCAGCAACACAATGTGTAACTGTAACACTTTCACCTTTCCATAGCTTTCCAAACGCGTGTAGCAAGGAGCTGACGTGGATAACGCGTCGGAGAACTTTCTTCTGGTTTTTCTTTTCATCCTCCTTCAAAAGCAGTCTCGTGAGCAGGAAAGGCGACAAGTGGTTGGTCTGAAACTGGAGCTCAAACCCGTCTTTTATCGTAAGGAAAAATCCGCCCTCCCCATATCGAAAAGAAAATTTGTGATGCTGATTTGTCACCACAAATCAGCTTTGTCTTGCGCACAAGGCAAACGGCATCCATGTGGCGCATCGTATAGCGAGTCTGTCATGCGTCTTCGTCTATGTCAGACTTGTTTCTCATGCTCAGCTGCTAGCCGGATGCGTACCCAAATGGGCTTAGAATATGCCGACAAGCTCTTGCTGCAATACAAAGTTCATTTGTGTACACAAATCCAGCAACACAAATTGTCTTTTGAGTATGGGGTGGGGGCTTTTTTCACCTTGATATCTTTCGTGATTTCCTTCTTCTCCATCCACCCGATGTATTGCAGTGAAAAATGCCCCCACCCCGGAGTTTGCAGAAGTTTGTCATGCAAAGTTTCCCAATGACAGCTTTTTGTCTTGCATAAAAGGATTGCGAGCGTTTCTGATGCAGAATCAGGGTGCGCAAGGTGCCTTGTGCATAATAGAGCCGCCTGCTGTTCGGCTATTTCGCAACACAAATTTGATCTATTCAGCATGGAAAATTTGTGATGCTGAGATATGCAAGACGGGGAATGTTTCTGTTGGAAAGGTTTGCAATACTGCCAAGCTGGGGGTGGGGGCATTTTTCATTGTAATACGATGCCCGCGTTGTTCACTAAAACAACGGCTTTTTTGGACTCCTTGGCCAGTTCCCGGATTTTTTCGTCCGCTTCCTTCACGTATCAAATGCAAAAATGTCTGGGTCTGGAAGGTTGGAACTTGTCATGCTAACTTCGGACTCTAAGAAACTCTGTATTGCATGACCAGCAAGAGGAGTCTAGTTTGTGCTACGCGGGGAGGGCGTTTGTCATGCGGAGTAGGCATCAGGAAGCCCTCTAAAAATCTGTGATGCTAGGGCGTGCATTATAGACGTCCTGGGTCATGCAAAACATGCATCACAAGTCTCAGAATCTTCCAGACCCAGACATTTTTGCATTTGATATCACGGCTTTCAGGGACGACAGGTCGAGGGGTAAGATGTGTGGCTTGGGAACACCAGCACGAGAAGTGGAAGTGCTTAGGTCGATAGTTGTACTTGTAGCGCTTTGATATTGATGTTCATCTGCATCAAGAGAAGAAGGAGCTTCTCTAGTTTTATTGTTGTACTGGTCGGCCAAAAGTTGTTCCATTTTCTTCGTGTTCCGCACGGCGAAAACTAGCTGCTTTTCCAACCCCAGGTCCAGCAATTCCACGGCCAGCGCGAACCCGATCCCGGAGGAGGCGCCGGTCACGACGAAGAGAACATCCTTGTCGATCATTTTTCGCGGGACTTTGTACAAATCTTCCCCCGACAGCAAACCGTAAAATCTGTTCTCGCCGTTCGTGGCCAGCGGGTGGGGGTGCGGGTAGGTGGTCAGGAAATAGTAAATGCCGTGGCGAAGCTCCTCCGGGACCGCTTTGTAGTACGCGAAGGCAAGAAACGCCATCGCCATCGGCAAAAGCTTCCACTGACGGTCCTTCATTTTGATGTTTGTTCTACGGAGTCAACGGTTTTAAGCTCCTGTATCGACTATAAAGTGCGTGGATAGAAGCAAAACCACGTGGGTTCCTGCGTCCTCGAAAATAAATCTTCAATGGCTCGCGCCCTACTCTAGAAATCTATTGCAGTCGTTTTCACGTCACTGCATGTCTTCACAGGAAAGAGAAAAAAAATCGTGCACGAATTTGCACTCCTATTGGTCTTTACAACCCCTTCATTTTCTTCGACGGGCTCTTTCCGTCTAACCTTCTATATTAAGAGCTCGCGTTCTTTTTTTTCTAAGCCTCTTGTGTGAACCGCCGAGAGCAGGAGAACACGACGAAAGTATCTACAGTATGATGAAATGCAGTTGCAGGTAGAAGCAGCAGGGTCCACTTCTCTAGTGCCTCCAGCTGGGCCGCATTCATTCATTTTCATTTTTCTGGGGCCGGCGAGTCCAACAAATACAACATCAATGTTCCTGCTTGATGTACTTCGGCGGGGGGAAAATTAATATTCTTGCTGGTATCTTCATATCCATGCGGATGAAGTAGATTCAGATTTTGATTTTCAGCACTGAGTCTCGCCATCAAGGTGCTTGGTCGGGGTTTTCCAATGGCCGCGGCCCCTCTTCATATCCCGGCATACTAGGCACAAGCAGTCTTGCTCGCGTTTGCGCAGATTGCAATCCCTCCACAACCCTCCGCAACCCTCCGCAGCCCTCCGCAACCCACGGGCGCGCGAGCCTCTCCCCCCCCGCATCTCTACACCTATGTAGTGCCGTATCTACATACTCATATGCTATTTATGTATAGATACAAAATATCATACATACTAGATATTCGTAGACAAAAAAAGCCGCACCATATCCGCCACCGACCACAACCCTCCGCAACCCTCCGCAACCCACCGCAACCCTCCGCAACCCTCCGCAACCCACCGCAGCCCTCCTCCCCCCGCTCCTTTGGTGCTTTCTTTCTTCCGCCGCTTTTTATATATGGTCTGCAGTGTATCTAGTAGCTGCGCAGCTTCCTTCTTTTTTTGCAAGAATGAAAGTAGTACTAGTAGCATAGATAAACCATAGGGCCTGTAGCCATCTGGGTAGATCCAGAAACCAGCGCAACCGCCCACAACCCTCGGCAACGCCTCTCCCCCACTGGTATCTTCGTGCTTCCTTCCTCCCCCTCTTCATATCCATGCGGATGAAGTAGATTCAGATCTTGATTTTCACACGAATTGCAATTCATCTTGTTCTGGCAGGAGAGAACAAGTTTTTTTTTACGGTCACCGTGGCCGAGAGGACAACAATCGATTTAAACAAGAAATCTACCCTTTCGAAACACCTCTATCATCAACGACCAAATAGCTTTACTGTCACGGTCTTGCTATCTTTACACGTGAAGAAAATGAAAAAGAAGGCCGGGCGGCGCGGCTTCAGAAGAAACATCATTTCTGGTACGTTTTAATTTCAATCGTCAATATAATTTCTCGTCTACTAGTACCCCCGCCCGAACTTCGATTTTGTGGTCTTGTGCAGTTTCTGCACAAAAATCCTAAGTGCTTACGACCCACCCGCGGCCAGGGTTGCGCGAAAGGGGAGCGGTGCCATGTATGCATTGCAAATATATCCTCTGGGTCTGTCATGCGAAATTTGAAGGACAAGGACTTCTAGGAGAACAAGATCAGGAGTGATATGAATACTTACGTGTAGGAGCCAGGTTTGTTGTCGCGCTGAAAGCCAGTTTGTCATGTCCATGTGCATGACGGATGCATTATCTGCAACAAGCCTGGAAAATAAACAAAAAACTTCTGATGCTGTTATAAACGCCGGACAAGCACAAGCTGTGCTGGCTACATCAACTCGGCGAAGTAGATGCAAGTACCAGCAGCGAGCACAAGTTTATTCCTCGAGACCCAGATCGAAATTTGCAGTGCATACCATGTAGTCGTCGGCGATGGGGTCGAGTCCGTGTTGCTTCATGTGTTCCTCCCAGTTGTCGACTGGGACGACCACAGCACTGATCGTGCCACTTGGTCGTTCTTGGTCGCTCTTCTCGTTCTTGACCAGTGCATGGTTCACTTCCGTTTTCTTTTCTTGGTCCATGGCTTCTCCATCGATGCTGGCTGTATTACTGTTCTCGTTCTTAATAGCTTGATGAAGGTCATGTTGTCCCGCATTTGGTCGTCAGTATCACAAGAAAAAAGTGCTACAGTGACACATCTATTGCAACTTCAGCAACACAAATTTTCTCTGTGTTGCAGAGAAAACTTGCGATGCAGAGATCTTCCTAAGGGAAAACACATACGAAACGAAGTTCGGATGCATTTCTTGCATGACAAAGGTTGTCTGTCTTGCGGCTCCTGCAACACTATGTGTAACTGTAAGTGTAACACTTTTTTCTTGCGATAGTCGGGGTCGTTGGACTAGTACTGCAGTAGAACACAACACCGCCCTTCCAGTTTGAATTTGATCCTGATCTTCCTGCTTATAATAGGTCTCAAGAATCTGGGCTCCTGCAGATAGCGTGGGACAAAGAGTAGACGCTAGTGATGTCGTACTAGGCAATGCACCGAGAACGGGAGATGAAAAAGTAGATGGCTGCTGCTGTTCATGTTCTCCTTGTCCTTCAACACACATCAAACTTGTAGTACCAGTAGAAGAGGCAACATTCGAGGTAGAAGTTGAAGTAGCGCTGTTGTTCTTTCCTGTACTTTTTTTCTTCTTTTCGGTTTGATGTCCTTTCTTTTCCGAGGTCGCGCTGCTGTTGCCGCTGTCCTTGCGTTTAATATTTTTCGGTGTAGTTGGGCCAGAACCAGTGTCTTTTTTGGTCGGCTTTTTCGGTTTTTTGTGCAGCTTCTTGTTCCCCGGTGAGTTGTTGCTTTGCTTCGATGAATTTTTTCGGCTTTTTTTGATGATCTTGCCCACGACCGGAAGAGTGGATGATGCTGATGCGCCGGCACTGTAAGTTGCTTTCACAGATGGAGATGTAGTTGAAGATGAGCCGTTCATGAGTAAAAAATCTTGTTCACCGTTTGTCGTTTTCAGCATTTTTTCATCATCATTTTCCTCCTTCGCTTCCTCCAAGATCCGTCGTTCCGCGGTAGCTTCGGCCTGCAGCGCCGCCTCCCGCTTCCCGCGCGCCCACGAGTTATTGTGAGGAAAATCAAAAATCCCCCCTCCCCATATCAACTTGGAAATTTGTGATGCTGATTTGTGGCCACCGCCACAAATTATCGGCTTTGTCTTGCAGAAAGTGCTTGCCGGGTATGCAGAAGGCTAGCAATCAGGTATGGCAAACAGGTTGGCAGTAGTCGAAAGCGCACGACAGACTGGCTGTAGAATGCGCCACAAGGAGGCTCCCATTACCCCATGATGGGCAAGACAAAGAGGATTTGTGACCCCACATCAGCATCACAAATCTCCTTTTCGATATGCAGAGGAGGGATTTTTTCTTGCAATAGGAGTGCGGGCGGAACCAGCTGCACATCGTGGACGGGGAAGCCGTGCTAGATGCGCCAAAAAGATGGCTGAATCGGTCCCGTTCGGGGACGAAAGACAGGGTGACCCCCTCGGCGGAGGACTGGATGCAACTCAAGTAGTAGGTCCCGACTTTCAAGCCCCACTGGTCGCTCGGGAGCTTCTCAATGTCGAAAGTGTGTTTGTCATAGAAGACCTTGGTAAACTTGACGTGAACCACACCACCCATGGAGTGCTGCCACTCGCCTTGCAGGTCGGCGATCTGGGGGTCCATCCTGATTTGTTCTTCGATTAAGTACTTTCACTTTCAGCGGTTTATTGTGCTTTGTGGTATCAGATGGCTCACGTAAAAATAAAGTAAAAAACGTTCTTATTTAGTAGTTGTAAAGTTGCTAATATAATAGTAAAATGCTGCCCCCACGACGAGACAAACTCCGTCTTGTCAAATTGAAGGCTCTAGAGAGCAAGTGGTTACTACAGATACAGAATTTCTTGTTGCCCGGGTTCTTACAATCTTTATCTTGGACAGTAAAGTTCTTGTATGTTGCGTATTGTTACAGTGACTCGCGTAGGTGCTCGCAAAGAAAGACTATGTGAATTGTGCGAGTGAGGGAAAATAACATTAACAATACTACTCCAGTAGAATTTCCATAAGTTTGAATGAGTTTTTATCGATACGATTACGATACTAATCTAATCTAGACCTAGAAATTTCTTCCGCTTCTCCTCAGATGGCGTTGTTAGTTTTCCGCTGATATTGATTGGAAAAAAAATTGTCGACGTCGGACTGGATCTATTCAGTGAGCGATTAAGTAAAAATACTGCTTCCTTGTAGCCACGGCAGGAACACAAATACAACGAAAAATCATGAATAGATCCTGCTAGATCAGTTTTCGTTGCCAGTGCCATTTCTATCACTTGGGCAACTGGACCTGGCAGTGTTAGCAAAGCTAGATCTTCCATATCGGCGACGTACCAAAATGTTTGATAGTGGATGAAGCAGATTCGACAGAAGGATTTTCCAGGGCGCAGGAGGTGCACTTCTATGCGGGCTTTGTTCGCTTCGACCCTTCTCGAGTTTTTTGCATAGTGGCGCTTGTCGCGAGTGGAAGTCTTCAACAGCGAAGGTAATAAATTGATGCACCAGTGCAGTAGAATACAGTTTGATGTCGGCAAATTGCTTTTGACACACGGAGGTGAGGCAAGGAGAGAAACTGGTGAGCGAGTCTGACTGTAGTACGAAAAATATACCTATGTCCGATCAGTATATTAGTCCAAATTCAGTGTAGCATTTTGTCGTGTAGAAGAGAACAAACAAGGAACAAAAAAGCTATACAATGAAGTTGTTTCAAATCGTGTAGAAGAAGAAAAACGTAAAAATGACAAAAACTATACATAGATGCTAATGCGGAAAGTCTTGCCTTGCAAGCCACAAACTGCCGTACAGGCACCTCCGAAATTGTGGCTGCAAGAAGGTCCGGTTTAATCTCACGTGACTCAGTTTTCGATCTTCCCCCGAAAATCAATGCATTTTTGCACCGCAATTTATCTATTTACATAGACCCTCCTAGCAGTTGTTTTTACACAGTAGGTGTGTGTAAACTGACCCCAGGTAGAATCCAGGAATGTGATATTTGTAAAAGATGAAACAGAAAAACAGGTTGCTACGGGAGTGCTGCGTATGTTGCATAATATCGGAACAAAAAGCTGCATAGGATAGCAAAGATGAAAAGCAGATCCGCATGGGTAACAAGTCAAAATTTCAGATCATACATTTTTATGCAATGATATTTGAAGCGTAAACTATAAATAAGCGTTTTCACGATGAAAATTCGTTCTGTAGCCACTAGCTGATTATAGCCTGTGCCAAGGACGGTTGATATTAAACTCTGTTGCATATTAGTGTTGAAACGGAAACTGTATTGAATGAGCATTTATTCTAACCCTCGAAAGATGAACAAGAAGATTAACCGCCTGATGGCTCCTAATAGCCCGCTAGACAGTAACACTTTTGTCCTTCTATTTTTCTCTTGAAGCAGCAAGACCTCAGCTGGTTTCTTCCCGATCGGCCCTCAGCGCAAGTGCGCGGGTCCGGGCCCATCCCTTGTGATCATGCTGCCGTAGGAAGCCGCAGTGGTGGAGTAGCTGTTTTTCACCATCTGCGGCTGCTGGTTCGGCCCCGCCGCGGAACTGGTGTGGTTGAGCTTGTGAAATTGCACGAAGACCCCCGTAATGTCATCCGAGATCTCGTTGTCCGAGTCCGACTATGCATTGCAAAATCAATAACAATATCGCAATCGCATTTTTCATACTGAATCTGATTGCAGTACTTATTGCATGACATTGACGGTTCTTGTGGTAGTGATTTCTTCATAGAATCAGCATTAGAAATTCCATTTACTTCTCGAAGTGAACAATAGTTCTATCAACCTAGACCTGGATTAGTATGTGCCGGATATTAAGAATTTTGCAATACATACAGACATCCACTGGTGCCAAGACACCTTGGCCAAGTTCTCCATGCCGACCTGTGCGTCCTCATTCTGTGCGTTCATCGCATGCTGCGCGGCCTCCGGAGCCTCGAGGAATTCCCACACACCGTCACTGCAAACGAGAAGTCCGATGTCGTCCTGTTTTGTTCATTCGTTGTTTATTCCTCATACGTCGATCTACACAGTGAGCTGGTCTCGTGCATTTCACACAGAGACAGATCCACAGACTCTGCAGCATCAACACATATAATGCGGAAAACAATCTGAATCTTATCTTTATCATTCATGCGCATGCCGCTTCGTTTATAGTTTGTTTATTTCATCGTAAAAAATATTACGCTCTGTATCCGGAATTTGCTGACTTCTGCCTCCGCACACAAACCAGCTTCCCGGTGAGCTATCAAATGTAAAAATGTCTTGGTCTGGAAGGGTTGGAACTTGTGATGCAAACTCTGGAACACACAAAAATTTGTGTTGCATGAGCGCCAAAAGCTGTCCATTTCTTGGCACGCAAGTAGGAAGTTTCTCATGCGGGACAGGCATCATGAGGCGTGCTCAAAACCTGTGATGCTTTTGCCTGCATCAGACGCCACTTGCGTGATCCGAAATATGCATGACAAATCTCAGAATCTTCCAGACCCAGACACTTTTACATTTGATATGAGCCACGCAGTCCCCAAATGCTCTGCTCATGTTCAAACCCGTATCAGAATGAAAAATCCCCCCTCCCCATATCGAAAACGGAAATTTCTGATGCTGATTTGTGGTCACAAATCATCTTTGTCTTGCATGCAGGGCCATAGGAGCCATTTGACGCATTCCAGAGCAAGTCTGTCATGCGCATTCGACTACGGCAAACCTGTTTGTGATGCGCAATTGCTAGCCTTCTACATACCCAAACAGGCTCAGAAAATGCCGCCAAGCACTTGCTGCAAGACAGATCTGATTTGTATACGCAGATCCAGCATCAGAAACTTCGTTTCGATATGGGGAGGGGGGATTTTTCATTACGATAACCCGGGTACATTTGACCTTGGTTTTTTAGTTGCTTTTCGTGCGGCAGCGTGACCACGATGTCAAAAGCAAACCAAAAATGCCGTGTCAAAAGCAACTGCGAAGCATAACTTCAATTTCATCTTCATCCACGAAAAGCGACACTCTCAAATAAACCAAAAGTCTCATCAGATAAGTACCTTTCGCGAACACCCTGTGGTTAAAGAAGCCGTCAAACAAAACTCGCCCGCCCCGCTCCTCAATGCGCTTCTTCTCTTCCGCCAAGCTTGGCTTGTGGTCCCTCGTCAAGTCCCGGCCCGTGTAGGCGCCCTTGCTGGTTCGGGAGACCATCACAGCGCGGCTGTCACCGACGTGGGCAACCTTTGTTTGATGATAGTTTAATATGATGGTGGCATTCGCATTTGATGATGGTGTAGTTCTTCTTCCAGCTCCTGCTACACTAGGCCATGCATAAAAACTACAGTTCGATCTGTACTACTATCTGTCATTGCATCAGAAGTTCTACTAGCATCGTTGCAAACAAGGCCATTTTCGTGTAGTACATAGATCATCCCTTTTTCTGGTCCCGCGAGGATTTGGTAGACTAGGGTGCACGTGGAGCCGCTCATGCCAGCTTGGAGTGTTGCGTGCCGTTCCGCGTGCTCAATAAGTTTTTGGCATTTGGCAAAAGCTGTTTGGAGGGCCGCTGCCGGATCTGTGATTTGATACATGGGTTGTGTGGTCGGAATATTACTTGAATAAGAATTTCACCTGCTCAACATCAACATGATCCTCATCGAATGAAATTTTTCATCATATAAAAAAAGCAAATTTTCATTCGCTGAAAAGAAGAACTAAAAACAGCACAAGCAAACACACAGATTCACCCTTCGCTCTGTTCGGTTCGTTCAAAAAGAGCTTCGGCAGGGCATCCTTAACGAATTGTGATATGTGGTGCCCTATCAAATGCAAAAATGTCTGGGTCTGGAAACTTGTGATGCAAGGAAGGCACTAGTGAACTCACTGTAATGCGCTGCCAGGCATGACAAGTTTTTTTCATGGTTCTGAGTTGCGTATTCCGCATGGCATGAGAAACTGCATTGTTGCATGACAGGGAGAAGGAGCTCTTCGCGGCCATGCAATACAGAGTTCAGAGTCATGCCCGACTAGCATGACAAATTTCGGAATCTTCCAGACCCAGACATTTTTGCATTTGATATGCCCGTGCTGCCCGTGCCCATCGTACACTCCGACAAGAAGAAACTCCTCTGCAACGTAGAGCTGAGAAAAGTTTCATAGGAAAAGTGACGTAAGTATCAACAACATCGACGAGTAATTGCATTGCCTTTCGCGAGGAAAAGTAAAGCAGCTTATTATATTGGGTGGGTAGCAATAGAGTGGAGAAAGAATATGCGAAATAAATTTGTATACCACACTAAAGGCATCCTGATTTGGTGATTCTGGCTTCATGCCCTTTTTGCAGCTTATGCCGATTCCCAGCTTGTTCAGCTCTTCCCTGGTTTTCTCGTTCCCTGCCTTGTCTGCTGCGGAACGCTTGTCTGTTTTTATATTTTATTTCCAGTGTTTGTTTTTGATATAGCTTTTGCTTATATTTATAGTCCTATGGATGTTGACGAGAAGATCATGGTGACAGCTGTGGTACTAGGTTGCACTTGCAGTTGCAGCCTGACAAAAACGTCGATCAAATACTTGGTGACTAAGAGTCGTAAAAATCAAAATCGACTTCTTCTATACCAGAGGAGCTGCTAGCCGCTGGTCCTGCTTGTGTCAATTTCTCATCGAACGACTTTTGTCCCGTCTGATCCGAATGGAAACTTGACAAGTTCAGCTTTCTCCTGGCTTGCGTTGTTTTCACCAAGTCGCTGGCGTTTGTGGTTTTCAGAAACTGCATCAAGCCATGGTTTATGAATTGCAAAAATGTCTGGGTCTGGAAGGTTGAAGTTTGTGATGCTAGTTTATTTTGGATTCTAAAAAAATCTGTATTGCATGATCAGCAAGAGGAGTCTAGTTTGTGCTACGCGGGAAGGGCATTTGTCATGCGGAATAGGCATCAGGAAGCCCTCTAAAGATCTGTGACGCTAGGTCATGCATTACAGGCATTCTGGGTCATGCAAAACATGCATGACAAACCCGGCAACATTCCCGACTCAGACATTTTTGCATTTGATATGGTTGTCTGTCGGAGCTGCTGTTGTAGACCCTGTGGAGCTTCGCGCGGCACCGGATTGGCTCGGCCTGGATAATCGAGAATTTGAGGCCGGTTGGTTGTCATGAACACAATCAACGAGTAGACAGCACAGGAGCGTCGATATCATCAAATAAAGCAACAGAAAGGAAAAACACATGAAAAATTCTTATTCTGCCAGGAGGTCCTCAAGAAGGCATTATATGTACTCTTTCTTATCCACCGTGCCCAAGGTTAGCCTCCTTCTTTCGCTGGCTACCCGACGGGTTTTCCTCGGATTTCTGGTCGCATCGGACCGACCTCCCGAAGTTGCGAGATACTCCGTCGCCATCTTCCGATAGTTTGAAACGTAGCTTTCGCGATTTGAAATCTTACACGACTGATCTACTTTCTCAAAAAAATTCTACAAAACAAGCTAAAACAGACAGAAACAAATCATCTTTACGTTCTTTCATATTTTTGCGCACGAACGCACGACTCGTTTCTTGCTTGTTTGCAAAGCATGTTGATGATACTATCAATATTCAGAGACGAACGAGTGTGGCTTGCAATATGGAGCCCCGAGACGACACTGCTATGATCTTGATCCCCCCCACAACTGATGGAGCAAGTTTAATTTCCTTTACGCACCCTTACCGACTAATGATAATCTCCCACCGAACTTTTTATCATGCGACATAGAACTCCGAGTGCTGCAGTAACAGCTCTACCAGACAAGAACAAAAAGTGAAACTAAAACCGAAGCACGAGAAATATCATTTTCACCGAAGCAACACTACAAACCGATGAAATGAAGCAACCTACAGCAACACCATCCCCACAGTAGAGCAATAAATTCGAACGACTGACGGTCAACAAGTAAAGAGTGCCTTGGTCGTGAAACTACTCATCGAACAGAGGAAATTGTCCTCGGGTTCGCGGCAAGAGCAACGCTCACTTCAGCAGGCACCTTTTGTGAAGTAGAAACCGCATAAGCGATTGTATAATTTGTATTTGTAGCAACGCGTCATAGCTTTGCTTGCATAGCAAAGCACAGAGCAAATGCAAATTGAGTTTCTTCGATAACATTATAAATATCATATTTTCAGGATATGCAGCAAGAGCTTTGGTCTTCCACCGAGTACTCGAATTGCAGTGTGCCATTTACCCTCGCGGCAACACATTCCTGAATGTCGACCCAGTCACGCAGAGTAGCGTTACTCGTGCTCCCCGGCCGGTTCTGTGCGTTTTTCAAGTGTAGCTGCTTGATCTCGTCCTCGCAAAACTCCAAACAGCTCCGCTCGTTCTTGAACAACATCCCGACCACGGACAGAATCCGCGCCACATTTTCCATCGACCGATGGGCAAGCGAGTATTCCAGCGGACACCACAACACCTCGTGGTTCGCACCGTTGTGCAGCAGCAACCGGACCAAATTCGGTTGGCGCCAGCAAACCGCGGCTTGCAAGGGTGTCGGCGCATCGGCCGTGGGAGCAACGGACCCCTCGATGTTCGCGTTTAGTTCGAGCAACACTTTTGCCGTCTTTGCCCTCCCGTGGATCACCGCGTTGTGCAGTAGCGTGAAGTTTTTCCGATACCCGAACCGGTCTTCCGCCGGGTCGCCCCAGGAGCACAGCTGGCCATAGTAGTTGATGTCGGCGCCCTCTCGGAGCCGCGCGACGATCTCTATCAAATGGAAATATGTCGGGGTCTGGAAGATTCCTACATTTGTCGATGCGTGTCTGGCATGCCTTAAGAATCTGTGATGCAGGAGCACGAAGCGGTCCTCTTTTCTGTCATGCAAAAACGCAGTTTGCCATGCAGAACACGCAACACATAGGAGCCCAAAAAATTTGTTATGCGTGGTTCCGTATTTTTGCAGTGGAACAAACTCTCATTCACTTTTAGCATTACAAGTTTCCAGACCCAGACATATTTGCATTCCATAATCTCCTCGCGACTTCCGTACCAGGTGCCGACGCACTTCCACAGCTTGGCTTGCGGGTGCCCGTCCTGGCGTATGACAGTGCACAACTCCCCCTTCCCCTCATTTGCATAGCATGAACGGCAATACAAGCATCAATTCAACAAGAGTGCCGGCTTTGCATGACAAATTTGCACTGGAGTATAGTGCCACTTGGGCTACCAGAATTTGTCATGCAAACAGTGCCAAGAAGCGAAGGGTGGAATGGGTATTTTGCATGACAAATGAGGGGGAGGGGGAGTTGTGCACTTTCATATGGCGCCCGGCTTGCCACTGCCGGACGAGAATCCGCTGCGGGTTTCATCACGAGGAAACATCCCCCCTCCCCATATCAAAAGTAGGAGGCTTCTGATGCTGGGTTTGCGTATACAGATCGGGTTTGTCTTGCAGTAGAGGGCAGCAGGCTCCTGCCAAGCCTGAGTAGAGAGCTTTTGGCCTAGGGGCTTAGCATGAAGAACGTCTATGCTGTAGGCCCAGCAGTATCACAAACCGCCCGCATAATGCGGCAGAGCCTGTGGAGTTGTCTTCTTGCAAGACAGACGTGATTTGTGGTCTCAAATCAGCAAGACAAATTTTCGGAAACACACCTTTTCGATATGGGGAGGGGGGATTTTTCCTCGCAATAGGTTTCTCGGATCCGCGGTAAGCCCGACCGGGACTAAGGGACCGGTGTACAGGTGCTGCGAATTATTGGTCGCATTGCGATTTGCAGTTCCCCAGGTCGTTGTAGTACTGGCTCCTCCCGCTCCAGAGCTTGTGGTTACAGAAATCGTTGCGCCAACAGCACCTCCTTGTGTCGCCGGAAGTAAGCTCACCTGCGTTGGACTCGCCGCAATTGATGGCCCGGGACCCCCGCTGTGAAGAATGGTTACCTGTGACGCCGGGATCGTTTGCTGAATGGTCATTCCCCCGCCATGATGATGTCCTAGCAAGTGCGATGGCTGCGGCGGCGGGCTCGGTACTGGCGGCCCGTAGGATGACGGGTAGGCGAAGCTGGGCATCGGATGAGGAGGCCGCCCTGGTACACCCGAGCTGGAGCTACTCGATGTTGCCGCCGTCGTGGTCTGGCCGTTTGTCGGCAGATACCGCTGCTGAACTGGCGCTGGAGGCGGTGGCTGTTGTTGACCCTGACCCGCTCCCCCCGTGTTGAACAAGTGTTGCGCTAGAGTTTGCAGAAACCCCGGACTTCGCGTCGTCGCCGGTCTGTTCGGCGCAGGGGGAATCGGTTTCGCGATCCCCTTCTTTTCGCAATAGTCCTCGATGAGGGATCGGACCGCGCGATTGGGTATCAGATTGTTGGGAGAAATCTCTTCTCGCGTGACAGGACTACTGGAATGCCCAAGGGAAAACCAGTCTTGGATACTCTGGCGGTCGTACGTCTGCCCGTCCTCCGCCACCACCGGGTCCGCCATCAGTTCGCGGGAAATGGGGCACAGAAACTCCGACGGGTGGTCCTCCTCTTCTACTTCATCCGTGGCTTGACGCTCGTCTGAGGCAGCAACCTGCGGTGTAGTTCTACTTGCGGGCCCCGCGGCGCCCGCGTGTTCTGCCGGAGGCGGCGGAGGAGGTTGTGCCGAGGAGGAGCTAGTTGACGTGGTGGACGCAGGAGGAAACAAGCTAGTACTGGCAGCACGACCATCATCATGCTGTTGTACTAGTTGTTCGTCTGGTACTAGCAACGGCGGCGCCGACGCGTTTGCGTAGGGGTTGGTCGCGGGGGGACGCTCGTCAAGATCATCGCAAGTTGTTGACCAGGGGAGCAAAGTCGTTTCCGGAGGAGCTGCGTCGGCCCGGCTGCTCGAACCACTGCTCGACGTTGCTTTGTCAGGATTCATGCTGTTGGTTTTTATCTTGACTTGAGTAGTCTGCTGGAGGTCATTGCTGGGTCCAGAGGAATAAGAACGATGAAAAGTGGGAAGCAAGAGAACTGCTTCTTCTACACGAAGGAAGGGGCAGCGCCCTTTTTGTCGTGGTCGAAGCTGCAGAAGAACAGGTCGCTTCGATCACCGTTTTCTTTGTGATCTAGCTCCAAGGCTGCACGAAAAATGAATTGAGCAAGCAGTTTCTACACAGAAAGTTTTGATGATAATATGGCAAAAAGACCAACATTCACTCGCTCGTCGACAGTTTTGAAGCGCGGCCCCCACTCAACATCTGGGCTTCAGTCGTAGTCGCAGCGGCCGCAGTCGCATCGCAGGTTTTGAGTCCAGGAACACAGAACAGACGAAACTTCGAAATATTCCAGAGGGTACAACTTACCTGGTGGCATCTTGTTGTTCCACCTTCAGGAAAGTTTTTTCGTATGTATAACTCCTTCAAGGTCTTCAAAATCTTCAACGAGTGTCTGTACCATTGCGCAGCAAAAACAAGAAACGCATAAACAAAATGCTTGTTCCTCCCTCCTGATTCCGTGTTCCTCCCGGAAATTTTAATCCATTCATCAATTGCAGATCCTTCATGAAAATTGTTGACACTACGTCTACTCGCCGCAAAAAAAGTAAACTCATCCGTAGTTCAGCTGCGGGGTCCCCTCAATTTCCACGGGCGTGCGGTCCGTTGGCAAGACGCATCGGAACGCGAAGAACTATCCAGGAGAAAACACCCATGCCATCCTGATCCATTTCTTGCATGACAAACGAGTGCAACTTGTTATGCATGTTTGCATGACAAATTGGATGGGGATGGGTGTTTTTTATTTCCTGGATAAGAACGCTGCTGTGTACATCCCGAAAATCGCCAGATACGCCAAGGCTGCCCAGTTGCTCCTTGGGTTTAGGATCATGTACAAGTGAATCCCCCGGTTGTCCAAGGCCCACAGGTAGAAAGCCAAGTACAGGATCCCGAACAGCAGCCCAAACCAGAGGTCTAAAAACAGCAGCGGTCGCGGATTGAGCCAAATTTGGTCGGCCCAAGCGAGGAGGACGTTGAAGCCGTGCACGTTTATCTGGAAAAACCCGAAATTCCACTGCATAAAGTCCCGCACCGACCCCCTTTCCTTCTTCTTCGCGAGCAAAAAGCAGACGATCACGGGGACCAAAACCCCCCACCAGACGACGAAAGTGATGGTCGCTTGCACCAGGGCCGGAAACCTGAAAACTTCGTAAATTCCGACGAAAATGGGTCCGAGGCAGGTGCCGCACATACCCTGTTAGTTGATATTTATTGGACGACGTCGGGATCATGTTGGCACAGTCAGGATTTCTTCTGGCGATACAATAGATTCGTTGTCAACCCTGCAGGGACAGAATTTAGGATTTACTTCGAAGGAGATGTACCTCCCTAACAAGTTGAAGTTCTCGTAGCACGAAGAGCGAGCTGAAATTCGATGCTTTCGAAAGCAACCGTCTATCAAATCAAAATCTCAAAAATCAACAAATACCCCGCATCGGGCGAACAGTAGGACAAATGTCGCCATCAAGTGCCTGACGGTGAATAGGTTCCAGCTGGTCATGGTATAGCTGACACAGGGCCACCAGCTTATCCGCATCACCATAATGCCCACGTTCAGCGCCCCCCAAAACGCGATACCGCTGTGCACGGACAAAAGTGTTGCGTCACTGGTCGCTCTCGTCGCCGGGCCGCCATTGTAGTTCGGAAACATTTGGTTTTCAATGGCGTACTTCTCCCAATTTTCCGTCTCCCAGATCGCAAAGGACGGCAGTCGGTTGAGCGCCTGCTCCGGGTGTAAGGCTCCGGCGGGCCTTGGTTGGTTCATGAAGCCTTCCGGGTCGCGCAGGAAGGCCATTTGCGGCACCAGGGGGCACCAGACAATGTTCGCCGGAGTTGCGTAGGCCCCGAAAGGGGTCCGGCCTCCGTCTATCGAAAGGAAAGATCCCCCCTCCCCATATCAAAACGGAGCTTCAATTTCTGATGCTGGATTTGTGTACACAAATCAGGTTTGTATTGCAGAGAGGCACTGCGGCCAGATCCCCAGGCTAGGTAGGGGCGTATGGGTCTAGTTGTTCAGCATGGCAAACGGGTCTCTTTTAGGGCCAACAGCATGACAAATCGCTTCCATAGTGGGGCAGAAGCTTCTGCCCTTGTCTTCTTGCAAGACAAAATGTGATTTGTGACCTCAAATCAGCAACACAAATTTTCGGAAACATACCTTTTCGATATGGGGAGGGGGGATTTTTACTTTTGATACCGTCGAGGGAGTCTGCCAAGTCGGGCCCGGGTTTTCGGAAGTACATCACGGGTATGGCGACGGTGATGAAGATATCAAAAGTGAAAATGTCTGGGTCTGGAAGAATGCAAGATTGTCATGCTATTTTTGGATTCTAGAAAAATCTGTATTGCATGACCAGCAAAAGGAGCCCAGTTTCTGCTACGCGGGGAGGCCATTTGTCATGCGGAATAGGCATCAAGAAGCACTCAGAAAATCTGTGATGCCAGGAAATACATCACAGACGTCACGGGCCATGTAAAATCTGCATGACAAGTTCGCATTCTTCCAGACGCAGACACTTTTACATTTGATAGAAGAGAAAGGCAGCCCAGAAAACGATCCGCGGCAAGGCTTTCGGGCGATCGGTCCACAGCCACTCGTTGTCCTCGGTGATTTATGCATTGCAAATATGTCTGGGTCTGGATGGATGCGATTGCGAACTTGTGATGCGCATTTCACAACACAAAAAAATCTCTCATGCAGAGGCAGCAAAAGATGCCCACTTCCTGTCACCAAAAGGTGGAATTTGTCATGCGGCTTAGGCAATGCGAAAGATAATTATAATTTTCGAAATCTGTGATGCTAGTAGGGCTTCCATGACAGACCGTCTGTGTCATGCAAAAACAGCATGACAACCTCACCTCTTCCAGACCCAGACATATTTGCAATGCATATGATTTGGGTTCGAAAAAACTCGGCCGCCTCCTCGAAGTTGCGCAAGGGCGGGACCGTCGACCACTTGTCCTCCTTCCTCTTCTTGTTTTTTGCCGCCCAGCTTCCCATTCCATCGTCAAACGAGCCCATGGAGAGCTCGGAGGTTATCGTATTTAAAAACGTCCCCGCCCCATAGTTGTGATGCAGATCTGCATGCTGAAAATGTTTCTCATGCGGAGCCCCATGAAAAGCATTTTCTAGTCGCGTTTTGGAATTTTTCATGCTCCAATCAGCTTAGTTGGCTAGATTTGTGATGCTGCTGAACAAGCTCCACAGGACTACACTACGAGGACAGCCTTGTCATGCTAAACAACAAAAGCTGGTTGATTTGTCTAGCAGATTCCCCATCTTGACTCTGGTGTGGGGACGCTTTTAATCAGGATAGAGGTGCCCCCGAAATCATCTTCTTGGGAGGAGTATCAAATGTAAAAATGTCTGGGTCTGGAAACTTGTGATGCTGTGTGGCGTATCATGAGGAGGCGACAATTGCTGGCTCAGCATGATAAGTTTCTGAGCTTCTAGGTGTTGCCTATTCTGCATGACAAACTACGTTTCTGCATGACAGAAAAGTGGGGCTCTTTGGTAATGTGCATGACAGATTTAAGAGTCATGCCAGACAAGCATGACAAACTTACATTCTTCCAGACCCAGACATTTTTTTACACTTGATAAGGAGGCTGAAAAGATGGAAACCAACGGGACATCGAGGAAAAGCGCGGTCGCTTTTTCCGTCTGCTCTTCGGCAAAGGTAGTGGGAAAAGCCCTAGTACCTTCTATGTCGCTTTCCGTCGACGCCCGTCGTTTCCGCAGTAATTGAACACTGGTGTAGTTGTTCTGCTGTGGTCCGCGTGTCTGCTGGCTGTGGTTTTCCTTATTGCTATTGTTCACATTTTGATTATTTTCATCAACATCGCCTTTAGTTGTTCTTTTCGCATTCCTGCTGTTGCTCTTTCGGGACATCGTATTTTTGCCTCCGTAGAGGTACTGATTTGCTTGGCCATACGACTGCAGGTCTTCGGATGCTGGGACCATGCCGAGGAAGTCATCCGGCGGCTCAGTTGGATCTGAGTTTATCGAGCGGGAAGTAGATGTTGTTCTTGCACCAGGAGCCGGTCTTGTCGACTTGATGCTTGGCATCTTCGTCGTTTCTCCTTTGGTAGACTGTGCGGAAGTAGATGCGGTTCTTGCCGGCGAGAAGAAAGAAGTGGTCTCGGTTGCTGTATCCTCTTCGTCGTCGTACTCGGCATCGCGGTAATTTGAACGTGGAGGACTCGTCGCTTCTTCATCGGGAGACGCGCTAAGACGGCGCGGTGCTGCGGTGTCTTCGTGAGAGGAGAACTCGCCAAACATGATTCTGAGCTTCTACGTGAAGATGAAGAAGATCTTCGCGAGCCCAAATAATTGAAAGAGCTGCAAAAAACGTTTAGGTATTTTATACTTGTAGTAGAGTAGTAAGAAAGTACTTCTAGCGGAAGTTAAAGTTAGAAGAAGTTTTTTCGCGGGAGCAGACCTCCATGCGAAGTTGTGAAAAAAATAACTTCGATTCCCATTCACCAATACTTAGGGGAAAAGTTGCACAACAAACAGTATCGACAAAATGATTACATCAGGCTAGTAGCTACTAGCTCAAAACGACAGAGCGTCGTCGGTACCGGTACATACACATAGACGTATTGCGTGCAAAGAAATGGAAAAGAAAGGTAATATGGCTAATTATGGGTCTGTGTTTTTCATTGCGGTACCGGTATGTTGAAGTTCATCATGAGAGGACGGCACCGATTGAAAGCTATAAAGCATTTTGTTTGAACTGTGACACCGATGGACTATGTTCGAAGCACACCGAAGAGACACCATTTCATACATGAGTAAGTAGACAGTCGAAATAACACCGACGCTCTTCATCAAACATTATCATGTTTCCGAAGGTTCTTTGACGACCGATATGCGACCGATCTCGAAGTCCGTGGTGGAGTTCGACTACAGATCACAGAAATAGAACTTTCAGAGGATGTGAAGTGACAACACTAGCGACCATCAGAAAATGTGGGGATCACAGATGGCACTATGTCAAATCGGTGAGCCAGAAACGTGTTTGTTGCAATGATTATTGCACTGTTTCTTGTCCGAAACATTTGTTTACAGCGGACGACCACAACTCATGAGTTGTTTGTGATGAGTCTGTTGTTTCTCCTGATCAAAAATCTGCAGACTGATTCTTCAGATAATTCTCTTAGGTTAATCTTTGACAGAAGAACCTGCAGCGACCCGTTGCCAAGCCACTTCCTCTTCGACACTATCTGCCAAGCAGAACCGCCACAGAAATTCCGGTTGCAACTGCGACAAAACGGCTTTCTCTTTCGCTTCCTCCAAGAACGAACCTGGAAGGATTACGTGCAAGTCTTTTAATATTATCTTGTTCGTCTTTACAGATGTTGAAGTTGACAGCTGTTTCTGACGCTCTACTTCCAATTTGGCACTGCTCGTAGTTCTTGCAGGCTCCTTCTTGAGCCAGGACGATGAAGAGGAGGAGGATGAGGCTGCGTGTGGCTGTTGGAGAAGTGGAACTGCTGCCGCAGTTGTAGCAATTATGGGAGATGAAGATGAAGAAACTCTGGACACCATCTTCACTCTCTCCACGTCTCTCGCGTCCGCAACCGTCTGCAAGTCATCGTAGTGAAACAGCAAAACCGGGGCTGGCTGGTTGTTGGAGGGTGCTACAGTGTTTATGTTATTCTTCACTCCAAGGTGCTGGGGTACACGTACAGGCTCTGCAACTCCGCGACTGTTGATGAGGACATCTGCTACATGATTTTTACAAGATGAACCGGCTTTGTTGTAATTGTTCGCATTGAGTAGATTATCTTTCATATGCTGCGGTCCGATGCCAAAGACCTGCTGCAAAACGCTGGGCCCCTTGACCCTTGCAATCCCCGCCGCCTGGAAGCAGTCGCTCGCCCACTTCCCCGCAATCGCCTTCTGCACATCGAGAGAGAGGTCTTGCCCGCGTTTTTTCACAATTTTGATCGACGTCCCACCCTTGTTGTTTTTCGAGTCTCTTTTGTTTCCACGACCAGCAGTGACTGCGTCCACTTCGACTTCGAGCAAGGCCGAAAGCTGCTCGTCGTTCTTATCTGGTACAACATCATCCAGCAAAGTGAGGTCAACAACATCACAAACACCCGCATTTTTGTCACCACCAGCAGCAGTGGTCACAAAAGAAGAGTCTTTGCTTCCTGCTCTAGAAACGGTATTTGAAGTATATCCACCTCTTTGCGCTGGGTCAAACGGGTTCGCGCCCTTTTTGTGGAACACCACAAAACTCAAATCGCACGCCTTCAGCACCGGCGCAATGGCTTGGATCTGCTCCCAGTTTTCGAAGCAAACGACAAAAACCGCCGTGGGGTAGAGCTGCGGCATCTGCAAAAGCGCTCTGGCGAGGGAAACGCCCCGGCTGCAGTGCTGGGGCTGAAGCTGGGCGAGGGTAATGGCTTCCTCTATCCGAAGGTCCATCGCCTTGTCGGCGCCGGCGAGAAACCGCTTGTCTGTGTAGTGCGACTTCTCAAGAAGGAGCGGCGTAACAGCAGGCTTAGAAGTTGAAGAAGTACTACTAGTACAACTCGCGGTCAGTAGCAGGTTTTCAGTTCCGGTACAATTCATCTTCTTACTGCCACACGGTGGATGAACATCATCAACAAGTTGTGTAGTTGCAGCAGTAGCGAAACAGCCAGGTTGAAGATTTATTTTCCCTTCCATGCTTCTATGGCTCTTCAAACGCTCTTCTTCACCTCCGGAGGACGAGGACCCGGCGGAGGAAGCTGACGTCGTCGGGAGTCCGGTCGTGGAGGAGTTCACACCCTGCTGCACCGAGGACTCCTTGTTCTGTGCAAGAAGGAGGTCCCCCTCCCCTTCGTTCTCCCTGGCCACCGGCGTTCTCCCTGGCGACACCGGTTCTTGCTTAATCCTTATCGCGCTGCTGGAGCTCGAAGATTTTTCACCAGCTGGTGCACCCCGCGTAGAAGCTATAATCGCTGTAGTTCTCGATGATTGATGTTCATCTCTACCACCGGCCAACAACTCCGCCTGCGAAAAGACAACCGGCTCAAGCCTGAAGTTCAGTCTTGCAAATACGTCGTCGATTGAGGCTTCGTCTTCGTCCTCCATGGGCTCCTTCTTGATCCGCATCGGGGGGCTCTTGTTGTTGTTCTCTCCCGCAGCACAGCAGATGGAAGTAGTCTTCCCGTGGTCTTTGTGGTTGCAACAGCTCTTATTTTCGACGCTGTCGTTCTCGTTGTCTATGTCTTTGCCGTCTCCCCCTGTCGAATCCTGTTCAACGTCTTTACCTTGTTCTTCGTTCCTGCCTTGTTGAACAAATGTTTTGTGAAACCTTGTTTCCGCGTATTTCTGCTCTTCCTTCAGTTTGTACAGACCGCCACCGTGCAACGCGTGTTCGGCGTAGATCGGCTCCCTACAGGTTGGGCAGAACAACGTGTGTTTCTCAAACCCGTGCCTTTCCTGCAACAAGTTTCGAATGTGCGTCAACATGCACTCCCGACAGTACGCGTGCCCGCAGTGTAGGACCACGAACTCCTCCGTCCAGTCGAGATTGGTCAAGTCGGACCGCTCCGCGATCTCCTTGCCCTCTTCCATACAGACCGGACACCCAGCCTCCAAAAAGTTTTCCTTGATCTTGCGGAAAAAGTTAAACGCCTTCAGTTCCTTCGCAAACTCGCGGCCGCACAACTCTAACTTCACCTTCAACACCGCGCCCTTCCCCGCCCCGTCCGGCCAGTGCTTCTTGTGGATCTCTTCGAATTCGTTGTCGTCGATTTTCGCGAAGAACGCGTTGAAGTCTTTTTTTGTCTTGTAGTCAAAAGCGTGTGTCCCGATCTGCTGGAAATTTTCCGTTTTTTCCAGTAAAGCCGTGTGGAGGTTTTTGAAGAACCAGCCGTGGTCTTTGTATTTCCGCCAGACGTCCCTTTCTTTCATGTTCACGAACTTATCAAACAGCGCGTCCGGTAGGTTCGACCGCTGGGACTCGTGTACGTGGTAGTCGAAGAGGAGCTTGTGTGCGTTGTCGCGGCCTCGCCCCTTGCGGGAACGATCGTTGAACATCGCTCCTCGTCGGTTGTGAGGAAACAAATGGCTATTTCTGCCGCGGTTGTTCAACACAGAGCCCCGTCTGACCCGGTTGTAGTTCCTGCTGCTGTAATGGTACCACCGGCCGAAGTGGTGGCGTCGGGCGTTTCTACCCCTGTGGAAGGCTCGATGGATGTTGGGTGGACCAGAACTACCTCTTCCCCCGCTCGGGCTGTTGCTATTCATCTCCAGCGCGTTGCGGGAACTTCCGCCGGGCCCGTGCGAACCAGCGGCGCCCGGCGGGGCGTGGTTCTCGTCGGTGACTAAATCCTTCTCGAATAAGTCGCGGAAGCCTTGCTGCGGTTTTATGCCCTTTCTCTTCCGCCCGCCAACGCGGCGGGTTGTCAGGGGGTTCGGGTTACTGATAATCGCAGTGTTTAGTCCGTTGCTTGTTGAAGCTGCACCGCTGGAATTATTTTTCCCACGACCCTTGTTCCCATTATGTCTGTTACTGTTCGGATTTCTTCGCACGGAACCAACCGTCAACCGATTGCCTAGAAGTCCTTGCTGCTGGTTAAATGAACCAGGCCTGTTCGTCGCAGCATTTATTGCTGGGTTTAAGTTAGAGGTGCTAGACGAAGAAGATGCTCCCTGTTTATTTCTCGCCGTCAGAACGACAGTCCCATCGCCCGGTTTATTTCTCTTATCATTCGACTTGATCACGACCACAGCTTTATTTCCCTTCGCGTTTTCGTCACCGGCATTTCCACCATTTTTCGCAGCCGCCGCCCTCGCCGCCAACTGCGCTTTCCTTGCCTTCAAATTCTTCAAGAGTAATCTTCTCTTCCGTCCTTTGAACGGCAGTTTCTGCTTCACCATCCGGGCGGTGAACCTTCGCTGCTGCTCCGCCCGGATCCGTTTCGCGACGCGAGCTTCGATCAGACTGAACGGGAACTGCCGCTCGATTTCCGCCTCGTTCTGCTTCAAAATGTTCATCTGTTCCTGTTTCAGATTCTCCCTCAGTTTCTGCTTCTGCAGCGCGATGAAGCACTTCAACTCATCCACGATCGAGTCCTGGTCCGCTTTCATGGAACTTCCGCAGGCTTCGAACAAGGCTACCCGTGGGTTCCGGGAAGAGAGAAGCGTCAGGTCGGTTGAAAATTCATCTCTTGGCTTCAAAGATATCTCGTGTACGGGCTCCTTGCCGTCGTTCAAGTTGGTTTCGCGGAGGAGGGTTTGAAGGAAGGATTTCACATTCAAATCACTCTTCTCGTTCGGGAGATTCTCGAAGGTCAGAGAATTGTCCTTACTGGTCGTCTGGTCATTTGTTCCATTCACTGTTGCACCTAGTTCGCCCCCCGCAGGAACCACAAGTCCCCCATTCGCGGCGATTATAGACATCCCTGGATCACTGGCTTCCCAGTCGACCTCCATACTCGCTGGCACTAACACATTGAAAGGGTTCTTGTCGTCCTTTTCTTGCATCTTGTTCAAATCCTTCAACGGCGGCGACTTGCTGTTTGATTTTGGTTTTGAATCGGCAAGAACGTAGACCCCCGCATTCATCTCCACTGCTTCAACCAGACAAGCCACTCGCAAATAGCACTTGAACAGTTTGTACGTGTCCGCCACTTGGCGGAATAACTGTGCCATCCGGTGCCGTGCCACGTTTCGCAGCATCAAAGGTCGGTTAAAAATGATGGCGTCGGTGTTGGCTTTGAATTGCGTGCTGAGACCACCTGCTGTGGAGTTCAGCTGCTGCGTTTTTTGCAATTCCTCTCGTTCCTGCTTCAACGTCATTGTGTGCTTCGGCAGAAAATATTGCTGCAGCAACACCTTTTTCTCCGGAAAGAAGGACGCCAAGTGAATCTGCTCCAGTTTCACTCGCTGCTGTTGTTCCGCTTCTGGATCAAGGATTTTCGTAGTGCTGCACTGCGGTGTAGTGCTGCACTGCGGTTGTATTGGTACTATGACAGCGCTTCTTCCCACCTCCGTCAGAAACATCAGCTCTCCCTGTGACCCGGGGTTCAAAGGCACGACGATTTGCTTTGTTTGGCTTGTTGGTCCTCTGGAGGCTGATGATGAAAGCACTGGCACGAGTAGATCACCAGGAGCGGTGGCCCTGCTATGAACAACTTCTATATTAGTAGAGTGTTGCTGGACCACAACATCACCAAGGGTAAAAATGTCGTGGTCCTTCGTGTTCGCGTAAACGTACTTCGCTACGAAGCGGTGTAAGTTTTCCATAATCTTCCTCCTCGCGACGTGAAGATTTTGATTCGCACCGCCGCTTGTGCACTTGCCGGTGTCGTGATGCAATTCCACCGTCTCAAGAACATTCTCGAGGTCCAGCTCGTTCTGAAATCCCCAAAACGGACCGAGCAGATCGATACCAAATAACAACGCTAGGCGTGCCATTATGGCGTTCTCAACTGTTACATTCTCAACTGTTACATGAGTTTGTGATGCAAGCATGGGAAAACTAAAAGGGGAAAGATTGCGCCTTTTGCATGACAGATTTGGCACAGATTCTTAGCCTATTTGGCACTTCGAGAATTTGCCATGCGAAGCAGCTTGATCGCGTCGATTCTGGTTCGAACTTTGCATGCCAAATCATGTAACAGTTGAGAATGTAACATTTGAGAACGCCATAGCCATCCGCTGCAGCTGCTTCTGCTCAGAAGTCGTAGTAGAGCAGGGGTGAGGTGGACGAGGATAAGCGCAAGTAGACGCGCCTCCACTATGTGTACTAGTACAAGAACTTTGAAGCTGCGCCACCCGGATCCACTTACCGAACTCCACACTGGAAATGTTGCTGCATCAAATGCAAAAGTGTCTGGGTCTGGAAGATTTCTAGATTTGTCACGCATATTTTGCATGAGCCATGATGTCTGTGATGCATGCCGTAGCATCACAGATTTTTAGGTGGCTTTGTGATACGATACATCTACGACCGCATGAGAAATGCCGTCTCCACGTAGGACAAATCCGACCCCTCTTGCTGGTCATGCAATGCAAATTTTTTTATTTTTACTATCCACAGACAGCATCACAAGCTGTGACCTTCCAGACCCAGACATACTTGCATTTGATACGCTCACGCCCTCATCGATTTGCAACTGCAGAGCCGCGTCGTTCCCGCACTGCTTCCTGACCTTATCCCAAGTGGTCTTCATCTCAGTTTTCTTTTTCGTTTGCGACAACGAGGTACAACTAGACTCCTTTCGCAAAAGACTTTGCAGTTGCGCCCCAGCAGGAGCTGCTGCTGGTCCTTTGTGTTGCGCCGGCGGCTTAGAATTACTGTGATGTTGCTGGTGTCCTTCCTGCTTCTGGTAGTTTATCTGGTGGTCTACTCCACCATGATGTACATCTGCACTGTGGCGTGGACGATCCTCAGTGTTGTAGATCATCCGCAGCGTTTTCTCTTCGACTTTGTCGTCCTGACTAGACGCCGTCGTTCGGTCGTAAAGGACGGAAAACCAGTTGTGCGCGTGCAACACCGATCAAATGCAAATACGTCTGGGTCTGGAAATTTGTGATGCTAAAACGAGCATGATGGAAACGTTACGTTTTCTTATCCGGGAAAGCATGACAAGTTTGCGACACGCTTTCTCATACGACCTCCGCGTGAGAAACTGCGTTCGTCTTGTATGACAAGAGAGGCTGCCACTTTTGTTGGTCATGCAATACAGATTTCACAGGAATGCACGACCAGCATTACAAGTTCCAACTTCCCAGACCCGGACATATTTGCAATGCATAACACCTTGCAGTCGAGGTACAGCTCGGAGCCAAAGCAACAGTCGTTCACCAGGACGACGTTATGGAACTGTCAGGATTGAAATCGTCAAAGTTGAAATAGTTTGTCATGCATAAAATGCAACGCAGAAAATGCCTGTCTTGCAGAGTAGGCAAGGGAGGCAGATTGTAAGCCTGCCGCGGGGTAGGAATAGAGCTGCTAAACTAGCATGACAAAAGCCGTCTTCGTTACCCAAACCGCATTACAAACTGGATTCCGGCTCTACTCGAAGTTGTCATGCGCTGCTTAGAAATTGGGCTTGCAACTGGTATCGATTTTATGCATTACAAGTTATTTCAACTTTGTCGATTTCAACTCTGACACATCCATAGACGTCCGCGTTGCTGTAGTCGATTCGCAAGTCCCGGGCCTTGTAGACCTGCCTGATCCGCGTGAAGCAATTCGCCGCGCGCAACGCGTCCCGCCACGTTGAGAAGGACTGGGCGCTGCAGATGATGAGGGTGGGGAGGATTTGCAGGTCGATATTAACATTCGTGGTCTTCGGTGGATATAACGTATTTCCTGTCTGCAACGTCGCGTGGAAGTCCACTGCGGAGCTGGATTTTTTACTCGCGGAACAAGACGACGAGGACGACGCTGAGCAAGATGTGATGCCTCCTGTTGTAGAAATGATCTTCGACCCGGTCGGCTTATCATTGTCCACACTGACACTAGTTGCAGTTCCTGCAAGGCCGGTATTAATACTGTTAGATGAACTGCCTTTCGTTTTCGCCAACCACGCCTCTCTTTGCTTTTTGATACACGAGACCAAGGTCGGTATGCTAGTCAGCTCCGCCGCAAGAACGCCTCCGGTGCTGCAATCTGAGAATTTCACCGCACAGGAGACTCTTTCTGGCGGTCGCTGCGGTTGCACGACAGGGGGCTGGAGTTGTTGTTCCTTTTTGCTCGAATCTTGAAAATTGGAAAACGGTTTCAGCTTCGTCCTCATCCTCCACAGCGGCATATCAGCCACGAAATTGCACTCAAAAACGCCGGTGCCCGGGCCGTGATCCGCAAGCCTATCGCCCATTACAGAATCGAGCTCCTTTACCGTGCGGCTGTGATGTTTCAGAGCTGCTCCGATCTTTACGAACGGGGTGGGACGAGGTCCTTCTTGCCCTTGGTTGCTGCAATCATTATTGGAAGATAGTAGTTGTAGAGATGAAACATGGCTCTGCACATTCGTGTCCTGCTGCAGCAGAGCCGTGTCAACAGCACCGTTCCCGGATGATACCTGAAATTCCGCGTGGCACCGCCACCTTCTCGCGTAGACACAACTGGTCCAGAACTCGTCTACCAGATTTGACCGGTTCCCTTTTGGCGCATTAAAGTTATTCACCGGGACCGGATGCCACTGCGCACTGAAAGTTGTGGTTGGCGGTGTATTATTTGATGTGTCTTGAGAACAACAACCGGACGTCGCGGAAGTCGTCTTCAGCCGCTTCAAAGGTGGGGGCTTCGCGTGGTCCATCTCGTTCCTTATTGGCGGGGATTTTGATCGCAACATCGTTTGCTCCTTCGAGGGTAGCAACATTGTCTGTAGCGTGGTCGTCTTCCTTGCAGAGGGACATCGATTGCAACCACGAAGCGGGTCAGTCCACGTGGCAATCTTCCCTCGAGCGTCGCTGCGAACGGGGGGACGTCGTCATTTTTTGCAGACGGGGAATTATGGCAATAGAGATGTTGAGTTCTGTCATTTTCGAAACATCAACGTGGTAGGTAGTGGGTGGCAATAACGTGGTGAGGGTACGAAAGTACAACCAAAAGTCAAATACACATTACCAAAAGTGTCAAAAAACAAAGGGTAGCTTCTATTCCGACGACGGAGTTGACGCGGTAGTGTTCATTCATGGGTCCTGAAACAAGATGAAGTGCGGCGCAGATAGAGCGTTGACGTACGATAGGACGTAACTAGTTCCACGCCGAAACCGAATATTTTCTTTCTTAGACGTTTTCGTTTTTTACATAAACAATCTTCAAGACATTCGCTCAACGCGTGCATGACGATCTGCGACCCACCGAGGAGGATGTAGTTGCATTGAACGCAGATGTTGAAAGTACCTCTTACGTGTCTCTAGTGTGGAAGCAGAGTTTCAAATGCAGAACTGAAACCGACTCCGACGAGTGGACATGCGGCTGCAGTTGTGTGCCTCCACGTGCTTTTGGCGTGCTTTATCTTTTTTTACAAAAAAATCGTGATTTATTGAGTTGTCTTGACTCGCGGTCGTGAGACATCGCGTGTTTTCACCGTTCGTGCTCTCTCGATAATGAGTGGCAGAGGCAGTACCAGTACGAGTTCTACTAGCATGAGGCATCGTCGTCGTGATTACCACGACGGACGAGCCGTTCAGTGTCTGTTTCTTTCTTCACCACCAGCAACTTGGTTCAGGGACGTCGTCGTGAGTAAGTAGCACTTGCTCGTCGCTCTGCCACGACAGCTTGCGGGTGTGCTACAAAAAAAGTTCGCGTTGGTGCTTAATTAAGAGCGCTGGTCAACAGCACAGGAGCTTCATCGGCTGCGATTGAAGATTTCTGCACAGAGCTCAGCTGCTGCATCATGCTCATGACCGCGAGGGAGGATGCGAAAGTTGAAGTTCTGCGAATGAATTCTGCAAGCGCGGCGCGTGCTAGCCCAGGGAAAGTTTGCAGCTTTTGGCGAAAGCAAGACAACCTTTCCTGCTGTTTGTGTCCTCGGCGAGTGGGGCGAAGCTCAAGTTTGATCAATCTTCTCCAACAAGTTTGATCACACCGCATTCGGTCCAGTCGACGCGCTCCTCCCACCCGCGCTAGGATGCTCCACACTGAGCGAAATCGCACTCGGATCTAGCCCGTCATCCATGATTGCCCCAGTGGAAGCGGATGCGAGGGTAGTCCTCTCTTCCGTGTCTCCTCTGGAGAAAGATGCCGAGGGAGTCTTCACGGCCGGTCCGTCCAAAAATCCTTTATTTTTCGTCCCCACATCCGGACTCGCGACCGGCTGCCCGCCCGTCGCACCACCAGTTGTAGCTGACGCGGTGCCACCCCGACTGGAATTTATCGACTGCTGCACTACGGCTGCTTTCGCCGTGAACTCCGCTACTATAGCGTGCAAATTGTCGTAGAACCCGAACACGATCGCGATGAGAAAAGTCGCGCCCGCGAAGTAGCGAAAGAGCGCCTGGATGTTTCCACCAAACGCCGCGTCGATGAGGAAGCCGCCGAGGACGGATCCCATGCCGGTCCCGAGACCCGTAAAGGTGGAGTGCAATATCGACTGCATGGACGCTTTCCGACCTTCCGCGAACTGCCTCCCGATGTAGACGGTTATCGAGAGGTACGGAAACGCGAAGGAAAATCCCGCCATTTATCCTGAGTAAAAACGTCCCCACACCAGAGTTGTCATGCAGATTTGCAAGGACAGGAACATTTGTAATGCGCATCGCCAGGAAAGGCATTTTTAGTCGTGTTTTGGAATTTGTAATGCTGTAAACAGGATGAGCAGATGGATTTCTGATGCAGCTGGCCTTGCGCACCTGCACTGCACTACGGACTGCAACTTGTGATGCGTGACCCCCAAAAGTTCTAGGTGTGTGTTGCAAAATCCCCATCTTGACTCTGGTGTGGGGATGTTTTTACTCAGGATACCATTACCTCGGCGTACATCGCCTCCATGGGTTGCGTCAGTACGCTATGGAATGCAAAAATGTCTGGGTCTGGGAGATTTCTGGATTTGTCATGCATATTTTCCATGACCCATGATGTCTGTGATGCATGCCGTAGCATCACAGATTTTTAGAGCGCTTTGCGATACCTCTACAGCATGAGAAATACCCTCTCCGCGTAGCACAAACTGGAGTCCTCTTGCTGGTCATGCAATACAAATTTTTTCAGAATCCAGAGACAGCATCACAAGTTTTACTTAGAATGTTCCAGACCCAGACATTTTTACATTTGATATACGCCGTACCAGTACAGTCTGATGGAGTTGACACACAAGAAGAGAATCTGCGCGTTCGGTAGCGAAATCTGGTCCACCAACTGCATGCCGTAAATCCACACCGGTATCTCGAAGATCATGCCGAACAGCCTGCACGCGCCCATGAAGTCCACGCCAGCGTTGAGCTCAGAGAGCATGATGAACTCGTAAGCGCCGATGATGCCGAGCTGACAACCCAGAATAAACAGGGCGCACACGACTCTGAGAGAAAGTGAGGTTTTGTGAAATACAATTTAAACTTATGCAAGTTGATGTTGACTATGACTGTAGTACGCTGTACGCAAAATGAAAATTTTTGACTGGTGCAACATTCGCTGAGATGCAGTTCTACAACCATAATCTCAAACTACTAAGTTGTACTTGTACACCCTTTTACTAGTGCTGTCTCTACTAGTATACCTTGGACAGCCTTCGGTGTTCCAGATTTGCGCCACCAGTGCTTTGAACTCCGCGTAGATTGAGCGCTCCCGCAACAACCGATCTGCGTCGGGCGTCACGTTTTTTACGTATTTGTGCATGATGGCCCAGTACACGCTGGATGCGAAGCAGATCACGGCGAATGCGACGAAAACCTTATCCACTCGTTCGTACGGGGCGGCTTCAGAAGTGCCTGCGGCGACGAACAAGCCGGTCAGGGCGGCGAGAATCCCAAACCCGAAATTCCCGAAGAGACGAACCTGATACAAATGGAGTTTAGCTTAGTTATTTTTACAACAAGACGAAGACCTCGATGCTGCAATGTGATAGTCACATCATTGCAAAACCAAAATCTCGGGGGGAGCGGAGCCCGAGCAGAATACATATATCACAGCATTGCAAAACCAAAATCTCGGGGGGAGTTCTTTCCAGATGCAGAATTATACAGCGAACTTCTTTATACTATACCTGTCCAAACTGTGCCTTGTCCTTGAACGCATACAAGCACTGTGCGTCGAGAACTGAGTTGCACCCTTTCAGGCACGGCGCAGTCAAAGCGGTCAGGAACAGAAGCATCCAAAAGGAATCCGCAAACACGATGTAGAGGAATTTGAGGGCGCCGGTTGCGGACATGGCGATAACCTTTCTTGTGTTTGTTTTGTATTGCGTTGTGTCAAACAAAATCACGCGGGGCAGGCGCTGTGGCATCACATCATGTTGCAACGCCATCAAAGACTGGAAGTTGTATGAAAAAACTATACCAGTCCCCAATTATGGCACTTCCAGGTATCTAGTATCCCTCCAAAAAGTGGCACGAGCAGGATGCTGAAGCAAATATCCGCAGCCGCCATGAAACCGACCTGCGTCGGGGTGTAGCCGTGCAAATGGGTCCACAAGGCGACAAAAGGAATGAACGCCCCGAGCAGGCCGCCTTTCATGAACAGAGCCCCGGCGAGAATGGCCTTCTGTTTCACCGTGATTTCACCGGGGATGACGTAGTCCGTTGAGGAATTTTCACCTCCTGCCTGGTGATCGTTACCTCCATCGCTGGCACCGCCCATGTTGACGGAAGTCGTCGTGGCGCCGTAATTCTGGTCGCCGGAAAGATGCGGGGCAGAAGTGCTGCCTTGATTGCCGGTGAGGCTCATGGCCATCGTCGAGTCGCGCGTCGGTGGCGGGAGATGAAGTAGGTGTGGCCTGGTCTGCTGATCCTCAGATTCAATCTGGTTTCCGTTTTCGAAGTTTCAGCCGTCCTTGCCGCGCTGGGCGGACAAGGGCAGGATTTTTCGAGGATGTCATGATTCGCATTAGTTTGTTCCGTGTTTTTTCTTTATTTTTGTGCGAAAATAGTCACAGGCTTCTTGTCAAGTGAGCAAAGATATAGCAGGACGAAAAGTTATTTTTTCTTTGCAGCAGGAAGCCGGGCACCATGGGGCGATACAAGTTAGCGATGCTCTTGTATTTGCCCTCTCTAGCTTCTCGTCGTCTTCGCCTTACGAAAAATATGCGAACCAACGCTCTTTGATGCTTGTAGTTGCGAGTGCGTTTTTGCATTCTTTTAGGCCAGTCGTAATTTTGGTCGCAGCCTCAACATCGCTCCACACTCATTGAAAAAGTGACGCGAAATGACAACTCGAGAACAGAAACACGAATAAAAGCGGTTCCAAAAAGGTTCGTGACCTGTCTGTAGGAGACTGCGTCACGACTGATACGCACTTTTCTCACTTTTACTCTTTCGATGAACTGATGTCGCTATATTTGTTGTTCAGAGCTCAACATGTCGCTTCTTCTATATGCTTTTTCCAATTTGTATTTGACTTTCAGAAATATTTTCTCAGAAGCTCCGTACCAAAATCAAACAGGTCTTGTAACCCACTCCGATGCAAAATCAGAAACCTCGCTTCAAAGTTATTCCTCTGCACGACGTTATCTTCAGTTGGGCCTTCTTTTCCGCGGTCCATGTTCTGGAAAAACTCAGGCTCATAGTGCAGGTCACAGCTCCGGTGCGAATGATGCATCGATTTAAACATCACAGCGACCTCCTGCGGTTTGTTCGTTTCCTTACATCTTGATTGCAGGCAACAAATCAGGTCCGTGTCTTTGATCGGGACCTTTTTGGTATTATCAAACTCATCAGGAACAACAACCACATCAGAATCGTCTTCAGCATCGCTTTCTCCTTCTGCTCCATGTAGAAGTTCTTGTGGCCGCTTTACTTCTGTTCCTCGTCCTAGTTGTTCAGCTGCAGAACTATCATCTGCAAGAACTTCTACCTCCTGCGCTGCCTGTTTCTCTATCAGACCTTGCACCTGTTCCGAAAAATATTCGTCCAGCAGCCGTTGGTCCTGCTCCTTATCCGCCCAAATCCTCTTGGATTGCACGCACAACGAGCTCGCCACCGCTTTCTGGTCGTGACACAGCGTGAACCACAGGTTGCACACGTCATGTTCGGCCTGGTTCAGTATCAACCGGAACTTCTTCAGATAATTTTCGTATTCCTCCGGCGATGCTGCGCGCCGGATCACGTCGCGGGCGGGGACTTGTTGTGAAGCTTGTAGTTGCTCGACTGCAGCGGGTGCTGACGAGTGAGGGAACGAGGAGAATAAAGGTTCATCTTCTGGCACCTCTTCATCTTCCCCTGCAACAGTCGATGGCGTACGCGTGGAAGAACAAGCAGCGGTGCTATCCCTTCGAAGTAAATTCAACGGAGACGCTGCAGCTTCATTATCATTACCACGACGTTTCTCGTCCGCCAGCTTCTCCCCCGCACGCCGGTGCCACAGTGGCAGCCAGGAAAGAAGAAACTCTTCTAGCACCTCTTCTCCGTTGTTGCAATCCGAAGTTGGATCGTTATTCCATCTGTCCTTGAAGCAGTCGAAGTCCGTGTGCCAGTGGTTCAAATAGGTCTTTTTCCCGTCGAGCCCGATGCCCCGGGTTCGGTAGGAAATAAACAGAACCTCGCAAGAACAGGCTTCATCGTTATTCTTTCCCTCACATTTTTGGTCGTTGTACACGCACTGCAGATGATTTTCTGCGGCTTGTATCAGAGGACGAAACTTCGTATCGTCGTCATCGTGCAAGGGGCTTTTGTTCATCCCCTCTCTGCAATTTTTTCGATTCTCTTCGTAATCCGGGTGGCTTCTCCAGTTTTTGTAAAATTCCCGCATGTTCCCGATCTGTAACGACAGATGCTCGATCTCTGACAAGTTTTTATCGGCGTGCTCTGATTTTGCTTTTTTGTTCTGCGGCCGTGATGTCGTCCCCTCGTCGGGCAACCGGTACACTCCGATTTTCTCCAAACATTGCTTGGCCCAAGAGGTGTAGGAGCAAGTGTCGCTACTTGTGATGGTGGAGCTTTTATCTACTAAAGATGAAAGATCACTATCCGGCTTCACCCTTCTTGTTCTACTATCAAACTCCGGCAGCGCGCGCACCCCGGTGAAGCGATTCTCTCGGGTCACTTTGGGAATTGTGAATCTGCTTCCCAGAGACTCATAGAGCGTGTATGCCGCGTTCGCCTTGACTCCGTCGGCGAGCTGGAGCTTGTCGAGGGAAAACTCCTCGTCCTGGTCAATTATGGGCATTTTGGTGTTTTGTGCTTTATTTGCACTCGAAATATACAGGTTTGAACCAGAACTACCGTATGTTCTTGGTAGCGTCTGGCAAAAAAATAGATTTTCGAAATCTATTTTCTTAAACAAGCGTGAGCGTCTGGATGTCGGTGTCGCTGAGTAGAATAGAGATAAAATGGCTGATGTCGCAAGGGGCAAAAATGAAGGACCAAAAACAAAAAGAGAAAGACGATCATGATAAGATATGATTACTAAAGTTCAAAAGCTAATGGATCCATGAGATTCTTTCTCAGCAAGATCTACTGTTTACACTTGCAAAGGGATTTGTTTTCCAAGATCGATGCACTTGCCACCGCTGGACATCGGCGCAGCGAGGTATCGCCGGTGCGTGCAGTTTGAATCTTTTATTTCTTGCCCGCTTTATGTTTATTTTTTCTTCACTTTCTTTTCTCTTTTATCATATTACACTCTTTGCTTTTTTTTTCCTTCGTTGTTTCCGATTCCGATAGTGCGTATGCATTTGTGAAAATCTAGACCAACAAAATTGAGCCGCAAGACTATTCAGAGGAAGCAAAATTCAAAAACTTTATTCCTGCGTAAGTAGTTCGGTGGTGTGCATTTGCGTATCGAAACCTGGTTGTGTGAAATTCTCACATCACAATCTCCGTCGCCTGCTCTCCACGACCTTCTAGATGCATTTCTGGAACATCAAGCGCTTGCGTGTAGAGCAAGGAAAATTGCATTTGCAGCAGCTTCACCCCGTTTTCGTCTGCATTTCTATTCCTTGCGCTTCTTGTTCTACTTCCCGCGTTGCTGCTTCTAGTCAGTCCGCAGACGGAAAATTTTGGAGAAGGGCCGCTGCTCTCGTCCCCGCCCACAGAACCGCAATTTGTAACCGACACCACTTCTTCTGGTAGTTCCCAAGCGAGGCGGTTCTCCACGGGAAGGGCTGTTTCCAGATCCCAGATCAACTCCAGAATCCGCTTGTTTTCTTGCTTCAACCCGAGTAGAAATCGGTTTTGAACCAATACTATCGACTGAAACATCCTGTCCTCCACGAACTCCGCGACCGGGTACAGGTTTCGGTCGTAGACGGTAAGCAGGCCAATAGACTGATCCAGCACCACGGTATGGATCTTCTGGCTTGTTGGGTTACTACTAGTCGCCTGTTCTGCTCTAGTACCTCCGTGCGCAGTAGCAGGTGGATGTGGAACGAGAACATCCGCGGCAAGTTGTTCATCCTGTGCGAGAGGAGAAGACGGTGCTCTTGATGTAACCGAGGCGGTACTGCTGGCATCTGTCCTCTCAGTAGTGCTGGAGGCGAGCAAAATGTGCGTCGGCGACGTTGCAGCTGCATCGTGCGCTGGTTGGAAAAAATGCTGGATCTGTGGCCCGGTGAAGATTTTTTCTGCACTGCTTTTTCTGTTTTTCTTTTTCATTCCGAAAAACAACTCTGGCCTCGGGCATGCGATGGCGATCTCGTGTTCTGAAAGCAGCGGCAGAGAAGTACTACCTGGTCGCCCGCTTGATTCCGCCACGACGACAGGCGTACCTTCGTACACAGTGAGCTCGGATACCGGGGCGCGCACCGCACAAGAATCATCTTCTACAGTGTGGTTTGTTGTACTAGCGTGAGCATCTATAATTGCATCATCTGCGATGTCAGTTGGAGTTGATACCATCCCTGTTGTACTCGTCGCTCCTAACTCCACGCGGTGCAGGCGGTACGTGTCCGCGAGGAAGCAGACGAGATTGTTTGTCTCTCCTGGTGCACGACTTCTCGTGCAGGCAACAGCCATGGGCGAGAAAAATGCCGCATTCGCTTTTTGCGGTTGTATGGTGTGCACTGCGGTTAGTCTCGGTGTGTGAAGGTGGTAGAACACATCTGGCGCGCCTACCGTGGTTGCGGAGCTAGTAGCGGGCGCATTGTTCCTAGAAGTTGTACTGGAGAAGAGTATTGGCAGGATGCTCGAAGTCGCGTAAGAGACAGACGCAAGCTTAGCAGCCAGGTTCAGCTTGTCCGTGGAGGAAAATGCAGGGGCGCTGTGATGCCGATGCAGCTGCTGGTTAAAAGCAGCTGCGTGTCCTCGTGCGGTGTTGCGAAGATCGCTGCACTCCTCGTAGGTGCGTGATAATTTGTTGTCGCGCGGAACTACTTCGGCCTGCCCCTCATCGGAACTAGAAGCACTTGCTGTGTAGCACAATACCCTCCACCAAGACACGACCGGGGTCGTCGTGCTGGAAGAAGAGGCACCACGAGCAGATGAACTGTCGTTTGGCCGTCCAGAATAAAAGTGCTGGTCATCTTCTTGCTGCTGGTCCTCGCTCCCCCCGCGGCTATCAAATGCAAAAAGTGTCTGGGTCTGGAAAGGTTGGACCTTGTGATGCTAACTTTGGACTCTAAAAAAATTTGTATTGCACGACCAGCAAGAGGAGTCTAGTTTGTGCTACGCGGGGAGGGCGTTTGTCATGCGGAGTAGGCATCTGGAAGCCCTCTAAAAATCTGTGATGCTAAGTCGTGCATTACAGACATCCCGGGTCATGCAAAACCTCCATGACAAGTCTCAGAATCTTCCAGAACCGGACATATTTGCATTTGATAGCGGCCCTGATGAGGCAACTTCCTTCGTATCCAGCTCGGATCCTGCCCCCCCGGCACGTTCGCACCGAAGGCCATGGTGGAAATCGACCAGAGCAACCCGATATGGATTGCAAATATGTCTGGGTCTGGAAGAGTGCAAGATATGTCATGCATATTTCTCATGGCCCATGGTGCCTGTAATTCATGACCCTGCATCAGAGACTTTTAGAGGGCTTCCTGATGCACCTTCCGCATGAGAAATGTCCTGTCTGCGTAGCACAAACTGGACCCCCCTTGCTGGTCATGCAATACAAATTTTTTTCGAATCCAAAAACAGCATGACAAGTTCCAGACCCAGACATTTTTGCATTTGGTACCCGACGGTCCACACCCCGACCAACACGGCGGAGCCGGCGAAAAACGTCTTCCAGGGCAGCAAGCCCGGCGGCGCGGCTCGCGTTCCCGCGCTCGAAGAGGACGAGTTATAATTCGGCGTACTCCCGGCAGATTGTTGCAGACTCAGGTTCGAGAGCTCCCTCTTCCGCCGCAGCCATTCCAAACTCCGGTTCCAGGACGACGAAGGGTCGTGAGTACAATTATCCGGGCTGTTGTTGTTTGCACGGGAAGATTGATACTGATCATCTATTCCTCTTGGCGTTCTTGTCGAAGTGGCCGCGGCTCCAGGCGCGGTGCCTCTCCTTCCTCTCGTCGCAGATGACGAGCCGTTCGCTACTTCCTGTGGTCCAGTATCATCTTCCCCTGCACTCGAAGAGGACATCACATTCCCCCGGTGACTGGGCGTGTTTCCAGTTTTCTCGGAGGAGTGGGGAAACGGGTGGAAACTCACCGCAGCCAGGGGGCGATTGACGAAATGTTTCATCGTCCCTGCGTCCACCCCCTCGCGGCCGCCGAATCGCCACTCCTGCGCCGGGTTGTGGCGGTCCTGATTGGAGGCCGGTTTCGGATTTGGTGCGGGGGTTTTGTTCGATTTGTTCCGTTTTTTGGAGCTGCTGTTGCTTGATGATGAGCTGCTTGAGGATCCGGCATCTGTATAATTCTGATTCCTGCTGTTCCCCCCTGGTGTCGTGTTGCTCCTCTGCAAGGTCGGTATAATGCCGCGGGTGGAAGCACTACTGGCAGATGAAGTACCTCCGGCTACAACCCCCAGCTGTTTTGCTCGGCTGCTCTGAGAGAAAGAAGCGGATCCCGTAGCAGTTGTTGAAAAAGCGGTGGTGTTGCTGCGCTGAACCGCTGCGGTGCCCCCGCTGTGTGTTCTACCAGTAGAAATGGCCCCCTCGCTAAGATTTCCCCCATGTTGATCCGCAGACCGGTTCGTGCTGCCCCCGGAGGGAGAATTGCTGTTGATGTTGTATTCGGACCATTCGTAGCCCTGCACCGAGGAAAGCATCAACCCGCCCTCTGACGTCGTATACGTCGATCCAGTTTCGCTGTTCCCGGACTGGGTTGAAGATTTGGAAAAATTTCGCGAAATGGTAGTACTGTTGTTCATGTAGTCCTCACCAGTGCAGCCTTCAGCATCGGGTAATATTACCCCAGTGCAAACACACTTCTCCCCCAGTGCGTCCACAAGTTCCGCAAAATCCGTAATCAGCCGCTCCAAATTTGAAAGCGAAAGTGCAACTTTTGCGTTCTTTGGCAAGTCCCACTTTGTCTGTTTCGCCTCGGGGTCGTAGTAGAAAACCGTTGCGCCGAAACCCTCGGACCAAACGATCTCCACGTAGGTCGGGACTTCTCCACCACCACTTTTATTTGTCGGAGTGGTTGTAACCGCGACCGCGACCGCAGTAGGTGCTGCTGTGTCCTCTACTTCACCGCCGGCTTCCTGTGCAGCCACGAGCTTCGCAGCGGCGGCTGTCGCGACATCCACCTCGCTGATGCCCTCCATGCAGAAGGACACGTGACCACCCCCAGCGGTCGTGTCTACTGTATCAAGAGGGTCGACGTCTTTCGCGGAGGATGAACCGCCGTTCCTTGGGCTGGGCGGCTGGCTCGAGCACTGCTGGACTAAATCCTTCAATTTCGCACTCGCTTTGTCGTATTTCTCCTGCAAGAATTCGCACTGTCCCGCCGCCCCCAAATCCAACTGTTCGTGCGCTTTCGCCCGTGCGTAGAGGTTCAGGGGTTTGAAAATGTCTTTTTGGATCTCCCGGCAGTCCTTGATCATCTGGGCGGTGGTCAAATCTTCGAAAAAATCCCCGTCCACCCAGTGTTCCTGACCGGCGGGGAGTGAGAGCTGCATCGACATCGTTGTGGTCGTCCCGTCGTGGCCAACTGCACCTCTTGGTGTGTAGTTGTTCGTCCCATCATTTGTGCTAGCGCCGAGAGAATTGGTATGTTGCGCTGGACTCGAGGAAGATGTTCCACCTGCTCCGAACAGACTCGCACTGCTCGTCTTCCGACTGCGGTTCTCGTTCAGTTCCGTGGACGCTTTGTCGTACCAGCCGAAGACGTCGAGGTACAGCACGGACCGAAAGGTCGTGGGCAAGGCGACGTTGTCTTCGGTGATTTGCGCGCGCGTGATGGTCAAGATGAAGATGATCCAGACGAGATGGGCGAGGAAACCTAACGGCACAACGACCCTGTGGAAATCGTACAGTGCGTCGTTGTCGAGGATCTTCAGCGTCGTGCCCGACGCGGATAAAACCGGGCCGACAAGAAGCAGTGAACAGGCGATGTAAGTCGCTCTTCTGTGCAGGTAGAGATCGAGGCGCGCGAGGAGGATTGACGCGCAGGTGAACACTGCGGCGCAACCGTACGCGACCATCGGAGCTTTAGCCTGTAGTTTTGGAGGATTTTGGTAGAAGTTTGCATTTCATCATCTCGCATAAGGTATGCACAGTGCAAGTGAGTACGCGGACGAGGAAAACAAGCATCACCAAAAGGAAGCACCACCTGCTTCTTTCCGCGTAAAAAAAATGTACCTCGATGATCAAATATCCCAACACGTAATATGTGAGCGCGTGCAGTAATTGGTTCGTGCCCATCGACATCGCTACTCTGGCGTACGCATCGTACGACTGCCAGTTGGCTTGCAGTTGCCGGTAGAGCTTCACGTGCTCCAACATCGTCACATGGTCTGCGGACGTGAGCTGCTGCGTCTGCAGCTGGGCGGATGTTGAATTACCGCCTGTACTTGAAGATGGTACTACCCCAGAACTGTGCTCCGCGATGGGGTGGAGCTCGTGATCGAGCGCATGCGGGTCGTCGTGCTCGTCATTGGCACCGCCCTTAGTCGGGGTGTTTTTAGAGGACTGTTCTCCTGCGTGCTCCCGGCTCATAGTATCGTTTAACTTTTCCGCTTGCTGCTTCCAGATGGGCACCCGCAGCATATCTCCAAGTTTCTTCCCTTCGTAGTCGGTCGCGTACCCCCGCGCTGCGTCGATCTGGGTAACCGAAGGGACGGGGAGACGGACGAACTGCGTGAGCAGTCGGACACCGAAAGAGTGCGCGGCAATGGAGGCATGCATGGCGAGCCAGACGGAGATTAGAAGGTAGAGAAAAGCACCGGAGATGCTTATCAGATACCTGCGATTAATAAATGTACTTGACTTTCCTTGCTCGCGCACAAGAGCCATCATGCGCAATAAAAAAACTACAAACACAAAGGGCAAAATAAAAACATCGAACCGAAAAACTGTAAATTTAAATCTACTTTTGATACGGAAAAAAAAGAAAAAAGCCAGTAGACTTTATTCAGTCTAGTACAGCCAGAGCATCCAGTCGGGGTACAGCGTTCCCTCCTTGCTCTCCAACCTTCCCTCGGTGTACAAGGCGACGCAAAACCCGAGCTGCAAAGTGTTCACGATCAGGTAATTATCCATTTTCGCGATCGTCAAACCGACCAAGTCCCGGACGTCCTCGCGATAAAGTTCGAACTGCTTCACCCGCATGTCCTGGCCCTGGTACTCGCGCTTGATGCGCTGTTCCTGATCGAACATAAAGTTCTTCCGGTTGTAGTTGAACAGCGCGTGCGCGCCCGCCCCCAGCGCGGCGATCACCTCCACCATTTTGCTAGTAAGCTATCAAAGGCTTTCTTTTCAAAAAGTCAAATTTTTGTATTTCTTAGTTAGAGGACTATAATCGACATCGAAATCGATAGCGTCTAGTACAAAGATACGAAAACGAATACGAAACTTCTTGTCGTGGTGGCCAATAAGTACTTACTTACCCCGCTGCCCGCTCAAAAAAAAGGCCTTTTTACTTATTAGGTCGGTGGCTCTGGCTCTGCCTTCATCTTTGTCAAGCTTTTCTCGCCTCAAGCACCGTCGAGAGTTGATGGTCATAGAGACAGGCAGAAGTCTAAGTCATACAGTGACAGATGCATCCTCAGAAACAATTACAATACGAAAAGCAAGGAACAACAGCTAGGTCTTTGCTCTTCCAGCACTAGGTTTCCTTGCAGTTCGAGCTGCGCCAGAGTGTAGAGGTTTCTCCGAAACTTTCGTGCTGTTGCAGTTCTTTTCTTTCGGTTTTTCTGTCTGCGTGTGTCTGTGCCTGTGCATTTAGCGTTTCAAACTGTGCATTTTGTTTTTTGTTGAAATAAACCGAAAAAAGCGATGTATGTTGAAACGCGGTCGCAGTCTCAGCGTCGGAGTCCATTGCAAGAGGAAGAGCAGCGCGGCGTCGCAGGAGTGCTGCAATGAGTGACTACTTTTCAACGCTTCATTGCAGAACAATGTTCCTACACGAGCACATTTCCAAATCAAACTCGCGAGATCGCCTTATCCGAATGAAGACTTCCTCGCCCTACTCGGTGTAGAAGAAGTACAGCTAATACGCAGCATGAAGAAACCGATTCATTCGCGCAGCAATGGCGCGACACCTTGGTGTTTGTCTCTCCGCAGTCAGGTGGTCGACGCAGCAGCGGCTTTCTGTGGTGGTGAGCTTGCACCTCCGCTGCCGTCACCTCCAACAGCATTCCCCGCCGCCGTTTTCTTCGCAAATATGAAATGCCCGCGCGTCCGCCTGACTGCCCAGATTTGCCGTGGAAGCTGGTGTGGGTTCAATACGGGCAACACCCGACAAACGTCCTCGACCGACCCGGCGTCAAAAAGGCGCTTCAAGTGTAGGAGGGCGATCTGATTTTCGGATAATGTTGATCTTCCTTGTGCATTTAGAAACAATTCTGGTCTATTAGAACGTTTACGTTGCATAGGCATTCCTTTCAAACAGAGCAGCACGCACCAGATGCATCTTTGCATTAACAACAATAAAATCATGCTAAAAAATCTTCTCATGATGTCTTTCTGTCTACTCTCTTGCAAGAAGTAGAAGTACATGCGCCTTCCCGGTGTCCAGATCCAGCGCATCGGCTGCGTCGTTGATGTTCTTTTGCGCATGAATGGGTCCAGACGACAGGTAGTCGACCAGCTGCCCGAGCTCTTCGTCGCTGACTCCCATCTGCGGGCCCCAGATGTAGTGCTTTCCACAAACCAAGGCCTTCGTGACGTAGGACTGCACCGTTTGCGGTTTCAGGTTCAATTCCGACCCGACCTCCTCCAACGTGTAGCCCTGCTGGAACACACGCAGCCAGACCCGGTGCACCGCGTTCGGGAGGAGAATCTCGTGGTCCAGTGGCGGTTTCATACTGTCGTCCGGAGGACGAGGACCTCCACTCGGCGATGCTCCTGGATCGGTTGCAGAAGTCGCTGGAGAGGACGATCCACCGCTGCTTGCAGCTCCTGCTGGGGCGTTAGTACAACCATCACTTCCGTTATTTGGAGGTGGGCTGTAGGTGCTTATCCTCTGCGGGACGAAGAGCCACTGATGGGACTGGGGATTTTCCAGGTCTAGGGGCGTGCAGTCTGCTACCGCAGGCGCAGGCTCAGGTTTCACTTTGGGTTTATTTCTCGGCTTGTTTGCAGCTCCTTCTTGGGGTGCAAGATGACCGGCGGCTGCACCATCGTTAGCATCTGCTTGTGAAGATCCTCCTCCACTTGTTTCTGCTCTAGCGTTCGTCGCTGATGCTGACCCCCTAGCAGCGACATCTATTCTTCGCTTTTTCAGGACGAGATTAGTGTCCTCGATGTCTTCTACGATGTTGACCGCTGGTGCTTCTATTAACGGGGGTTTCGCAACCTTTGTGCCGAGAAACTCGGACACCATGTGTAAATTCTCCTGCGTTGCCCCCACTCCCACCGGCGCCTCCTGATCGCTGGACTTTTTTCTCCTCGATGAAGCCGAAGACGTGGACGGTTTACGGAGCATGTTTCTCACCTTGCCGGGCGGTGCATCCTCGTCTGGTGCGGCACTCTGCGCTGCTGAAGCTCCTACAGAAGGCTGCGCTCCCGCAGCAAAGGATGGAGCGGACTCCTCGCCAGTTGTAGCATCTACTTCGCTGTTGGTACTAGATGATGAAGTTCCGCAGCTCACCGTTGTACCGTCGAAGGTTGTATCAGAGGTCCTTATTTCAGGTGAGGTACTTCTAGATGAACCATCCTCCGCAAGAGCTACAACCTCCTCTCCAGAAGAGAAAAACCCCTCCGGCAGCGTCGTGTCGAAACACGCGGGTGCTTTCACAACTTTCAACCGGTTCGCTTTCCGCAATTTCAAAGCCAAACTGGCGGACGCAAACCGGGGCAGGAAAATCACCGGGCCGCTCCCTCCGGTCAGACTGTAGTGACTCGAGCACACCATCCCTTCCAGATTGAAGCTGGTGATATTAGAACTACTTCCACTACTACTTCCACCGGCGCCCTTGTTGCTGCTCTTTCTCACGTACTTGAGCTGCTCTGATTCCGGTAAATCTTGCAACGTCTCCAGCGCCCAGTAGGTCGACAGATGGCTCGCGGCGTCCGTCGCAGCGTACACTTGTTGCACGTTGGTGAGGGGCAGGTTCTCCCAATCGGAGCACCGGGTTTTCTTCGCTTTGTCCATGGGGACGCCGTAAAAGAAGGCACACAGAGAGGCCAGAGTGAAGTTCGTGATCTGATTTATCATAATTCTTGTTCTACTTGTCTCCCTTCGTAATATTCTACTTCCTATGCGCGTGCGCGGTGTTAAATGCCAATGCGAGAATGCGAGGCTTATTAATCAAACGAGGACATAGGAGCAGATAGAAAGAGAATTGCACATGTACTGTTCTTGAACGAGGACATCACAACCTTGTAAGTACCTCATCGACCTGGTCTTTTCCAACAGCCGCTTGTGGCGAGGCCGCAGACCCGGGGTTGATTTTCTTCCGTGCCAGCTTTTCCGTGTCCACTCAATATTAGAATGAAAAATGCCCCCACCCCAGAATTTGCAAAAGTTTCTCATGCAAAGTTTCCAAATGAAAGATTTTTGTCTTGCATGACAGAACTACGAACCTTTCTGATGCAGAATCTAGGTGCGCAAGGCATCTTGTGCAATGCAGACCCGGCTACTGTTGGGCTCCTTTGCAACACAACTTTGAGCTATTCAGCATGGAAAATTTGTGATGCTAAGATATGCAAGACGGCGAATATTTCATTTGGAAAGTTTTGCAATACAAATGCGTCCAAGTTCTGGGGTGGGGGCATTTTTCATTGTAGTACCCAAGCGACCTTGTTTTCCGACACTGTGATCAGGTTGTATAACCTGCTCAGGTGTTACAGTGTCAAACGTTACAATAGAATATGGAAATCTGTGATGCAAGAGTGCATGTTCTAGCCCACTCTCATAGGATTGCGCATGACAAGTTCCGAAGTCCCAAATCCCACTAGAATCTGGCGAAATTTGTATTGCAAAAGGTGGAATGCTGTGCGAGTCTGTCATGCTGATCATGCAACACAAGCTCCAGACTCTATTGCAACGTTTGAGATTGTAACGTTTGAGCAAGCCATAGGTTGTCGTTGACCAAGCGCGTGCAGTCGCCCTTGATATTCACCCCAACTTTCAGAATGTTGTCGTCCTCGAGAATCCGCTTCAGCGACGGCGGAAACTTCAAAAAGTGCTTCAGGTGGAAAAGCTTCACCTGAAAATGTTGTTAACAAGTTGCAGTTTCATAAGATTTTTGAGAACAAATAAAATCCAACAGCTGGTTTGCAACAAATAAGGACGAGAGCATCTTCGCGAGTCTTATCCTGGTGCACAACAAGATGGATCCAATGACTCGTCCTCCAGACTAGTGATGTTGTACTCGCAGTCGTATAGTAAGTACTTGCATTTTCCGCTGTAACGAGGCGTGTGAGGGTATCAGTTGTAGTGGCCAGCTATCCCTTGCGAGCGGGCTCTTATCTTCGTAGGCCAATTGGAGCAACGCGACTTTTGATCGGTGGTTTTTCCTGTACGACATATTCCACTCCGCGTCTACGCCCACGAGGGAAACCTTTTCTCGTAAAATCTTCTTGCAAATCTCCTCTGCGTCGAGCGCGCAAGTCACGTACTGGCACCGCCCGGAAAACCTGAACGTATTTTGCATTCGGGAAGGTTGTGGCCGTGGGGGGCTTGTGCTTGTGGAGGAGGAAGTAGAACTACTCGATGAAGACGAAGTCGATCTCGAGCTGCGCGTCGTCGTGCTTGCTGCACCACTGGCAGCAAGCTTTGCGGCTGCCCGGGTGCTGGAAGAGGTGAGGCGGGAGGTCGTCACCTGGAGTACCGGGAAAGACCGGTGAAACCGAACCATCTTGCTTTGCCACTGAGGAAGATGGCAGCTGCGTCCTGGTGCAGGACGATTGATGTATGAAAATAAACGCGGGGTCGCCGGGTTGTTTTGCGGTATTGATTTCAATTTATGTTTATGTCGCGTATAACCACACTGGCTGCGACCACGCCAGAAAACAACTAGTACGACGTGACGTTGTGTTCAATAATTTCGTGCGTCGAAGCGGATCAGAACATATCGCATCCACGACGAACAGATACTCTCAGCTGCATCCACGAACCTGACAAGCTAAGCTGCACTTCAGTGGCATACACGATGATGGAGGCAGCTCTGTTGAGTCATGTGCCGTGAACCGAACCAGACGAGGCAGCCCGGGAAACCACCTTTGTCTAGATATTAGTACTACCTTAAGAATGACCAACGATGTGAACCATCACCAGCAACGAGAACTCACTAAAAGTCGCTTCAAAAATTTCTCACTCAGACAGAAACACGCAGCTATTGCCATTTCGACGCCTCTATTTACAAGTTGATCCGGCCTATTCTCGTGTGGTCCGGATTTCATCGCTCCAGAAGAAAATTTCAACTCGGTCAGAGTGAAGTTCTGCGACGATAATCGTGCACGGCTCGCTCGAAAATATTTCTACCAGCACTCTCAGGAGACACACGAACCAGATGTTTATTCCCCTCACCAAGAACAGGCAGTCCGGCTTGTGTGCGGATAGTCGCAACATCATGCGACATTTTTTCCTTTTATAATTTTTGCTACATCGACCGCATGAAGAACAAGATGTTGGCTTTCCCACACTGCCAGTTTGGAAAAGGTGAAAGTGCCATGAAAAGTGTGAAGACTGGTGCTCACCACCAGGATGGATAAAACCTCGGATAGGAAGCTGGAGGAGCTCTAGTATGGATGAAATTTCAAGATCAAGAACGTTTGGTACGACAAGTAATGATAAATGGCACTAGAACAAAGATATACAACTCATACTCACGACGTCCACAGCCACTCAATATCATATTTTTTTTTTCATTGCTTTATTTTCAGTGCCCATGATGATACTTTCAAAAGAGGCGGGACGATATTCAAATTTGTTAAAAAGTCATTCAAAATTGAAATTCTTGGTGAAGTGAAGTTTACTCCCAGGTCGTGATAAAGTTTTCCGGGCGAGAAAAATGCAATAATTGCGGAACGGCTCAACAGTGTAACTTCATTTTGTGTCCGCATGGAGGACTCGTTCGTTTTGCCCGTCGGAACAGTTGTGAAAGCAATAAAGCCCAAGTAGACAAGAAGGCATTCGATTCCGAGAGACCTTTTTCATTTTTGGATGTGTAGTACGGTGTCGCTTGTTGCTGACGAGCTTGTTTCTCGTGTCGTTGGTAAAGTCCTTCAGAATTTCGATCCGCGCCTCCCCCGACGGCTGCAGCCGCGCCGACCACCTATTCAGGGATAATTTCAACTCGTCCGTGCTAAAATGCTTATGATTTTGGGTTAGATGGAGGTGGCACGCATGATTACCTTCCACACGACGTCCCAGACTGACTGCTACCGCATGATATATTTCATTTCCTGCTATTTCAATCCATTTCTATAAATATTCTTCAACAGAAACAAACGCATGATGGAAAAATTTCAACTACGTAGAAGTACCTCCGCCCCGTCCCCGGGACCGCGAACGATCCCGGCGTTCCCTGTGATGCGATCGCTTCCGGCCTGCTTGGTGATCTCCACCGCGACCACGCCCTCCTCCCACGTCGTCCGCCGACCCACGTCGGTTGCTATGATGCGTACCACCGCGGGAACGGCGCCGGGACGTGGACTTATTTCGGCCACGCCGGTTGTCCTTGCTTTCCGCTCGTGGTTGGTGTTGAGAAGCTGTGGTGCCGCTTGTTGGTTGCTGCAGTCCAAAAGACGAAGACCCACCTGCTCCCATCATGCTGTTCTGCAATTCGGTTGCTTGATCAGTATTGGATTGATCTTGTCCTGCGAAAAAACCAGCACTTGTTTTTTTGGAAGTCCAGCATGCCGGGTCGCCGGCAGCACTTATTTTTGTGCTATCGGGAAACGTAGAGGTTGATACGTGTTCATCGGTTTCGGCGGCAGCTGCGTGTTTATCTGTGTCACCATCTGTCGCGGTCGCTGCAGTTTTATTCGCATTACAGCTGGTCTGCTCGTACGGGTTGTTGTAGGCACCCCCGGCCGCGGTTCCGTAATTGTAGGAGTTGTAAAGTTGCTCCGCATAGGCGGCAGACGCAGCTGCATCCACACCGCTCGTTCCACTGCTCGTCCCCCAGAACTGCGCGGCCTGATCGCCGCTGTAGGTCCGGTCACAACCGCCTCGTGACGTGTTTGTTGCGTCCCCGCGACCACCTTTCATGCCACTTCGGCTCCGCTCGCCCCTCGTACCGCCACCTCCTTGCCCCGGCGGCGGGTGGAATTTCGGCCGTCCCTGCCCGGGAGGTCCCTGGATGTTGCTCCCATAGATGCAGCTGTTCAGGTTGCTCGTCGGGGAGATGCCACTACCACCGCCTCCGTGGGCGGCTCCAGTGGAGCTGTTGTACCAGTGGCTTTGGTCGTGGGCTCCTGCTCCGGGGTACGCACCATGATGAGCTGCTGCTGCATTACTGTGCCAGTGGTCGGAGGTGGTCTGTGGGTCGTCAAAGGCAGATAGCATCTGTCCTTCGGACGACGTCATGGAAGAAGACGAATTGTAGTGCGCCGGGTTTTGCTCTTGATCTGGCCCCCGCTTGTACGGGTCTGGCATCACATTCGGAGTTGTGCTGGTACTATTTGTGGTCGATGATGGTTGAAGATCAACATCTTGCCCGCCGCGACCACCACCGTGAGCGGCTTCCTGCTGCCGCAGCTGGTCACCAATGGTGGCAGCACATCCGGCAGTACGAGCAGAACCGGCATTTGCAGTAGTCCTCCCGCTGTCCTCGTGCAGGGCCCCAACATCAAAGGCACCTGGAGCTGCCGGAAAATCTTCGAGGTCATCATTTTCTGCGGCCGCGCCCATCAGCAACGCGGCCATGTCCGCTGCGGCGGAGCAACCGGCTGGTTCAGAATTGTTGTGGTGCCCATGGCCGCTGTCTTCGGGAAGGGACGGGGAAGATGCGGTGGTACTGCTGGTGGGGAAGGTAGACATTTCGTTCGGTGCAGCTTTACTCCCACGAGGACCGCCTGCGTGTTGTTGACCATACGGGGCGTTTGAATTGTAGTTGCTCAAACTACTGACCGTGTCCTCAGGAGCTGCTGCTCCATTCGGTGGTCCTTGCTGTAGTTGACCACCTAGACCTGCTTCTGCTGTTCCACAAGAGGAGCCGTAACCTGTTCCATAATGAGCGCTCGACGTGGTCGTGGTCCCAACATGTTGAAAATCATGCTGCGCCGGTTTATTCGGACTAGGCGTGTTTTTTTTCATGCTCATCGCATTTTCAAAACTTGTAATGCCCCCGCGCTGATGAAGAATGTCTGTGTTGATTTTGTTCTGCATGGGATTATAATTCGACGAGTTCTTGCTTTTGTTTTGCGCACCGCTAGAAATACCACCACGATTCGGCGAGGACGTTGTCCCGTGGTCTTCGCCAAGCAGCGCGTTCTCGATTTCCCGCTGCTCGGAGGTGCTGGAATGATCCTGCAGAGGCGGCGGGGGTCCTCCCGAGTGCGACGAGCTAGTACCGTAGGCTGATGGATTGTTCATCTCAAACATATGTTTTAGTGGGTCCTCGTTTGGTGCTTCTAAAGCTTGTGGCTGATCGTAACCTCCTCGACCGCCCTGTCCGTACGCGCCCCCAGTCGCGCCCATACTGGCATTGGTCTCTGGCACAAACGCCGGACCTCCTCCGCGATGATTGCGGTCGTGAAGCGGGGGCCCATGCTGGTCCGATGCTCCTGAGTATCCGCCGCCGTAGGGTCCGCCTCCTCCGCCTTCCTGATTGTAGCGTTGAGGACCACGATGGTCAAAGTGATCTCGCGCGGCCGAGCTGCAGCCGGGTCCCCCGCGAGGAGGTGGACCATTTTGCCCATGGTAACTAGTTCCACTGCCATAGTTGCTCCTATAATTTCCCCCGCTACACCCACCCGCAAAATGGCTGCTCCGATCGCCGCTCACTTTACGTTCTGGAACGACTCCTGCTCCCGAGTTATTAGTCGCAGCTTTATTTCTGTCCACCTCCTTGCTCAGCTTCCGCTCCGGCGGGGGGAGAACTTGACTGCCTTTTCTTTCCTGCCGGTTCTGCGATTGATGATTCTGGCCCGATTTGCTGCGGTAGTTATTATTGTTGTGGGAAGTAGAACTATTGCACGACTCTTGTTCCGATTTCTCCTTTGTGTTGTCGACTTCCTTCGAACTTTTTCGGTAGTTGTTCTGTTGCGAGTATGACTCTTGTTGAGTACTAGAATTCTCGTCCTGATTCCGATTTTTGTTATTTCCGAGGACACTGTCATTGTCGTTACTTTTCGACGCATTGTTGTTCATCCACCATTCGCCTCCGCCTTTGCCACCCCCTAGCGGGCAGAGGTTCGGGTTGTCGTAATGATCATCCTTTTTGTTACCTCTAGATGAAGTACCGCCTCCACCGCGTGATTGTGATTGGGGATTATTACCTTCCTTGTTGTTCCCAGATGATGAATGATGAGAATTATTTCCGTAGTTGTTCTCTTTAGACGAGTTCCGTGATCCACCTCCACCCTTCATACTGTGGAGTTCCATCATGTCGTGGTATTTCCCACCATACCCGCCTCCTGCGCCCATCTTTCCCTTCACCATCATCATGTGCTCCCACTCCGCCTTTCCCATCGGCCCACCCCAGCTCCCTGGGGGGCCCCAGGAAGAGGGGCCTCCACCCGGCGGGCCGCCTTTCATCATATGATCGCCTCCTTTGCTCATCATGTGGTGCTCGGACCAAGAACCTTTCGCAGCCATCATGTCCGGTGGTACAAAAGGACCCACACCTCGTTGTTCACCACCTCCGTAGGGACCACCTCCCGCTATCCAAGAACTCTTGCCACTCCCGCCACCATCCATCTTCCCCCAAGCAGGTCGATCCGGGCCGGTGAGAGGTCGGTCTTTCCCGCCGTTATGCGGGTTCATCCAGTTGTCACTGTACATACCCCCCTTAAGCGGGTCGCCGAACGAGTTGTGATGAGAACCGCCACCTCTTGCCCCCATGATATTGCCAAACGGTACTCCCGGGCTGCGATCGTCGTTGTAGCTACTGCCCCTCATGTTTCTGTCACGGCTGCGGCGCTGATGGTTGTCGTTGTAGTTGCTTCCACCTCGATTGCTGTGCATGTTGCTATTCCCTCCATTCCCTCGGCCCCCGCCACCTCCGCGGAGGTGATCACGTTCGTGATTGCGGCCGCGATGGTAATTGTCACCACGGTCTTGCATATTGTAGTTGTTTCGATGACTGCCATAGTTGATGTCGTAGTTCCGCGGTGTCGCGATGCTGCAATCCCTTGCAGCTTTCCCCTCCAGCTGATCGAAACCCACCGGTTCGTTTTGATGTGGTCTTTTGTAGCCCCCGCCTCCTGCTTTCGGTGTGTAGTTCGTACCGCCGGACCGGTGGCGATTTTGGGCTCCGGTTGTGGAGCGGTGGGTGTTATTATTTACCCCCGCGTGACGCCCGGAATGATCGTCGTTTTGGTGGTGGCCGCCTCGACCGCCGCGGTGGTCACCACGATGATGATTGTGATTTTCACGATCGCGGTGTTCACGGTCACGGTTGTTGGCTCCATGTGGTCCAGCACCTCCACGGTCGCGGTCGTGACCATAATTATCATCCTGGTTGCTGTAATTTCTTCCGCCTCTAGAACTATCGTGATGACGGCCACGGCCGCTGTGGTCGTTATGTGCTGAATGTAGTTGCCCATGTTGCCCACCTGTCGAAGTGCCGCCTTGTCCTGCTCCCCTCGCCAATCCACCATGGTCACTGTAGTTGTAACTATCATCATTCAGGCCATTCGCATTGTTCCCGCGACTCAAGTCGTGTCGGCCTGACCGGCTGCCGCTCCGAAGATGACTGCTGTTGTTCATCATCGTCCCACGATCTTCCGAGCGGTTGGTCGCTGACCCAGAAGGTGGGCCTACACTTCTACCGGTTGTTGGCGTTGGTCCATATAGCAACTCATGGTACGTATGAACTGCAAAAGTATCGTATTCGTATAATTGCATTACAAATCTCCTCAGCATGAGAAAGAAAATTTGTAATGCTGATTTACCCCCACAAAAAGATTTGTAATGCATGATTGCAATACGAATACGATACTTTTGCACAGGATAGTACGAGATTCCCACCGGCGGTTGCCGAATAGCGTGTGGTGCGCCGGGACTGCTCTGTGCGCCGGGGCCGGAAAGACGTACACCAGAGTTACTTTTAGGGTTGATATTGCCAACATTACCACCTCCGCTGCTCGAAGTAGTTGTGCCTCCACCTCCGCCGAATAAGTGCGCCAATGCCTGGTTCACTACAGCTGGATCCGCCGCGGGCGGAGCACCAGCGTTAGTACCCCCGCCATTCGTCAGCATCAAATCGATGGTCTTGAAGAAATCTCCATCGTCTGCCTTTTTCGCTGGTTTCGGAGCCCACTTTCGACTTCTCCCGTTATTTCCGGAGTCGTCATTAGATTCCGGAGACCCGGACCCCGCATAATTGTTGTTGGCATGATCAAAAGAGCCCCCGGAACTGTTTGCCAGATGGTAATTATTGTTTATCGCCATACCTCCGGAAGCAGAGGAACTATTCGAGCCTGTTCCACCTCCTGCTTCTCCCAGCAGCTGCAAAGCGTTCATGGTTTGCGGAGCAACTCTACTTTCTCGCTCGGCTTTCGCTGGAGAGGGGGGCTTCGAGGACTCATTCCGCGTCACGGTTAACCCTGCCAGTTGCAAAATGGTGTCCACGTCACTCGCGGAAGCGTTTGCCATGCTGCCGCCCGAGGAGGTTTGATGTTGTGCGGGCTTGGTGATAGTACTTGCTTCTGGTTTATTCTGCAAGCTGAAATTATCCTGGTTGTTCGGAGGAACTATCGTAGCGGAACAATTCGCAGGTATCGTCGAACACACGACACCTGCAGGTGGTGGCACAACCAGAGCAGCAGTCGCCGCTTGCGTGACCTTCTGCAGCTCCTCCGCGACCCGCATGCGCTCCTTCTCCTCCTGCCTTCTGACCACCTCGTCGTGGTAATTCAAGTACGGGAGCAGCAGGCCTTGCAGGTAATTGGAGAAGTCATTGGGGGTGAGGATTTCCCGCAGCGCCGCCGAGGTGGGGGAGACAATACGGCGGAGAAACTCCGCAGGGCTGGCTTCCATGAAATTATTGTTGTCCACAAAACAAACCCGCAAACAGCTGTTTTTCGTCCGCGTCAAACTGACGTCTAACTTTCCAAACCGGTGCGCCCCATGGGGGCTCCGCGTCCAGGGGAGTGGAAGCGGCCACTGCTCAATCACCTTCTCAAATTGGTCCGCGTCCTCCGCGCCGGCCTCTTGCTGGATCTTCTGAGGTGTAATTATGTTTTTGATGTTTCACGATGTACTGTGTGTTCTTTGTTGAAGCATGAAGTAGATCTTCTGCACGATAGAGCGCTCTACAAACGAAACATCGATATTAAATAAAGAATAAATAACTCCAGTGCTGTTGCTGTAAACAAAGAAATCGATACGTTCTTCCCGGGGGTTGTTCCAATGTCGAAGTTTTTCGTTGCTTCGTCAACTTTCGGATCGCTCGGCTTCACCATGAAGAAGCACACCTCGCACACGTCCTGGAAGTGCAACCGGAGAATTTCTGCAATCGTCTGCGCCCGCAGGATCGGGGGGTTTGGTAGCCGCAACGCTTTCAACACTTCCCGGCGGAAAGCCGGCTGGTGCAAGGACCGCCACGACAGAAACACGTGGTCCACGGTATTACTATTTTGCTGTTGGCCCCCGCCCCCGCTCATGCAAGAACTGCCGCCTCCTTCCCCGTGATGCAGAGAGCCGCCACTGGTCCCCCCCGGCGTGCTGCTTTGCTCCATCGGCGAGTTGCCGTTCTGTCCCTGCACGTGGTTCCGCTTGTTTTCCACGTGGTTCGGCACGGAAAAGCACCGGATCCGGTGAAACGCCGCTCGCAACGCGCCGGCCTGCCCTTTGCGGGTGGAGAAATTGGGGTCTTCGGTTTTCTTCTGCAACTCGATCGCCGCATTGTAGTTGTCGAGGAACATCTTGTTCTTCATGTTCCGGGCGTTTTGCAGCCAGCCGGTCATGATCATCCCGTGCCCCGCGGCCATGAAGTACTGGGCCTGCAGGGCTTCGACCGACTGCATAATGGAACCGAGAGGACCTATTATTTTGTGATTTTTGGAAAGAAATAAAAAAAACGCAACGTGAGCGAAGAAGCTCAAAAACGCGACGCGAATGAAATAATGAAAACAAAATCGACAAAAATTTCTACTTCATGTGTGAAACAAGATGTCGTCCAACAGAAGTACTTAATTGCAAGAACTACGTGGCACAGGAGGAGCTGCCGGAAAAGTTTTATCAGTACTCTTCTCCGCATCCTGATTTTTGAAACTCATCGCCTGGATATTCTGCAGCTGTTCGGCGATGCTGGAGATGTGCTCGAGCACCAGTGCCAAGTGCAGCAAAAAGTGCTCTATGACCTGCTCAAGCGTTACAATCTCAAACGTTACAATAGAGTCTGGAATTTGTGTTGCATGATGGGCATGACAGACTCGCACAGCGTTCCACCTTTTGCAATACAAATTTCGACAGAATGCAGTGGGGTTTGGAGCTCCGGAACTTGTCATGCGCAACCCTATGAGAGTTGGCTGGATCATGCTCATCATGCAAGACAAATCTCAGATTCTATTGTAACGCTTGAGATTGTAACGCCTGAGCGGGTTATATGCTCCTTCGCCGTCTTTTGGGAGTTCTGGACCGTGAAGCGGAGCATGTCCGACTGGAGATGGGAAAACAAGTTATCATTCAGCTGCTGCAGTGCAGCCCTGTGCAGGCCAACGTCCTCCGCGTCAAAAACCTGTAGGGTTTTTGTTTCATCTTGTACGAAAGGACAATCATCCTCGCGTGTTGACTTCCTTCCTGAACTTGCACTCTGCAAAGCTGACGAGAAAGAACCTCGACCCAACAAGCGCACAATGACATTGAACATGAAGTATGGGTAGTTCTTCTTGTGCTGAAAAAATAACAATATTTATAGTTTAGTAAATACCGACTTTCCCTCGTGCGACACGAGAAACGCGCAATCGGGGCGGTAAATTGTCGTGGGTACTTTGACCGCCCGCTGCTTGCTAATCTCTCGCTGGCTCCGCGGGAGCTCGCCCCGGAGTGCTTTCATCAGCCGCCGTTCTGCGTTCAGCCAAATTCGGTTCAAGTCTTCTTCCAGCCAGGACTGGAGTCTGTCGCCCAGATTCTTCAACAACTCCGTGGCGTACTCGGTGCATTTCGGAAACTTCCGAATCAGCAAATTCGTGTCCAGAAACCGGTCCGCCTTGTGCAACAACGTTTCGTAGAACTTCCTCTCCAAATCCACGTCTTGAAGATTGTCCTTCTTCTTGTTTTCGACCACGGAAGCATTTGCAGTATTCGGCTTGTTCGTGGTGTTGCTGTTCATCCTGGCCGCGTCCGGGCTGGCGAGAAACTTCTCCAGGTCGTGGTCTTCGTCCTTCTTGTCTAACTCGGAAATTCTTTTGTTGCGCAGGAAAATTTCCCGCTCCTTGCTGTAGATGCTAAGAGCGTGTAAACAGAGCTCGTCGTCTAGAATGAGCTTCTCCAGTTTCTTCCGTTTGTTTGTACTATGCTGTTCTTGTGCGCCGGCTTGGTGTTTGTTGGCATTGTCTTTGTTCTCTTTCTTCTCCGCTGCGGCTGCTGAAACAAGAACGTCCTGGCTGTCAGTCCCGAACATCGGGGAGTCAAGGTCCTCAAAGTCATACTCGTCTTCGTCCTCCGAACTGTGGTCTGGGTCTTCCACCTCGACGACGCTCGGGCCGCTCTCGTGGCTCTTCACAGTAGAAGTCGCCTGCGGTTGTACAGCGAAAGCAACATGCGCGTCGGTTTTAACATTGCTGTCCATAGCTGGTGCACCAGCAGTTGTAGTTTCCCCTACTTTATTAATTTCCGCCGTGTTCTCTGCGTCGGTCGTCCCAAAAATCATGCTTTCCTCGTCATGCTGATTCGCGTCATCTTCCGGTGCGCTTGATGCTTGTTTCATTTCCACGTCTGCCTGCCCATCATGATCTGCACCAAGAACCGTAGTACCGCCGTAATAATCCTGTGCATCATCAAAATCCAACAGATTCCGCGTTTTATTCCTCTGCATCTCTTCGGATGTTGACTTTCTCATTTGATGTTCCACTGTCGTTGTTTCATTTGTTCCGCTGTGCGCCGAAAGAAGTGGATGACTCGCTGCAACTTGATGTTGCAGCTGGTGGGTCCTCGTCTGATGTTGACCACGATGTACTTGGTCAAGACTGCTTATCACCGGGGAGGATGTCTTTGAATAAATCTTCTGAACTGGTGGAGCAACTTTCTTCGCTTCTCCGACAGAAATATTTTCCGACACTTTTACTTCCGGCGGGCCGCATTTCCTCCCCTTCTTGTTGCTGGTCAAAACGATCTTCCCTTGTTTCCTCGGTTTGGCAAAGTGAATCGCGGTCGAGGCGTTTTCGATCATGTCGATCGCCTCGATTTATGCATTGCAAATATGTCTGGGTCTGGAGGGATGCAACTTGTGATGCTAAATCTGAATCATGCAAAAATCTGTGTTGCATGAGTACGAAAAGCTGTCCTCTTTCGACCAAGTTGCGGGGGAGTTTCTCATGCGGGATAGGCATGATAGAGACCTCACAGAACCTGTCACGCTAGGTTCCACATTCCAGACCTCATGGGTCATGGAAAACCTGCATGACAAACCTTGCATCCTTCCAGACCCAGACATTTTTGAATTTGATACGATTATTTTCCGCTTCGCCCCCTGCTCCCGCGTTTCGTTTGGGGCTAATTCGAGCAGGGCATCGAGAGCTTCGACCGAGGAAGTCATGATGTCTCTTTGAGGATTGATGTTCATCGTTGTGTAGGCGTTGGCGTGAAAATTTTGATTTTCTGGCGGTACTACCAGCATCTGCCCCAAAGGGGATTGTTTGAACGACGCGGACATAATGGACGCGGGCGGAGGAACCCCTGCTGCTTTGGAGGTAGACACGAGGTAGGGCTGCTTCTGCTGCTGGGGGACACAAGAAACTGGTGGCACAACAGCAGTGGCCGCTCCTGTGTGGTTCGTCGCGGCCGCCGCGGGTGAAAAATTCGGGGACTGTCTACCCGGTAGCAGCTGCAGCGGTTTTTTCTTTGGCTTTACTGGGGCCAGCACGGGATTCTGTAGTTGAATCGTTTCCAGGGGAGATGGGGCGGCGGAAAAACCGGATTGAGCATGTTGTGGATTGAAAGAGGAGTAATCGACGGTCCTTCCTGACGGCGACCGGGACTGGCCTTGCTGTTGAGCCGCCTTATTTTGTAGGTCGACGCTCGACGAAGGTGTGCAACTAGATGAGCAGGCACTATTAATATTCACTGCACGACCGTCTTCTTGTTGCTCATGGAAGAGGTTCATCGTCGTCCTGGCCGCGCCCGCGGGCTGGTCTTCTCTAACATGCTGTCCATGTTGAACATGATGAAGAGCGAAATCGGGCGAACTGTTGTTTGACGCTTCGTCCGACGCGGAAAAGCCGCTTTTGCCCAAGGGTCGGGTCGTGTTGTGGTCCTCCATAGTTTTTTTTGCGTTTGAGTTCTTGAACGCATTGCTGTCAGCGCACATCGTCGACGAGGAAAGGACCTCCGGGGTTTTCAAAGCTTGGTCGACTATCTCGGTGGTAGTAGTGGTAGCTCCCTGGAGGAGGTTCATGTCGTGGTTTTCAGCTTCAGGAGCAAGTACCACTTTATTGTCTGCATCTGCTGCGGCCGCCATATTAGTGTTCGTCCCCGTAGGTAATACCGTACAAGCGCTGGTGCTCGAGAATTTTGCACCTACTTCCTCAGGCGAGGACAAGAACTTCATCGCAGCAGCACCAGTCCTCCCGTCTGCAGTGACAGTGGCCTCGCTGATGTCGCATTCCAAAAGCGTCGGTGCATTTTTATTGAAAGTTTTTACGGTACTGGCCGCGTCGGCTGCGGCTTCAGCTTCTTGTTCACCGCTAGTACTACAGGACGCCATGGGCTCCTCCGTAGACGACCATGTCGGCTGCAGTGGCGTGTCTGCGGTCCAGGTTCCAGACGGCAAATTTTCCACATCTTGCACCGCCTTGCTGCAACTTGTTTCCGTGGCGACTTCACAAGAACTGGTCCGCTGTCCAGGTACCTCGTCCGCACACGACACCTGTTCATCGCGTTCTTGCCCGCTGCTCGCAGAAGTCTCCAAACCCGTCGTCTTCTCCGAAGGGCAAGGGCACGGAGCATGGCAAGCTCCATTGCCAATCGCAGTAGATCCAGCAGGAGCCAGAGCGACCTTCAGAGAAAATGACAGGAAAGAAGATTATTCGATTAGTACTGGTTGTTGTTCATCATCCATTTTTTCCATTTGGGGTACTGCTACCCCTTTTCTTGCACGACCACCTTCAACATCAGTCGACTGCAACTATTTTTCACTGCATCAGCATCAGCAGGAGATCTTCGATTCTTCCTGGCTGGACGACCGCACAACGGTGTCTCCACCAGGCGCTGCCGGGTTATATTTCTGTCGGCGCCCAAATGAACCTACAGCCTGGCGACTGGAGATGAAGCTCTGGTGCGCACTGTGCCAAAAAGAAGCGCAAAACATGTCGATGGTGGAATACAAAACAGTTCTTTATCATCATTGTCACACAAAAAATTTCCAAAAAGATTACCTCCGCAGCTCCCGAAGTCAAAACAAAGTCCTCTGAAGGCAAAGCCTCAGCATTATTTGCATCTTCCACGTTAACGCTCCCCGGGGAAAATGTTGAGACTTTAGGTGCTGTGTCATTGGTAGTTACGCAGTTTGGAAATAATTTGTGCGATGCAGACTCGTCTGTAGTCAGCAACGTCCTCGATTCTTCCCTCTCTCCAGCCGCAACCTCGTTCGCCGCTTTGTTCGCAAATAGGATTTCCGCCGCCGCGGGCGGCTCTGACCAGGAAATTGCCGATCGCTCAGGACTCGTGTTAAGAGACGGGTCCGCGGAGGAGGGGGCGGTACCGGCTATTTCTATTTGTGTAGCTTCCCCGCCGGCTTCGGCTGCAAGCAAGTGCGGGTCTCGTTCTGCAGTAGTTGCCGTCGTCACGTTATCGATCCCGGAGTTAATACTCGAGTCCTGGTTGTTTTCACCCTCCTTATTCTCTTCATGTTGGTCTTCACTGACACAACACTGAGACTTCTCGGTCGTCGAGTTTTTGGGAGGCTGCTCAGCATCAGGGGACTGTTGAGCAACGACAGCGTCTTGCTCTTCATCTTCCTGCGCAGCATCTGGAGCTGCATTCCCGAGGACTGCTCTGGGAGATGATGTCGCCCGTGCTTCTGGTGCGGCACCAGGTTGTTGAGACTGGTGGTCAGATTGAAGATTTTGCGGGGTAATATTTTCGGTGTTTGTATTTTTAACCAAGTGGTCTGGATTTATTTGAGAGCCCATGGTGAAGATCCACCTGCTGGCAGCACACCGGAGAGGAACAATCAACGAAGTAGTGATCCGCTACGTGGATCTATTTGACCTCCTGCAGGTCGTGCTCGTCGTGCGGAGAAATTCTAACCCGCCCTTAGAGAGCAAGGAAGTCAATCGTCAGATAGTCCCGTAGTTATCGTACTTATCGCGGCAACAGCGGAAAATACAGAAGTAAACCGACCAGGGGCGACAAGTGGGCGACGAAAGAGAAGTTCTCGGTGCTAACAACCACAGGCGCAAGATATCTTCGGGGGTTGATCGAGTCAGGGCTTCTTTCAACACTTCGAATAAAACAAGTATTTCATTGAGGACTACACTACCTTTTGAAGATGTAGATGACGTGATTTTGTCTGTTGCCTCCTTATCTATCTGCTAAGCTACTTAACTTAAGTTCCTTCTCTATTTGATCTAGTGGAATATTTTCATGCGAGCAGTGATGGATCAAGAGAGTCCTCATGATCAACGTAAAGCATCGAGTATCATCGTTGTGAGCAGTTGCAAGGGTTGTAGTGCTATTTTTTCAGTGCCGCGTGCTCGACGGGTACAGCTCGCTTCACAGCTCTACATGAAAGAAGCAAAAATCGGTAGGTCTTACCGCGTGTAGTTCAGGGGATACAAATTTCGCTTTGCTAGAACTAGATGTAGGAAAAAGGTCGTGCAGCGATACAAAACAACTTCTCGAGGAGCAGCGGTAAAACCATTCGTTGCACAGGCTGTCATCAATGTGGAACGGCATGAAGAATCGGTATTTAGTGAAGCGCTCTGCTATGTCGTCCTATACTATTCCATCGTATGTTTAAAAATGTGTGGTCTTCTATGGAAACAGAAACCATTTCTTTCCTTACAACTTCATGCTGAATGTCCATCAGAATCCGAATTGTTGTGTCTACAGCTGCTCAGTCTGATATCACAGATACACTTCCATCTTGTCCTCTTTCCCATGTACAACATGTACAGTAAATTCAACCAGCTTTGATACTTGTATCTTCATCTTCATCATCCTCGTTCAACGTCACTTGCCGGCTGCTTCTTGGAACTTATTCTTATTGCACTACCACTATAGCGGATACACATACAGTGAAACACCAACACGTAAGTAGAATGATCAACGAAAGCACATGCTGGTATCATAGCGGATTACTAGTTTGCTCGACTTCCAGTTTTTTCTTGCCTATATCACAATCTTCCAACAGGATCATGAAGTTACGTTTTTTTTTCCGGTCGTGCACATGGATGCTGTCTTCAAATTGACGCACGAAATGCTTGTGCTTGTTGAGATTGAGGCTTGCAGTCGAACCCACACAGGAGACAGTCTTGCCTCCTTTGCAAAGACAACACGGAGCACTCAATGGCTGATTGTGGTTGCGCTACGCAACCTCAGATGATTCCACCAACATAATCGAATTGCGTTCTGTATTGTCAAGGTCAGGCACAACATGTCTCTACTAGCAAAGCGAGGTGACCTACGTCCCGCTTGTGAAAGACCCCAGGCGACTTGTTCTCAACAACGACCTAAATTCCCAATTTGCATAACTAGAATATCATCCAAGAACCAATTGTATACCGTTGTACCGCATGAATCATCTGAAAGTGAAAAAGGGCCTGGGAGATTTTTACAAAAGTTTGCAGCCAAAAAAGTTTTCAGAAAAGAAGTCAGATGTGAACTACAAAAATAGTGAATTTGTTTTCTATCATGGTACATTTTTCAGACAGATAGGCAGTCAGCGTCTTCTCCGTCGGAGCAAGCCACGCCTGTAGCTGGCTCCCCTTCCAAGCCCGGTTCGCCGAGCGTCTTCTTCAAACAATCACACGCGTTTTTGCATAGACTGCCGAGGCAGAATCCGGTTGCGGAAACAGGAGAGGACTCTGTTGGATGGGAACCTGGTTGTGTTGATTCTGTCTCGTGGTCTCTGTCGCGATCATCCAAACATGCGGTAGCGGTCGTACTCAGGCTTCCCTAAATGAACAGAAGATCCATCCGTTGTTCACAGACGAGAATGAGAATTAATATGTGCATCGATTCACCTCTTTTGTATAATAATATGTAAATCAAAAAATATTTATACGATAAGTACCTCCTCCCTCCAAATCCACACTAACCCCGACCGGCATCGCACTGGGATACGGCCACGACCGGTCCGGCTGGCCCAACCTTGGCATCCGGTGGTACCGATTCCGGATGCCCCGCCACAGCCGTTCGATCTGCGTCACTGGCACGCTGCCGTGGTTGCTCGTCCAGCTCCAGCTATCCGGCTCGGATCCGGTGCGAAACAAGTGCTTCCCGCGAATGATATTGTCGGAGGGGTTCAAGTGGTTGATTCCACTGTGGATGTGGTGGCCAACATTTGTCGGAGTAGAAATTGCAGCAGTAGGAGTGCCACCTTCGGAGTTGTAAAAAGAAGTTGGGAAAGGCGCACAAAAATTCATGTCATGACTTTGCGAGTTGTGCTGGTAAGACTTATGGCTGCTTCCGCAACCTCGAGGTGTCGTCCGTGAAGCTTGTCCAGTTGTAAACGCCGCAGCGAAGGAAAAACCGGAACTGCTCGAACTGCTAGGCGACCCGGTAGAACCGATGGAGTTTTGCCTACTGTAGCGGTCAGCGTGATGCCCCAGCCCAGCCTCCGAAGCTGACGGAAATTCGGGGGGAACGTAGGTGCCGCGGTTGCGCTCGTAAGCATCCAGCGGTGCGTCGAGGGGGTGATCCTGATCTTGGGTCGCTTTTTTACTGTTCGCGTCGCGCATGGTGCCTTGGTCGCCTTGCTCAGTTCTGTCAAAAGTCGTTGTTGATCTGTGGTCTTCAACGTCACGACCGCCGAAGAACTTCTCACCCACCAAATCAATTTTTCCCCCTTTCGCTGCTGCCGCGACCCTCGAGGGAGACGTCGGTGGGGATCCGGGTAGCCGGAGCTGTGCGCTGTTCTTATTGCTCGTCAGCGCGGTTGCGATGGTTGGCAAGGCACGGGAAAACTTGTCCTGCGGACCCGTTTGCTTGCTGTGTTGAAGACCTGCGCGGCTTCTAGAAGCACTACGTGCTGGGAATAGCCTGATTTCTTCGCGCGGTTCTGGTCTCCAATACTCAACCCCGGGAAAGTACAGCGCAGTTCTGTCGTCTTGGGCATCTTGTTCATGATGGGTTGTCAACATCGAATCTCGATCTTCGAGATGATTATGAGTACTCATGTGCTCGCGCCGTTCTACTTCATCATTTTTGTGATCTTGTAAACTGTCTAGCTCCATGTCCATGTCCATCCTCTTTTTGCCTATCATCCGAGGGGTAGTAGTTGTGCCGAGACTGGTAAACGGCAGCGCGTTTCCCAAGGGCGCTTTGGAACTGATGTACGCCTGCAACTCGCCTTTGGCCGCCGCGGCCTGGGGATCATCTTGCACCTCGCCGGCTGCAGCTACCGCAGCGTCTGCTCCTTTGCCTGTTCCTGGTACTGGTAGCTGCAACGTGCTCCTAGCGACACTGGCCAGAGATGATGAGATGGATGCCGAGGCTTGTTGTGGTGCGACGCTGCCGCGGCTGCTGCACGAAAGAACAAGTTCTTTGCGACGATGACCCGCGTCTTTGCCCACGACTGTGTCGTGTACCTCGTCCACGTCGACACTCGAGCAGTTCGAGCTGGAGGAGGTCGGGCAATCGTACAGCCGCCTCCTGGTCCCACGCACACGACAACTCTGGAATTTATTTTCGAGTTCTTCATTCGGGTTCTTGCTATCAGCGGACGCCCCACAGCAACCCGCTCCTGACGTGGAAGTTGTAGATGTTCTTCGTTGTAGGAGTGCATCGCCAAGCAAATTCAACTCCGAGTCTTGACTGTCACAACTTCCCGAAGAACTTCTTCCCATAGCCGGCGCACCTGCAAGCTCGCTCCGGCAGCTCGTCCCTTCTGGCTCCGGGGAGGAGCAGAGAAAGTTCCCTTGCTCCGGTGCAACATCCAGCCAATCCGACGCACAACTTCGCGGCGAAGACGCCGCAGGGGTCCGCGGGCTGTGCAGCATCACAAACTCGTCGACTTCGACGTTAATTGCATCAGACTTTGGGTCGTCTACTTGGCCACCTGCATAAACATTCCCTAGTACTCCGCTAGAAGTAGTACCAGATGACGCGGCCCTCAAAACCGGGCTTTGCGGCTTCGGAGGTGCCGCGAGGTGCAGCTGCGTTCTGGGCTGCTGGTCGGGGAGAGGTGCGGCAGGTTTTTGTTGAAGCTGGTGGTTTGTAGCTGGGCCTGTATTCATGCCTGCATTCGCAGCTGCTCCCTGGAAGGGCCCAAAGTTATCCGCAGCAGGAACTCCACTTTTACTTGTCGCTCTTGGTTCGCTTGTTGCAGTAGCCGCACCTTCTGCTCCTGCTTGAAATGCCTGAAAAGGAGCGAAGCTTGCACAGGAGACGAGTCCAACATGTGAGGCCGCAAGGTGGTGGAGGAAAAGAGCCAGGAAAATGTGACTTGTTGTCAAGGGTAGTAGAGCAGGATGGAAAGCACGCGGCCCAATATGCCGGGAAACGAGAGATGGCAATGCTGGGATGCTCATGCTTGTTCTGCTCGGTGTTTATTTGCTATATTGGTTTTGGTATCTACACAAGGGCAATAGGGAATGCGTCGGCCTTCGTCACATGTACATCACCTAGGCAGGGGTTGGCATGATTATAGTCCTGTATATTGAACCAGTAGTTTTCTACACAACAAAGAGGTTAATTGATTATTAGATCCAGAAACAGGCACCAGGACCAGGAGTTCTTGGCGTTGGGGGAACGGAAATTGCAGTTGCAGCAGCAGCCACAGCAAATGGTAAAAACATTCTTTCATGATTGATGGAAAAAAAGTAAGGCTAGTTGTAGCACATGACCCGTCCTCGGCCACATCTAGCTGATCATCGATCTTCGCCGCAAAAACGCAGACACACAGAAACACGATTAGGATTGGGAACAGGTACAGGAACATTCAGCAATGCCAATGTAAACGTCAAGGTCGGTTCCTCATTTCAGTTTCCTTTCTAACTCTTAAGATGACTTTAGTCTTTTGGCGATGAAACCTGATAAGGTCCTCGGGACTGCACTGCAAGCGCAGAGGATCTTATTTTCACTGCGTCTTCATCGGCGCAGTTGAAAAACTTTTCCCATATGGTTCTACTGGTGAGCAGGTTGTATTTTTCGAGATACTAGATGTAAAGAAAAGCTATAGCAGCTTCACTACGACTAGACACGTAAAACTTTCAAATCCCCGTCCAGTCCGAGGGTACTTAGTTGTTTAGCACTGATCTGCTCGTCACGCCTCCCCCCTCTGTTTCTTCCCGACCGGTGCTTTCCACCACTCCACTTTTCCTAAACTTTCCAGCGGCTTCTTCCCAAGCACCGCATCCGCCATTTTCTCCGCCACCATAATGGTCGGCGCGTTCAGATTTCCGCTTGTCATGGAAGGAAAAATACTCGCGTCGATAACCCGCAAGTTCGACACGCCAAAAACGTTCGCCGTTTCTGCGTCCACAACTTTCCCCATCTGGTTTGTGCAGGATAAGTGATACCCGCTGTGGGTCTGAGACCGTAAAAACGCATCGATTTCCTCGTCCTTCCAGTTGTTCGGGTCAAAATTGAAGGCGTCCAGCTTCAGCTCCTCGGCAAAATGCTCCATGATCTCCGCACCCAGGCGAAACGCGTTCCGCTGGTCCTGTCGGTCCTTCTCCGTGTCGAGAAAATTTGGGTCGATCAAGCAAGGCTCGGACGGTTTCTTGCTTTGAATCAAACAGGACCCCTTGCTGGTCGGCCGCATCGTGCCGACGTGCGCCTGGTAGCCGTGCTCGGAGTATCAAATGCAAATATGTCTGGGTCTGGAAGGATCCAAACTTGGCATGCAGAATTTCCATGCCCCGTGAGGTCTGGAATCCAGGGCCTAGCATAACAGATTCTGCGAGGTCTCTATCGTGCATGTCCCGCATGAGAAACTTGACTTCCTCTCATGTTGGTGGTCAGAAAAGGGCAACTTTTGGCGATCACGCAAGACAGATTTTTGTGTGATCCACAGGACGCATCACAAGTTGCATCCTCGAGACCCAGACATTTTTGCAGTTGATACGGGGAGGAAGTCCGATTGCCCAACAACGATGCCCGGGATGAAGTGAAACTGAGTGTTATCCTAATGAAAAACGTCCCCACCCCAGAGTAAAGTAGGGGATTTTGCAACACAAGCCTTGAAGTTTTGGGAGCCACGCATGACAAATTGCAGGCTGTAGTGTAGTGCAGTTTAGCAAGTGCAGCCGCATCACAGATTCATCTGCCCATCCTGTTCACAGCATCACAAATTCCAGAACACAATTGGAAATGGCTCTCATGGGGATGCGCATTACAAGTCTTCCTGTCTTTGCAAATCTGCATGACAACTCTGGGGTGGGGATGCTTTTACACGAGATAAATGTCCGGGTGGGGCACGTCCTTGGTGGAACGGATGAAGCCACCCACTTCGAAGTGATTGCTGGCGCAGACCTGGAAGAAAGTTTAAGTTGGAGGTTCGCTGCTGTTCTAGTGTGGAAATTGTGTCTGAGTGACATGAAGATCTTTGGTCCTGTTCACGTATGATGGCTTTTTTTTTCAAAATTTCACGCTGTTTGCTCCAGCTTACAACGTAGTACTTCGACGAGAACTCTGTCTAAGAAATAGAATTATCGCCAGGACGACGAGGTCTACTTTCTCTAGATACCCCTGATCCCTGCAGGAGCCACTGCAGCCCCGCCACCGCCGCTTTTGTCGGCTGCCGAAACGCGTACTTCGAAAAGGAAAACGTCGACGCGTAGGGGTACAGAGACACCGGCTTTCGGCACTTGTACTGCAGGTAGAATTCCAAGTGGTCCTGCATATTTTTCCCAACATCGGGCAAGTGCGCTACACAGTCGATGTCCAACTTTTTCAAGTGATCCCCGTCCCCAATGCCGGAGAGCTGCAATAGTTTCGAGGACCCCACCGCGCCCGCACAGAGAATCACCTCGCCGTCGGTGGTGAAGCGCTGGATATCGCCGTTGGCGGATATCGTTTCTACGCCGCGAACCACGGGCTCCTTAGAAGTTCCGGGATTATTGTTGTGAAAAAGCAGCCGGGAGACCTCGGCGGTCACCTGGATATCCACGTTTTTGAGGATTTGCTCGTCCGTGTACCCTTTCCGCAAATAAGCGTTTGCCGTGGTCATCCTTTCCCCGGTTTCGAAATTCACGCTCATGTCCATGGGACCGAAACCCTCCTGGCGGAACCTGATCATGAATTATGGTTATTTGTGGGTCAACATTTATTGCAACATCACGTAAAGGTCGTACTACTGCACAACGAACTTTCATATGTAGTTCTACCAGAATGAAAAAGCACACTTCATCATCGTTATCTGGAAGCTCCTGCTCCATTACCCGTAGTACGCGTGTACGCAACTTGTGCTAAAGAATTTTGATGTAAGATCAACTTCTACAAAAGATTTTTCCCCAAAAATCATACCCGTTCTGATCTTCCGTTCTGCCGTACCCGGCGGCTTCCGCTCCTGCGGATACGAATGCCTCGTTCAATTCTTTCGTTTCCGGCGACTGCTTTTGACAAACTAAATACACCCCGTCCTTCCCGCGAAAGTCCGTCTTTTCGCCGCTGTGCCGCTGCAGTCTTTTGTAGTACGGCAGGACGTTTTGGTACTTCCAGAAGTCCGTTTTTAGCTCTCTCGCCCACCGCTCGTAGTCTTCCGGGTGGCCGCGGACGTAGGCCATCGCGTTGATCGCAGAACTCCCGCCCAGCGTTTTGCCCCGCGGCTGGTGCAGTTCGCGGTTGTTCAACCGCTTTTGCGGCACGGTGTGGAAGTCCCAGTTGTATTTCTTTTCGCTGATGTTGAACGCGAGCGCCGACGGCATGTGCACCTTCCAGCTGTCCCACGAACCCCGGTCGGATCTGCCCGCTTCGAGTAGTAAAACCTTCTTCCCCGCTTCGGCCAGCCGGTGCGCAACCACGCAACCCGCACTGCCGCCACCCACAATAATGTATTCGGGCTTAGAAGTAGATGTTGTCGACGTGTGCGGTTTAGTTGTTGTGCTGGAGGAGGACGAAGAGGAGGAGGAGCTACTGCTGCTGTATCCTCTTGCGCTTGCCGGTGAGACAGCACCGGTAGATGCGGCTCCAGTTGCAAAGCACGCTGGAGAACTTCCGCGAAGACCACGACAGGCGACATCTTTTGCGCAAGAAGATGAACGTGCCGGGGGGATGAGGAATCGGGTTGGGGCTAAATACAACATCGCGTTGGTTGCGTGCGTGGTCATACGAACAAACAAGTGTCTGACTTGCTCTTTAGGAATAGAAGTAGGCTTGTTCTACATCGACATGTGATTAGCAATAGCAACAGGTAGATATAGGTTTTCGCGGTGTACAACCGACACTAATTCATGGGCAATGCAACCGGGCGGCTGTCATTGTCAACGTGAACTGAGGTCACGTAGGGACCTTACCTAAATTTCAGGGTGTGGGTCATTAACAGGCTGGGACTGAAAATGGAGCAGCGAGCAATGGTGAGATCTCGTCAGAAAAGTTCTCTTAAGCGCAGGGTGGAGATCTTCTTTTAAAACCAATTTTTCCTTGACAACTAGTCTGCTGGATCCTGGACCGAAGCAACCGACGTAAATTCCAAAAACGGCCTGTTTGATACCGCAAACGAGCGTCAGGCGAAAAAAATCAGCAGACATGAGTGCAGTTTTCTCGTCTGCGCTCGCGAGAAAGAAGCCTCGGGGTCGGTTTCGCTTTTTGACCCTACGACTAGTGTTCGCAGATGCGAGTCGGATTCCGTGTGGGCTTTTGCCATATGAAGCGCGCCGCAAGATTCTCTACTTTCTTCGCAACAACCGCCTGAACAAAGTATCTACATCGGTGGCACCAAAGCACGACGGGGTCCTCGTTTTTCCTTTTTTTGTTTCGTTTATCCTTATAATCAGCTCACACGAGGAGAGAAACAAGTATACCAAAACTTCTTTGCTAATTCTAATCCTTTATTTGAATTTCAACCGTTACAAATTACCAGCGCTCTCAAAAAAAAGCCCGGCTCCTTTGTCTTGCTATTGCGCACTAGCAATGCTCGTTTGGTGAATCTTTGCTCACATGAAAGCTAACTTTGCGTTTTTCGATTTGATGGTAGTTCCTGTACAAGTCTTTCGGATAAAAGTGAAAACATAGGGCTACTAGATCGGAATACTCGAAGATACTTTTACTCGTGTCGGTGTCGCCTTCGGATGAACATCATCAACATACTGGGTGGTAATGACAACGCCCTCACTAGGCGGCCTTTGCTCCCTTCTGGCACACGTAGATGTAGTGAACCTGGATTTTTTTATGTTGTTGTTTCAGAAGTTTGTCTTCATTCTGACGGATTCGGATTTTGCATCACAAACGACACGACATTTCCGGCTGCAAACTTTCAAACGAAAACATCGCAGCTTTCTGGTAAAAATGGTATACGTTGTCCTTATCTTCTGAGCTGGTCAAGGTGGCGCCCTGCATGGCCATTCTTGGTTTTTCCACAGTGTGTACGGTAACATCCCAGCCGTATTCTGGCCGGTCGAGGTAGGTCAATCGGTAGTTAGGCTGACCGTGTGACACGGAAACGAAAACACCTTTTGATGTTTTGGAATGCTAGTACTACAAGAATCAGGGTGAATTTCCATCATGTACATGCACGTTGGTACTGGTGACTTCTAATGAACCATTAGGTTCCGCGAGAATGAAGTTGTGCCGCACTGGCAGATTTTTACCTGTTTTGGGATCCAGCACCCGTGCGATCTCCGTGAGTGCCTTTTGTATGTTCAAGGTCGAGGCCTCGCCGCACAGAATGCTGTCCATAGTGCCCTTGTCGAGAATAACGCCAGTCTTATCCATTTCAATCTCTGACTCAGCAGGCTTTATTTTTTGATGCAAGCTATAGACTCGGCAGGCGTACGCGGAGGTGCGAGCCACAGCCAGAATCTTCAGATATTTTATTTTATGCATGAATAGCATCCTTGCTGAGGTAGAGCTTCCGATGGATAAAATTGCCCGTCGCCGTAGTCCATTTGTTTTACGTTCATCTCGCTGTAGCTTAGACCTGGGAAATTAGGTTTTGCTGAGATGCATGCTTTGCAGCGCGACGGATGAAAAAGGGTAAAAGCAAAACTCAAGTTGTAATTTGGATTTTTTATGGATGTTCTATCTTTCCTGGAGCTGGAAAAAAACTACGGCAGCTAAAACCTTCTACCTGTTTTGTCCTTGTATTTCTCTGCCATGGCTTTCATGGCAACTGCGGAGCTGTCGATGTTTGTTATGTTCGCAAAACCCTCGTCGAACCTGGGTATTTGTCAGTAATTTCGTCTTTTAGCACATCATCTTCGAGATCAAGCATGGACATCGAGATCGATAAGTGTTATGCATGACAAATGTAAGTAGTGCTCAAATCTTCAAATTCGTAACAAGAAGTATGCTTTCATCATTATACATTTCCTCTGCCATTCTGCTATTCCCCGCCCCAACAATCAGGATCGTTGACGTTGGTTTCAGAAGTGGTGCGATGATATCCCTGATCCCTGACCACCGCTGGTACCAATCAAACGGCTCCGGGTCTCGCGTGTACCGCTCGTCCCAGTAGTCTTGCTTCCCATACTGCGCCATTTTTCAAGTGTTTTTTGCCTTTCTTTGAAAGTAACCAGATCCAAAATATTCGCTCAAAGAGAATGCTGTGAAAGGTCCTATCAAGAAGAGAAATAAATCTGCATTGGTTCGTCTTAATATTTTTGATGATACTAGAAGTCCTTGTTCTGATTTCTGTCTGCTCTTCACGTGGAAATGGAAATCTTCATGGATGTTTTTTGTCCTGCGTAATATTATGTTAAAGCTCAGTTAGTTGCTATTTCGTGCGCAATTTGTTTTGAATCGTCCATATTATGTAGCTCAAGAATAGATACTCAGCTTCCTCGCCTCTCGCCCTCGTAGCAGCTTTCGACGGCACTGATTCTAACGGTCTTTCTTTATAGTGTTTTGGTCCTTTGTTCCTTACTTATTTGTGTGCCGCTTCTTCTCCATGCGCACCACTTCCAACAAGGTAGAAGTAGATCACGGACATGCTACCTTTATCATGATGTACAATCGTAGAAGTCCTCGCACTAAGTTGCACACAGCCAGCTCGGCTTGCATATTGCATAGTTGATGTAACTTCCATTTTTGCGCTAGTAACTATACATATTTATACATATTGCACTCCAAACATGAGAACAGGATGTTCAGAAATCGAATCGATTGACAACAAATCACTACAGCCTAGCAAGGATGAAAATAACCAAATCAATGACCGATTGTGCTACCGATTCATCGAGCGCGAAACAAACAGAGCATGAGCCCTGAGAAGATTTAGGGCGAAATAAGGCCACGGAGATTTTCGAATGTTGTCGTGGCGGCCGGATCCTCTTGAAATCTAAAGTGGAGTAGTTCCAAGTACTCTTTCAGCTCTTTATGATCATCTTCCACATCTTCTCCAGATTGCAGTTTCATGTAGCTTCTAAACAATGCTTGTGCAAGTAGCTCGCCATACAGAAGCCGATAGACAATCCGTCATTACAAAAGGTGTTCGAACACTACACATCGCTGCGGCCGCGGCTGGGTGGACGGCGCACACGCCTGCCTGCAGCCGAGATGCTTACTTACTATCACGATCACCTCTGTCACTGTCACATATGGCATGGACATGTGCACCAGGTTTGGGATTCTTTGTTGCATATCGATGTTTTTCATGCTTGTTCTCGCAGTCGTCGTCGCGAGGTCGTTTGCTACCCGACTCTTCAGCAACAGGAGATGTTGAGAACTGTATCCTGCGTAAAATCGTGGTAACCACAGCCGAGTTGACATGATTCTCATCGTGTTTCGAAGTCTAATGAGGAGGTTGGGAACTACAAAGCCGATTCGTTGTGACGTGGCTGCAATAGCTGACCACGAGGACCATCTATACCGAAAGTTGTCATGCAAGACTAGTACCAGGCCTCCTTCTGCTTGAACTTGACTTGTGTAAATAGCGAACTTTGTCCCAACGTCTTGACTTTATAGCGTCTTGGGGAGGTTGTAGTTTTTACACAGGATACACTGTTGTAGAGGTTCTTTTTCAACATCTTCGTGTCGTGGCCAACCGCGTATTGATCAGGTAGATCACCGGACCTTCTCAATCCCTGCGACGACGAGACTTGCCTTCCCAGATATCGGCGTATTGGCTGTCTCAGCTGCCGTATGAACTGCAAAAGTATCGCACTCGTATAAATGCATTACAAATTTACGCAGCATGAGAAATTAAATTTGTCATGCGGATTTGCCTTAAGACAAAGATTTGTAATGCAAGACTTGCATTTATACGAATACGATACTTTTGCACAGGATATGCCGCCCGGATCCCCGCTCCGATCAAAACTCCGGTCCCGGGCCAGGGTATCCTGTGCAAAAGTATCGTACTCCTAGTAATTGCAATCATGCATTACAAATTTTTATCTCAAGGCAAATCCGCATGACAAATCTTATTTTTCATGCTGAGGGAATTTGTCATGAATTTCTACGAGTACGATACTTTTGCACAGGATACAGGGTTTGATCCGGCAAAAGTAAGGCAAGATAAAACTGGCGCAGATGTTGAGAATCGTACATCCGAGCTTCACCCCGGTACAGGCAATCCCAACCGTGGCGCAAGTGGTCCCCTCTGCACAGCAGGCAGCGCAACAGGCGCCTCCGCCAGTGGAAGCCGCACAGCATCCGGGAATTGCACAGGATTCACAGGATGCAGCACAACACACGACAAAACAAGGACACAATACGGCCCCCTCCGTCAGCGTGATGATCAGGAACGTAATAGTGAAAATGCCGAGGCCTATACTCAGCCATATCCTGTTCAAGAACGCACCCTCCCGACTTGACATGCACATTTGTATGCCCCTACTGGTGTCGTGTTTCCCGTGGCCTCCGTGAGAGAGGTACTTTTTCGTCCGTCACGTTCACTGGTGTCATACTCAATTTATAGGATTATGTGTACCAAGTGGCTCACGGATGCGGAGCCATCCGCTCGCAAATACGACTCATCTGTATCTTCTTCAGGCGTAAATCCTAAAACTTCTGGATTTGTCTTGGCAAATCATATTTTTATTTTTGTCCTTACCTTGAGACTATGGGGGGTGTAAGTTTTTACACAGAATAAGCCAGATCTGCCATGGCGGCTTCATCGGCTCGACGACATTTGGTTGCTCAGGTTTCCGTATGCATTTCAATAGTATAATTGCACTGGAAAACGAAATAAAGAACTTTTCATGACAATTTTTTTCAAGGAAGAACGTCATGCATTTTCAGGTGAAAAAACTGAAACAAACCTGTCATGCACAGACATGCAAGAAGATAGGTTTCTGTACGACTCGTACGAGCGCGATCATACTTTTGCATCGAGGATATTCCACCACTTCCACACCAACTGCTTGGCAAATGGAGTTCTCAAATGTTACATTCTCAACACGAATTCGTAATGCAAGAACGGCAAAAGTGAATGGGGGAAGCTTGCGCCTTCTGCATTACAGATTTGGCACAGATTTAGATGCCGTTTAGCCCCTTCGGAGATTTGTCATGCGAAGCAGCTTAATGGTGGCGATCTTGGTGGTAGATTTCCATGACAAATCATGTAACAGTTGAGAATGCAACATTTGAGAATCCCATATGGCACCACCACCTTTCGGGTGAAAAAGTGATTGAATGTAGGCTGTATGCATTGCAAAAATGTCTGGGAGGTCTGAATGATGATCGCAAGTTCATTATACGTGTCTTCCCCGACTCTTAATCCAAAAAGTAGAGCCTCTTGCCTGTCTGTCATGCACAAACACAGTATACCCGGCATTAACTTAAACACGAGACGAAACGCATAGGTGCTCAAAATAAACTTGTTATGTTGATTGGCTGCGTAGTGCGTACTATTGCGGTGGGGTGCACCCAGCATTGTTCAAAAATCATAACTTACTTGGTAGCGTCACAAGTTTCCAGACCCAGACAGGTTTGGAGTGGATAACCGTCGCCCGCTTGGCGGGCCTCGTCCCAATCCCTTTTAAGACCTTTTTTGCCAGTTTTTGGTTGGTCCTATCCTGTGCAAAAGTATCGCACTCGTAGTAATGGCAGTCATGCATTTTTTTTTAAAGGTACATCCGCATTTACAAAGTTTATTTCTCATGCTGAGGAAGTCGAAATTTGTAATGCATTTAAACGAGTACGAATACGATACTTTTGCACTGCATAGGTCCTCTAGAAGTACCATGTACCCCTCCTCCTCTATCCCAAAAAAAAAGTTGGAAGGGCATATTTGTAATGCAAAAATAAATACACAGAAAAATCTGTCATGGGCGGCCTCATTCATAGCGATAGCATGCTATTTAGGATATGCAATACAAATTTTTTTGTCTATGTATTTTTGCATTACAAATATGACCTGCCAGTTCCTTTCTGTGTGATATCCTCGTCCCATTCATCCACGCTTTCCACCCACTCCCACTTCTCCCATTTCTTTTCTTTCGGGTTCCACAACCAGCGATATGAGAGTGCACAACTCGACGTCCTCCCCCTGACTACATAAATGCAGCTTTTGCAAGACATCAAGTTCGTGAACGGTTCTAGTCTTGTTTCGGCTTCCGGAACCTGTCATGCATGCAGTGCCAAAGGAAAAGGGTGGTGTTCTTGCAAATGAGGCTGAGTGACATAGTTGTGGTTGTGCACTCTCATAAGCCATCTTCGCCCCCGCCACGTTCCTCGTACCACTGATACATCGTCAGTCTGGGTTGCGCCTTCTTTCTCTCCTTTTTCTTTTTTTTCTCTATCTTTTTTGACGTCGGTTTGGGTTTTTCCTCTGTCGTGGAAGTGAACAGGGACAGAAACGAAGAAAACGCAGATTCCTCCTCGTTGGACGAGTTTTCTTCTGCGGAGGTGGCGGAATTTTCCCCCGAGCTTGATGTGTCCTCTTCGTCCAGCATGAAGCTGCCCATGGACTCAGATTCCTTCACTTTCTTGTTGACGTACTTATCCAAGGAAAATAAAACTGTGCTGCGTAGCGCAAGAACATCTACATTGTTCCGTTCACAGGATGAAGACGATTTTTTTCGCCGTGCATGACTGAAGAAACCAGTCATGCACGGCTGGCACGTGGAAACACATGTAAAATGAAAGGAGGACTTGAGGACCTCGTGTTGGTTGTCTGGCATGTTAAGCTTATTATAGTGTTGCATGTAGTTTATACACATTTACTATACTGCACTGAGACAGTTTTGAATTTGATGTCTTGGATAGTACTCGCTCTCGTCGTAGTAGTCGTCCTCTCCGCCCTCCTCGTCCCAGTCTCCCTCGTCCCAATCAGCAGGTGTAGGCGGGTATGCATGGTGGAAAAAGTATTGTATTGTGCCATTCAAAACTGCATGATGCCACAGTTGTTGATGAAAACACGGAATCTACAATGCTGATTGACCTAGACAGTGTATATTTTAATGCACTTGTTTGCATGTATTGAAGTAGATCAATTTGATATACTTTTCGCCAGAGGATAACGACCCCCCGTCCAGATCCTCAAATCGCGGTGCTGCACAGGAGCCGTAGTCCGTTCCTTCAATGTCGGTAAAGGCGGTAGTACCAATCGCGGACTTTTTCAGCGTCCCGTCCTTGTTTTCCTTTGCCTTACCGCGTCTCGCGGCCTCGTGTTTTGTGAAAAACGTCGGTTCCTGCATGGGCGCGACGCTGAGCACCTTGTCCAGCGTCGGGCGGCCGTTCGGGTCTGCCTTCGCCTCCCTCGCGAGAACGTTTTGCACCGCGAAAAAGGCCGTTCTGGCAATGAAAAGCAGCTCGCTCGCCACGTCCTCCAGAAACTTGTCTTTTTGCGCGGAGGCCGCGGCGGTTGCGGCTGGCGTTGGTGCGCTGTTTGTACTTCTCGCTGCTGCCGCTCCTCCTGCGGAATCCTTCTTCGCCACACTGGATGCTGCCGCCGCCGGGGCGGAGGATTCGTTTTCTACGACGCTTTCCCCCAGTCCGAGAAATGTACTGCTGGGTGTTGCCCGGGACATATCATCTTCGTCAAATGTGCTGTCCTTTCCATTCTTACTCGTAGCTCCATCTGGCCTCGGATTTTTGGCGTAGTTGCTATTCATGCTGCTTGCTACCTCCAAGCCGGCTATGTGCAGCTGCACAGTACTTGTTTCTGTCTCCAGCTCCGTATGAGGTTCGTGTTGCCGGTCACGGTCGCCCGCGGCGTTACCACCACCACTCTCGCTGGCGTAGTTCACATCATCGGGTAGAAGTATCCCTGACACGTTACTACTCGTCGCGCTTATTGTGCCCGTTTCGAGAAAAGAGGACCCGCGGCCCATGTTGAGATCGTCGCTCGTGATTCCGTGGTTGATACTTGTTGTACTTCGGCTATGCGGAAATGACGGAAGATGACCGCCTGATGTTGCACTTCTCATGTCTACTACTTGCAAAGAGTCTCTGCCCCCACCTTCTAGCGCTTCGAGCAGGGTCGTGGTTATCCGCGGCTGGATGGGCTTTATCAGAGTCATGTCCCCTTGTGTCGAAATCTCGCCCACCTCGATGACTGTAGATGAGGGTGGAGACAAGTTTACGGCAGCAGGACCACGCTCTTGTGAGAATTTTTCTGGTCGTGGTCGTGTAGCAGGGTCGCGCTCAACTACATTTGCGACATGTTCTATTGGTGACACCTCCTCTTCTTGCAAGAACGAGGAGGCTTTCTTTCCTTTTGTTTTTCCCTCCAGTTTATCCAGCTTCGCGATCTCCCTCTGCCACCACGCGTCGTCTGCCATCTTGCCCACGGCGCGCAGCAGGTCGAACGTTTGAGCGGAGACTGTGGCGCTCTCAACTGTTACACTCTCAACTGTTACATGGATTTGAGATGCAAGAATGGGAAAAGTGAAAGGGGGAAGGTTGCACCTGTAGCATTACAAATTCCGCACAGATTTAGGAACGTTTTGGCCCTTCGCAAATTTGTCATGCGGAGCAGTTTGATCGTGAGGATTGGATGATGATGGTGTTTTTGCATGACAAATTCATGGATGTAACAGTTGAGAATGTAACGCTTGAGAGCCCCATAGAGACCACCTCGAAGATTCCGAAATTTGTCGTGCCGGTGGCGTATTCCATCAGCTTCACTGGGTTTAGCACCAGGCTAAAAAACTTTCGGACGGACTTCGGCCGCTCCAGCGCTTTTCCGGCCTTCGTGTGCTGCGGCACGAGTGCAAAATTGGGTTGTAGGCTATGGAGTTCTCAAATGTTACATTCTCAACTGTTACATGAATTTGTAATGCAAGACTGGCAAAGGTGAAAGGAGGAAGATTGCGCCTTTTGCATTACAAGTTTGGCGCAGATTTAGATGCTGTCTAGCCCTTCCGAAATTTGTCATGCGAAGCAGCTCAATCATCTGCCGGCTTAAGGTGCTTTTGCATGACAAATTCATGTAACAGTTGAGACTGTCACGTTTGAGAACGCCATATAGGCCGAAGGGCACAATGTGGAACTTGTTCTTGCCGTCCGCCTATCAACTGTAAAAATGTCTGGGTCTGGAAGAATCTAAACTTGTGATGCTGTCTCTGGATTCGAAAAAGATTTGTATTGCGTGACCAGTAAGAGGAGTAGATTTTGTGCTCCGCGGAGATGGCATTTGTCATGTGGAATAGGCATGAGGAAGCGCTCTAAAAATCTGTGATGCTACGGCATGCATCACAGACATCATGAGTCATGGAAAATATGCATGACAAATCTAGAAATTTTCCAGACCCAGACATTTTTACAGTCGATACCGCCAGCGCCAGCGGCGGGGCCGCATTCGCTTTATTCGGGTCGGCGCCTTTGCCAAAGTGCCGGAAATCCTGGTCGATAGCGAGCTTTTGATTCAGAATGGCCGCGAACCCAGATTCTATCAAAGGGGCGATCTTCTTCTTGATCTTCTCGTACTGCTCGGCCTGGTTGTTTTCATTCATATTGCCCTTGATGTTAAATTCATTTTGATGAAAAATGACGAATGTAACAAATGCAGTTTTATTTCCACCCGGTGAATGATAATTAAATAAGAATAACCACGAACAGTACGTGGTAGTTTCAATACCTTGTACTGTGCAGACCCAATCTGCAGCATTTTCAGTTCCCTGTTGAGTAAATGCTCGCTCAACTTCCGGATCCCCATACTCGCTGTGAACAGCAAATGCAGGACCTCGGGGCTCGGCTGCAGCTTGTAGCTCGCCTGCTTTGCAGGAGGGCTCTTGTTCTGCAGTTTAAAGACCATCAACTTCTCGGCCCCGCCCTCCCGCGGGTTTTCCACCGTCACGAGCGGCTCGTCCGGCAACACTTGCAGCGCCGTGCCCAACACTCTCCCCTTGACGCCGCCGTCCATCTTCAGGATCGCGGCCTGCGTGCTGTTTTTGGGTAGGGGGGGTAAGTGTTCCTGCAAGTGGAGGGTGAGCGTTTCTTTGTCGTCGATGAAGTGCTTCTTCTGGTGCGCCATATTACTGCTCTTCTGCATGTCCCCGAACAAATCGTCTTTCACGCCCACCTATCCTGTGCAAAAGTATCGTACTCGTATTGCATTCATGCATTACAAGTCTTTTTCTTCAGGTAGATTCGCATTACAGATTTTATTTCTCATGCTAAGGAAATTTGTAATGCTGCATTGATACGAATACGATGCTTTTGCAGTTCATACCACCGGCCGGAGTCGGATCTTTTTCGGGTGCTTCGGGTTCGGCCTTGTGTTGTAGACCGGCTTCTCGACAACTTGGAAAATCCCCCCGGGGTGGCAGGTGTGCTTTGGTTTGTTCTTCTCGTCCATGAGCTGCACGGCGTGGCGAAACGTGATGTACTGGCCCTCCTCGGGGAGAACGAAGAGTGTCCTATGCAGTGCAAAAGCATTGTATCGCTGCATTCGCACTCGTATAAATGCATTACAAATTTCCTCAGCATGAGAAATAAAATTTGTGATGCGGATTCACCTTAAGGAAAAGATTTGTAATGCATGATTGCAGTTACTACGAGTGCGATACTTTTGCACAGGATATGTCCCCGCCGGGAGCAACACGCTGGAGCCCTTCGGTATGGCGTTCTCAAATTTTACATTCTCAACTTTTACATGATTTGTCATGCAAAAACACTATCGCTCTTCACACGATCAAGCCTTCTCTGCATGACAACTTCTCGTCGCGCTAGATAGCATTTTAATCTGCTCCAAACCTGTAATGCAAAAGGCCTAATCTTTTCCCTTTCACTTTTGCCGTTCTTGCATGACAAATTTCATGTAACAGTTGAGAATGTAACGTTTGAGAACGCCATATTCGGCCACCGTTTCGGGTCCTCCTGGTCCGCAACCAGCTATCCTGCGCAGAAGTATCGTACTAGTATGAATTGCATTACAAATAATTCGCGCAGCATTACAAATTGAATTTGTAATGGGGTTACAAATTGAATTTGTAATGCGGATTTACCTTGGCAACTAGATTTGTGATGCAGAAGTGCAATTAGTACGAGTACGATACTTTTGCCATGCATACTAGCATCACCTCCGCAATCATGGTTCGCAAGGGGGGGTCGCTCGCCTGCTCCCGCGAAGATTTCGGCTTAGCCTCCGGATCGACCATCTCGACCGAGTACACGTTCACAACTTTCCCGAACTTTCCGTGCAACAAAGGCCAATCGCTCAGCGACGGCCACCGGGGCTGCGAGGTGTCCACCCTGCGCTTCTGGTCCCGGTCCACCGCGGCGGAAAACCTGTCAAACGCGGACTCCTCTTTTTCTTGCTGGTCTTCTTCTTCCGCGGTTGCTGATGCGGTCTTGCCTATTCCGAGCTTTCCCTTAATCGCGTCCGCAATCCACCTTTTGCCCTTTCTTGTTCTACTCTGGCGTCGCTTGTTTCTCTTTTGCTTGGTGCTTGTTAATATCCTTTCTGTGCTTGTGCTCTCTTCTACCTGTTCCTTCATCGTGTTCTCCTGCTGCAATTCTTGTTCACGACCTTCGGCAACTTGCTGCTTTGTTGTTTCCAGCCAGGAAGAGGGCAGAGGCGAGGCTCGCCCCCTGTTGTAGTCCTCGTTTTTGCCACCCCCGGCATCTTCGTCAAAAATATTGTCCTTCTTGCTCGTGTAGTCCTCTACTTCTGCTGTGTGGCGTTCACTTCTTGTCCCACTCCCGCTGCCCGGCGCATTGTTCTTTTCTTTTAGTACCACTCCAGCCGCTTTGGACGTCGAAGCAGATCCTCGCAGCGAATAGCGCGAGCGCGGCGCCTTCGGTGCGGCTTCTTTGGTCGTAGTGTCACTTGTAGCTTGATCGTCGCTCCTCTCGGTTTCATCTCTTTGTTCAAAGAAGCTGCTACTGCTGGCACTACTAGCTTTTCCGCCGTCCTTATGCAAGAAAAAAACTGTGTAGGTGTAACTTTCTTGGAGGAACAGCATCACAAGTTTGCTCTGCATGACAGAGAAAACCTGTCATGCGTAGCTAGTAAGGGAAAACAAATATGAAAAGAGGACTTCATGGATGTCTGGCATGACAGGTGTAAACCTGTTGCATGTCCTGCATTACAGAGTTACACTTACACAGTTTTTTTCTTGCATAATCCTCCTCGTCTTCTCCTAAGGCGCTGTCCAGGTTTTTCTTCGGTTCCTTCGCGACCTCTTTCTGGACTCCGCTCAGTTCCGTTTCAATTTGGATTTTCTGTTTGTTCCCCGGGAGAAAGGCCGGAACCAGCACCAGTTGCACGTGCTTTCCGAGGTAGTCTCCGCTCATGAAGGGCATGTACTCCCGGCTGTACAGGCTCTGGACGCCCCCCGTCCGGAAATCCCCGATCCCGGACAACGGCCGCATTAGCGCGGTCGTGGCCGCCAGCATGTCCGTGTCATTGTTTCGATACGCCTTGTACAGCGTTTTCGTGGCCGTGCGGAAGGACTTCCCGAGAACGAAAGCCGTCCAAGTCAGCAACTGGACGGCGCGCTCCTGCAGGTCGAGCTTCTGCTCCATGTACTCCCCCTGTAACTGCAGATGTTTCATCTCGGTTTGCAGAACTTCTTGGTTGAGAGTGAATTTACTTCGTTCCCGCGATTGCTCTTCTTGTTCTTCTTGGCCTTCTTTAGTTGTTTCTCGACGAAATTGGAGCTGCTGCTGCTGGTGGTTATCCACTCTGCTTTCTGCTGTATTCAGTCTTCTTGTTTGTCTTGTTTTCATCTCGCGGTGTAGTTCTTCGTGTTTTACTGCCTCTCCTTCTTGGAGAAAGCTGCTCGCGACCACGGTGGTATTGTCGAGAGCCAAATTACCTTGACTAGTACCTATCATTCCCGCAACATCATGCCGCGTATCGCTACTATCGCCGCTGTTAAGCGCAGACAGCAAGATCTTCTGCAAGTGCTCCATGCCGGTTCCTAAAACGAGGTCGGTCCACATGTCTGCACCAGTTGCCTCATCTTCCGTCTCCTCCTCTTGCAGCATAGACGACGGCGCGGAGAATGGTGATGTTGTAGGTGTTGCTGGTGCTATAGCTGCTAGGGTGTAATTCGTTGCTGCCTCAGAATTTGCGGATGCTGGGTCTTGTTCGTTGTGTTGGACGTTCTTCGTATTGTGCTGCTGTTCCCGAACCCGAAGATCGTCGGCTTCCTTTGTGCCGGTAGTTGTTCCCATGCTAAAGAAACTTGACGCAAGGTCGGAAAAAACACTACCAATTGATGTTCCTCGGCCGGAAAAGAGCGTAGAATACCCTGGATCCTCATGATCGCCGTCTGCATCTTTAGCACCGCCAGAGGGAGTAACAGTTCCTTCTAAAGCGGAAAAGCTGTTTCTTGCCTCCGCTTTTTGTAGAAGTTCCTGCACCGCCGCGGCCGCGCTTTTTTCTTGCGCTTCCAGCATTACCTCCCGTTGCGCTAGCAGCTCCGTGGCCGCCCGTGCGTGCGACGCGGTGGCGTGCTCCTCGTGCTGCATGACCTGCAGATGCGCGGTGTCCTGGGGGCCAAACTTGATGGGGCGCGGGTGGAACTCTATCCTGTGCAAAAGTATCGCACTCGTACAAATGCAAGTCTTGCATTACAAATCTTGTTTCCAAGGCAAATCTGCATTACAAATTTTATTTCTCACGCTGAGGAAATTTGTAATGCATTTATACGAGTACGATACTTTTGCAATGCATAAACTCCGCCTTGTGGAATTCGATGTCTGGAGAGGATGATGAAGCATCTTCCTGTGATATTACAATGAAAAATGCCCCCACCCCCGAACTTGGGAGCATTTGTATTGCAAACCTTTCCAAATGAAACATTTGCCCTCTTCTTGCACCTATCAGCATCACAGGTTTCCAATCGTGAATAGCAACAATTTGTATTGCAAAAGACCCCAGCAAGAGTGGCGCTTGTCATGCAAGCGATGCAATAGTACACGCCTAGACTCTGCATCAGAAAGATTCATACTCCTTTCATGCATGGCAAAAAGTTTTCATTTGGAAACTTCGCAGCACAAATTATTGCAACTTTGGGGGTGGGGGCATTTTTCATTGTAATATGTGACGTCGAGTCCTTCTCTGTAGTTGTTTCCGGCGCATAAAGATTTTCTCTCGATGTACTAGCGATAGCAGCTGCATCGCCATCGTATCTTTTAGCCTCACTGCCTGAGGAAGTCATGGGTGTTGGACCTCCATACCCATGCGAGGCATCAGGATGAACCTTGCCACCGGTTCTACTCTCGCCACCGGCGGTTTCCTCCTTCTCCAGTACGCTGGACCATTGCTCCTTGCTGTCTGTAGTCGCGACGGCAGCACGAGAACTTCTAGGAAGACCTGTTTCTGTACTGGCAGGTGTTTGTTGTGGTCGTGTAGCAGAAGCTCCTGCATCATCCGCTATGGCTGCGTAATTTTTCCTCGACGCGCCGCGCAACGACGGCGTTGGTGCTTTCTCTCCAATCAGTTGCCGCGGTTTTCTTGCATCGGAAGGAATTTTATTTTCCTCCTCGTCCGCCACCGCATTGCCCTCCTGATCATACGCCACGGCAGAGTCATGCTCTTCGAGTGCCTCTTCCGTTTTCTGGAGGAACGCATTGGCGTTATTTTCTTCGGCAATAAAGTTGTTCTCCAGCCCAAAGTTTTCCGCTTCTAGTGTCTGCTCGTCTTGCGGATCTCCACCGGCTGTGGCTCGAGGGTCTCCGACAAAAATATCACGACCTTCGTCCTTCAATGCAGGGCTAGAGTCGTCCTCGTCGGTCAACGCCGGTTTATTCACTGGGTCAGCTGTCGCATAAACGCAGGTGGTCCAACGTCTCACTGTAAAAGTGTAAAAATGCAGAAGCGCAGCGAAAAAGTAGCCGGAACTACTAGTACAACACCCACGAGGACAACACGTCAGCAAGGAGCGCCGTGGTGGCCGCTGCCGCATTTTTATCTTCGTGGAAGGGACTCCTGGATAGAAAATTTCATTAGCCGATTACTTGTGTCACAAGCTTCCTAATGTACGCTTTTATTGCCGGCGCCGTAGCCTAGGCGCTCGGTAGTAGATGGATCTGGATTTCTTCCGTATCAAAGCTTTGATCGTAGTTCATCCCCATGTCTGTCCAGCTCGTCATTGTCCAGCCGCCCAAAACCCAACAAATTCTTCTACCCTGTGTCGCTCAGAAACATACCTCGCGGTTCTAATCAACATTTCATCAAGGCTTCTCTCTCTACTGTGTTCTAGAAGCGGTTTTCAATCCACTTTGTCTTCCGCTTGCTTGGGCTGTCACACTTTGATTGGTTCCATCTCTACTCGTACTCTTAGAAGTTACAGTCTCTCTTGTTGCATTTACTCTGCTGTGTCCTCCACCAAAAAATACCACTTCCGCCTCTCTTGCTTCCCTTCGCAGTTCTGCCACCTCCGCTCACTAGAAAAAAGAGAAGCACGTCGCAACACCACAAACGCGGCCGCTTGTTCCACTTGCTATTGATGACTCTGGCACAATAATAACGAAGCACTCAAAACTTCGTCACATGTTGTACACATGCAACGAACTGTGTTCATCAAAACGCCCAGGATTTCTTTCTCCTCACGAAAGCGCGCCAATAGGAAAAACAGTCTGTGTGGTCTTTTTCATTCGCGATGTTGATGTAGAAATCTCAGTCATCTTGTTTGTCGAGGACCACACGACGAACGAAGCACGACGGCGTTACACACAATGAAAATTGTATGGCACCACTAATAAAAGTAAAACTAGTACACAAGCAATGAAGCCGGTACAACCAAAAGTATAAGAAATCTGATTTTGCAAGAATAAAAAACAAAGCCAAGAAAAAAGAAAAGCAAAAGATGACGATGCAAGAAGAAAAATGTAGCGCGATGCAATAGTAACAACTTTTGTTGCAGCGGAACAATAAAGTTCTACTTCATTTCACACACTTTCGAAAACTTTCCCCGTGATATCGTTTGAAAGGCACAGGAGGCCTAAAAAAGTGAGTTTGTCGAATGCATTATTCTCTTCTGATGTGTAGTTTTCTTTTTGTAAAAAAGCAAGTTGTCGCACACAAGTGAGGAACTTCATTTGTCGAGAACAAAAAAGAAGCTCGCAAGTAGAGACGCAGTAGAAGGTCGCGGCACAATGCAGATTCATCACAGTGACCTCTACCGGATCTTCGTGGTGAGAGAAGAGGCGTGCTATGGCGGGCACTCTTCCTGCGGGCCTGGAAAAAGGTTTTCTTTCCATAAATGCACAGTTTTTACTTTATTACTTTGTCATGCAGTAGCGAGAAAATGCTGAGGAAATTGAAATTGTTCATGCGAGGATCATGAAACACGATCATCAAGCCGTACATGAGTCCGACACGGTTATCCAAGTCTCGGTTCTGGAGCCGTCGTGACTGCTGTACTTAATGCTGAAAGCGTCGCGGCTTTGGACCTGAAAGTGATTTCAGATTGAGTTTGTGGTGCATGCAATTCAAGTTCTTTTTTGAAACCAACTTCTCCCTACCGGTTGCGCAAGAACGCACGCATACATTCATTCTGCTTGTCCACTACATGCATCTATCTACTAGCACCACACAAAAACATCTGAAAAAACAAAAAATACGTCGAGAATATTTCTGATGCGCAGGTCGATTTCGCGGATGGCGGTACTGGACCCGTTTTTGTTCCACATCTCGACCTTCCAGGCCTTCTTGAAAAGGGAAAACGTAACCTGTGGGATGATGGTTTGCATAATTTTAATTGCGGCATTGAAAAAATCTCAGAATTTACATCAAATTGTCACGCATATTAATAAGTAATCACGACCACGAGCGCTTTAACAAGCACACTGAGGTTTTCTTTTTCTCAAAGCACGACCAAAAACCTCTATACCCCGAGGATCTCGTCGTCCGCTTCTTCCAAAATGTCTCGAAAAAGCCCGCCAATAAACGCCAAACACAACTCCGTGAAGGCAGGGAATCGATCAGTGGCCGCAACTTGTGCGAGGACCCAACGACCTGATTTTGGATTTTTTCTCATCCTATTTGAAACAAGACAAGGTTGTACCTGGCTTTCTTGATAGATGCACAGCACTGCGCAAGACGCACTTGTTGCGCTCCGATTCGAAAACCAGTACCAATTTTTTTGTGCGACGCAAATAATCGCATCGGCATCGAACAACAGAAAAGCTCAAGCATATACTGATATTCAGTTTATACCGCCCGTCTTATTTGCCGGGTCTTCCCAGAGGGGTCTCACGCCCTGTTTGAACAGACTCATCGCACCGAATCCCTCCTGCAACTGGTTCCATAACCGCCAAAAATCCTGCACGGTGGACACGTCGCAGATTTTTTCCAAGCCCACCTCGTACTTTCCCGTTTTCTTGGCCCCCATTATCGAAAACATGTCCTGGAAGAAAAAGGAGTAGCTTTGGGAAAGCGGGAACAACATCGTCGACCGGACTATTTTCGGGTTTGCTTCCTCCGTGACGTCGTCGACTACCATCAGGAATTCCGCGGCGGTTGTCATATCGAAATCGTAGTCCTCCTCAAACTCGTATGCGCCGAGCGCATTCAGCTTTTCCAACGCGAGATTTCTCATTTCGATCTTCTCCGCAGACCAGTTTCGGAACTTTTTCAAGTTCACAGTAGAGGATTGACTCCCGCCGGCCTTGTTAGTGGGCATTGCTCTGACTCCGCCGGCGCCGTTGGCGGTCGTGGGGGAGGGGGTCATGGTTTATTTAGCAGGCGGAGAGGCGCTCCGATGTCGTGTCTTGTGAATATTTTTTCAGGTCGTGACTACTACAACTAGCTCCTCCTTCTCGATGGGTGATCAATGCTCCACAACTCCGGGGGGAGGTCGCTATTCTTGTCCTAGAAAGTAGGGAAAGCAAGGAATTGGATTTATTCCCGGTCGCGGTCGGTTCTTCCGATGGTATGACTGTGTTGCAGAAAATTACTGCCCACCAGCTTGCACGCGGCGACGTTGGCGACGTCGGAGACCGCAGGCGAAACTGACTAAAATAGATTTGGCGTTGTTCTAGGAAATTGCTTCAAGCGAATAGGAGCTAGAATTAATATTCTTGTAGAGGCTATTTCTAGAGCGAAAAGCTACAACAACTGCCACTAACTTGCTATTGATGCATACTCCCTGCCAGAATTCGATAAAAATATAGTCACGCGACGAGCTTGCAAGCAGTTATGAGTCCAACAAAAGGCAAGAACTCTCCCTATTACTATAGCTCTCGTTGCTCCAAAAAAATTATGAATCGAGCGAATTCGGGAGCGTGCTTGATGTTTGCACTTACGACATACTGGCTCACGTCGTATGAATACGCTTTCTAAAGCACACAGTGGCTCGGTCACGTTTGTCTTCTGTCGATTCAGTCCAATTTGTATCTTTTGATGCCGCGTGCGTCGTGGCTCGTTTTGCATTTCTGTTCCGCTACTCTCGTCAACATGGTGATGGAGCTAATCAGAAAAATTCTCTGACCTCTTTTTCTTTTCCTCTGTGCCAGGTTCGAAACTGTGCCATGTAAATTCGAACTGAACACCAGAGCTCTTCGTCTTTTCGTGTGAAGACGGCGATCCGATCCTCCTTTTTTCTCCTGAACCCTGAATCGGCATCGTTATTCCATTTTAATTTCTGAAGATAGCCTCCTGATCACATTTTTAAGTTTAGCTCCCACGGCTGAAAGCGTGCGTTCTTTGTAAGCTTCTACCTGCGTGGCCGCAGCAGGTGCCCGGGGCGTCAAGACGCCGGAAGTTTTGTCTCTCCCCCAGCAGGTTGAGTTCGAGTAAGTACGGCGAAGGGTATACACGAAGAACTTGAAGATGCAGCTCGTAGCTGCGATGCGTAGCGTAAATTATTACCAAGGCATAGCAATGGGAAGTTTTAGTTCTCGGAAGAAGGTCGCACTTCGGTAAAACAGAAGTAGTTCTGGGAAGAAGGAAACCAGTGCGGTGGGAGAAAGACGAGGCGACCTGCTCTGAGACATGGACTGGATCGGGAGTCCATCGTGATACAATAGATTGATAAAGCGAAAATCCTTACTGCCTCGATCGGCAACGCGTGTAGCATTTCTTTGTCTTTGTAGTTACGAGCAACCTTGTCAAGCGGAATTCTAACATACGCGAGCGGAAAACAATTTCGTACTGTTATTGGTACTACCAACCTAGGTATGCTGATGAGCCTTCTATCTGCGTTCTCATATCATGATGAGAAGCGCAAACCAGCAAACCAACCACGACGAATCATGTCCTGAACTTAATCAGAGACACCGGAACAGCTCGTCCCCGAAGCGCGAGAGCATACCACGACGATCTCTACTAATTCGCCAAGCCATTCACCTTCAAGAATGCTTTCTCCTGCATTTTTCTTCGCTGCTCCGCTGCCATGCGCATCCTGCTTTCTAGCGTCGTGTCCATGTTGTTTCCCGCAGCACTCTATCAAATGCAAAAATGTCTGTGTCTGGAAGATTGCTAGTCCGGCGTGACTTTGAGCTCTGTATTGCGTGGCGGCAAAGGGCTTCTCTTCCCTGTCATGCAAAAACGCAGTTTCTCATGCGGAGTACGCAACTCTGAACCACGGAAAAACTTGTCATGCTTGGCAGTGCTTTACAGTATGCGCATTTTTCCCTGACTTGCATCACAAGTTTCCAGACCCAGACATTTTTGCAATCCATACACTCTGTACCGACTGCCGGCGCAACTGATTGAAGCCCCGCGAGATGACAGAAGACGTCACCGACTGTTGAGCAGAACTGTCTGCGTAAAACGGAAGCTGAGGCGTTTGGTCGTTGCTGTTCTTCAAAACAGAAGGACCTGGTTGAGGAAAAGGACTTTGATAGGAAGAGGTCGTGCTGTGGAAGTTTTGCTGGGCTTGGTGTGCTGGCGGAAGTTGTTGGACACCGTCGTTGTAGGAAGCATGTTGCACCACGCCTGCATGAGGATTCGACGGGGGAGCAGCAGCCGTCCACTGAGGTGCGGGCTGAACAGCAAACTGGGGCTGCGTTTGCTGTGGGATCGCAAACTGTACCGGATGGTGTGGCTGAAATTGCTGCTGTTGCGGTGCGGTGGTAAATTGCGGAACAGAAGGAGCTGCAGTGCCCTGTCGGGTAAAATGCGGGCCACCCCCGGAAAGAACTTGCTGCGGCGGCATGGAATGATGATTATACGCAGAAGGGTACGGTTGCGGCTGAGAAACCGAAACCTGTATCACCGGTTGAGGGGCAGCCTGCTGTTGCTGAGGAAACGCGGCAGAAGAGGGCTGCGACTGACTGACCGGCTGCTGGTACGCAAACGCAGAGTGCTGCACTTGCGTAGGGTGCGCGAGCTGACTCGGAGCTGCGGGCGCGGAATGAGAGTGTTGCACAGGTCGTGGGAGATATGATGTGGTGTCGCGCTGGGCCGATCCGCCTCTGGTACTTCCTTGTTGAAACGAATACGGAGCATGTTGATGTTCCCCTGGTAACCACGATGACAGCCGAACGCCCCCCGGCGGAGCAGATCGCTCCTGTGCGCGCGCTGGGCGAGAAGAGACGAACTCAGCAAACCGACCGACAGAAGAAGCGCGAGAGTTTCTTCCGGATGTGAGGCCACCGACGGTTGCAATACCTTTGATACATAGATGCAGAATCGTGAGGAATTCATCACATACACTAGAAGTATCGAACGCAGATATTATCGCTCACCCTCAAAGTTCTACAGAAATCTTTCAAACTACTGCTTTTCAAATCTTCTTCGTGGTAGAAGACCGGTTTTGTCAGACGCAAATTACCCATGAAGAAGTGTCTCGCCCATGCCCACACACTAGATGTGGTAGGCGCGGTAGTGACAAAATCTAGGTGTCATCCTGGTGTGCCATACAAATTTTCGCTCGGAAAGTTGAATGACAATGAGCACAAAGGAACTACAAACCGACACTTTCCAACAGATCAAGAGCAACTCACACACACAATCAAGCAGGGATCAGTACTTGACAGATCGTGCTGACTCAGGCCTCCACCGCCGTTGCCACCGACACTTCTGCTGCCTGCGACGGAGGATGCCGCAGAGGAGAAGAACTTGCGGCAGGTCTCGGAAAGTTCTGTCTGCAGCTCTATGTTGTCGGACACCATTTTCTCCGAGTACTTGCTCTGCACCGCCAATTTGCTCTCGATCCGCATGCGGTTTCGCCGCTCCCGCTGTTTTAACGAATTTTCAACGATGGCGGAACTATGAAAACGATCTTTTTTGAAATCAGAAGTTCGCTCTGGCTCTCGTTCTTGTGCAGCATTTGCACTAATTGCAACTTGTCATTGGTAGAAGCTATGTATAGATTTGTCGCACGCACGAAAAGTCGTAAACACTAAACCATAGGTCCTTAAGGACGGTGAAGTGTTTTGACCAGATTTACTTTTCGCCTTTTGAAAATTAGCAGTGCAGCCCTTTATTTTAGCACGGTATACTATCAAACTCTGGCTCATGAATAAACGGAGCGCAGTGCTAGCGAACCCGTGCGGATGATGTAAGCGGATCATGTGGTACGTCTACGTTAACAGACCACTAACTGTCATCTGGAAAACAGCTGCATCACGAAAATGATCAATACCTGGATTTCCATTTTGGCTGCGCGGATTTCCTCGTGCAGCTCGTACTTTTCATTTTCGGAATAGAGCTGCATACGGACCAGCTCCTCAGCCAGCACGTTGTTCTCTTTTTCGAGGACCTTTGCGGGTAGAATTTACATAGTTTGCGTTTGAGTACAATTTCTAGAATTTCTGATCCCATCATTCTACATCTACTCAACAGCTGCACTGAATCTAAATTTGAAAGATCCCATGATCTTCTCGTTCATGTTCAATTTACGCTAATGGTGGTGCTCGAACTGATAACAAAGCAAAAGGAAAATAGGCCGGCTTACCGCAATGTCCAGCGGGTCCGTACCATCGGCTTGTGAGGCGGACGCGCTTGGACCAAGTCTACCAGACGAGCCCTGCAGTCGTAAATGAAATGAAATTTATGCTAGACCATTTCGTGTGCTCGTGCTTCTGCACCTCTTTGCTCGTACAGTTACACCGCCAGATCTTTGGAAAAAAGCATGAGTGAAAACTGAAGACGGGAGTCATCTCTGATGTACCCTGTACGTATGGAAAGCGTTCTTGCGAATACCTGTGACCCCGTCCGGCCCATATTATCCCGGACGTGCGCGCCTCGCGCTCTTCTTGGGGGCATTGCTCCGTTCTCTGTGCTTGGCGTGCTGACGTCCGCAATGTGTACTTCTTCCTCCTCCTGCCCAGCGAGGAAAGGCGCGTCATTATCGACCATGGGATTGCCTTGTCCGTTGTTCATTAAACTAGACTGTACGCCGGCACAGGCCTTCAACTCCAGCAATTTCTGCCGTACCCGCCAGTGGTACTTCTGCTTCCCGCTTTCATTCACAGAAGAAGAGGACGTCGGTGTTCTGTTCCGCGAACCCATCACAGAGCTGTTGCCAGATAGTTGCCCGCCAGACAACTGCCGCAGCCTGCTAGCACGCTCTAAATCGCGGTCAAACGGTGAGTTCAGCAGCAACGTGTCTTGATTGTGATGAATCCGGCCATTATTCAAATTCATGGAATTCAAATGCGAATGCGTCGCCGACGCGCCGATTAGCAGAGACGGGGTTTGGTGATTCGACCGGGTGAATCTTGTCCTCGAAGGAGCGGTTTCCTCGCCGTTATTGTTGTTGAAAAACTGCTGGGGGTCATTGTGCTGTCGACTGCGCAGAAACGGGATTTGCATACTGCTGCCAGTACTGGCTGAAGCCGCTGCACCAGGTGGATTTTGCTGCTGTTGCTGCCTTTGCATTTGCTGTGCGTGGGAGTTCGATCCTGGTTGCAACTCCTCCATGATGTTCCCATTGCTGCAGTTCTTCATGAATCTGTGAATTTCATTCTGCGAATTGATCGAACTCGCACCGCCGGCGGAAAGCTGGGAGCGGTTGTTGGGATTGTTCTCGTCACCGTCTACAGAAGCCGGTAGCTGCTGCTGCTGTTGACTATAATCTCCGGTGCCATCTTGCTGAAAGTTGCTCACATTCTGGCTACTTTCTTCTTCCCCGCTGATGTCGTTCGAAGATGGGAGAATCAACTTCGGCACCATCACTCCGCTCCGATTCAGCGGTTTCTGTTCCGGCGCTCGCACGGGCGGCGTAGACTCCGTGGACCGAACCGACGCCAGTCGGTAATTGTTTGAAGCCGCAGCAGCTGCACCACTGGTCGTGCTCCCCTGCAACGAATCCGGCGACGCGGACAACGTGCCGCCGCTCGAACCGTGCCCGTCGTGAATCTGGATCCTTAATGTGCCGCTTGCCTGGCGGCTCTGCGCGGCCGCGGAAGAGGAGGAGGTGTTGTGTCCTCTCGAAGACGATCCGATCATGCCTCTTCCACTACCCTGCAGCGCGCCACGATCTTCTGCCGGTGTCCTCGGCGTTACATCGGCTAGTATCGACGGTTCAAAATCTGAGTTTCCAGGGGAGTTCTCCCCTTTGATCGTCGACGCGAACTGGTCGTCTTGGAGATTGTTGTCTTGATCCACCACCACCGCGGCCGGGTAGTCGCCCGTCTGCCCGCCGATCCTCCTGGTATCCTTGTACAGCTCCCGGGGGTAGACGCTTTTTCCGCCGCTTCCCGGAGCAAGCGCACCGGCGGAGAAGTACAGATCGGTGGACGAGGCGAGCGACTGGGACACCGGATGCTGCTGCTGTAGTTGCTGCTGCTCGTAGGAGCTTTGCGAGGAAAGTATGCTAGAAGTTGTATTCTGCTGCTGCTGCTGCTGTTGCAAGAGAATGTCGTTTTGACTGACGGAACTTTGGTCGAACTTCAGCTGGATGCTGCTCGGCAAGGTGCTGTTGTTCGCCGTTGCATCACCGAGGATGAAGTTGCCAGACAATTGCCTAGAGCTTTAACACCCGTTAGCATGAGAAGTGGTGAATTTGTAGTGAATTTTGCATGCCAAATTGCAGATGAGCCCGCCGGGACATTGTCCCTCTTGGCCCTGTTCTGGGAAGTAGAAGGCCCTGCACCGCGCAGCAGCCGCGGGCTTTTGTGCAGTGGGCAGCCAGAGGACATGGCCGGGGCGCCGTTCTTTGGGCAGATTTTTGCGCCTCCCCGTTCCCGCAGAAGAGCACTGCAGCAGCCGCGGCAAAGACGCCAAAAATAAAGGCTGCGAGGCGCATACAACTAAGCAAGAAGGCAGGCAAGGACGAAAGGACCCGGCCGAGAGCTTTGACGCATTTTTCCGGCAGGCGCGTGAAATCTTGCGGCATTTTCAGCAGAATACAGACGGGCTTAGGGCAGCAGAGGACTCCGCTTTTTCCGCCTTTGCGTTCCTTCTCATGGCCTATCTGTGCACTTTTTTGAGCACTTTTCTGCGCTAAAGTTTGCTTATCACGGTCGAAAATGGGCGCCCGGTGAATTTTGGGGTGAATTTTGAAAAGGGCGCCGGTGAATTTTGGCCTCCGGCTCCTTCGCAAAATTCGCTAGCGCGTGAGAAACTCCGGGTTTGGGGGCTTCAAAAAAGTGTCGCAAAAACAAAAAGCCTCAAAATTCACCAAGAGAATTCTTGACCTGAGAGCCACGTCGAAAAAGACTTGCTCCGGGGGCAAAAACACGACTGGGGAGTTGTAAGCCGAGCACACCAGGCCAAGCAAGCTAGTGCCCGTAGCCGAGTCGTGCCTTCCCTTCCGCCCGAGGCTACTCCCAGATATCCAACTCCAAGCCACAACCACAACTCGTGAGAGCGCACGTGTTGAACTAGTGCCCCTGTGTTCAGGCGTCGCCCTCCCTCCCGACCATTCCGGAGAGGAACTTCTGAGGCAGACGCGCAGATGAACAAGAGCCCCACGATTCACCATCTTTGGTTACATATGCCCTACACAGTCCGGCGGGCCCCCGCAAGACCACTTCTTTCGGTGCTGCAAGCGCCACCGGGCGACGAGCAGCCCTTCACGCTGCGTGGGCTGCTTGGGCTCGTGTGTCTAATACGTAGCGCCCTTCTCTTTTGTTAGTAAATGCAAGTCATGCAATACAAATTCACTGCAAATTCACCACTCTGTATGCTAACGACCGTGCAAGGCATAAACAATTGCTCGTGGTCCTGGATGCTGCTCGGCAAGGTGCTGTTGTTCGCCGTTGCATCACCGAGGATGAAGTTGCCAGACAATTGCTCGTGGTCCTGGTGTTGCTCACTGCGAAAACCATTTTGATTCTGGTCTTCAAACAAAACCGGTTTATGTTGCAGTTTTCCGCGATTCAACATCGCTACCCTCGTACGCTTGTCCACCGGACTCTCGCCTGCTTGCTCCAAGAAGTCGGAGATGTCCTGCGCCTCGGCCTCGTAGTCGTCGAGACTCTGGTCGGGGATGAAATTCCCATTGACTTCTTCGTCAAACAACTGCGTAATCCCGCCCATCAAACTGTTCATTCCCGGCCCGTGACCTCTGGAAGACCCGTAGGCGCTGTTGTTGTGAAACGCGGAGGTGTTGGAGAGTAACTCGTTGTGGCTACGGTCGCTGCTCATGGGGATGGCGTAGTTGCTGTTTCTACTGCGATTGAGATTGTGGCCCCCGCTGGTGTTCAGATTGTTATTTGTATTTCCTCGGTGAAACGAGGACCTGGACGGCGCCGAGCTCGCGTTGGATGTGTTGAGGAAATTCTCCTGGGAATGGGACAGCACGTAGTTGTTGATACTATTCTGCTGGCTGTTGTTCAACCCACTGGCATAATTGCCTTGTGCACCAGCGGCTGCTCTTTTCGGGGGCGGCGGCGGCACTGCGTTGAACACGATTTCCGGGCTGGCGGCATTGGAACTCGACGCGCCACTTGTTCTCTGCGACGACATCAAATTACTGCTATTTCCATTGCTTCTCTGATCCACCAGGATCTCCACGTCTTGCGGCGGGATATTCACAACCACAGAGTTTCCCGGGCAGAATGATTCGTTCGCCGCCGTGCTACTCACCACGCTCGCGTTCGCTGCGTCGGGCGTACCGATGTAGAAATGTTGCTGGGCGGCACCAGCTTGCTGGCTGTTGTGGGAGTTATTTTGCTCCTGTTGCATTGGGGTTTCGACTGATGTCGTTGCTGACAGTGGCTGGACACGAACGACGCCTGCTTCCGTGATTACCGCAGCCGGAACCGCGATATTGTGGTCCGACGCGCTAGTACCGGCCTGCTCATCGCTTGTGGATGGGATGGTGGTGGAAGCTTCTTCAGGCACTTTTTGCTTCTTGATCAACAGATGAGCGGTGTTGCTCTGCTGCAGCTGCTGCTGTATTTGTATCGGTTCAGCCGGCTGAGGGTACAATGCAGACCCGCCTGGAGGTCCTCGGGGCTGGAAAATTGCGTTGGTACCTCCGAGCAAAGGTTCGTCCTGGTCCACGACTTCGACATCTTGGAAGGGGGTGGTTGCACTTGCAGCTCCTGAAGCTGGTGCACCAGCTCCCGTTGAAAGAGGAATAACAGGGCCAGGTCCACCACCAGCATTTGATGTTGCACCTTCCTGCGACAGCGTATGCAGCAACGGCGGCGTGCCCTCCTCCACGTCATTACCCGGAGCAAGGTTGTGCGACGACTGCGACCCTCCGGTGTTTGGTGACCAGTCTTCCCCATTCGTCTTCCGGTATTTATCGCCCACGAAGTCCGACTCCTTCGCGCGGAAGGGGAGAGGGAGTTTGGGCATGGCAACGCCGGCAGAGTTGGCTCCGGGCGTTCTCGCACCGGAATTGGATATTGTTGCTCCGGGACTGTTGTTCGGTAACAGGTCCAGCCTCTGCTTTGTCAGCCGCATAGTTGCTGCCATGACTGCCTCATTCTTCTCCTCCGCAGACAACCGCAGGTCGTCTGGGATCTGCACATTCTGCATCGAAGAGGTCACGGACGAGGGATTGCTGGTCGTCGTGTTATTAACCCGCATGATATCAAATGCAAATATGTCTGGGTCTGGAAGAATGCGAGCTCTGTGTCTGTCATGCAGTTTTTGCCTGGCCAAGAAGATCGTGTGGCATGCAAGCTCTAGCGTCACAGATGTTGAGCAGGTACCCGAATGCCTAATCCGCATGACAAATCCCTTCTTTCGGTAACAAGAGCTGAGGCCTTTTGCTAGCCATGCATGACAGATTTTGTCATGCTGTAGCCTTCGCATCACAAATTCGAACTCTTCCAGACCCAGACATCCTTGCGTTTGGTACATGGGGCGCAGCATCTGACTGGATGCGGTGGACGACCCAAAGTCGAGCTTCGACGGGATGTTGCTCACCTCCTCTAACGGGTTTTTCAGGCTGGAGTTCGAAAAATCGTCGTTGCCAACTGTGGAAACGGAAAACCGCAGTTCGTCACCCTCGAGGCCTGCTATTCCCGAGATTCCGGTGCTGTAATTGTAGCTTGATGTTCCTGGTGGTGCAGCCCCGCTTCGTCTCTGCATTAAACCCGCTAACCCCCCGCCGGCACTAGAGCTGGATGAGCTGGGTCTTGGCGGGCTCGGGGACACGAGATTTCCGTCGAAGTTTGACCCAATCAGCTCCTCGGTGGAGGTGCAGCGCGCGACGGTGCGCGAATTCGGGTAGGTGATAACGTTAGCTGCATTTCCTTCGTGTCTCTCCGGCGCCGTCATTGTGCTGCAGGCCGAGGCGGAAGAGACCCGGGGAGGTGGGGGGCCGGCAAATTTTGCGGAGGACGCTATGGATTCCGGCATAGACGCGAGGGAGGATCGGAGTAACTTGTCCTTGTCTTCCGCCTTCGCGCCGCGTCTTCGGTCCGGGGATTGGGATGTGGGCGGGGAGGAGGAGGTAAAGTTACTGTTCCGCAGCTGCTTGCTCGGAGAGGACGAGGGGTCACCTGTGTTTTGGTTTGATGAAATCTTCATGCGACAGGTGTACTTTTACTACCAGCACGTACAGCAAATCTCTGGCTGTCATTTCACATAGTACCCACGTGGAAGAGTTTTTACGCAAAGAATTCACACGTAACAATTGAATACGTCCAAGATTCCCCACGTTTTCCGTGAATTCGGAAACCGCCTGGCGCAGGCGCATCATGTGGTCTGGCATCTGTTCGCCGGAAGATTTCCGCCCCGCAATCTGCGGCATCTTCTCGAGTTTCTTGGGCGAAAGCGACTTACTTGGCGAGTAGTCTGACGGCATGTTTCGACGCTTGTGGCCGTTGTCGTGTTTTAGCTTCACTTTGAAGATGCCATGCGTTGTTCTGGTTTGGAAAAGAACCTTTGCACCAGCTGTTCTCTTTCTTCGCTTTCGCGGATGTGTCTGTTCGTTGTAAGCTACCAGACAAATCCCGACGGAATTTGACCAAGTCAACAGGCTATTCAAGTGGGCCAGAACCACGATGAGTAGAAGTGCTGTCGCGAGAATGATCGATCCGAAAGTCGTCGAGATGCTTCTTCAAGTCACTCAGGGTCTTCTCCATTTGTGAAAGTAGATGTAATTCAAATTCGAAAGCAGACCACACAGTGCAAAGGCAAACGAAGACCACCACGCCGAAAGCGAAGCAAAAGCGAACGAGACAGTACAAAGTGTAACAAGGAATAAATTTGAAGGCAGCGCTGTGGTGCGGAGGCGACTGAGCAGCACTTCTGCAGTGCGCCAGTAGAATTTTATATTTGAATTTGGCTAGGAGGATAAGCAGGATTGTACACTTTCAGGTGGTTTCGTCGTAGTTGTGGTCGTTCTCATTTCTGCTTGTCCGTACGTGTAGACAATCAAATTTACTACGGGTCGGGAAATGGAAATCATACAGAAGGAGGTGTTCTTTTTGATACAAAACCAACTTATTTCTAGTAGTAATAATGATTTCTAATTTGCTGACCACTTTTTCAGTTTGTAGAACATATAAACAAGGATTGAGTCCTATCTTTTTTACATCTTTTACTTTCTCGTATTAATTTCTTGATACAACAACACAAATTTTTTCTTTTTCTAGTCAAACTGACACCAAGATGTGCAAATTTTCTCAGCGTTCCGTGCCGCTTCCCCGCATGTTTCCCGGTCGTCTTTCCGCTCCGACCTCCCTCACATGGGCATTGCGGGCCTCGTTCTTCGTCTCCAGCGCCGACGACCCCGCGACGGCTGCACTTGGTAGTTTCGCAGCGACGGAGCCTCCGAGCGTTGCGACGCCAGGCGCATGCACACCGACACCAAACCGCATTTCGGCCCCGGCCCCGCCCGCCGCTTCCGCTCCATCAGATTTTTGCGCCATGTTTTGGTCCCCCGCCGGCAGACACGCTTTTCTCTGTGCGTTCCAGGCACAGTCGTCCCGATCACTGCACTCAAACTCGTCCTCGTTGAAGTGTTCGCAGTTGATGGGAGCATCCGGATCCCCGGCACAGTCGTCCCCGCCGACACAGAAAGACCCGAGGCTCCCACCATAGCTTTGTCCTCTGTGTTCCGACTTTGGTGGCTCCTGCTCTGCCTGCTGCAGCAGTGCCGACGACATGCCGCTTGTCGTGCTCGCGGCTGCAGGAGAAGATCCTGAACCTGAAGATCCACCGGCGCGCAATTGCAGTTGGGATGATTGTTCGGAGTGCTCTCCCGACGAGTGAGAGGACTTGAACCCGTCCCCGGCCACTTCGTCGGTCTCCGGTCGTTCGCCCCGCTCCTTGGCCAGGATTTTTTCCGCCCGGCCCTGCATTTTCGGCACGACGGAGAGGTCGTCCTGAATCCACTCGGATTCCGGAATCGCGGGGATTCGTTCGTTTTGCAAGACCTCGCCGTATTTTGCCACGTCGTACATGTAGGTGTAACGCCAGTCCTGCACCGTTTCCTCCACCCGCCCGTCGAAGTACACGTTCTGCGGGCCCCACCCGGACAGAACGATCGCGGGCTCCTGGAATTTTATCCCGGTTTTTTCCGCCTCATTCCTATCCAAGAAAAAAACTGTGTTAGTGTAACTTTCTTTGGCTGACAGCATCACAAATTTGCTCTACACGACAGAGAAAACCTGTTATGCGTGGCTTGTAAGGGAAAATACACATGAAAAAGGGACTTCATGGCTGTGTGGCATGACAAGCGTAACTCTGTTGCATGTTCTGCATTACAGAGTTACACTTACACAGTTTTTTTCTTGCATAATTCCACGGCGACCGGTAGCACTTGCACCCGTAGGTGTTCCCAAAGTGGGCGTCGACCGGCTGCGGGTGGTTCGGCACCGGCACCGGGGCGGAGTAGTACGACTTCCGAAAAAACGCGTCCACCGGTTCGTAGTTGTCCACCAGGTAAACCCCCGGTCCCTCGTTCGCGGCGGTGGCTTGTTCGGATTTGCGCTTCAGGGTGGCCATCAGCACCCCGGGAAACTGCGCGCGCGCGCCATGCTTGAACCACCGGAACTTTTCCAGTTCGCCCTTCGTCGCCCGGGACTTTTTGCTGCTGTAGTCAAAGGTGATGGACTCCCAGCTCGCGTCCGCTATCATGATCTTTTTCAGGAAAAAATCGAAGTCCCCCGCCTGGATGTCGGCATCCTCCCCGTACAGGTTGGACCCGTCCGTGGGGTGCAGCCCCGTCGGCGTCGCTTGGGCGAACACCCCCGGCCATAGTCGGGGGAGGTACTTGCTGTTCGATTTCCCCTTCGTGTTGTACATGCGTTGTGACAAGTCGAAGAACCGGGAGATGGCGGAGGCGCAGGCTCCATGCCCCCGCGACTCCTTCGCGACCTGGACCTCCCAGAAGTAGCCGGATTTCAAGAGGTCTTTCGGTTCGGACACGCCGTAGGGGTGCTGCCACACCCCGGTCCAAACGGAGGTGCGGGTGGCGGCGTGAACCATGAAACTGTACAGCGTGACGGCAGAACCTGAGTGGTTTAGTGTGTGCAAAGTGTGACGGAACCGGAACTGAAGAGGCGCAACTGCCAGAGATGAATGTCAATGCTAAATGATTTCTGTATCATGATCCAACTGCATCACAAGAAGACATTATCTATCAAAAGAACTGAATCTACCGAAAAACTTCGCCTCCAAGTGCTTTTTGAACTTCTCCTTTTCCTGCACTCCGTCCCTCAATGCCGGACGCCAGTGGTGCGCGTGGGGAAACTCATCCGGGTCGGCATGCGACCAGGTGGTCACGTCGTACACCTTCTCAAAGTGCCCCCACACCAGCGGGCTCTCCTCGTAGTGCTTTGCCCAGAACATGTCGTAGCACTCGTCCCAGGCCCTTCTCCCCTCCACGCTGTCTTCGAAGGGCAGCATGTACACCCAATAGTCCTCGCCGTCTTTGATCCCCTGCACGGTTTCGCCCTCGCACGTGAAGCGCAGGGCATCGTCGGCTTCGTTGAGAGGTAGGTTTGCCTTCTCCTCCGGAGTCTGGGAAAACCGCTTTCCCGCCTTCGGCCAGGCGGAGATCGGTGTGCCGGGGGGCAGGTTGACCGCCGGGGCGGGGGGTGGGGCCTCTTGCCTGTCAAAGAGATATTCAACATATTTGGGACGTAGTCTGTGCCTAGGCATAAAAAGCTACATAAAGCGGGCATGACAACAAGCTTAATTTACAAGAAGGACCAGATCACGCGACAGATTTTTATTGAGTAAACGCAAGTATCAATTAAAAATACGTTTTCGGTTTCTCCGTTGTCTCCTTCGTTTCGGTGATTTCTTTCACGCCCGGCACCACCGGAGATTTCTCCGGCACCGGTGGCGCCCCGATTTCCGGCGCTTCCGGCTGCATTGCTACTTGCGTCGTTTGCTTCTTCTTCAGCGCGTGCGGTGGCTCGGGTGTCGACAAAGGTTCGGCCTCTGCCGGGGACAGCGAAGTCGTTTCCGTTGGCGTTGTTTTCATCACGTGTGGTGGCTTGTGTGGACCTCCCACACGGTACATGGTTTTGTAGACGCAAACGACAATCAAGAACAGGCAAAACACGACGAAGGCTTGGCCCTTCCAGGAGGAAAATATTTTCTTTCGGACATTGTGCACCAGTGCCGCGCTGTTGTTCACGTTTACCGGGGGGTTTTCCGGAAAGGACGCATTGGGGTCACCGCCGCTCAGCGTCGTGTTGTTAAAGGAGGACGTTGTGATGTTGATGATCTTGTTCGTCTCCAGTTGGCCCGTTTTGGAGAAGAAGGACGAATTTGCAGGGGCGCCCCCGTTGCTCTCGGTTTTAGACGCATTACCTCCATGCGGCGTCAAATCATCGGTATAGTCAACAAGCATGGACGAATTCTCCATGTTATTGCTGTCGAGGGATCGCGAGCGGGCCGCCCGGGACACGGAGGACGATGCCCCGTAAGACCCATCGTTCGGGTGTTTGTACGACATTTTGTGTCTTATTTCGGTAAATAAAATACTTTTTTCTGTCTGGGAGCGGCTGGACGATTGGGCGTCGCGTTTGTCGTCACGTTCAGGATTCCAAGGACGCCTCGTCTACTGAATAAACGAAGTAGTTGATTTCGTCCACAAGTACATCAAGTGCACTATACCGTTCGCAACATACTTTCTTTATCACACGAGTGTCGGTCCACGACACCAGATAAAAGAGAATACTTCCAGCCCGACGAAAGAAGCGAGAGGTAGTGAAGAACAGACGATAATATGATCAAGATGACGATGAGGCGATGTCGAGATAGAACGAACAACGATCTGAGATACCTTGTTACCCCTCAACATCTCAACGAAAAACTATGATATCGATTGACGAATGCGATGACGATACAGACCCGTCGCGTCTAACTGCAGTTTCAGTTTGTCGTTGTCCTCGCCCTGAAGTACAGAAACACGCACAAGCAGAACCATTTTCTCGCTGGGCTGCGTCACAGAACAGTCCTGCAGCAAGTCGCCTGGCGGTTGAAATCGTCAGAGGTTTCTTACTCGCCATCGTCGGAAAGTAATTGTGGCTGTGCTTCTTCTGCTGTAGTTGCTTCTCACATTGAGTCCGCGAATTGTTGCGAATGCGCAATCTTGATACAGTGAAATCGAGATTTCCGATATTATCGAAGTTCGTCAAGCTCTATTCTGAAATTAAAATGTTAATAAAAACAAGCGTATTTTTTTTATGTAGCGAATGACTTGACAGAGGTTCCTCCTCCTCGTTGAAAAAAACGCATACAATAAAAGGCGCGAACGGTGTAGATGTTGGAGGCTTTCTTCGGTTCATCTCCACCGGTTTTTTTTGATGAAACTAGACGCTAGCCCTCAGGCAAAGCGGTTTACTGCTTTTCGGTCAAGCACTGCAATAGCTCACCTTAGTGTAGTAGTTCTCGCGCTACGATAAAGAGTTGTCGAGCTGTGTGCGCGTAATTGTTTGTTTGTTTGTATTAATGCGTTAAGGTGGGAACGCGTTTACTCACCTTTTTCTGTTTGATGACCCAATTTATTCTTCTATTCGTTCCAATGTTTTGATGACCCTTCTACTTACTCGTGGAAAAACATCACACGCTCACGTTTTGAAGATTTCTAGTGCTTGCATTTACTAGTAAAGCTGACCTACCGGATTCGGATATGATGTTTCCTCAAAATTGCCAATCCAAATCACTCCGCCCGAGGAGTTCCCTGACCCACGGCGCTGGCGGCACCGGGTACACCTCGTCGTCCCCGAAAATGTCGCCCTGGAACCTCGCACAAAAGTCGGGCAGCATCTATGGGATTCTCAAACGTTACATTCTCAACTGTTACATGGATTTGTCATGCAAAACTACCTTAAGCTGCCAGATGGTCAAGCTGCTTCGCATGACAAATCTGCGAGGGGCTAGACAGCACCTAAATCTGTGCGGAACTTGTAATGCAAAAGGCGCAAGCTTTGCTCTTTCATCTTTGCCGTTCTTGCATTACAAGTTCACGTAACAGTTGAGAATGTAACGTTTGAGAACGCCATAGCATCTGCGGGCCGGACAGGGAGTCCCGCATCGGCGGAACGCCGGAGGCGATCTGTTGCTGCGATTGGAACAAATACTCCATCTCGCCCAACTCCGCCGACGAAGAACTGATCGCGGTTTCTTTCGAGCCAAACGCCGACGTTGCGATGGACATGGAGCCGGGAGCTTCCAGGCAGAATCTTCTTTGCTTCACGGCTAACACGTCCAGGTCGTCCCGGATCCCCTCGAGCTGCTCCCGGACCCTCATGCAGGTCTCCGGCGAAGCTTTTTGGTGCAAAGTCAAGTACCCCCGTTGCTTCATGGAAGTTTCCGCCTTCTGCATCTCCTTGCGCGCCACGTCAAACATGCGCTTGTCGAAGTAGAGCACGCCGAGGCGGTAGTGCAGTTCCGGTTTTTTGGCCTCGTTTCGGGGGAAGGCCAGCTGATCCTCAAGTTTTTGCTCGCGGAATTTAGCGCCCTCGTGCACGACCTGCATCTTGTCCAGCACGTCGATTAGGCCCGTCATGGGGAGCCCGAAGTTTTCTGTTCAGTGCATATTTGTTGTTCCATGTCGTCAAATTATTTGCTTTCAAATGGGACGAGAGACTGCAGCAAAACACGCGAATTGAATGAGAGAGTACGAACAACACGACTGAAAAGATGAATCAGTACTGAGAATCGTTATCGCGTTTTCGCATTCCTTGATCGCCAGTGTCGCTTTCCCCTTGTCCCAATACCTTAATGAGAGGTTGTAGTGGCTGACGAATCTCAGCATCCCTTTTACAGGCTTTTCCTTCAAGAACGCCCTCTCGACGAAGTTCAGCCGGTTCTGCGCGTTCGCATCTTGCGGCTTGATGCGCAGCGCCTCTTTGTATTCGCGGACGGCGAGGGTGTACTCTGTTTTAGATCATGATGATGAATGGTCGAGTTCGTTACCTCTCGTCTTTGTCGGCAAGACGGAAGTGGAGAGACGGCAGCTGGGGACGGTGTGCCGCTCCTGCTGCTGTGCCTACCAAAATCATAGCATGCTTTCAAGAGATTGTAGCTAGAATAGTACCTTGCTTCATCTCATGCTTTTCTGCCTTCAGGTAGTGCTGCTCGTACATCTGGTCTTTTCGCTTCTCCCTCGCTGTGGCCGGCTCCTCATCTCCCTTCCTCTCCCCCGTTGCAGTACCATCCTGCTCTCCACCTGCAGTTTTCGCTACAACTACTTTTCCGCCGGCTAGATCCAGCGGTGGTGGCAAAAACACTTGCGCGTTTCCGGTCTGCTCGCTTGATTTCTGTTCTCCGAACTTCCCAAACGCCAGCGCGAAAGGGTCTTCGTCCTCGCTGCTCGACTTGTTTTTCGCAGTGCCCCCCGTGCCGGCCTTCGCTGCGTCGGCCTCGGACCGGGCCGAGGACAGTTGGGACTTTTGCTTTGACGCTGCGGTATCGCTGTTCTTCGAAGTTTTTTTAGCTTTACTTCCTTGCTCTCCACCTGTTGCCGCGTCCTTCTCCTGCAACGCTTGGGCTTCCAAGATCTTCGCAACGAACTTCGCGCAGTCGTCTAGCAGGTTCTTCTTCACCTTATCCACCCTTGATTGCGCCGATTTCGACAGATTCAATTTTCGCATGCGCTTCTCCAGATCCGTGAGGAACTCCGTCGAGGCAGCCGCTTCACTCGATCTTGATTTCATCGACCCCTTCCCACTTCCGCCAGCGCTTTGCGGTCGTTTTTTCTTGGTGGACAGCATCGGGATGCTATCGAGGTCGGCTGCGATCAATTCTTTGCTGTTTCGAAGTCTCGCAGAGGGGGACAGGTCCTTGTCATTGATTTTCTTAAATTTACTCGCGGACAAGCTGCGCTGCCTGCTGGTCGCGTTGGTGGACGCGGGTTTCGCAGACGCCGGGCGAGATTTGCTCCTCGCGTCACCGGGGGAGGAAAGCTTCCCCGTGGAGGCGGTACCGGTACCTGGGTAGATAAAATTCAATGTAGGAGTTGGGAAGTGTTTTAATTTATGTGCGCAAGCGCATCTAGTGCATGCTAGATGAAATTACTTTCGTTTTATTTCGATGTCATACGTGAGCAAGCGTTGCAGCCCCTCGTACCTGTCTTCATCTCCTTCGCCTTTGGCGTGATTACGATTTGCGGTTCTATCAGATTTCCATAATCGTCAAACCACTGCGCAGTGTCGGAAATGAATTCCGCGCGCTCCTCCGCCGCACTTGTCGAGCACATCACCTGCAGCGGTCCATATTTCACCTTTTTCCGCTGTTGGCCTGCCGAATTGGTTCCAGATGGCCCCCCTCGTGGCGACGGTGAAGCGGAAAGCATGGTGGTTTGATCCACGATCATGTCGGGCGATGCGGGCGCACTTGCGTCTCCGTCCAACAGAACTCGTCGCTCGGAGAAAGTCCACTTTTTCGTACTTGCGTCGTAGCTTAGCATCACCTTTCGTGTCGCGTGCTGGTACCATCTTTTGTGCTGCGGCTTCTTCTTGGGGTCGGTCGCGGGAATTACCTTCTCCTTGTAGTGATAGGTGCCCTCGACGCGGGCATTCCCGGTGACAGCGACGTCGTAGGTGACGAGGGACCTGATTCGGTTTATTTGCTGCAAATCAAAAAAAAGCTGAAATGTGGTTCGGAAACAGCATGACAAAGGAAGAGGAACGAATGCGCATGGCATTTTGCAAGGGATAGAGAACAAACTACCACCAAAGCACGTTATACTTGTTTGAGATCTTCTTTTTCAGCAAGTATTTGCGGAGATCCTTCTTCACCTCTGCGCTCTGAGGAGGCCAGCTCATCGTGTCCGATAGCGGCGCTTCGATGTATTGCTGTGCAGTGCGTTTTTGATTTGAAAATTGCGCCAGACTCTTTTCTTGTCATTTTTCAGAGAGAAGCATGAGGTTCGTGGCGCAGCACAAAACTGACATAAAATATCCAGCCCTGATACCTTGAGTTTCCCGGGCTGCAGGCCCTTTTGTGCCGGTGTCCTGACTTTGAAATCCAGCAGCTTCCCTCGATCCTTCACGTCATCACCAGGCTTGTCTGGCACAGCTGCCGCTGCTGTGACGACTCCACCAACGCTGACGGACGAAGACACCGGCTGCAGGGTCATGGCTGATGAAGAAGATGCAACTGCGCTCGCGCCACCGGCGACAACGCCGGACGAAGGGACACTCGCTAATCCACTTCCCGGCGGAGCCACCATTATAGCACTGGTGGATGACGACGCAGGCGCCGAGCCCACAACTGGTGTAGCTTTTGCAATACCGACGCTCCCTCCATAGTTGTTCATTTTCCCTGGTGGTAAGTAGCTCGGCGCCGTGACGCTGCTGCTGCTACCTGCATAGGGGTTTGTGGCGGTAGATCCGGCGTACGTGTAGGAGCTTGTCGTCACACTCGCCGTAGCTCCCGCTGACATGCTCGGTGGCCGGTAAACGGAAGGTGCGGGCGTGGAGGAGGCCGAAGCAGTGCCTCCTGGTATTATCTCCTCTGGAATTGCATCCAAAGAGGAACTGCCGGCAGCAGCTGGCGGTGCCGGTGCGGCTGCCGCCGTGTATGCCGACGGTGGCGGCGGTGCCGCGTAGGTGGACGCTGTGATTGCGCCAGGTGTGTACGACGAACCGGTTGCTGGTTTGTAAATCGATGAGGACGAAGATGACGATGTTCCTGCGCTCCCATAGCCCCCTGCTGTGAAGGACGTGCTACCTCCAGTCGCTGAGGAAGCATAATTACCAACTGAAGAAGCTGTTGCCGTAATGCCGCCGGGTCTGTACCCAGTTGTGATCCCACTTACGCTAGGAACAGATGCAGAACTTGAAGCCGCGGGGCGAAGTCCGGTGAGGCCGCTGGTGTAGGAAGTTGGGCCGGAAGTTGATGAAGACGAGGCGGATCCGCTGGGAGTAGCTGTTGTGGCAAGATTCGTATTTTCTTCAGATTGAAATAAACATAAACAAAGCCGATTGCAGATTCATATCAATGTGAAAGAAAAATGTAGTGACGTATTTGACTTTGTGAATGATCAACGGACTACTTCGCAAGTGCTACAACACAAGATTGTCGAGCAGTACGCTTTGCAAGGCTTCCCGCGAGGCCTCCAGGCATTCCGCTCAAGGAGGATCCACCGGGAGGTCCCAGCCCACTGGGAATGCTACTTGTGAAGTTTTTCTTCATCGTTTTGTCCTTTTAGACAAGTAGTTTGAAACTCCACTACAGCTCTACGCCGACATTCCGAACGAAAATTATCAGGAGGGCCTCTTCATCTGCAAGCCATTTTTTTGTCAGGACTTCATCTGCGACGATTTGGCTCACTTATTCTCGCTTGAAAGCTGCAACATAAACGTCACACACGAAGACGATGAGGATGATAAGAAAGGAGAAAAAATAAAAGAACCTTTCTCATCAACGACACCTCACGTCATCGGCTCCCTGCCTTTACCTCCTCTCGATTTACCAGCCACAATTTTGCACTCCACGACCTCATTTCAATCTCAAAATGCCAAACCTCTCGCCACTCACAACACGTGAGCACCCCAACACCTCATTGTCTCATTCAAAGTTTGCTCGCATTCGTTGCCTTGAAGTTCAAGCCTGGCCATGTTGCTCAGACTTGCAGCGACATTCCGTTGCTTTTATACAGCAGAGAGAACAAGAACCTTGTGTACAAGATGCACCAGAGGTGGAGGCCAATGACTGAACAACACCGCTCCGGGCGCTGCGCTGCCACCTGTGTGAGCGCGGCAACCTCGGTCTACTTACTTCTGAAGCCAAACTGGTGGGGCCGAGCGAGCGAGGGGCAAGAAGCAGGCTGCGCCCGTCCGAACGAAAACTGACGGCGCGCCCCTCCTCTGATCGGGCAACGCCCAGCCGCAATTGTGCGCGGGCGCCGCACACACACACACGGCCACCAAGCGGGGCCAGCGGGGCCAGGCCGTTGCACGGCCGACAAACAATAGCAGAAGAGTTTATAGAATCCCGGGTCCCAGGGTAGGGAGGACCAGGGAGGGGATTTTGCTATATAAAACCGAAAACCGAAAACCGAAAAATCATAAAAACCCCAATCGCGGCGGTATGATGCTCTTTAACAATTTGCGCGAGTTTTCCATGCGGAATATACTCAATCTCCATGGTAGTGCGATGTCGGGAATGCGGCGACAAAAGACAAAGCTATAAGGCGACGCGATGGCAGAGGCAAAGCTACCCTACAAACGGACCGCGCAAAGCTTTTCAAAAATATTTCAACAATAAATTTCCAGCACATACACAAAGTTTGCCCCTGATCCACATCCAACCGCCCCGGGCTTTGGACTGTTTTCTCCCCCGCGGGTTAGGCACCCTGCCCGCATTAGTTCCAAGGTCTTTACTCCCGTGCCACGCCGTCATGACTAAATAATGGCTATGCCTATTGAGTAATGTTCTGCAGGACACGGCGGCGCGGCGACCGATAAAGGAAAAGCAAGACCAAGACCCACGGCCCCTCTGGACCCGAACTACGCGAGAGGGCCCAGAGAAAGCCGCGCGCGGCAGGCCGGGCACGGCCCGCCCGGCTGTCACAACGGTGCCCATAGCATGGGCGCGCACATGGGGTGGATGCCCGGGCCGAGGCCCACTGCCGCCCAACTTTTGGCGGGCCCCACCCCTGCTCTTTTTGCCAGTCTCCTCATTAGGGCGGCGGCATGCAGCTTCTCTGCTCCATCCTTCCTCGGGCCCTCGCCGGCAGTTCGGCCGCCGAGCTGGTTTGCCTGCGTGGGTGCGTGCCCACCGCCATTGCGACCGACCGGGCGAAGTCAGTCAGTCCAGTGGGCAAAATAAGTGGCGCCACCCTTCCTGCGGGCCCCTTCGCCCACGCACGCCTGTCCTGGGGCCGGCCCCTTTTTCGTGCCCGCCCGCGCGGGCGGGGCGCGCCACGCAGGCAGTTTCTGGCTAGGGCGCGGGCGGTACACCCGCACGCCGAGTGCGTGGGACACACGCACGGGCCGGGCAATACAAGGAGCGAAGGCCCGGGGCCCCCGGCGAAATGGACGGGCGCGCGCCGGGGCGGACGGAGGCGGGCCAACAGGCCGCCTGGCTGCCCCGAAGCACAAGGCCGGCCAAAAGACTGCCATGGGGCGGCGCGGAGGGCAGGGCAGAAGCGAAAGCCGCCGGGGCGGGCTCGGACGGCAAAGGGCAGACTGGCCCGCCTCCCTGGCCGCGCTCTGCGGCGCACCCTTTCCCCGGGGCGGGCCAACGCCTCCAATATGCGGGCGCGCCTCCCGTGCGGCGGGCCCGGGCAGACGCACCAACGCGGAGGCCGCAAGGCGGGCCCCCCCGTTCTTCTTTTTTCTGGAAAAACTGGAAAGAGCACGGCAGGGGCCTCCCGAATATCTCCCCGAAGCCTTCCCAAAATTTTCCAAAGCCAATAGAATGAAAAGCCAACGCAGAAAACACCCGGCGCCCCCTTGAAATACTTTCTTTCGGAAGCACTCACTGCGCTGGGCCGCGGCGGGCCAAAGCCGCCCGGAGCCATTCCGGACCCCATCCCCAGCGAGCATAGCTACAAAAGAAGCCCGCGCCTATGCCGGGGCGGGAATGGAACACCACCAGCCCCCCTAGCCCGCCCGAATGAAATAGCCGCCGGGGCCTTGGGGCGACCGCGGGCGGTCGCTCGGGTTGGGCCGGGCGCTGCGCACAAGGCCGCGGAGGCCAGAGAGACGCTTGCCGCTTGCGGCCGGCCGCAAGAAGCCTCCGGGCTTCGCGCGCAAAAGCCAGCGGGCGCCGGGCCCCCGGCGCGCGGCTGTTCTTTCACTCTGCAACAAAAAACCGGCGGGGGGGCCTGGCCCGGGCAACTTCTAACGACCCACCCAAAGGGCGGCGCGGCCCACCCGGGGTGGCGCAGGGGCCAAAGCCCGGGCCCAGTCAAAAGCTAGCGCAGGGGGGGCCTTAGCCCCCGCCCCCGAGTTGCTTCGCCCGCGATCGCCAAAGAGCCGCAATACCCTACAGCACCAACGGACGCACCCACTGGCGCCGCGGCAAGGTCAGCGGGAGGTATTTGCGTGCGCCCGCTGCCATCCTGGCTCCTGGGCCAAGTCGCCTCCCCGCCGGCCTGCCATTTTGCCCGGTCGCGGGCGACCTCACTCGCGGGACGGACCTCCCGAAGGCTGGCCTGCAAAAACCGCGCGGGGCCCCGCCTTGCCACAACGCCCCCGCCCCGCGCTGCTCTGCCAACATCGCGCGCGCGGGGCGCTGGTGACCCCAAAAGGGCCACCGACACAACAAAGGGAGCGGGCGCCCCTGGGCATGGCGAAAAGCGCAAGACCCACGAAGGGCAGCCCTTTCGGTGTTTGTACTTAGTGCCAGGCGGCTCCAAATAAAATTGGGCCCGGCGGCGCGCCACGCCGGAGTGTCTTCCCAATGCCAAACGCGACGCGAGCTGGGCAGCCGAGGACACGGCACGCACAAACGGCGCCCCGGCTGGCGGGCAACAGACACGCCAAGAGCTTGGGGCTTTGGAAACTTTTTGGAAAGTGGGTGGGGAACTTGCGCTACCTAACAGGGGTCGCCACTTGTGCGCCCCTTGCTCTGCGCCATGCTCTACGAACAGAGAGCGCGTCTGGATTCAGCTCCCGGGAGCGAAGTCCAGCCTTCCTCCCTCGGACCCAACTCCCGGCGAAAACTGCACGGCGGCGCGACTTTTGGCGCCTGAGTTTTATGGCTATGGCGCTCGCCTGCGTGGCAGCTTGCCAAAGTCAACGGCTGGCAAGCTGTAGCGCACAAATGAGGCTGAGGGGCCAAGGAAGTGCGAAGCTGTTGAAGTGGCTTTCTCAACTCTCAGTAGCTTTATTCTCCTTCGTTTCTGCGTTACAAATGCAGAAATGAAGGACAAAAGAAACGCGAAGAGCTTTCTCCTGTCCTTCGTTTCTGCGTTACAAATTGCCATCATGATTGGCAAGCTGTAGCGCAGAAATGAAGGGCAAACTATTGAAGTGGCTACTCCAACTGTCCTCCATCGGAAGAAAGTTGAAAAAGTAGCCACTTCGATAACAACTGCATGACAAATTGCCACAGTAGTGGCAGTTGTTGAAATTGAACAACAACGCAAACGCGTTCAAATTATAGCCACTGCAGCAAGAATTATCTGTGTTGTTGTTCAGTTTGCAACTTGTCACGCAGCTTTTGATGAAGTGGCCACTTCAACTCTCCACCAGAGTGTCGTGAGCAGCTGCGCGACACGTTGCAAACTGAAGCTGGACAACGACGCCAATTGTTGAAGTGGCTATGTCAACAATTTGCGTCGTGTGCGAGCAAAAATTGTGAAAGTGGCCACTTCAGCAGTTCGGGTTCTGCGAATTGTTGAAGTGGCCACTTCAGCAATTCGGGTTGTGCAAAATGTTGAAATGGCCACTTCAACAAAACCCGAATTGCTGAAGTGGCCACTTCAACACTTTGCACAATTATTTCAACAATTTGCACAACGCAAATTGTTGAAATAGCCATTTCAACAATTTGCACAACCCAAATTGTTGAAGTGGCCACTTCAACAATTTGGGTTGTGCAAAGTGTTGAAATGGCCATTTCAACAATTCGGGTTCTGCGAATTGTTGAAATGGCCACTTCAACAATTCGGGTTCTGCGAATTGTTGAAGTGGCCAGTTCAACAATTCGGGTTGTGCAAAATGTTGAAATGGCCACTTCAACAATTCGGGTTCTGCGAATTGTTGAAGTGGCCACTTCAACAATTCGGGTTGTGCAAAATGTTGAAATGGCCATTTCAACAATTCGGGTTCTGCGAATTGTTGAAATGGCCACTTCAACAGTTCGGGTTGTGCAAAGTGTTGAAATGGCCATTTCAACAATTCGGGTTCTGCGAATTGTTGAAATAATTCGGGTCGTGCAAAATGTTGAAATGGCCATTTCAACAATTGCAATTTAGGGTTTTGTTGAAATGGCCATTTCAACACTTTGCACAGCCCGAATTTTTGAAATCATGGCCACTTCAACAATTCGCAGAACCCGAATTGTTGAAGTGGCCACTTTCGCAATTTTTGTTCAATTTCAATAAATTGTCACTATTGTGGCAATTTGTCATGCGCTTGCTATTCAAATGGCTACCTCAACTCTCCGCGAAGTTGAAGTAGCCACTTCAACACAAGCTGCGTGACACGTTGCAAACCCAAGCCGAACAACAACAAGAACGCAAATTGTTGAAGTGACTACTTCAAAAATTTGCACAGCGCAAGTTTTTGAAGTGGCAACTTCAACAGTTTGCCTGTGCGAATTGAAGTAGCCACCTCCATAACAACTGCGTGACAAGTTGTAAACTGAACAACAACGCAAACTGTTGAAGTGGCTACTTCAGCAATTTACTGCGTCGCTGTTCAATTTCGTCACGCAGTTGTTATTGGTATGGCTATCAGAAAGCTGAAGGGGCCTTGGCTTGAAAGTTCGCCATGCCATCGGTGAACACATTTTTAAAAAATGCCCGATGCTTTTTCTATATAGACGCGAACGCTCCTCCCTGGTCCTCCCTGGTCCTCCAGGGTCCTCCCTACTCCCTGTCTATAAATTTCTCTGCAATAGACACCAAACGCCTCCCAAGGGCCCCAGGCCGCTGCGCTTTTCTGTGTCGTGGAAGGATGGGGGCAGTCGCTGCGGCCCCCAATGCATGGCGGCCGCCCGCGGCCCGGCCCCGGGCCCAGCGGCCAAACAGATCTGCCCATGGCGCCCCGCCAAGCTGTCCAAAAAGCCACAACGCGGGCCCCGCTCCCCGGCCTCTATCTTCGACGTCGCCCAGGCGCTCTCTGCGAGTACACAAACTCGCAGAGCCGCTCCGCCACGTGTCCGGCGCTGCCCCGAATGCCACTGGGTCGCGTAGATTCCACTGGCGACACCCATGCAGAAGGTGAAGGGTCCGGCTTTCCGCCGTTGATGGCCAAACGAAAACACGGCGCCACCAATGGCCCGGCTGTCGGTCCTCTTTCGGCTGTTGCTCCGCCGGCCCGCATGTGGTATGATCCATGCAACTGCTTGCGACCCAGGCCCGCGGGGTCGCCAGGCACTGCGCTCATGTGCGCCGCCCGGGCTTCACGTCTGTCGACACACAGCCACCGGCGACGCGGAAAGCTACCAAGAAGTTCACAAGAAGCGCTTCATTTTTTTGGATCTCGCTCTGTCCTCTGAACATTGCTTGTGGCACTGAGGCTCTCGAGAAACGTCGGACACTCAAGATTGAAACGCATAGCAGGACTTTTCTTTTGCTGCATGTCTCAAGTCCTCCTCGAAGATGAAACTCGCCGCCAGTTCGGAACAGCGACGCCTTCTCAGCCAAACACAAACTAGAGGGAAGTTCGAACACATGCAGGCAGAAACCACGCGTAACAATATTCTGTGACTGTTGAAATTAGAGACTAGCTCGAATACGAGCGTCTAAACCTCAAAGAATGGACTTCAGGATGTCAAGACAGCAGTTCTAACGGTCGCAAAAGTTTCCAGGAGTTGTCCTCTGTAGGTTGCTCGTGTCGTCCCACTCTAGTTGCAGTGCTTGTAGAATTTGCGTTCGCCGTAGCTTCTACTTCAGAAGCCGGGTCATACTGTTTCGCAAGTTGTCTCAACGCGGCTCCGACAGTGTTGTTCCGCTTGCCGTGCTGAGTTCGCTCGTTCGGATCCGGCACTCGCTCGCTTCCATATTGCTCGTGGTGACCTCCACCGCCGAGGTATTGCGCATCGGCATCGTCGTGGGTTTCTCCAGCATGATCATCTCCCAGCAGTTCTTCGCCATTCGCGTCTCGCTGCGTTGCGGGAACCAGCGGTGAGTCAATTTTCGCCACCAAGTCCCGCGTGATGTCCTTGATGTTCACCCGATCGTGGATGCCGGTCGAATTATGCAAATGCGCCACACCGTACTTGTTAAAAACCCTGCTCCGCGAGTCCGTCAAATCCAGCCGCACCTCCGTCTGAAACCTCGCGCAGTCCTGCCGCAAAGCTTGCAAATCGAGGTAGAAACTCTGTTTCGCCTGCGTCCAGAAATTTTTCGCGTCGTGCTGGAGCGTTTGCTTCAACCGCAGAAATTTTACTTCCAATTCGCGGTACTTCTGATCCAGAATCACCTCTCTCTGTTGCATCTTCTTGTTCTGACTGTCAAATGCAAGCTGGAGGTCCGCGGAAAGGTGAATCTGGGCGGTTGGGTCACCGTTGTAAGCCGTTTCGACTGCGGAAAGCGGAGACGGTACCTGTGGGGTTTTGGTGATGATGAAAGAGGTATTTGTTTTTTGTTTTCTCGTACGATTATTTGACCCATGTCTTAACACCAGAACCATCAAAGTAGACGAGGGTACGCATCCACGCAACAAATGAAAACCTAATCGTTCCAAAATATACTCTTACCACCGCCCCTCCCGTCGCCTGCAGGTAGTTCGCCGAGGAGCCGGGAAACGGGAACGCCAACTCGAGTTCCAATTGCGCCAGCCGCTCGCGCATCTTCTTGACTTCCTCCGCGACAAAGCCGGTTATTCTCGTTTCCGCTTCTTCCAGCTGCTTTTGATGGATCGTTCCGCCGTGAAGCTTCGATTGCGCCAGCGCCGCAGTGCGGAGTTCGCGGACCTGGGTCTGCAGGGAGCGGACCTCTTTCGCGTTATTTGATAGCGCCACTGTATTCTGTCCTGTTGGGTGCAGCTGCTGATGCTGGAGAGGTGACGAAGGATCTTGTCCAAGAACCACCGTGGGCGAAAGTGCTGCTCTCGTCGCATCCTCTGGATGGTTTACAATCCCTGTCTTGCTGTTGAACAACCCGAAAGGCGATAGGACTCTCGTTGCAAGCGCAGGCGAGTTTGTTTCCGCCGGGTTATTCACGCTCTCCAAAATCTTGTCAACCTCCCGGGTCGTTGTACTGGCTGACGCAAGAACTTTGTTTCCTTCCAGCGCCTCGTTGATCTTCTGCGCCATCTGCTGCAAGTCATCTTCGTACCAAACCACCACCGGCGCAATGGCCGTTTCGATTTCGCCTAATCTGCCTTCGTAGGTTGCGCACTTCCGCAGCAAATCCTCAATCCGATTGGTGTTCACGTTTTCCTTCAGTTCCAGCCGGCTCTCCAGGTCGTCAACTCTTTCGAGAAGCTGCGTGTGAGCAGAATCATGGCTAGCACGATCAGGCTGATGAAGTAGGTCCGTGCCAGTTCCTGCGAAGGCGGAGGAAGATGACGCTCCTTCCAACCCGTGGCTTTCGACCTTCTGGATTCTCGCGAGGAGCTCCGCGACGCGTCCTCCAGTTGTCTCTCCTTCTTCACGAAATAAAGCGTCCTTCAACAACTGTTGAGAAGATTCGCTGGTCTTCACTTCCAATTGCTTCTGGATTTCCGCTCGCACAAACTCCGTTGTCGTTAAATCCACGATCTGCGCCACCTTGCTGTCCAACTCCGCCGCGAACTTCGTTTCCATCACAGCAACCCTCTCTTCCACCTCTCGAGCCACAGTAGCCGCAACGACGTCCGCAAGCTTCTGCTCCACGTTTTCGCGGATGATCTGCTCGATCGTCCCGTCGTAGATCCCATCGAGCTTTTTTCCCACGACCTGCAGCGTGATTCGGAGCGAATTCTTGATCTCCTTGACGTAGTTCTGGAGAAATTCCAGCAACGGCTCAGGAATCGTTTTGCTCGCAATTTCCAGTGCGCGGATCGCAAATTCCTGTTCCCGCTGCCTGTTGTCGAGCGACTGGAGGTTTCTTTTGAGTTCCTTCTGCTGCAAATACAGTCCCCGGACAATCTCACCCTCCTCGCTGTGCAGAAAGGCATCTTCGAGGTGCTGCTGATGCTTCGATTTTCTGTTCGCGGCGGAAGGGCTTCGGCTATGCTGACTGGCGGTTCTGGAACTGCTACCAGCTGCACCTGGTCCTCTTCGGAGGATCGGGACGCGACCGTGACCATCCTCTGTGGGGGTGGTCGTGGGGTGCCCATGCCGGTCATATTTGTAGGGGCTGTGCTCGTGCTGCGTCGGCGATTCCTTGGTCGATACGGCGGGCGAGTGAGAGTGCCCGCGTGCTCTGGGGCGGTGGAAGCTGCTCGCTGCTGGGGGATGGGGATGATTTGCCGTGGACATGCAAGAATAAAGTTAAAGATCAGACAGGACAGTTATGTCATTCTGAACTTGGTTCGCGTGTTGAGCTTGTTGAGGAGCATAGTTCTGCTTGGATGTATCACTATCTCTTCTCCCTCTATAAAAGACGCCGCCCTGTGCGTCGGTAGTGCTTTTTGAGGTTCTCGTTCCCCATCTATTTCTCTCGCTCCGCAGGTCATCGCTTCGTTAGGTCCGAGCGCTAGAGGGGGGCGTGCTATTTCCAGGAGCCTGGAAAGGCTTTGCCAACGCCATCAATTGCAATCGCTCAAGAGAATCGCGCTCGTTGCGACTCCGGCAGAGTGGACAAACAAGTTGTGCGCGAAAAACACATAGGACACGGATGTGAAAAACACACACGAAGCGGGGCACCTGTCCGGAGAACTCGCATTCTTGAGGCGAATGCGCACATCCTTTCTGCGCCGACTGAATGGGCGGCGTATGTTGATGGGGTCGATCAGAACATTGCGTCCGAGGCCTGGCAACCTCAAGCTCCACAGCCTGGATGGTTGTAGACGACGGCGCCGCCACGCACAACAACACGGCCCCGGCTGGGGGTGGGGATTCTCGCTGAACGGCCGCGGGCGAGCGGGCATTGATTGGCGCCCGCGCGCCCCACACCGACATAGGCGCACCGAGTGCCGAGGAGGGGTCGCCAAGAAAGAAGCTCGCGCGCGTGCACCCGGGGCCCGGAGGGAGCGGGCAGCCGGTGGCGCGCGCATACGGGGCACAGACAGGCAACGACTGGGCCGCGGTTGGAAGGGCCTGCCGCCCCATTGGCCGGATCCCGCGGGCGCGCGGACTTACGCAGCCGCGCGCGCGCGCGCAATTGCCCAAACAAGATAGACGGAAAGGGCGGGCGCCAGGCCCCCCCGGCCCAGGGAGGGGGGCTCCCACTGGCGCTGTGCTTGGGTCGGTGCTTGGATCGCCGGCGCGCTCTGCCTTCCGTCGGCCGCGCATCATTCTCATTTGCCGGGTGCGGATGTTTTCTAACTCTTTCGCCCCAGTGGCCCAAGGGACCACGCCGGGGCGTCCCGCCCTCGGTTTGCCAGCCCCCCGCCCCGCCCCCCCGCCCGGCGTCCGCGGCGGGCGCGCAGGTGATCCCGGCGCCCTGTGCTGTTTCTTCCGCCTGGCGCGTCGCGCCCGATGTGTCTGAAGGCGCCCGCGAAGCCCAGGCGCGTGAAATCCGCCGAGCAGAAGTATCCGCCAGACCTCCCTCGTTGTCACATGGATCGAGGAGGAGTTGCGCCCCACGCCCTCTTTCTCGCGTCGACTCTTGCGAGAGGGATGGGGGGCACCGCTCCGCGCCGAGCACTGGGCGACTGCACAGCGAAGACCTTTGCCCGGCTAACTCGGCCCCTAAGCGGAGGAGTTGCCGAGGGGTTTTTGGCCAAGGCGTGCACGAGGTAGGCGAAAATGCCCGCCGCAATCAGAAATATGCCGCGACACTTGAGCACCAGCCGGGATTTGGCCCGAAGGTGCGCGCTACCAACCACACCGCCGGCCAGGAAGTCCCGGCGCGGATCGGGCAACCCCTTCCGGCCTTTCTGCGTCATATACTAACGCCCCCGGGCATTCTGCGCCCCGGGGTGCGACGAACCGGCCGGCCCGGCAAGGGGGCGCCCAATTTGTGGCGGCGCCAAGCGCCCGGGGCTTCAATCAATCACGACCGAAACCGGGGGGGCCGCGCGCCTCCAAGCGAGCCCCATCGGGCCGCACGGCGGCTGCCAGGCAAAAAGGCGCGGATGTCCGCGCGCCTAAAAGGCTTCCGGGGCCCTGGGTGGTCGGTGGCGCGCAAGGCCCTCAACCGGGTGGGCCGACACCCGCCCGCGATGCGATTTCCCGCGATTCCTGTGCAGATTCCTGCTTCCACTTCTCGAATTCATTGCGTTCTTCTTCCGTCGCCACAGTCGCAAATTTCCGGCGCTCACTGTGTGAGCAGGGTGCGTGTATCAACCTGCAGGCCGCGGCACTTTTTACGCGCCATCTTCGAAAACAAGAGCCGAAGATGGATTGATAGACGCCAAAGGAGGCCAACCAAAAAAATGGGCGCCACGAAGAAGATAAATAATCCAGCGGCCGCCTGGCCCCGGGTGCGCGTCTAGTTCTCCGCGAGGGACAGCAATGGCGCGGCACGGCCGTGGCACGCAAAAGCAGCCAAATGCCCTGGCGGCTGCGCGCTTCTTTTGGGCAAGCGATGCCAAAGCCCCTCCCCTCATCCCTCTAATTTTTTTGGGCCGCCGCCGCGGCGATCCACGTGCGCCCAGGCCTCCAAAGGCGCGCCCGCTCAAACATGCCGCGGAGCACTACAGGCGCGGGAACGTGGTGCGGTGTCCGTGCGCTCCCTCGGAAAAATTCGAAGAGATAAAACCATACCTACGCGCGCAGGTGCGCCGCGATGGAGTCGCACTCAGATGGGCATCATGAACACATGACTCTTTCGGAAACAGGGCACAGGTTGCTCGTACGGGAGGAAGATTCTGTCAGCCGCAATACCAATAGCGACGTCCCGCCAAATATTATCGGATGTATCTTTCGAAGACATGGTTTCGAGGGAAAGAGGAATGAGTTTCACTGGTACTTTGATCGCGGATAGTTGGAAAAGTACTGCATGTTGTCGTGGACACATTCACACTATTATAAAAAAGAAGTAGATGGTGATGGTGCTTTGTCTTTGCTTATTGTTCTGTCACTTGGATGAGCGAAGGCGAACAGTAGGCGAGTCCGTTTTTCAGAATGAATTCGATGACGATGATGCTCGTTTTTTCCTGAAGCTTCACCCTTCGAGAGACGGAGGCTCTTCATCCAATGGAAAAACCGTCCGTCGTTGTACATGCTGCAGAGGTCTTCATCTTCTTACCTGAGAGTGAATAGATTTTTTTTTCCTTTAATTTAAAGTTCCTGCATATTGACTCAAAGTCCCCTTCCTTCACGATACAGTATCACTTCTTTCAGCAGCACTCTATTAATTGGATGTGCAAGAGGAAAAGGAATAAAAGTCCGATGAAATTATCTTACGCACCTCATCCTCATTTCCAGTCATCCATCTTGTGCCAACTCCCCTCCGAGCTGTCCTTGTCGTCCTTGACAATACCGGATCCCGCACTGTTCGCACTCCCTCCCCAGTTTTTCGAGCTCCAACTCTCGTCGTTTCCCCAATGTGACGAAGAGGAACCCCCCGCGGCGTCGTACCAGGAGGAGCTCGCGCTCGAATTCCAGTCATCACCGTAATTTGACGTGTTGCTCCCCCAGTCGGAATAAGCAGAGGAAGTCGCACTCGCACCCGCTCCATAGCTGTTCGCACCTTTGTTCGAATCAGCCTCGTTGTCTCCTGTTCCTGTCATAACTCTATCGCCTTGCTTCGGGGCATACTTTTCTTCCCACCAAGACGTCGCGTTTCCGTTCCAGTCGTCGTACGTCGAGGATGAAGATCCGGCGCCGCCACCACCAGCTGTGGAAGCGGTGGACCAGTTGTCTCTTTCAAGAGCCCTAGTTTCCGCAGCGCGTCCTCTGTTTCGGTCGTGGGTCACTGAGGAGCAATTTGACCCCGTAGTTGCAACAGTGCTGCTCGCAACACTCGCACTCGACGCGGCTGGATTATTCCCCGTTGCTGTTTCACCATTGACAGGAGGTCGTGCCTTCGACGAGGACTTCTTATCGGCGATAGCAGTCTTGAGCACCGGCAGTGCCTCGTGCTTCAACATGTCGTAAAAATCTTTCAGCTCTGCCTTGCTGGAAGGGCCGTAGTTGTCCTTTTTCAGCAACCAATCCAAGATGGTAGACCTGGGGTTTTGGTGGGGGTACAGTGATGCAGTCTGTCATATTGCACGTGAAAGACACTGAATTTGCTCAGTGCTAGTGCTCGAAAGCAGAAAAAAGTCTTCTATCTACTTACGGCGTGAAATGCTTCTCCGGTGCCGCGCCACGGTCCTGTGCAGCAGCCGCAGCCGCCTGCTCTTTCTGTTTTTGCTTGTTCAATTCGTTCTGTAAATCCACACACTCCTGCCTGGTCCTCTGGTGGTCTGCCATTTCCTTGCTCAGTGCCCGTTCACATGCATCCTTGTCATTCCGTAGTTCTTTCAGTTCCTCTTGTAGCGCATCAATACGCTTCGCCGCATTCACATTCATCGGGGTGTTCTGTTCGGCGGTGGCCCTTGCTTGGAACGTGTTTGTTGGAGGAGGAACAGCACTTCCTACCGGTGCCCGATGCAGCTCGGGCTGATGGGCCAAAGGCTGGCGGCCAGTGGCGTGCGTGTTGCTGTACTGGGTGGCGCTCGCACTGTAGCTGGAAGCGGTACCTGGTCAAACGTTGTCTGGCAACGGTATCTATGTACGTGTTTGCAAGACATATCATTTTCATGAGAAGTACTTTGGAGTGCTTGCGCTCGTAAGTACATCAACATGTGCATCGACGGCATGCATAGAAAGATAAAAATCCGAGAAGTACCGTAAGAAAATCCCCCTTGTGCACTCGATCTGTTACATCCGGTCACACTGGATGCGCCCGTTACTGAAGATCCTCCGCTCGGGTTGTGTTGCACTTGTTGCAAGTTTGCAGCGACCAAGTGTCCAGTAGCGCCGGGTTGCTGTAGTTTTTGGATTTGGTGCGAAGAATTCATGAACATGATCTCAGGTTGTAAAAGTTAAATTGATCTTTCTCTCATTGCGAGATGAAAATGCGCTTTGGCACAAGCTGGGACGACAAAACAGCGGCTGCGCATGAGCGGTAGAAAGAATGAAAAACCCGACGAGTGGCAGCTTATCTATCAACAGCTTATACCAGCCCATCCCGAATGCTTCCCCACTTTTTGAACCCTTTCGGCACGTTTACCCCTTCGGCGATCTCCTCGCAGCGCAGCGGCAGCGGCATGTTTTTGCAGCGGTATTACAATGAAAAACGCCCCCCACCCCAGAATTTGCAAAAGTTTCTGATGCAAAGTTTCGCAATGAAAACTTTTTGTCTTGCATGAAAGGATTAGGAGTCTTTCTGGTGCAGAGTTTACATCTAGGCTCGCAAGGTATCTCTTGCATTAGAGATTCGGCTGGTGCAAGGCTCTTTGCAATCCAAATTTGAGCTCTTCAGGATGGAAAATAATTTGTGATGCTGATACATGCAAGACGGGGAATGTTTCTATTGGAAAGGTTTGCAATGCAACTGCTGCCAAGTTCTGGGGTGCGGGCATTTTTCACTGTAATAAGCGGCGCCGGCTCTTCTCGATCATGTCCGGCGTCATGGTTTCCAAGGTGAACCGTATCAAAAGTAAAAGTGTCTGGGTCTGGAAACTTGTGATGCTGGGTGGGTGGCGTCTCATGATGAGGCTACAGATGCTGGCTCAGCATGACAAGTTTCTGAGCTCCTAGGTGTTGCCTATTCTGCATGACAAACTGCGCTTCTGCATCACAGAAAAACGGAGCTCTTGGGTAACGTGCATCACAGATTTAAGGGTCATGCCAGACAAGCATGACAAACATGAATTCTTCCTGACCCAGACATTTTTACATTTGATAAACCGGTCCAGGTTGTCATACGCCAGTCCCTTCCGGTGCGTGTTGGAGTTGGGCGTGTGGGAGCCGTTGATCTTCGTCGGCTTGCTCCACTGCGCATAACAGAGCCTGCAGCGAAGCTCTGGCCACCCATTGTGGTCGATCAGCTCGTAGTACTGTGGATTTGTAAACAATTCCATCAGATACTCGGGCTCTTCGATCTTCCCGTCGTAATCCCACTGCGTCTTCGGGATTGGCCTTCCGTAGCAATCGATCGGCTTCAGGGAGAAAAGATCAATCTCCTCTTCCTCCACATCCTCGCAAATGGTTGACATGTTGTTTCCACCATGACCGCGAAACGCCGCGCCCTGAGCAAACTGCTGCTGGTTCATTGCGGATGCGGAGCTCGGCCAGGCGGACGAATGATACGAAGTTGCGGAGGAGTGGCTGTTATAGCTGACCTCGGACGACATCGTGGTGAAAAGCATGTCTGAATCAAAGCAATAAATTTGAGATAGTTCTGTATGTTATTTACGCAACTCTATAGCGCGAAGCGCTGAGCAAAGCATCGGGATTGAGAAGCCACGACAAGCGATCACATGCTTCTACGCAGCAAACGAAACTATGAAGGTACATCCATTGTTTTATTGCGTTTCAACGCAAAGAAAAACTGACCATGTGTACTAGCTGCGCTAAATCGTATATGTAGGAGACGTTCGGCGGTGTCCGAGCTGAAAGTGAACAAGTTTTGAAGATCTTTTGACCCAGACCTGCACACTATCTCCATAAAACGCGTGTCGTCATCGTAACCGGAGTAGCAACTGGCGTTGCTTGACCCACCTCCGCCATTCGACGTCGTGAAACGTTTCTCCTCTTTAACCGGGCGCGGCACGAAGGACCGGTCGACCTCCTGCGCTGCGATGGCGCCACCGTCCGTGGGTTTGCAGACCGTTCCGAACTTGTCCCGGTAGTTCATGCCGTCAGTGGGGAAGGGGATCGCCCCCTGCTCGATTTTCTCGAGATATTTGTTTTTCAGTTCGTAGGATTGCGTCTGGACGTTCGACCGGTGCTTCGAAGCGACCAGGTGGTCGTTTCCGGCTTGTTTATTACACAATAAACAATACACCTGCGATAGTACGAAGAGAGCAGAAGTTTGACCGTTTCCTGGTGGAGAGGACACAGCGTCCACTCGGTGTTTCTTTGTTCCAGAACAAACACGTTGATGGTGGATACATTTACCTAGCGTTCAATGTCGACATGGCAAAAATTCCAAGAAAAGTTCAAGCGCTCATCCAATAGATACGTGCGCCTGCCACGTGCTGCTCCACCGGTTTTCGAAGCAGTACGGCATGGCGATGATCCGCCATTTTTCCGGGACGTGGGTATCGTCGGGTTTGGAGCAAAACTTCTTTCCCAAATGGTCCACGACGAGAATCTCCTGCTGGTTCAGGTGGTTCAAATCGAAAAATGTTGCGTCGTCCACCATGGTAAAGGCGGTACTAGTGGGACCACCTCCGAAGCGGAGGTCGGTTTACCTGCAAGAACGGGACGATGTGATAAAACGGGACGATAGCCACGTCTTGACGGCTTCTGCAGGAACGTGGCGGAAACCTCGGCGTTCTCCTGCTGCACACGTCCGTCGAAAATCTAAGTACCTCCGTAAGTGAATTTACTTAAAGTGAACAAAAGCACTTTGGCTTTATTTGTCGTTGGAGAGATTTCAGTTACTTCGTTCAATTTGGAGTAGAACAGCTTTACAACGAAAGAAGTAGTAGCAACTCGAAAAACATCATAAAAATATTCAAGAAAATCGGCGATTTTCATCAGTGGTGTGTACATGTAGTCGATCTAGATGAAGTACAAGTCTAGCGTGTATCATCTCTACTTGCTCCAAGCGTGAATATTGCTATTGTGTAGCAATAACAAGAACGGTAGACCTGTATGATCCAGAACCAAGATCCATATCCAGCAATAGCCCCGGAGAAGAAAAATCCGTTGCAAACGATCATTAAGAACCACAACTAGAAGGATCTAGGAAGAGACCCGTATGCAGATCAGACACGGCTGATCTTGGTCTTACTTTCCATTCACAGCGGTACCAGTAGCATCAACGGAGTCTACTTTCAGTGGATCAGTAGCATTAGCATGAGCTTCCACATCAAAACGCTGGCCACCACGACGAACTCCTCCATGTAGCTTAGGTGCAATCTTCCATCTATTCCACAAACTATTTTTCTTCATATACCGTGGGCAAAGAACATAAATGGAACCCGCAAACGAAAAAGCACTGGAGTGCGCGCTCACAACAAAAGCAGGAAATTTCATAATTGAGTGCTCGCTCTTATTCGAGGAGAGAAGCAGATCATGATGAATATAAACGGCTTCGATATTTCCATTTTTCCGCATGATGAGGTAATGTCAGTCCGATGCGTGCTGCCAACACGTGAGGAGGAAGAGGACGATGTTCGGTGAGGATATCATCGATACCATGTGTGTCGAGCGCTTGCGCGGAGCGACTCTCAGTTAACATTCAGCACTGCTCAACATCACTATCTTCAACATCGGAGAAGTGAACTCGCAAAGATGTTTCGGGAGAATGCTCCTTGATGGGATGTCGCTTCTGGGTTTTGGCTTTCTCGTACTCGTTCTCCGCATAAAGATCGCTTCGTCCTGCCGTGTCTTGGTCTTCGCTCTCACCCAACATCCTGCTGCGCTTTTTCTCCTTGTTTTTGTCTTTTTTCCTGGTTCTGGTTGTATTCCTGGAGCTGCTGATCTCTACCTCTACGGCGTCCCGTCTGGATCTCTGCTTTCCTCGTCTCTCTCCCTCGGAGGGTGGCGAGGACTCGTCTGATGAGGATGTCTCAAGAAGAAAGCTACAGCCGCAATCGCCGGCCTCTCGTGCCTTGTTGCCGCTCCTGCCATCTCCACCCGCACCCGCGGCATTCGACATCTGGGCTGAGCTGCTGCCTGGTGACTCCAGCGACTTCTCAAGGAGCATGGAGGCCCCGTCGCTGCCAACGAAACTCGCGTCGCCATTACAAAAGTGGTTCCTCAGCCGTTGCACAGCCTCTGCAAGCTTCTCGACCTGAGGAAGAGTGATCATTTTCTGCGGTTCCTTTCTACCAACCCTCTTCAGCCACTTCGCAACCCCCTCTGGCGTCCATTTTTCTCGTTCTTTGGCAAGGTCGTCGCTCGCGTCCTGTAAGTCTTCCCTGGCGCGCGCGAGCTTCTTCTCGAGCTTGAGCGTTTTAAGAACATGCTTGTGATTCTCTGCCACTACCTGGGATTTCTTTTCCCCCACATCAAAAAGCATCTGCTGCTTCTCTTCAAGCTTCTCATGTGCCTTGTCGAGCTTTTTTTCCGCTATTTCCAGTTTGTCCTGCGCCGCGTTTCGCTCCTTTCGCAAATCGGCATTCTCAGCTCGAAGCCTCTGCAATTCTTCTTGGCCCACCAACGGTTGTCCTCTTTGTCGGTACTGCGTATGATCTTGTTGCTGGGAGAAAGCAGCTGTATTTCTGTTGTGGACTTGTTGAGTACGAGACGGAGGTGCTGGCGTTGTTTGAACTGTGATAGAAGATTTTGGAAGAGAAAATTGAGCATGAAACTATTATCACGCTCATGCGGATGGCGAAGTGTTAAAGTCTCGCTAGCCGATATGGAGTGAAGAACGACACTACCAGGGAACCTCATTGTTGATCATGAAGCTGTAGCTGAACTAAAGCCGATTAATCTGAGCGCATGAATCACGGCCGTGAAAGCGCCCTTACCTGTAGTTTCGGAGTGGGATGAACAGCTCGACGCAGCACTGCTCTCCACATCGTTCGGTACGACTGACGCTGGCGCCGGACGGCACAGCAGCTGTGGGCCACCAACAGACCTACTGGTGGCCATGCTCTGTCCGCCGGTAATACTACTGTTGGAAAAGGGCGGAGCGTCGCCTCGGCGCCGTATTGGATAATTCCCGGCTTGCGAATACCCGACAGGAACATTAACTCCTTCCACCAGCTCCGGAAGCGGCCTGGGCATCCCTTCGCAATTCCGGACGCTTTCTGCAATCTCCTGTTCCGTCATGACTTGCATCCGGTACTTTTTTACAGCGTCGCCCGCCCGGTAGACCGCGTCCTTATGCTTTTTACCGTCCGGCGTATGTGCGTGCGTGATTTTCGTCGGCGGCTGGGGCATGTATTCCATGCAGAGCACACAGCGTAGCTGCGCATACCCGTGGAAGGCGAAGAGCTCGTAGCGCTCAGGGTGGTTGTAGATTTCGAGAAGGTATTCTGGGTGCTCAACTTTCGGGTTCGGTAGATATCGCCATGCGATGTCCGGCGGAATGGGTCTGCCGAATCGGTCGAGGGGCCGCAGCTTTTGCAACTCTCGGTCTGGTGGGATCATATTGGGTCTCTGACCAGCTGCACCTGAAGCGCCGCTTCCGAAATAGGGTCTTACCTGTGTAGTTTCTGTCGCAGCACTACAACTGCTGTAGGACCTGGCACTACTGCAAGAGCTGCCTCCTCCTGCACCTCCGTAGAAAAGTGAACGCTGACCGGCGTCGCTCCGCCCGTACACACTGTAGGCCGACTTCGGGACGTTGTTCGCTTCTCCGCCAAGCGCGATCCCCTCGTCGTCCGTTTCCCTCTCGCTTTCACTATCGCCGAGAAGGGTACAGGACGCAGCAGCGGATTGGCTTCTAGTTCTAGGGCTGCTGCAGCTGCTGGCACCGCTACTGCTCGCCCCAAGAGGTCCCGCTCTACTGCAAGAGGTATTTTTCATGCGAGCACCGCCTAAATCAGGCTTTGGCTGCGGCGGGAAAGCGTCCGGGTGCGTGGACCGGTCCACGACCGATCCGTACCGATCACGGTAATTCAGTCCATCTGTGGGGAACGGGATCTCGCCGCTTTCGAGCTTCCTGCGGTACTCGTTGCGGAGCTCTGCCCCTGCCCAGGGGCGGCGGCGGCGGTGCTCCTGCGCAACAACGTGCTCGCTCGTTGCGATCTTGTTACAGATCAGACACCGGATCTGGTCGTAGCTCTGCTCGAAAACGTTCACGTAGGCCCAGGGCTCCGCCGGGATAAGCCACTTGTTGGGTGCCATCGTCTCATCGGGGATGAGGTCGGTGAAAATCCAAGGATAAAACTGTGCATAGTGTAAACTAATTGTCTTTGGCGGAAAACAGCATAGCATGACAAACGAACCTGTCATTCATGACAGCGAAAAGTTTCCAAGCTCACGCACTATGTGAAAACACTCATGCGACTCACTAGCCTATGCCTACGACGCATGTCCAGCATGACAAGTGTAAATGTCATGCACTTATGCACTGCTTTTTGTTTTTCTTGCATAGTGAAGGGGGTCCCGTTTATATCTGGAATCCAGCAGTTCTCGCGGTTCAGGTCTGCGAGATTGAACTTCGGCGGTTCATCAGTGCCCAGATCGTCTGCCATTTTGTAAATGTACGGATCAATGAAAAAGAATGAAGAACGACATAAATCACATAAGAAAGTACGTTGCCGAAATACGAAGACAAACAAGTAAAAGCTGATGACTTTGCGCACCAAATATTTGTAGGGTTTAGTTAACTCTGGGCAGAGACCTTGTGCTCTTGTCCTTGTGCAGCAATAGAAGTGTTATCGTAGAGGCCGAGTCCTCGTCGTTCTTAATTTTCGAAGAGTTTCAATTCACGTCGATAATACGTCTTCGCCTCCAGAACCAGATAGGGATTAGACACGCTCCCACGATATACATGCTACTTCACACATGCACATCATCTAGAACTACCAGCATAACACGTGGTGGCGATCTTCATGTTGTAAAGAAGTGATCAGTGTTGCAGTGGTAGTCGAAAGAAACAAAGTAATCACAAATGCTTCGTTGATCTTTCTCAACATCTGTATGAGGATCACAACGCGTGGTCTTGTTGTGTATTCTTTATCTGCACAGACAAGACGAAGACGAGCCTCATCGACAAAAAAAAAGACGGAGCGGCGAAAGTGGAACAAATGGAGGTTCTTACCGACAGACAAAGAGGCTGATCCTGATGTGACGGTGGTTGAACCATGCCTCAATAACCCAAGCACCAACCGGTTTCGCTTTTATTAGTTTGACGTAGCTACAACCAAGTCGCTCGAAGGATGGATAAGTCATTTTTTTCACAATTAATTGTCGCACAATGTATCGCCCTAGAACTTCTAGTACGATGACTGTCATCTCTTTCATCTCAGAGCACTTCTTGGATCTTTTCCCCCTCGTGCCGCCCCTGCTTTTATCAAAGCTTTTTCCTCTGCAGTAGGAACCCACTTACGCACACACAGGCAGCTTCCGTCTGACAGCGTCCCCTCAAATGTGTTCTCTTCTTGCCGCTGCGGCAGAAGGTTTTCTTTCTCTTCATCGGACCTTCCTCTTCTGGCAGTTTTTGAACCTTCGCCTACCCCTACGCCATGCTGCGATTTGGGGCCGTATTTGATTTCGTTCTGATTCACATCGAATGTACGACTAAGGAATGGCGCGACGCTGGATTTGGTCACATCGGTGGCGATTTTGTTTTTTCCAGTGACGCTCGAAGACAGCGGCTTCAAATCGGCAGAGAACTCCTGTGCGGGGAGCTGTTTAGAAGAAGTAGGTCGCTTTGTCACCGCTGGAGTGGTGCGAGCAACCTGATCCGCAGCCGAAAGGTTAAGAGCCGCGCTTACTTGGTCCGACTGATTTCTCCGCATCATGGCGCTTCTAGTACCGCCGTCGTGATTCGCCGATGAAGTAGCAGTTGCACTCGTCCGACTGTTCGTTCTCGAGAACTCCGAGCTAGCTGTCGCAGAGATTTCCGCTTCATCTCCCTGCGTTACAGCATTTTTCGTTCCGCTGTAGTACAACCCGGCTGAAGATCCGCGGTTTTTTCGATCCGCATGCAGGTGCACCTGTCGTGGCCGTTTCTGCTCCAGTAACGTCGGTTCTGTCTGCTGAAACGGCTCGAGCTTTCGACTCGCTCCGGCAGAGATCTGCTTCTGCTCCATTAAGCTTTTCGCGACGGAGTGCTCGAAATCTGGGTCTGGTGCGTCAACTCTTGTCTTGCGCGCCCCAGATTCGGGTAAAGCAGCAAACCCGGCTGCACGGTAAATGTCGTTTTCCTCATTTTCAAGTCCGTATTCGTTGTACACATCCTGCACCCATTTCCGCTTCGCTTTCACGAAGTCCCGCAAGCTCGCGCCGGCCGGGGCCTTGTGGTCGAGCGGATGGCTTTGTTGGGTCTTTTGCGCTTGATGACCGGCTATGAAATGCAAAAGCGTCATCTGGGTCTGGAAGGTTGGAACTTGTCATGCTAAATCTGAATGATGCAAAAATCTGTGTTGCGTGAGTGCCAAAAGCTGTCCACTTTTGACCAAGTTGAGAGGGAGTTTCTCATGCAGGAAAGGCATGATAGAGACCTCGAATAATCTGTCATGCTGGGTCTCGCATTCCAGACCTCATGGGTCATGGAAAACCTGCATCACAAATCTTGCATTCTTCCTGACCCAGACATTTTTACGGTTGATACCGGCGCTCGAAAGCCTTCCTCGCTTGTGCTGCTGCAAAAAGAATTCGCCCCGGGCGCCGATTTTCCCCGCCGGGTCCAGTTCGTGGGGAAACTTTTGACCGGTGTCACCAGCACTCGGAGGTTTTTTGTCAGCGCCGGTGATGTGGTTTGTATTGTTGGGTTCGAATTTCGCAGAAACGTCTTGGAGCGGATTTTCGCTTGTGGGTTTATTGGAGCTGAGGCAGATCTTCTCGACAATGCCCGTCTTGGACAACTCGTTCCCTTCCCAAATCCGCACGGATTCCAGCCTTCCGCCCGGGGCACGTACACAACCGACCCAGTTGCCTTGCGAGAGATCCACTACTGGGGACGAGGTCGAGGTTGGGTCGAAGCGCTTGGCGGCTTCGCCCTGATAATTTTCCGAGGGAGCACCCATTGTTGTATACAGCGGTTTTTGTTCTTCTCAATTTGGCTTCATCGTGCTTAAGAGAATGAGAATGCAACTCCTACTCCTGTAAGGGTGCCTGCGGCTACTTACAAGAAGTGCAAATCGGAAAAAAGGAAAAGCCAAAAAGTCTCGCAGCTTTTTCGCTCGTTTCTCTTCGCGGCAAGATCGTTCGGGCACTCGACAAAACGAAAGCACTTTTTTTGTCCGCTCGTTTTCTGCAAACTGCAACTACTCCGACTCGTCGAAATCTATTGTCGATGTGGTCGGCGGCCTTCGCCTTCTTGGAGAAAGAGACTAGACAACACCAACATCAACACCTGAAGCTGACTCGTCTGGACGAACCATATTTATGATTAGCTCCATTTTTTCCGAATCGTCCTCGCAGAAAACAGTTCTTTAGAAAAATCCTACAGGAGAATCTTCAGGTTTTTGAAACGGAAGAACAAGCAGAAATAAGGAGATATTTTCAAGTACTTAGTACATTTCCAGGGGCGCAGCAATCAATGCTACACAGATAAGTAGCCCTATCCTCAAGCCATCGACGACGCAGTGGCCGCGTTTGTCCCGCCCGCCGATTCGTCGTCAGGCTCCGATATCATCGTATCCAGGTCCATCGGCACCAAAGGCGTCTCCGTTTTCCCGCGCTCGTCCAACGTCAGCTCCCCATTGCAGGTTTCCAACACCTGCGCGTCCACTTTCTTCACGAACGTCTCAAAAGTATGAAATGCAAAAGCATCGTACTAGTATAAATCGCATGACAAATTCCCTCAGCATGAAAAATGGAATTTATAATGCGGATTTAGGTTAGGAGGGAGATTTGTGATGCATGATTGCGAATACTACGAGTACGATACTTTTGCACAGGATAAAAAGCCCGACACGCCAACTCGTCCGCCGGCTCCTCGCAGTCCTCGTCAACATCCAAAACCGATATCAACTGTAAAAATGTCTGGGTCTGGAAGAATGCAACTTGTCATGCTAAACCTGAATGATGCAAAAATCTGTGTTGCGTGAGTGCCAAAAGCTGTCCGCTTTTGACCAAGTTGCGAGGGAGTTTCTCATGCAGGAGAGGCATGATAGAGACCTCAAAGAATCTGCCATGCTGGGTCTCGCATTCCAGACCTCATTGTTCATGGAAAACCTGCATCACAAATCTTGCATTCTTCCAGACCCAGACATTTTTACATTTGATAACCGACTCGCCGCAACCGTGGATGATGCCGTCTTTCAAAAGTTGCGGGTCGGTTTTCCGGATAAACGTCGCCTCCAGCGCCCGGCAGCTCCCGGCGAGCTGGTGGATTTCATTCCTCGCCTTGGCGTAGGCCGTGCAGGCCTGCTTCACGGTCTCGTGGACCGGGACCGCCCGGTCGTACATGTTGATGCTCTTCATTGCGACGTCCACTGTGTGCGGGTCCGGGAAGTCGCCACGGTCCCGGATCGCGCTGATCTCCGCTGCAGTCAAACGCAGCTCTTCGTACTTCTTCAGCGCGGGGGCGGCGAGGGATTTCGCGGACGGTTTCGGGACTGTGTGCGAGATTTGCGTTTTGGAGGTCGTCACGTCAACATCACAAGCTTCGCATGTTGTGTGCAACGTGCTATTGATTGGATTTTGGTGTTGATGTACAGTACTCGATGTGTCCCTCACCTCTAACGAGTATTAAGTTTAGACATGAAGATCGATAAAGAAAACAAAAGGTGTGTTTTTCTTTTTGCAAGGCAAATAGCCCTTTTACCTCCGGGCGTCTCGCCTTCCGCTTCCTCCTCTTCCATTTCATCCGCATGCTCCTCTGCATCCTGCTCCGCGGCCTGTTGGTTAACACTTTTCCCAGGTTCGGGGACCGGTTTGGGGTGATCCAGCTTGTACTCCAACTTTGCCCGCTCTGGATTCATCTTCATTTCTACGGGCGCGAAATCGCGCTTCACATCCTCGACCGCCTCTTTATCGATCTCATCCGACTTCCGCTGGGCGGCCGCGTGGTGCTTGTGGTGGCCGTGATGCTGATTATGGTTGTACTGCTGGTCTCCGCCTGGCTGCTGCTTCGCTGTTGACCCAGAAGCTGCCTGCTGTGCCGCGGCATCCTGTGCCGCAGTATCAAATGTAAAAATGTCTGGGTCTGGAAGATTGCCAGGTTTGTCATGCACATTTTGCATGACTCCTGATGTCTGTGATGCATGCCCTAGCATCACAGATTTTGTGAGGGCTTCCTGATGCCTATACCGCATGACAAATGCTCTGTCCGTGTAGCAAAACTTGGACTCTCTTTGCTGCTCATGCAATACAGATTTTTTTAGAATCCAAAATCAGCATGACAAGTTGGATTCTTCCAGACCCAGACACTTTTACAGTTGATACGCAGCCTTGTGCGACGAAGAAGACATGATGGACATCAGCCCGACGGGGTTTATATCCTGTGCAAAAGTATCGTACTCGTATAAATGCATTACAAGTTTCCTCAGCATGAGAAATAAAATTTGTAATGCTGATTTACCTTAAGAAAAAGATTTGTAATGCATGATTGCAATACGAGTACGATACTTTTGCACAGGATAGTTTAGCAGCGCCAGAGTATCTTTGAAATGCGCAAAGAAGTTGTGCCAGTTCGCTAGGGGGCCGCTGGCGGTTTTTTCTTTGGCCTTGTCTGCGTCTGGCGGTGGCTTTGGCTTTGCTGCTGGCGGGGGTTTGGCTTTTGTAGCATCAGCAGGAGTGGGCGGTGTGGGACCAGCAGCCGCTGGGGCTTCGTTGGCAGCGAAAGAAGTGGTGCGGGATGTAGGCTGCTTCACCTGGAGCCCGATATCCAGGAATTGTGTCACATTCAACTGCATCGGGCCGTTATCCTGACGTTGTTCCTGCAGCGCAAGAGACGGTGGCTTCCGTTTTCTTGCGCGGCCTTTACTTCCAGTATCCGGATGATGTTGTCCATTCGCACCACGATGCTTTGCCTTTTTTCGTTTATTTGCCTTTCGCGCCGAAGCCTTCTCGTTCGCATCTGGTTCATCGCTTCTGGCGTCCTGCTGCTCCTCGTTGCCAACTACAGGTTTTTTCGCTTTTGTGCTTGGTCTTGCTGCGGCGATACTACCGTCCGCAGCTTCAGTTGCACTTCGTTTTCCCAAGACCGCATCTTTCGCTGCCGTTCCCGCGCCCTCCTCCTCCTGCTCTCTTCTGGCTTTGTTCAATACTTTCAGCGCGGAGTCCAGTTCCGTTACGAACGGATCTGTCTCCTCCCTCGTCTGCGCGTCGTACTCGTCGAATTCGTCCATGACCTCCTGTTTTCCCTCCTCCGTCAGCCCCGGCACGTTTTTCAACACGTTCCAGGCCGCCTCCCGTGCGGTTTTCCGGAGAATGTCCGGGCCGAGGCGGGCCAGCATGCTGTGATCCAGTTGGCCCATCAGCCGCGCGGAAGACAGCGTTTCCAACGCCTTCGCGCCGCCGTTCGAAACGAGCGTCTCGACGTCGATCCTTTCTCCCTTCTTCATCATCTTGGTTAGGGGTTTCAGGGTCCCAGCATCTAACCCGAGGACCGGCATCTGCAGAGCGGCCTTGTCGGCCATGCGGTTGGGGAACAGGGGATCATGGTCGTCCGGCTGAAAGAAGTTCGGGTTCCCAGGGCCGAGGTTTTTGAATTCGAGATGGTTTTCGTTTTGGTGCTCGGGGAGCGAAGGGGAGTTTTCGCCAAGAGCGGTAGGGGTTGGTGGGACGGTACCACCACCGAAAACTTGTTGAGCCGCGAAACTCGAAAAATGCCGGGAAGTTCCGGTACCAAATACCATGGCTGTGTGATGAGAAGCTACGAGAAGATGACGTCACAACCTGCGAGAACTACGACGCGTCTTTATGTAACGACATGGACATTCATACAAAAAATTAGAATTGTTCGCTGATCTGTAACGATCGATGGATCAAATTCAGATCAGCTCGATATTCATATTCCTGAGACAGAATGACACTCAGCTCCAGGAGAAACGAATCGGAGACGAAGCCAAATATTGATCGATTGTCCCAAACATCATTATTCGTCCTTAGACGTGTAGCATGTTCGTAGCGAGCAATGACATCCACTACATTACTTGCGAGAGCCACTCAATAACATCGTCGAACGGGAACGACGGCTCCGACACATCGACTTGCTTCTTCAATCACACTCACGCTTGTTCTTTCTCACAACATTTACATGAGTAACTGCTCGTCACACGACAACTTCAACCACATCCAAATTCGTTCGACGCTATAATTTCGAGGTGGAATAAAACCAAAAGCAAACCTCAGAGTGAGATCTCCGGTGGCGAGAAAAACTAGAGCAGCAACAATGCCATTCATGATCATTGGGCTGAGCCAATATATCTCAACTGAAACGCGTTCCCTCGAATTGGGGCCATCCGCATAACGAGCGAGCAACGCAACGACGGCCGCCGGACGGTGGCGCAGGCACACATAATGAATCTCTCTACGCCCACGCGCGCCGGGCCGCTCGCGCCCACGGACGCACGCTTCCCTCGGGAATGCCGCACGGCAACGGGGCCTTACCGAGAACCATGCGCGGCCGCTGGCACCGGTGCCGGACATGCCGGACGACGGACACACTGGCCCGAACAACACGCGCCTGCCGAGCCTTCAAAATGATACAAAAGGCGGCGAGTGCAGGGTAATGAAGGGCCGCCGCCAGCGCAAGAAGGCGGCCGAGCGACCACCGACCGGCCCGGCGGGGCCGGCGTCCTTCTATCGGCCTCCCTGTCTGCAAAAAGGGCCCGGCGGCGCCTGGTTCTTTTGCCGGAAATTCGACCTCGCAGGCTTCCTGGCTCGTTTGCCGCGGCGTCGGGCGCGCCCTTTCGCTTTAGCATCGGCGTCGCCGTCGGCCATGTTCTTGCTCGTGCTAGGCACAGCACGGGGGAGAGAGGTGGCGAGCCGTTTCACCAATTTCGCGGCATTTGCCTCGCGTTATTCGCTCGCCGCCTGCGTGCTGACACGCAAAACACTGACACACCACGAACACCCCCAAACTGGCGCCGAAGGGCCACACCGAACGGGCCACACCGAAGGGGGCAAAGAAAATGAGATCGCGGGCGCAGGTCTTCATCTTGGAACTGGAAGCCACGCAAGCTGGTTACACGAGCCAGTTACAAACACCAAAAAAACTTAGACTTAAGTACTCTCAAGCAACCTCTCTCGTAGTGTCTCATCTGAACCTGAAGAGGCCTGGCGCGCAAACTGACCAACTCGCGCTCCTGCTCTCTCGTGGTGTGCACTTCTTTCCACAAAAGAGCACCCCTCGCTCCTGTTCAGTTTCCTCCACGACATTAAGCGAACATGTTGACATTCATTCAATTTCAGCTGCACGACCCCATGCAAGAACAATTACATCCAATGTCTTTAGCTAAGCCGAGGACGTTGACTAGTCAGAATCCTGTTCCAGCTGCGCGACTTGATTACACGCTCGGTATCAAGATGTTTGAAGCGAATACAGCTCTCCTGTCTGGTCACCAATACAAATGCGATTGCGACAAACTGTTCCTTGACCACCGATACCGTCCGCGGACCCGAACGGCCCGCTGCCGGGGAAATACCCGACTATTCTGAACTCATTTTTTTGATCGCCTCCTTCAGCATCAGAAACTGATAAACTACAAACGTAAACGAATTTCGACGAGAGCGCAACGGCGAATAGATACTCTTCGTGGCCTTCGTTTGGTTGTACAGCAGGTCCGCAGAAGCTGTCAAAATCGCACGCCTCACACCAGGCGATCGTCGGTTTGTTCGCGCTGCCCGGAAACAGCGCTGAAGTTTGCGCAATCGTCGCGATTTTTGCCTTGTCTGCTCCACCAGCCTCACCCGAAGAAGTGTCGACTCTGAACGCCACTAGCTCCCCTTCTTGGGAGCCGCAGATCAAGTACGAATGATGCTGCGGTTTGTCTCGGTCAGCGACAAGAGCGTCTTCGGTCTGCTTCGGGTTCTGTTGCGGTCCTGACAAAAAACAAGCACTCACCACCCAGGACGCGTCTGCGGTCGAAACGGTGAACAGCAAATCCGCCGTTGAGCCGAGCCACACGCGGCACTGGTTGTCGTTCGAGCCGGCAGCGACGAGGAAATCAGGTTGATTTGTTCCAGAGCCCCCTCTTTCAATTGCCGCCCCCGCAACACACAACACCGCGGTCCTTTGCGACACTTTCGGCGGTAACTGTGCCTTTTTCCAGGGCAACACGCTATCCGCCGGTAACCGCTTTTTCTTTTCCAGAAGAATGTCGGTTAGTAGTTCCTTGCTCGGACAAGCCCACGCCACCGCGTAGCTGTCGCCGCCAGCTAGAATCGCTTGGGACGAAGTTGTAGGTGGCACCTCCATTCTGGAACCATTGTTTACCGACGTGGAAAGGGCGTTGATCCAATCAGGAAAACTGCAAGATAGCACACAGACCCCGTCACTCGCACGCAACACGTGTACGATGCGAAACATGGCACAGAAAAGAGCCGTGTTGGCGAGTGATTTCAGCCCACCACCGCTGCTTGATGATGTGGGATGTGCATCCGAATTGGATGCAGTTGGCGACGGCAGCACCGCTAGTGAGCTCACCGCTGTCATGTTCAGTTCGTTCGCTGATTTCAAAACCTTCGTCCAAACCACCGTCTGACAATACGGGTTGTCCCACAAACGCACTCTGCCCATGATGTCCGCTGAAGCGACGTGCGATTCGCTGAGAAATGCGCAGCTCGAGACTGCGTGCGGCTTGTGGTAGGATTCGGCTGGAAGCTTGCTTTGCGGTGGTGCTGCGTCAGGTGGACTTGTCGACGAAGATGAAGCTTTCGTAGTTCCAACTCTCGGTCCAGCAGCCGCACCGGGTCCCGCGAGTGCGGGGAGATTACCGAGCTTGGCTCGCTTGTCTTTGTCTGCCGATGCGGTGTTGGAGTTGGTGTCTTCTGCACCTCCGGAACTAGTACCAACAGCCGCCCTCTTCACAGCAGGCTGCTGATGATTTTCCCTCGCTGTGTCTAACCGGTAAACGCGCACGACACCGTCGTCGGAGCAGGAAAAACATCTGTTGCGCATCACCTGGGCTGTCTTAACCGTGCTCGCGTTCCCTTCTAAAGTGGCGCAGTGCTTCACTTTCGCGGTTCCAGAAGAAGAGCCTGGTGCTTCGGCATTTGTGGTGGCCGCAGTAGATGCTTGCTTGCTGCCAGTAGATTTCTTTCCTTTGCCCGAACCCTTGCCAGCGCTTGTTGTACCGGTAGTTTGTCCAGATTTAGTGCTCTTTCCCTCATCGATTGAAATGTCGTAGAGACGGAGGGTTTTGTCATCTGCACAAGTGATGACGGAGTAAGTGGAGGTGGACGTCGACAATCCTTCGCCGTGCTGAAAAACGGTGAGCGACATCATATCGATGCCAGAGCCGTGCAGATTCGGAACCGTTGCAAGGACACTGAAGGAAAATCCAGTACTGGAGCTCGAGCCTTGTATGTCTCCTGCTTTACTGTCAATCTTGAACAACGCCCACACTTTCAAACTGTAGTCGCTGCTGATGCTCACACAGTACGTTTTTCCGAGGAAGCGAAAATCTACCACATTGTCCGTGTGCGACTTGAGGATCAAGCACGGGTCAGAAATTGCTTGCTCCACAACTTCCGCATCTTCTCCAGCGTAGTTTCTAGTTGCCGGTATGCACCACATTCTGATCTCTGCCTTAACCCCAGTCGCAACGAAAAGTCGGCTTCTATCCTCGCTAAAAAAGCCGTCGCAGCCAAGCCCTCCACGGCCGAGCTGCCAATGTGCAAGTTCGCGGGTAAAGCGAGCGGGTTTCTCTCCACCTTCTTCATTCACTTTTTGGTTCGCCAAATCGTTAACTTCGTACGCTGCAAAAAACTCGCCCGTCCGCATCAAAACAGTGAACATACCACTTTCCTGTGTCTGCACCGGCACTTTCTGCAGAGAAAAGCAACCCCCTCGCGCTTCCCAGGAGAAAAGCTTGTTCCCCCGCCTTATATCCCACAAAATCACGTCGTTGTCCGGCTTGTACGGTTTGCAAGTTGCGACGGAGAGGAGCAAGTTCTCTGTCAAAAACAGACAGTGCGACAACTCCCCGGTGTGCCCGTTTGTAATTCCGAGGGTGATCACCTCCTCCCAGGATTCCGTGGACAAAACGTGCACAAAAGCGTCGCTGCACCCGAGGGCGATGTGCTTGTAGTCCGGGGAAACCGCCGCGGTCCATATCCAACTGTTGTTGCCGGAGAGCTGGACCGTCGTTTCCAAAGCAGTTTTCCGCTGGTCCTTGTTCGTCCAGGATAAGGGGATTTGGGTGGGAGGTGAATCTGTGTTGGTTTTTTTGCCTCGTGAGTCCTTATCCTGCGACGCTACGTCGGAAGAATCTCGAACGTTCAGGGCTTGTTGGCGCAATACGTGTTCCAGCATGGATTTCGAATCTCCGTCGTCGGCAGATGCGGCAGCACTCGAAGCAAACAACCGAAAAACATGTGCATTCCCAGAATAGAACTCCTGCCAGTCCTCGAGAACAGAGGGAGAGCACGCTCCTGGTAGAGATCCAGCCGCCCCAAGCAGCACTTTCTGCAAAAACCTGAATTCCAGCAAAAAGTCGCCTAGCATCCCTGCTGCGCACTTGTGCCCGAGAAAAGCCAAATTGTCCCCACCGAGGAAGAGCTGCTGCAAAATTGCCGTGTCGGCTGCGCGGAGTGCGTGGTAAGGGAGACGGGTGAGAATTTGTTTCCAAGAAGCTCCTTGTGATGTTGCCGGCTGGGTGGTTATCTTCACCGCATTGTATTTCTGCAGGAAAAACGTAGCCAATTTCGCGTGTATGGCTTTCAACGCAGTACCGCCCTCAAAAAGTTTGTAGAACCGCTGCACCGCATCGCGAGCTTGCATGTGTAGGAAACCGACGACAGAATCACCACTGCTCGTTTCTACGACGCGGAGGACGCAAGCCAGTAAAGCTGTTGTGTCTGTAATCGTTTTTTCCGCAACTTCGCTGAAATTCGCCTGCTGCTGAGTCGTCAGACCACCCTCTGTGGCGAAAACCGCACCTAGAGCGAGTGATAGGGGCAGTGTCTCCTTCTCAGACTTTCCCTTCGCTTCTGCATCCAGTTGGACGAGAATCTTATGAAATAATGCGGATATGGTCCCCGGTAAAGAGTCCTCAGTTCTTCCAAAGTCGCTGTCGAAACTTGATAGTCTCCACACCTGCGCGACGATCCGTAAATACAGAGCCACCCCAGCGTCCTGCTTCTGCACAATCCGATCAAGCACTTCCGGGCTTGCTGGGGCGTCAGCGGGGAGAAAACTGGAGAAAAGCTTTCGCTTGTCACTGTCGTCGAGACCATCCAACGCAACGTGCTGTGCTTGCGGCCACCGCTGCGTGATCGTAGCGAGGGTTTGGCGTAATGGGTCATCTTCGTGTAATTCTGCAGTAGGTGAAGTGTTTCCCTCTGGTGCGATATCGCTATCGGCTTTATTCGCTGGGACGATAGTGGAAAGTATGTACTTCGCATTTTTGATTTGCAGTGGCAACCAGGTGAGATTCCGCGTCGAATCCTCCAGTTCGTTCACGGCATCGAAGACAAAAACCACACGGGCCGAACTCGGCTTACCAACGGCAACTGGCGCTGTCAGCAGTGCAACTGCTCGGGTCAGCAGGGTGGATAACCCACTCAAGTCAGCCTCTTCGGCTTCTTTCTGGATTTCGACACGTTTCTCTTCGATATTTGCAGTGTTTTTACCCGGGCTGCTCGAGTTCGCGGTGTCCAATACCTTCATAACCAACGCTTTCAAAAAGCGAAACGCCGAGGTCGAGGCGTCGCTGCTTCCGATGAAAACGGAGAAAACGAATGTTGTTGGCGTTCCAGAATTTTCATCCGTCGGTCCGCGGAGTTTCTTGCACATCTGCGCGAGCATAGTGCTTTTCCCCGCCCCGGACTTAGCCAATAAAAGGGTAGCGGAAAACTCATCGCGGTGTTTGGCGGTCGAAGCCTCGAGCTGCGTCGCGGCACGGGCTTGCGCGTTGGAGAGGCCAAGACTGAGTGTGGACCCGCTGGCGGCGGCGGCACGATCGAGGATCGTGCTCTCGTTATTGATTGCTTGCATGAGATGGTTTTAAAAGTGCATCTATATTGATACTGATTTTGAAGATAGGCAAGTGAAAAAACTAGAGGTGCAAGATCAAGGAGCGTATACGCAAATGGAAAGTAGTAGTACCCAACTGTAAAGGAAAGAAAAAATAATGATCACTAGACTGCTCACGACTGGGGTGCACGGCCACGAGTCACAAAAAAGAAGCGGCTCCCTGCGCTGAGGTGAGCTCAAACGACAAGCGACCGCTTTGTCATTCAAACTTATCAGAGAGTCAACATTTCCATTTGTGAATCGCAATCGAGACGAAAGAAAATAACCCAGGTTGGTTGCAACCGAACAGACAGCGGCAGTGTGCCTTGTCGATCAAACTCAAAGTCACAACTCGCTTACACGAAGCAAAAGCAGAGGCAAGCAAATCAACTGCGCTTGTTGAACCGCTCTGCATGTGCGGTTGGCGGTGGAGAATGAACTTCACTCCCTCTAGCCGCGAAAGGAATTGCAATCTGGTGTACGCTGGTGTACATCAACTCCAAGTTAGTAGCATCTCGGTAAATAATTGTTGTGCTATTCATCTGTAAAAATTGCTGATCGACAATGGAGTCATGTGTTTCGTGCGACCTCTCTCTCACATCGGCTTGGAATTGGGATTCGTATTCTGCGAAAGGAAAAGCTTCTGGAGTTCCTCGACGATCGTCTTGCTTTTGCGGAGCTGCGAGCCCTCGTCCCGTAAAGCCGCGATGGTCTGCTGATCCAGATGCATCCAAGGGTGATAGAAAATCCAGTCGCTTCTAATGTTTTGGGAAGGAACAGGCAGCTCGTTCCAACGAAAACCGAACTTAACCCACGTGCCCGCCGACAATTTGACGTGCGGCGGCACTAGTATTCTTTCTGCAAAAGAGCGCGTCGACGATATCCCTTTCCCTCCTCTCCAGTTCCTCGATGAGATCGCTGTACCGGATTGCAGGCGGAAACTCGTTCAGTGCTCCAATCTCGAGACAGAGGGCGAACCAATCTCTTTCTTGCTGCTGGTCTTCGGTCGGATAGCTGCTGATCGTAGCATGGGTGTCTACAAACACTTTGCACAAATCAAATAGTCCGCCTTGGCGTTTCAGTTTTTCCTTCTCCTTGTCGGTGCGGTTCTTCATCGCATGCTCTAGTTGATTCGTCATGATTGTACAGGCTTGCCGCAGGGTAGCCATGGTTGGCAACGGCCGGAGCGGTAGCTTCTCGTCTTTTTCTCCTTGTGTCGATGGGGGTGCGGAAACGTGTGAGGCCGCAGGTTTTTTTTCCTCCGCACTCTCAGCAAGGCGAGCCTTCTTTCTCATCGTCACACTTTTCGTAGTTAGCCCCTCGCCCTGCTTCGCACCGACCACCTCTTCACGAGTCGAGGAGGTGGCATTTAGCTGCCTTTTGTTCGTCGTCGGAAGAATACATGCGGGCTTGTTCGAGGGTATTTCTCCACTTGCGCCAGCTTCGTCTGCCGTTTTTCTGGTTTCCCGTCGGACGGCAGCTGACGCGGCCACATCTGCGCCTTCCTGCATATCAGTGTCATCTATCTCGCAAAATTCGTCGTTTATCTTCTGCAAGAGTATGAATGTGCGTGTGTCGCCGCTTTTTCCGGCTGCGCGGTAATCGCCGACATCTCCGGAATCGCACTGGGTCGCGACCGAGGTTTTCGGCTTCTCCTCTGGCACGGCGCACGACTGGGAGGCTTTGCTGACTGCTGCCGGAGCACGCTGGGTGCTGGAATTGGTCAAGGGCGGATCGATCTGCACGCCGCGGCTAGCCGTGCTCGGGCCGCACTGCACCGCTTTCGTGCACCCACTGCGGTGTGGGAGGATGAAGCCTTGCGTAGTCAAGTACTCCCGGTCTTGCTTCGTCAAGTCCGCCTCATGCTTACATACGTAGAAGCCGAGAAACCACCTACTCCTGCTCGGGGCCGCTCCGTTTCTTGCTTGGGCAGAGAGTGGCGCGGTCGTTGCCTGTTGCCTTGGGCCCGCTGCGGCTTTTAGTGCGCTGCTGTCTAGCCGCCAAACGTCTCTCGCGTCGCGGATAGTGCAATGCGGGTTCCTTCCGTCAAACCGCTGAAAGACGTTCTTTACATGCAGCGCGACACCCTCGAACCAGTGGCCTTTGCTACAGCGAAGCTCAGTATTATTGACCTTCCTTGGCGATGCCGTCACTGCTTCCGCTCCTCCGGTCTCAGGCCCGAAATACCGCACAGGCTCAGCGCGCCGCTTTCCGTCGGGATTAAATTGCGGCTCGGTGGCGCTTTTGTCGACATTTTGTAGGAATATGTTGCCATGCGGACTGCTCGCGCTGGTTTCCCACACCTCGTCGATCGTCAGCGCAATGCAATGTATCCAACCGTTCTGGTTTCTTCCGTCTTTATGAATTTTAGCGGTCGCATCTCGCTGCAATTGGATCGACGAGAACTCGTAATGCTTTCCGGTCAGTGGGTTCCGAGGACGAAATGCGCGCGCCCATTCCGTAATCAGCCGAGTCAGAAACGGGCGCTGTCTGGTTGCGACGGAGACTGCTGCTTTGTCTGGTCTGGCCCGCGGGTTAACGCAGCCGAGCGTCCACCCGCCGCCATCCGGATCCAAATCCAGTACGTCTCTCGGAATCGGCGGCAGCTTCTTTTCAAAAGCACCTTCCAGGGTCTCGAAAAGCCACCTTGCGTCGAGCTTTTCGGGAGATGATATGGCCTCCAGCAAGGCCTTGCCGAGTCGCAGGTCTTCGCTCAGTTGCTGATACTGCCGAGACTCGGAGGCACCCCTTTCCGACATATTTTTGCTTCAGCCGCGACGCGGACGCCGGCGTCGCACCACTTGTGAAAAAAAGGCGTCGACGAGGTGCTCGGCTTCTAGATCGATGTAGCTACTTTCATCTTCAACAGGAGTGTATCTCTATCTTTTTCATTTTCATCCCGATTGGGTTTGTGGACCGGCCGAGATAGAAAGATAAACGCACCAGCATCAGTGGTAAACGGAAAACGTCATGATGTACAGAAGAATACTATCAGGATCACAATCAATTCAAGATGAAGCTGGGGCACGAGCACGACTGCAATGATCGCTAAGAGAACGAAAGGCAAAAAAACTGATCTGTTCTTTGTCGTTAGTACCATGATACCTGACTCATTTTTGTTGAATGAGAATGATCAACTTCGATCATACGATGGGACATCGTCAAAATGCGGCTGCGTGTTAAAAAACAACGACAGTTAAAACATTGGAAATGGAATTCAATTGCGTATAAATGAGGTCCTCAACGCGTCACACTCACATCAGACTCAGACTAACACAGGAACGCAACAGCGCTTAGAGCTTTTACTTCCTCCTTCTTGTAATTCTTGTTGAAAATATATGTAGGTAGCCGTGATGACTGCATAATGAAAAGTTTCTTTCTCGTTTTAGTTCTTTCACTTCGGGAAGAACGTCTTCATCATCATCTCCTCCACTTGTCAACATTTTAATGCGACGACTGAGATCCGTTGTTCGATCCGAACATTTTGGCCCAGGCAATCTGCGGCTCCCACGTGATCTTGTTTTCCGGCAAGAAACGATGGGACCCAACCTCGACGATGGAACGCTGGAAGCCCCAGATCGGGTAACCTGATAATTTGTATTGCAGCGGTCAACCACGACAACCATAATGGTAATCTAATCGCGCTTCAGCTTCTAATCTACTTACTTACTTTGTCATGCACAATGAACATCAGCTTCAGCATACATAGTTGATGGCATCAATTTCAAACGTACCCATGTCCCGCAACCGATCGAAGCAAATCCTCTTGCACTGCCAGTCCATGTTCCTGCAGTCCTTGCACTGGGAGTAGAAAACGTCATCTGCCGCACTGATCCAGTTATCCCGCGGCTCCATTTCCGCCCCGTAGGCGTAGGGGAGCGGGAACGGCGCAGACATCACGCGATGGTTCTCTTGGACGTTGTTTTGCAGGTACCTGGCGGAGGTTTTCATGGATTCATACAAGTACGTGAAACTGAAAAGATGCTACAGCGAGGATTCGCATGAAAGTCAAAGTTTGGCCTTCAGATAGACTCGCATGATAAACTGGTAGAAAATGAAAAGATAAATTCGAGAAGTACAGCCACGCCACGCTCATGTTGAATGTCCACATTCCGAACATGAAGAATCCAACTTTTCGGTCGTACTCCGTCCACATGTGTGCCCAAACTCGATCTGTAGTGTCATGTGGTTATTTTGAAGTGCGACTCAACACCAGAATCAAGAATCGGAACAAATGCCTTCATCATTCAAGAGAAGACCTGCTCGCTGCTGTTACACTTGCAGGTTCAGGAAATAAACAAAAGAACTCACTCAGCACCATTTGGATGCAGGTCCATCACCCACGCTCTCCTATTCCAGTATCGTGTATGCGTGCCGAAAATGTCCAGCCATCGCATCGCCTTCTGCTTTAAAGTCTCACTTGGCTCCACAACCGCTTTTGCGCTGTCGGCGAACCGACGCGTTTGCTGCCGCATTGCCGCATTTGCGACGGTTATTTTCTGGGTAGCGCGGAGCATGGCTCTTTGGTCTGTTGTAGTTGTCCAACGGAGGTCAGCAGCTACTCCTCGAAACCACCCTTCTCGTTTACAGCAGCTGCCTTATCCGGGGTCTAGAACTACTGGTTCTGCTGACAGCACGCTCGGGCAGCTGCTGTGCCAGACATCCACCTCCCCTGCAAGCCGGCTGTCTTTCAGCACGGCATAGTTTTGGTCAAACAACTGGAGTGAAAGATAAACGACAGATGGTAAAAATACACATCGATCACGAATGTTAGAGAGAAACGAAGTGAAGAAAAGACACTCTCCGGACGGCACTTAATCTCGACCACACTCGACACTGCAAAAGCATCACGACAAAAACAAAACAAGCACGTAAATCGCTCTGCTGACAATAGAAGGTATTAGGTTTGACGGTATACTACTTAACTCACAAACAGCACGAGGCTTCCAACTTCAAGTGCAGCGAGAGTGGGCAAGCCTACAACCACCTTCGGCAAAGGGGCCAATCGTCGGCCGCTCCTGCAGTTCAGTTTGTTCTGCAGAGGGTGCACTTGTTTTCCATATGATGATACATTGATTTACATAGGGCGGCACATAAAGTCATCTGAAAGTGAAATCTTTGCAATCTTGTATAGCGTCTGGTACAGGTACTGCGTCAATCTTTTGCTTGTGGGTGCAGTGAAAATGTTGAGCTTTTGAGAGATGTTGAGAGTAGTCGTGGTGACACGGTCATCGTCCTATAATGTGCGGTCAAGTGATGTACACTTTTTTGTCGTGCGTACGCTTCTCGGGTTTCTTTGGCGCAAGAGCACACGAGAGCAAAGCTCATCCAGGTCCAACCGTGAAACCCAGAGTTGTACGCACGTCTTCCATGTGAAGCTGAATTCGAACTTAACCCTGGACCTGCGTGTTTCCGCCGGTACGCTGCCTTCTACGTTCACCCTTGGCCACGGCGTGGAAACCGGACTTGATGGATTGACAGGTCCTGTTTTGTGTTTTTTTGTTGAAATGTAAGGACGAGACAAATGCGTCACTGATGTGCAGTCGCGCGCATAACAGATGCAGCTACTGATGCGGAATACACAACACAAAACGCAAAATACGAATACCTCGACGCCCCGCAGTTTGAGCAGGTGATGATGTTCAATCGCGTAGCCTGGTCCTTGCTCAGCTGCGTGTTCGAGCTTCTGCACATGGCGCACATGACGTACTCCCGAATGTACCTGTATTTGCGAGTCGAATGGATTCACATTTGATGCATCACAAACTTCTTCATCACACCCACCGGCAGGGCTGCCACGAAAGCCATGCATCCACCGTTCCTAGATATGCTTCCAAGCTGCGAACCACAATGCACTAAATTTTCTGTACTTTCTGAGCAGCGACTCGATATTTCTGGGATAGAATCGTCCCTTCAGGATAAACTGTCCCTCGCCTGCCATGGTTCCGTCGCAACCCAACTCTGCAAAGACGTAAGAACTCAAGTGTTCGGTACTTCTGTTCATGTTGTCGCAGATCTTTTGGAAGTTCACCCAGCCCGTCTTTTTTGCGCCGACACGGGTGATCTGTTTTTTTTTGTGAAGTTGGATTGCACGAATACACCTTTCTTACCTGGGCAGCTTCATCTTTCCATGCATATTCAAGTCAAAACAAGAGGAAGTGGCGACACTTTCACTTACAGAGCAAGAAGAAGAAACTACCCGATGTATAAATTATTACCTCTGGTGGAGTGAGTGTGTATTTCTCTTTGATGCCCATCCCGCTGTGCTTGGCGTCGATGGTATCGCGGACCCGCTGGAGCATTTCTTCGTAGTCCATCAATTCTCCCTTCTCAAACTCGGTTTCAACAAGCTCCACGGCCTCCTCGGCAGCGCCATCCTTCTTTTCCTTTTTTTCCTTCTTCTCCTTCTTTTTCTTCTTACCGAAGTCCATCACCGGCTCCTCTTCGTGTTCCTCCGGCATGGTGGGCGAGGGTTTTTGCTTGGTTTAAAACAGAATATGGTGTTGACACTTTCACTTACGTACTAGATGAGTAAAGGTGACGTGATACGGAAATCTAGCTAAGAATGGTCGCTGCGAGGTATCATCGATTCGAACAAGCGGAGCAGAGCATAGAAAAATGTTTGGGTCTTGCTCGTTGAACCAAAGAAAAACAACAATTTGAGAACCATTTCGGAGCTTTCTTTCGGGAACTCGCGTCTCAAATAAAGAAAAAAGAGATCTCTTGTGTCGTGGGACTATTAGCAAAAAACTATTTCTGTCGTCTGTTGATGGAACGTGGTTCGACGCGTTGCGTACTATGAATGTGAAGTGATCTTTTATTGTGCCATGATAAGGGATCTATCTTTTTCTTTCTTCATCAACATGTGTTTCCTAAGACACGGCATATGGAACAATGCTGCTGGTGCTGACACAACCGCGATAGGAATACAGCAGTGCAGCGCCGGCGTGACTTCAGGAAGCAAAGGTCTTGTGAAAAAGAATGTCGAGAATTACAAAGTCCTTTTAAGCTTGTTACCGCAGGTTTTTTACAAACCAGTAAAACTTTCACATGCTAGCACTTCCCTCACGTATCATATCCAAACCAACGTCAAGTGATACGAACGTGCAGTCTCTACGTCTCGTCAAGATCGTCATCCAAATGACTAAATGCTCCCCGCGCTCCTGCTATAGATGTAGAATTTACTTCTTGTGTTTTTGCAACACCACCCGTAGCCGCGTCACCCGAGGATCCCGCTGCAACTTTCGACGCTGGACCCAGCACGTGCAAGATTTTGGGTCGCGGAATCACGGTTGTAAAGGCCCGCAACGGTTTAATTTGGTTTTGCTTCATCATTTCTCTCGTTTTGCTTTCGTAAGTGTCTTCGACAAGTAAGACCGGTGGTGCAGCTGCAGCAGCCGATAGGGCCGACGCATGATCAGCAGTAGCAGAAGGGACGCTTTTTGCCTCACCATTTTGCTTCTCGGTACCCCCGACACGCGGTCTCTCTCCTGAGGTTTTGTTGATTTTCGCCCGAGAAAACTTCGATCCTTGCGATGTACTCGGCCGCGACGCCGCAGTGCTTGTGCTCGGTCGTTTTTGTTCTTTCTTCTCCTGCGGATTGTTTATGCATTGCAAAAGTATCGCACTCGTATAAATGGCAAATTTCCTCAGCATGAGAAATAAAATTTGTATATGCGGATTTAGCTTAGGAACTAGATTTGTAATGCATGTTTGCAATTACTACGAGTACGATACTTTTGCACAGGATATTGTTGAGTTTCAACCAATTGCCGGTGCAGGCGATCCTGGTGGCGGTTGTTGTACTCGCTGCAGACGAATGCGGTAGCGGAAACTCGTCCGGCTCACCATTGTGCTGACCACCACTGCATCGCTCAACCAAACCGGGATGAGTCGTCAGGCTGGTCCCACCTCCGACTCCTATCGCTGGCACAGAGGGCGCTGTCTGTGCTCGCGATGTAGTCATCTCTGCTGCAATGTAGTCTTGGCGCTCTCGGTTTGTCGGGGCGAAAAAGCTGTGCATTGGTGTTCTCGAGGACGGCGGCGGAGAGTTTAACCCACCGGTTGAGGTTGTACCAGGATGCGGGGGAGGTGGAAAGTGTTGTAGATTTGAGGAAGAACTCCGGCTTTGAACTTGCGCTGCGTGCAATTGCTCCAGCAAACTCTTCACTTTCTCCCTGGTTTTGCGGTTTTCATGCGTCAAGCGGTTGCTCCACCCGTGTGTCAAGGTGTTGGTCCGGCTGTTCGAAGATGCGCCTCTAGGGCTCGTCCTTGGCCTTCGGTCGTGCTGTGTGTGCTTCTTTTTGCAAGTCCTACCCTGCTCAGAGGACGCCGCAACAAGGATAAGCTCGCTGGAAGACGAAGCTGCAACTTGATTTATTTTACCTCGATTCGCACGCGACGCAGAGCTTGACTCATTTTCGCTGCAGGAGCTGTGGAGGTCGTAGCTTTGTTCTAAAGAACGCTGCTTCTTGTAGTAGTCCCGCGCACTTGTCTCCTCCACGTACGTATCGTACGTCCGGCCCGCTTTCGTGCGCTTGTTCTTCCGTCCAGCTAATTGCTCGAGCGGGGAACTTTCTGCTGCTGCGGATGCTTTCAACCATCGCCGGAGCTTTTCGAATAGCAATTGTCGTTCGTCCACACTCCGCCAGGGTTCGCAGATGAGCTTTACGACGGGGAGAAGAACGTCTTGGACGCTAGGTTGGTCTAGTTGCTGGTGAATCTGCCCATAAGCAAGTCGTGGTCCGTTTGCGCATTGCGCCGATTCTTCTTCAATCGTCGGACTTAAATCCTGTCCTGCTTGTGGGCTGTTGTTACTCGGCGAGGCTGTGCTATGGTGATCCGAAACGACCTGTGCGCTGCTCCTCTCCACAGTTGGGGAGCCTAGGCCTGCGTCTACCGGCACAGTAGAACTTGCTGAGTCAGCCGCTGGATTTCCGGAGGTAGTTGTAGCACTCGTCTGCACGACCTGTCCCTGTCCCCGCTCTCCTGAGCTGCTGGTGTTTTTTGCAATCATAATCTTCGCGATATTTTTCTCAATCTGTGCTTCCTCCTGCTTCGCCATTGTTTCCACTGCCGACACCCGCCGCTTCAACGACTTCACTGCTAATTCCTCCTCCCGCCTAAGGTGGCTCATGGTGTCGCGCAAATCCCCCGCGATGGTCAGCACGTCCGCACGGGTGATAAGTTTCGCCTCTAATCTACTTTCCGCGGAGCTGATACTTTGCCCCATCACCCGTCGCAAATCCTCAATTTGCTTGCTCACCTCCTCCCGCACCGCGTACTTGGATTTCGACTGAGTTTCCGCTTTCTTATCCCGTTCCGCAAGAAAGGTGTCCAGTGACTGATTTTCCTTCAAACCGAGCGCGTTCGCGACTCTTTGCTTCACGAAGTCCTGCAGGGAAAAACTCTGTTGTTGCAGCTGTGCAGTGCTGCCCAGGGAGGCAGAAGCAGTGGGGGAAAAGGGCTGAAGTTGTTGGCTTCGTTCCACATGCTCGGCGCCTCCACCGCTCCGGTCTGCTTCTGGTTCCTCCTCGCCAGTGGCATCGTCGTCAGCCTCGTTCATTCCCAGAGAAAACACACCGTCACCTAAATTCAGCATTGCCTGCACTCCTGTGCGGACGCGTGCTCGGAAGTCTTTCTCATTTGCGAATACCAAGTTCCCGCCTTGGCGATGTGAAGTTCCTGTGGTTTGGGTGTCATGGTCGTGGTCCGCATCGTCATTTTCTCCGCCAGCATTTCCGTTTCCGTCGGAAGCATTGCCAGATCCGAGTTTTTTCTCTTCAGTAGAATCTTCATCTCCAATGGTGCCGGTTTCGGAACTAGACTTGTCTTCGCGTGGCCCACTATGGCTATGTTCCTCACTTCCTTCTCCAAATTCGAACTCTTTTTCCTCCTCCGCCGCTAGTAGAGCCGCATCTTTTTTCCGCTCCGACACGGTCTCCAGCTGGGCCCATAATTTCTCCTCCTGCTCCCTCACCCGGTCCTCTAGCTGCGACAACCTTTGCAACTGCTCGCTTTGCGCGGTCACCAGCCCGCTCACCCGACTCACGACGACGTGCTGCTGCGCCAGTTCGGCAACCTGTTTTTCGATGGCGGTGCAGCGGTGGTTGAGCTCTTCCTCCAAAGTTTTCTTGTTTTCCCGCATCTCCACGGCCAGCACCTCGTCCATCTGACACTTGAAGGCGATCGCGTTGCGGTGTACCGTCTTCTGTAGGTCGGGGAGTTGGTCTTGGACCAGATTCCGCAGCTGCGCGTGCTCGTCGCGGACCTGGCAGAACTGCTCGTGGATCGTGTTGACCTTTTCCAAGCTGGGCTTCATGAGCTGGAGCACGAAGGTCTGGAGCCGGGTCTCCATCTTGGCGACCAACAGCTCCATGCTGTAGTGGTCCGTCTCGATGCTGCTGGAGGAGGAGAGGAGGGTCGGCGCGTTGGGAGGGTCGTGTTCTGGCAACATCGTGGCGGTTTGCAAACAAATCCGACTTTTCGGGATGCGTGAGATGTTCAAAAAAGAAACGCTGATGGTGCGAATATTCCTGCGTCTACCTGGGCCTAACTGCGTCGCGAAGATTATTCTTGTTGTACTTGTATTCTTCCCTCATTCACCACATATTGATGATCTCTCTTCCGTATTTACCCCCGTCGATGCAGGAGCTTCAGGTATGGCGTTTCTATATTTTATCACGTGGGCCTGGGAACGCTCTTCTTTTTGGGAAGCCCGTTGGCGCCTGGCATGAAAGCGCCCGGCAGCATATTTTATTTATCATCGGTCGTAGAAGTCTATCATGACGCTGGATTAGGATTCGGTGGACTGCAACCTTTTGCAGATTGGCAATCACTTAAAATTTTCGAAGTAGGACTGTTTCGTATGATACATTAGCGCTGCTTTGTTTCATTATCGCAGCCACCGGCAGTGGGCTTTGATGTTTTCCACATCCCACACCAAACACCCTCCATTCAAGTCTTCGTAAAAATCACCGGGTCGAGCGCTATTTTCGACCGTTCCAATTGCCGTCTCCTCGTTGCTTCTTGCCGCCGATACTCCTTCGGCAGCAGGTCAAACGGCAGATTTTGCCACCAGTGCCGGTGGTCGTACAGGTGATTCCGCGTTGGCCGACGGAACCATCCGGGCTTTCCTCCACCTCCCGAGGATTGACCACCCGCCCTGTTCAGCGACAACAAGGCGCCCTCGGTGAACACACTCGCACGCGTCCGATGGCTCCCACGAAAAGCCGCGCCCGCATTTGCGTCGGAGTAGTTGTAGCTGCAGCTTGCGGTTGTTCCGTGGGTATTGTATCCACAAGCCCCCGGCGGATAGCTTGATTTCCCACTGAGAATCGCGTCAATTCGCATTTGCAGCTCCGTCTTCCTGGTGGCCGCTTTGTTCAGGGTATTCGCAGATGAGCCGGAGGTTGTGCACCCCTGTTTGAAAGATGTTCCGCTGTTCTCGTCCGCAGCTTCTGCCTCTTCCTCCAAACTCGGAAGGGGGTCGAGATATGGATGCCGCCGAATCTCGTCTTATCCAAGAAAAAAACATTGTAGGTGTATACAATACTTTTTTGGAAGAACAACATTACAAATTTGTCTGGCATGACAGCAAAAACCTGTCATGCGCAGATAGTACGCGAAAACGCCCCTTAATGGACGCTGCGACGCATGCCAAGCATGACAGACGCAATCATCTTGCATGTGGAGCATCACAAATTTACACTAACAGCGTTTTTTTCTTGGATACGTCTTCGTCGTCATTCAGAGCATCGGCGGAAGCTGTACCGGGGTCCGTTGTAGCGTTTGTCCCTGGAGGACCCGAAGTTCCTTTCGGACTCGTTCCGGAGGCTGGCTGCACGGACTGCCGGAAGGATGACCCTCCAGGGCCAACGGAAATGCGTTCGCCCGTCCGCTTCGCTTGCTCGGCCGTGCGCTTGCGGAGAAGGAGTTCGCGCCTAGAAAATGAAAAAGCATGATGACGCCCTTTTTGCGCTTCAACAATTAGAAGTGTATGAGCATGTTGCGGAAAAACTGTTACACCGGCCGGGAAATGGAAAAGATCATTAGTTACAATTCAAATTCTACCTCTCCAACTTCTGCTTCTGTTTCCACTGCTTCTCGAGTTTCGCCAGGATTTTTTGTCGCAGCCGCCGGTCCGTTTTCGGGGAGTGGTGCAAGTGTCGCAAGCGCACGACTATGGTGCTCTCAACTGTTACATTCTCAGCTGTTACATAAATTTGTGATGCTAAACCGACCGAAACCACGCATAAATTTGTGATGCAAGAATGGCAAAACTGAAAGGGGGAAGATTGCGCCTTTTGCATGACAGATTTGGCACAGATTCTCAGCCTGTTTGGGCCTTCCAGAATTTGTCATGCGCAGCAGCTTGATCGCGTCGAATCTGATTGCAGTTTTGCATGACAAATCGTGTAACAGTTGAGAATGTAACGCTTGAGAACGCCATAACGACTGAATTCACCGGATCGTACGTGTTCACCAAGTTCAAGTTGCCCGTGGGCAGCAGTTATCAAATGCAAATATGTCTGGGTCTGGTAACTTGTGATGCTGGGCGGCGTCTCATGATGAGGCCACAAGTGCTGGCTCAGCATGACAAGTTTCTGAGCTTCTATGTGTTGCCTATTCTGCATGACAAACTGCGTTTCTGCATCACAGAAAAATGGAGCTTTTGGGTAACGTGCATGACAGATTTAAGAGTCATGCCAGACAAGCATGACAAACATGCATTCTTCCCGACACAGACATTTTTGCAATTGATAGCAGTCGTGACAGCTTCTCGCGCGGGTCGAACTGGTCCCGCTCGAACTCCAAGTCGCCCAGGATTTCCGCAAGGGTCTCCCGCCTGGATTCTTGCGTGGTAGTATGCTACTTACTCGTGTGGCTCAAAATCAAACAGCCGTTTTTCAAGAGCATGAAACGTAAGGAGCAATTGTGCTGTCAACATTGTACTCAGAACTGCCATCACAAGTTGCACTTACTTCTCATCAGAATCTGTGTCCGAGTTGTCGTAGGGGTCCCAAACCTCGTCCTCCATGGAGGCGTGTTTTTTCAGTGCGTTCTGACCCAGCGTCGCGCTCACGCCGTCATCCCTCGTTCGCAAGCGTTCCAGGTCCGTCGCGTGGAATGTCGTGCTGCGACGGTAGTTGGCTACTGTGCAGAGCAATGGAGCATTGAAACAAATCACGCACAGCGACAGATTGGTTCATACCTTCGCAACAGGGAGAGAACATAGACATACAAAGGATTATATGTACCAAACAGGATCATGTACCACGCGAGACGTTCGCGGGCGGCGCAGGTGTAGAAGCAGCGGCTCCCTCTCCCTTACCCGATGCTGCAGATGCCTCCCCGGATTTCGTTTTTCCAACGCCGATCTGTTTGTTCGTCACCCCCGTGCGCATTTTGAGCTTATCCGCGAAAGCTCGCGCCATGACCTGGGCCCGCGGTGACATGGATAATAATGTTGGCTGCTTGGTACAGGCGCTGCTTGGAAGGGAAAACTGCTTTGCAACGCCGACGAGAGCGCGTTCCTCATCCTGGTCATGATTCCCACCCTGCAGTGATGCAGAGGCGGTAATTGCGAACTGAGGTTTGCCCACTGGTTGCAGCTGCGACGAAGTTGCAGCCGCGCTGTACGACCCAGTGAACAGGGTCGGGGAGGTCTGCAAGTGCCCGGTGCTTGTGCAGTTTTTGCCGATGGCGCTGTTGGTGATGGTAGAGCTCGTCAAGCAGGATGAGTTGTCCAACCGCCAGGAGGAGGTAAGCCTCCTTGGCCCCGCGGCATCACCAAGCGGCACACTGCTCGTACCCCCGGCTGTCGAGTTCGAGGTCCGGCGCTGCGACGGCGCCGAGGGCTGGTACCCGGAGATACTGGGGGTGGCATTTGTGAAGCTGAAGGTCGGTAGTTGAGACGACATGCGCGCGCGAGTAGCTGTTACAGCTTCTGTAGGGGAAACGCGAAGGGTAACGCAAACAACGGCGACCGTTTCAGTGAATAACCACACACCAATGTGGGCACTAAGGAGTACAACTAAATGTATGCAAAACCAAAAGCAGAGCTGCTAAGCATTTATCTATCAGTGGTCATCCTCATAAAGCGCATGTAGCCGTGTCAGCCAAGCAGGGTGGGGCTGGAGACGTTTAGGCGCCGCAAATCCCATCTGTCCGGAACACAAATTAATGAGCCAGTCCCCTCCCCTAGCACTGACTTTCCCAACATCGGGCGAAGCGGCTGACCACCCAAAAGTGACCCAAGTAAGCCGGGGTCTGGTAGGTTGGTTGGTTGCGATCGCAACAGGGCAGGGCAAATGGAGTGATGATGAATACAATAAACACCGGCCACCCACGACTTCGGAGGAGACGGGGGACACCAATCGAAGCGAACGACCCCCCCAATTCGGAAGCCGCAATGAATCTGCACGCAAGGGGTCTTCGCGCGTGCGTGCCCCCCTGGCAGTGGCAGCGGGATGCCGTCCGCGCCCCAATTGTTAGGGGCATGCATCGGTCGCAAACACCGGAGCGAGTAGCCGCGCGCCTGTCCTGGCTCGCGCCGGCCCGCCGGGCGCGCCGGAAAGCACGGGTGGCAACCTAGGCCGGTTGCGGATCCATCCGACGGCGCTGCTGGCTGTCTGCCCTGGCTTCGGCGGTTGGTAGGCTGCAGGGCAGGCCGACCGGGCGAAGGTAGGGCGCCCGCCGGCCGGCCGCGGCGCCCGGCTGGGGCAGCGACAGGTAGGCGCGCGGCGAAACACGACGCGCGGCCGCCAAGGGGGGGGCCGGCGGGCAAGGCCGCCCGGGCGGGGCGGGGGGCGCGCCATGGCGCACAGAAACAAAGAGACGACGCCTCCAATAGGTCCACGCTGCCCACGCCCTCCTCGCCCCCACCTGTGAAAAACTCCCGGGCGGCGGACTTTTCAGATTTGCCGGGCCTCCTCCTTCCGCTTCTGCCCCGGGGCCGGGGCCGCGCGAAATCCAGGGCGCCCCCTGCCTGCCTTGCGCCCAACACGCTTCGCCAGAGATGGCCGTCGCTTCGGCGCGGCCCATGCCGAAGCTGTTGGGTACCAAACCGGCCCGCCGCGCGCTCCCCTTCATCCAGCACCCCGCTGCGGCGCGCGCGCGGCAGGGCACAGCCTGCAGAGCTACCGCCCCCCGCGCGGGCCCCCCTGCGGGCACGCAGGCGGCTTGGGCCAATAGCTGCACGGGAAACAGCGCGGGCGCCCACCGAAAACAAGAGGGCGGCCAAGGGCCCCGATGGGGCGACTGCGGCAAAACCCGCGGGGCGGCGGCGCCGGCCCTCTAGCAGTTTGTTCGGGCGGCCCCCGCGGGGGGGGCCGGCGCGGCCCTGCTAGGCCGGCGCAGATTTCCCGCAGTTTTCAATAAAGCCGCAGCGCCGTCTCTTTTGTTTCCATTCGCCTGCCGCGCCTGGCCCTGGCCCGGGTATTTTCCACACCGTTCCGCCGCGGCGCGCTTGAAACAGCCACCCGGGTCGCAATGTAGGCGAAATGTATGAAGGGGCTCTCGATCCGCTGGGCATACGATCCGCGGCAAGGCCGCCGCCGGCCAGGCGGAGGCCCTGCTGTGCTTCACATGCGAGCGCCAGCGCCATCGCCCGCGCTGGCTAGCGCGTGCCCTTGCGCCCGCGCTCGCGCTATTTTCGGGAACCGCGGGGCCGCCCTGCCACGCTATCCGGAAAACGCAGCTTGAAGTTGACAGCCAGCAACCAAACGCAAACGCCGCAAAACATTGTGGCGACAACAAATAAAGCATAGAAACTCCGCGAACACTCATGACGGCTAGACGACAAGTTGTGCCCGAAAAGGACTTCTTCCCGGGCGTCAGAAAACCTCTTCCTCGGGTACTTAATTTTTCGTCTCCTCATTGTCATTTCATTCCTTGCCCATATATTCCGAAACTTGGTAATAAACCCCAATGCATTTTAGTGCACGATAGGAAATTCATATGCAATGGCGAAAGACTGTCACTGTAACATTCCTCAGCACGACAGAGCTAAATACAGTTCACTAGAAGGCTTCATAAAACTGTTCTTCGAAACGGAAACTCATCGCAAACTCTACTCATTCGGTGAAGAAGCAGCAGATTGCGCGAGCCTCTTGTGCTTATTCTGTATTCTCAGAGTCATCCATGTGGAAGGGCGGTTGCGCAGAGCCAGAGGCCGCATACTCCAACCGAAGCCGAACCGAGAATCGGTTCAAGATCTATGGAAAAAGTTCTTCGAAACAAGATGAAAGGAGTTCATCAGTGCTGTTCGTGCAAAAGAAACGAATGGCGGCCATCAGTGACCCCCGTGGAGAGGTGGCAGCTGCCAGTTCCTCGTAGCAGGAGGTGCCCGGAAGTTCTTGTGAAAAGGAGGAAATGATAAACAGAGAGTGACTGTGACGTCGAGTAAGTAGCTCCGTAGTTGACATTAGTCTTTTGGAAAGGTGAAGGAAATTGGCAGCATCTCCTCATCAATCTGCAAACTTTTGCATTCGAGCACGTAGCACCGGAAGCAGCAGTGACACACATCAACAAAATTTCAATAATTTTACAAATCACTAATTTACAACAAACATCTTACAAACAAGCTCAGCAACGTAGTTATAGAATTTTCTTTCCAGTCGGTAACTAGAACTACTAGTTCGAATTTCATCCCGACAACTAGGTGAAAGTAGAGAAGTGAAAGTAGTTCATCTCGGTGCTAGTACTAACTTTGGTGATGGCTATGCTTATTTTCTTCCCTCATTTCACTTTTGATTTTGCGTCGAGGTAGTTTCAGTACTAGCATGAAGATCCCCACTTCTTTATTCGTCCACCATTTTCTGCTCCACCTTCTTCATCAAATCGAAGTAGACATTGGACCACTTGTCCAGCGTGGCGTCGAAGTCGGATTTGATCCAGGGATTGAACTGGTGGAAGCACTCCATCTCGTGCTTCCCCTGCATCTCCTCCTCCTCCTTTTTCAACAGTTGGAATTGCGCCAGCATCTGGTGCTCCGCACTGGTCTTCATCAGATTCGACAAACCATGCTTGTTTTTACCGTTGTTCAGCTTGTTGTTCGTGGCTGCGGAAGCTGTAGAAGTGGCAGCCGCAAGCGTAGAAACTGTGCTTTCCTTCATGGTTTGCGCCATCCCTCCCACCGCGGAGGTCTGCATCAGCAGCAGCAGATTCTTCTCATCGCGCACACTGTCAAGATTGTTGCTGTTGCTCTCGACATTCTTGAAATTCAAATTCGATGCTGCAGTTCCGTTGTTAACCTTTTTCAAATTCTTCAGTTGCATCCTTGTTCGTAAAAAGCTTGTGATGTCGCCCTGCTGCACGTACTCGTTGCGCAAGTTTTCGTAGGCCGCGGAAAACCCCGCCTGGGTTTCCTCCGGACGCCCGCCCCAGATCTCGAAGGCAAACGAGTACGGAACGTCCACCTCGTCGTAAGCGTAGTCCATACCTTAAGTTGGGGATTCGTCATGTTGTGTGAGGAAGATTGGAGGTCATGCTGCAACAATAGCCTACTTCAGGCAGACTCACTCGTCTCATAAATCTGACGAAAAATGATCTAAATATTTTTCTTGGCGGAAAAGGAAAACAAAAACAATTCTGTACTGTTGCCCGTCGCCTGATAGTGAATTGTTTCCATCGCGGATCCGTAGGGGATTTTCACTTGCTTGTTGATGGAGTCCAGCACCGACAGCATGTTTTTGTAGTTCTCCGGCTTCTGCGTGCTCCACCCGTACGGCAGAAACATGCTCATCGTGCCACTGTGCACCGTCACAAACAAATCGGGTTGGAAGTCCTTCAGCAGCTTCACGACGAGCCTGGTGGGAAATTTTATATATTTTGCATAGAGTTGAAAAATGCATTTCGATTCCGTGCTCTTGCACACTCATGATGGTTTTCGTTGTGTGGAGAAGGAGATCCAGGTCGACATGTTGCTCATACCATATGCATATTCTCGTTATGGATTTGCATGCTCGAGAACGTCACACAAAAAATCAGCATGATCAACAATCTACTTCGGCTCCTTTTCCGACAATGCCTTCGGCCCCGACCAGGTTTCCGTTCCGTTTGCCCCAGTGGCCTGCCAGTGGTCCGGGTAATTCCGGTTCAAGTCGACCCCTGAGGTGGCCGTCCGCAAACAGTACTCGTGGTTGTTCAGAACTCGGTCGCGGGCCTGCGGGTTCGCGTTCACGACCGCCATCACCTCCCAGATCTTGTTGATGTCCTTTTGCAGAAACTGGGTCAGGAAGTGCAGTCCGCTTTCCGGCGAAATCAGCTCCCGCGCGTGCTCGCCAAAGATGAAGAACGCTTTCAGCGGGGCCGTGTCGTCTTTCGTGTTTTTTCCGTGGTCCAGGTTTTTATGCTTGTGGTTCTCCGCAGCGGCATGGATCTTGGTTTCGGCTTTGGTTTTCGTTTTTTCCTCCTTCCGCATCATCACCGTCGGGTGCTGCTGTTGTTCCTTTCCGCTTTCACCCACTTCCGCCTCGGAAACGGATGCCGTTGGCGACGTTGCTGAGGACGAATGATCCTTCTTGTACACGTGCACCACATCGATGCCCGTGCCCTGGTTCCGGTCCACGTCGACCGTCAGGTCTGCGTTCTGCGCCGCGGTCTTCAGGTTCTCCAACTCCTTGCTCAACGCCGCCGAGTTGTGGTAGAACACCAATGCGTCCTCAACGTCATCTTGTTCCTCGCCAAATTCGTCATTTTTGTCCTCGACGACCTGCGTGCTGCCGTCGTTTCTGGTAGTAATAGTCTTCCCCGAGGCGGTGCTTGTCCTCGCGGTACTGAATTCATCTTGGCCAACATCTGCTGTTCCAGATGCTGCAGATGTCACACCGTGAGCAACATCCTTTTCCTTTCGCAAGCGAAAGCCGCTCGTCCCGGAGAGCGCGTTCGCGATGACGACGATGCCTGCTGCCAAATAGCAGGCTTGGAATCTCTTCATCCGGCCGGACGCTGTGAACAAGAGATGACGGGGCCGGAGTTTAGCTTTATAAAATGTTCGAAGTATTGTCGTACGTGTTAAAAATTGATCTGTATTCTCGAGAAAGGCACTCAGTACCTAGTCCTAGGAATGTTGACTGAGTGTGGGTTGACAAAAATTCACCACGGTTGTACGAAGCTCACCGAAGCAGTAGGAAAAATAACAGGCCGCGACGTGCTTACTTTTTTCTCTCGACGTTGCGAGAAACTAACCCTCACGGTTTGGCTCTTTGCAAATGTGAATGTCGTGGTCTCTCATCGACGCCTGCAGCTTTTTGCTCGAAGACAAAGATAGTCGAAATCTACTGTGCTGTCATGAGGAACGGACTTCTGTTTTTTTGCAGCCGAGATTACGCTCGTTTTGGAAAGCCAAACAAAACTCTTGACGCAACGTGATTGGCTGCGCGGAAATGGTCAGAATTGATACCACGTGGCATCACGACGCGATATTGATGCTGTTACTTCCGCTTGAGATTCTTGCACTTACTAAATGGCGCCAACACAATGTTCACGCTTGCCTACGAGTCGACATCGAAGCAGCCTTTCGCGTTTATGAAACGCGATGAATATGTTTGTTGAGCACCGCAATTGCTCATGAAAGTCCTGTAGCGTGCTCGTTTTACGTGCTGCGCGGGAAAAATCTACATTTCACGACAAATCAGTGCATGAGGCCCGAAACGGCCTAAGCATCTCGTGATGCTCATAGACATTGACTGAGAACTCGCCGCGAGCGTACCAGAGTGACACGGTTGCAAGCGGCTCGTCGTCTGCGTGGCCCTGTAGACAACGAACTGGTGCTGCCGCCACAAAGAACTGGACTAATCTACTGCTTTGGTTACACATGATGACCTACAACTTCACGGCCACACTATACAAAGTCGGTCGCATTTTTCTTTCTTCTGTGCTACATACTGAGAATTCGATCGATTACAATTTACTTTCCAACACGATCTTTGCCCCGCCATACTCTCCCCGCCTCTTCAGCCCGTCCATTTCCCTCTGTCCTTGCCGCAATTCGTTCAGCATTGCCGGGGATTGCGCTTCTTTCAGCGTCAATATCTCCAGCTCCTGATCTTCCGCCGTACCCAGGTGTTTCCAGCTCTTGTGCAGCTCTTCCAATCTCTCGACGTACAACGCATGTAACCTTTTCACCTCTGCGCGGAACACTTCGCTATCTGTTTCTCCCTTCACCATCTTCACCGGAATCTCGATCGGCGCGCCGAAGACCGTGTGCAAGGGCGTTTTTGCCGGAATCGTCGGAAAAAGCAAACTACCGACCGTGTTGTTGAAATTGTGAAAAACGGGGAGAGAAAACTGCATGTTTTTCTGCATCAGGAGTTGAAATTTCCGCAAAAGCGGGTTGAAAACCTGCCGATACAAAGCCGTTTCCCCGAAAACTAAAACCGGAACCAGCGGCGTCCCGGTGCGTAAAGCCACCTCGACGAAGCCCATCCTGTCTTTCAAAACGATCCGCATCTTCCCGCCGCCCGAGAGCAGCGCCTCGTCTGCCCCACCCACATACAGCCCAACGGATTTTTTCGCTTCTAGGTTCCTCACCACCTTCTCCTTTTGCGCCGTAGTCAATCCGGCCAGCATGCTCCATTCGGCGGCCCCGGGCAGGTGGAAAGCCGCGTCGACCGTGCAACAATAAACCTTACCCAAATTCGGGTTTTTCTTGTGCAGCAGCTTTGTTTCCAGCCCCGTCCCCTCCGCAAACGTCGGCGCCATGGAAAGCGCGAGGACCCCATGCGGATGGACCGCGAAGAGGAAGTTTTCGTGGTTCGCTTTTTCCAACGGGTAGGTAAACACGTTTCGGTGCGGGTAGTAGGCGGAAATGAGCTTGAAAATGTAGCTGTCCCGCAAACCAGGGTCGCCCCGGATTCTCCCCGAGTGCTTCCAGGGGTTAAAATAGGCGAGGACTTCGTACAGTAGGAACCCGAAGGCGAACTTCTTTCGGTTGTACCCGATGGTGCGCTGGAAGAGCTGCTTCAAAAAGTAGAGTAAAACGGCGGAGTTGATGCCTGTCTGCGTGCAGACCCAGAAGAGCACCGCGGCCTGGGGAAGCGGGAGAATTTTTTGCAAAATGAGACCGAGTTTGGTTGAAAACTCCGGTTTCGAAACGGCGTGCGGTTCAGGTGGGTGTACAAGGGTGATATGTTTATTTTCCAGTGCGGCTGAGGAGGAGGTCTTCTGGTTCCACAACACTTTCGCTTCTTGTTCGTCGTCTTTCTCCTTCTCACTGCTTTCTTGCGCTGGAGTTATTTTCGCTGGTAACAGCCCCGGCGTCGTCCGCGGCGTTCTGGTTCTTCGCGTTGGATAATACTGGTGCCCATTAAGTCGAGATGGAGACTCGTGCTGGTCCTGAAATTGAAGTTTCGCGGAATCATTACATTCACTCTGGTCGAAGTATTTCATGTTTGAGTTTGACGTCAACTCGAGTTTGGCCAAACTCATAAAATCGTTCGTAACATTGGGCCGAGCGAGGCTAAGAAAAAATGCCGAAGTGACTTTGAATTTAGAAAACGTACGACGATGTCGCAACGGCACGACAGTACAAAAATCGACAAAGATATCCGTACCAGGTACAGACGGAACCACACGAGGCACTTTGAAAACGAATCAACGACGACCAAAAACTGACGAACGGGAACGCGGCTAACAGATAAAGAAGGAAATGATCAACGCCAACAAGAAAGAAAAATCTAAATCGTTCACATTCATTTTAGTAGCAAACTGTTCGGATCATTCAAGAGCGCTGGGGCTAGCAGTACCTCCGGCAGTGCACCTGAACTTCCAGTTACACGTCCCACGGACGCGCTCCTGTTGACGAGGGCCTTTGCCTTTTCTCTTCGCAACAAAATCTCCGGTTTTCGTTTCGGTTTGACCAAACTCAATTTGTGAAAAGTTTCCTCGAGTGCTGCCAGCTCGGGAAGCTCCGGCCCGTCGCTCTCATCCTCTGTCAGCGAGATTCCCTTTGCTGCTACGTGCGGAATCAGGCAGCAAGATGTGAAGATCGCAAGATGAAATAGAGCTGCGCTGCGCGAGCCACTGAGGAAACTAGTCGAGATGTCTTTTCTGCGCCTTGCAACCTCGCGGCCGGAAAAATGCGCCCGTGCGCCGTCTTTTCGCTTCCATTGCGTCATTCTGCTAAAACGCCCGCGTGTCTGAGACCGCGTGGGGACGCAATGATAATCTTCAATGTTCTTATGCAGTTGCTGCAGCAACCTGGTTGTCTCAACAGAAAGGAACGGCAAAAATGCAAACAAATCTTCAATCTGCAAAAGCAAGAAAAGGATCTTCTACTTGCTTTCCTGTACTCTACGCAAGAATCTACCAATGATCTAATCCTAAGGCAAGAGAAAACGAAGTAGCGATGACCTGGGGCGGATTGCGTAACGTAGAAGGAAAGAAAAACATATGAACCACTCGACTTTTTGAACTGCTCTGCCCGTCACTCCTAAGTAAAGATCGTTCTTTCGCTGGCATGCTGCGGCTCGCACTGATCCTGATGATCTTCCAAGAACGATCCGACCTTCGCTGGCAATGATCACAATCGAGTGCGACATCATATAGTCCAACGAAGATTCCAGATTGCTGAGTGCTTCGGACAGCCCTCCTGGGTCATCGAAGATAAACGTTCGCTGCGCATGAGGAAGATCCGGAGCAATTCAGGAAAAACGACAGCAACTAACATCGATACTCATGTCGACATGACGACCCGGAAGATTATCTTCCGGGCCAACAAATGAAAGTGAAACAGCTCCAGCTGGTCCCGCGGCTGTGTTGTCGGTTCTTGTAATGATTATAAAAAATCAGCTTTTATTAGCGATGTCTCCGAATTGTACAGAAAATGTGCTTGCAACATTCGTCGAATGCCAAAAAACGCTTGTTCAGCCAGAACTTTTTTCCCATTTTTGAAACTACAAAATGATAAGGCGTTTTCACGAAAATCTCAGATCTTTGCTTTGTCTTCTGACCTCTCAAGGTGCTTCGATAGTCGGCCCTGCAGCTGATCACAACCGTAGAGACTTCTATCATGAGATGAAGATGCTAGAAAATAATGCGGCCAATGGTGCCTCATTTTGTTTTCCACTGTTGCTCCCCGAAAAAGTCAAAAATTGAAACTACTCCGTATGGATAGTTTTTCTTCCTTATTCTCGCTCCGCGGGCGGAATCGGCGAAACTGGAAAAATCCACGATACCAAATTCTGTGTTTGTAAAAAATCGTAAAACACCCTAACGTTCTACTCACTGATTCGAAACAAGTAGTGTAGGCAGCCGCGACTAGGACTGCTGTCGTGCCGAATAATTCTACATTTGAAAAAGAAGCAGGTCGCTGGAACTCTTACATTCAACAAAATCTTACATTTACTTCGCTTCTTGCACCCCTAAAAAAGTAGTATATTTTTGTCCACGTCGTGGTCTAACACTGGTACTTATCATCTGTTTCTACCACAGCACCACTAGTCCGTCGTAGTCTGTTCGACCCTCTCCTCCGTTTGCGCCGCTTGTCGTTCCTGCAGCAGCGCGACGATGAAGGCCGTATCTGCTGTCCGGATGCGCACGGATTGGTCTTGCAGCGTTGCGACAAAGTGCGGCGACAGGTCAAAGCCGATGTAGCAGTCACGGTCGGGATGCGTGAAGTTCGCTGCAGTGCCGGCCTCCCGCAGAATGGTCGTAAAAACGCAGACCTTCGTCGCCAGCGGGGTGACTTTTTCCGCAATTTTGCAAAACCGCTCCTGGTCGCCGCGAAACAGAAACTGCGCGTCGAGCCGGTCCAACCGCGCGCTCAGGCTTGCCCGCTGCCGCTCCACGGCTGCGAGGACACGGCTTTCGAACCGCCGGACAATCAGCGGGAGAAGGCAGTTTTTGACCAAGAGTTCCGCCAACTCGCACGGACAGGTCGTGCTGGCTGCGTTGTACTTGGAAGAAGTACTAGTAGAGGTATTTTCATCTCGACGCTGGTGGAGTGATGCGAGAAGCGCTTGGTACAGATCGTTCCCCGTGATGGAAAGGCTTTCATCATTGGAGTTGTTACGGAGGTCGTGGCTCTGTCCTGGACTCGAGTATGCGTCGCCGCGCAGCAAGACCACTAAACCA